CGAAATAGAAGCAATACTTGCCCATAAAGGAATGGGTAATCGCCACCGATACCTTGTATCGTGGAAAGGATATCCCGAATCAGAAAACTCCTGGCAAACCGAGTCAGATTTGACTAATTCATCCAACATCCTGACAACATATAAAAGAAAACTCGCTAACAAAGGAGCTAAGAAAACAATTCTGTAACCAATGACATGTCCAACTCATCAAACGACTCCAACTTCTTCGCCTCCCACCCCCATCTCACACCCATGAACGAAGACAAAGCCCTCTGGGAGGCACTCATCCTAGACAGCCGTTATGCTATAGAAATTGATAACCTCATCATCGCCTGCAACGACCCCATCCTCTTCGAACTCATTGCAGCATTCAGAACCACAGATACCCTCACCACCTGCATCATCGACATGCAGGGATGCAAATGCGGAACATTCGGGACAGTATCCCTCCACTACACACAAACCAAAATCAAAAACGCTGTCATGACACTCTTAGCCATGAAGAAGTTCAGCAAGCTTGTTGATCAGATCAACAATGGCGAATTTGTAGCACAACCCACGCCATCCCCCATCCAACTGAGCATCCTCGATGAAGAAAACATCGAGCTAGTACCATTCATACCCGCAGAACCCCGTGCTGAAACCCTGGAACCCCCTGCCGAAGAAGAAAACTTACCCAATCTCATCGCTGAAGAAAGCAAGTTTGAAGGAGATTTTTTAGAAGCAGACGGAACCGCTACACTGTCCATCATGCATTACTCCCCACCTCCTACTCCGAAGACTCCCGAGCGAAAACCGTTACACATCCCCGAACCAACCGGCCGTGCCACCTCCCCTAGTAAACAAAATTGCCGTAACCGCGGAACTACCATGCTCCTTTCACTTGGTTTACCATTATCGGTTAAATATCCTCCCATCTTCCATGGCATAGCGCCCAACGTCGAAACAGGGGAACCAGAAAGAGTCATGACTACTACCGCAGATCGCATCCATCATGCCAAATTCGAAGCCACTGAAATGGAGCAGACCCACCCTGCCAACTTCATCTGCCGCTGCTGCAAATGATATGGCCATAGACATTGTCACTGCCATCAGTACTTCTGTCGTATCTGTGGGGTCTTCACCCCAGGACATTTCACTTCATACTGCCCACGTCTTAATGGACGAACTATTCTTCGTCGCGGTCGCTCCGACCCTAACTTCCATGTGCAACTCACGCGTCTTGAACGCTTTTATGACGCCCACCAGGGTATTATCCCTGACCGCGACGACGAAGATGACCGCCGGCTTGAAGTTAACGAGATTGAAGGGTTAGATGTTGATGATGTTTTCTTGGATGATGCCCGCCTTGACGCATGAAGCCAGGTGACTTCACCCTTAGAACGGGAGGTGATGTTACAGGGACGTTATGTAAACCCCTCGGACCAGCTTATTCTCTTTTACCTATCTTTCATCACTGCTATCCGTCGTCAAAGCAACTTCCATCTTTCCATTCTCTTGGCTTATCTATACTGGCTGATCATTCTTGCACTGCTTATCTGGTTTACCCGTTATCTGTGACTCATACCCTATGCCCTTACTGCATTGTCGGTACTACCCTTGACCCTTACCGTTCAACCGGTATCTCCTGCTTTTCGTATATAAAGGACTCCGTACACTGTAGTAGTCCTTAACTTGAATCTACTCAGCATCACGCCTAAAGCCTCAGGACAGAGGGATAGCACGAAAGGTAGATAGCAAGCCTCACCGCTCCTATCACATTTACACTATCTTCTACTAGACTTTCCATCTAGTAGTCTTACCTTGAAAACCCATCACAACACTAGATCGGTACTCCTTGTGGGTATCTAGTGCGGAACCAACTGAGTTCATAACAGCAGGGACGACATTCAAAGAGGAGACATTTACCGATGCTGCAAAGAAGATAACAGAGAAGGTTGAAGAAGCAGGGATTCAGGCCCAACCCAAGACCATGACACAGTGTAAGATGAAATGGTCAACTGTGAGTTACATCTGTCCCACTCAGATCATTGCTAACATCAACTGCCCCTATAGTTGAAACAGATCCACAGCGTGATAGACAGATATTGGAACAGTCAATCGGGATGTCATTGGGACAATATTAATGGGGCCAATATTCAGGGGCCATCAGCAGAGCTCATGTGGGAGCAATTTCTCAATGCCAGCAGCGGCAACAAGGTATGTAAATACATTTGGCCTCCAGTCTGCTGCTTACATTTTGTCTTGAGGTTATGAAACCTTTTAAAAACAGCGGATGGCCATTTTGGTCCAAGATGTTGCAGATTCTGCCACACAGCAGTAGTGCTGTTGGGGCGGCCGCCTATAACCCAGCTTCACTTACTGCACAAGCATCAGCGGCTGCTGCTGCTACTAGTGCTGACCCACAAGCAAGCGGTGATGCTCTGGGTCTTGATATGAGCATGGCTGATGCTGCTGCCACTGGTGGTGTTAGCAACATACCTGATGTTGATGCCACCAATGCAGAGGCCTTGGATGGCTTTGGATGGGGCCATATCATGTCTACTCTTCCAAGCCCTGGGCCTGTGGCTGGAGGTTCTATGTTCCCCCCTCCCCCGTCTTCAGTGGCAGCTTCTAGCACAGGAAAACACTCACACTCCAATATGATCCTTTCTGCCACCACCCCCAGAACCTCTGTTCTGGAGTCTCCCACCGGCAGCACTGATAAAAAACCTAGATTATCAGCATGCGGCGGCGGCAGCAGCAGCAGCAACAACAACACTGGCATGTCGTGCATCACTAGCAGCTCCAGCAAAAAGGCTGCCAAGGACACTGCCAGCACCGCTGCATTTATGAACCTTCAAGGCTGCATCAACCACCTGATGGATAGTCTCACAGCATTGATGGTCAGTACTGATGAAACTCAGGTAGCGGATGAAAGATCAAGTGCCATGTCCATGATGCAAGATGAAGATGGTGTGTCGGGAGATGACAAGATCACCCTCATGAACGTGTTCATGAGGAGCCCAGTTGTATGCTCCACCTACTTGCTCAACAGGCCCAAGAATCATCTACTCTTTTTAGAATCTGTTATCCAGCAGGCTCACAGGGGGGAGTATGGTGCATTCTAATTGTCTTCTTGCTCATCAAAATCATATTGCCATCTTGTTGCTTCATCCTCTTTCATATCGCATCTTACAAATCATGTTACATAGCCTCCATTCATTGATATGCAGCGCATCTTCATGTTGTAGTCCTATGTACACTATACATTGTGAATTTATGCATCATTACCATCATCCTCACTCCCATAGTACTCGTCTATGTTGTCCTCGTTCTCTAAGTCTTCATCAATATCCAACACATGAGCTACGTCGATCAGATCATGCTCCTGCAAAATTGTCTGGTAATCTTCCCACATCTCAGTCGCCATGCGATCACAAAATATGTTGGCTTCATTGCGGATGGTTGCAGGTTCGGGTGGGTCGTTGCGTGCTTCGCCAGGTCATCCTTGATGGGTGGGGTTGTCGTTGAAGATGGCTCTCTGAGGTGGAGGCTCTTCATATGGGTCATGAGCGTGTATGTAATTATGAAGAGCGCATAGCGCAGTGGGTATGTGTGCCTGAATCCCTATCTTATACTCCAGGGATACTAAAAGAATGCGAAAGCGCCACTTCAGAACACCGAAAATATGTTCGATAATGTTGCAAGTGGATGCATGGCAAAGATTAAACAATTCTTCCTTGTTAGTGGGTCTGGAAGCAGTGTTGGATGAGCCGAATAACAAAAAAAAGAGCCTATGACATACCTGATGCTGGCACAACCCCATTCAGCCAGATGGTACCGAACGCCGCGGTAAGGGACCAAAAGTTGTTGGCATGAGGGGAACCCCAGGTCTGCAAGAAGATATTTTCCCACCGGAAGATTCAGCCCATCATTGCGAGCTACATCCCAGAGCTGTGCATCGGTTGCGGATCCCTCCCATCCAGTGAGTGCAAAGGTGAAATTGAGGTCGAAATAGCAAATGAAGAGGCAATTTTGAGAGACGGAACCTTTTCAATTGTAGTAGAGGTGGCAGGTGGCGGAGGGAGGGAATGCATGGATGTGACTGCCGTCAATCACTCCAATAGCGTCCTGGAAGTATGGCCATCATTTTGGGTTGTCACGAATAGCACTGGAGACAGGGGCATTGTCAGCAGGAAGGTGTACATGCGTCGTATAGAATGGGTGGGAGGCAAAAATCTCTAAGATCTTGCGGAAATACCTACAAGGGAGTTAGTGTCAGGCGTGAAACATAGATCAAATCACAAACTTGGAAATAGTAGTGTTTGAATGCTGGAATCATTCTGCAACATGTCTGACCGTCAAACCTGTGACACAAGTGTACAGAAAAATCACCAACTGCTCCTCGAGTGATACAAAGTGTGAATCCATGTAACCGAAGTTTCGAAGGTTACACACCAAGCTCGCAGCGGATGCGCTCTGGGTGGCCAACAATCAACTCCATCACCCACTCTTGCCCTGTGAGGGCAGATGTGTGGTAGGGTTCAGGATCATCCTGGACTTGCTGTAGGAGGATATGCGCTGTGGCGGCAAGTAGAATATTGAGGAGGAGGGCAATGTAATGAAGCATACACTGGCGAACTGCAGCTTGCAGTAAACGAGTCTGGTTGGGGTGAGTCTGTACTGCTAGTGGTCGAGTCAGCTGGGCTATGAGAGGTCTCTGTTGAATAAGAGGGTTAGTCAACAGCTGCCTGAATACTGGATCCATGGCTAGTATGTTATCGATAACAGTCAATCTTACCGAGGGCTTTCAAACTCAGCTTACATCTCAGTCACACTCGTGCCACTGACAACTTTCGAGTTGGTAAATTTTTGTTCAAATGTCGGTTGCTGAACGGGCTCTAAGTGCTTCAGTGTGTAATACATTACATAATCAAGCAAGCAGCATCTATTAATCTTTCCTTTGGGCGAGCGGTTCTGAGAACAAAACCCTCCCCCCCAACAGCCCTCTAAAATTGTTATTCCCGTGCAAGATCCCGAGCGAAATGGAAAAAATCTATAGTGGAACTGTGAACACCGTATTTATAAAGCTACAAGATGATTGTGAGGATGGTGATCAGGCAACAAGAAAAGGGGCTAAAACTCACGAAATGTGAAGCAACCCAGCTCGAGAACAGAGCGCGCTGGTATGGCTCGGGAAGCCTCTCCAGCAGGGTGTCTAGACCGACCTGGTCCACCAGAGTTCTGGGAATGGCAATTCTCATGACCCCCTTGCGGCTTGGGACATCATCAAACAAGTCGGAATGTTCAAGCTTATCTTGCAATTCGATGAGCATGATAGAGAGCTCGTCCGAGATCTGTGTCCGGGGCTTAGCGCCTTGTAAGCGGGCGTGTTCTTGCCAAATGCAGTGGAATTCTGCTGCGGCGTTCTCAGCAATCTTGGCTTGAATGTCTTTAACGTAGGTTTGGTAGAAGTCTGATGGCTTGCCGTCCTTGAAAATCATGAGGTCGAGGTATTCCTGGGTCGTGAGGGCGAGACCGGCGAGTACTTCAAGCGAAGAGCTGGTAACACCACCTGAAGCAAGGTCAACACCGTCTAACAGGTGATAGGAAAGTAATTACCCTTGTTCGCACTGGAGTCTTTAAATACGATAACCCTGCGTTTCTCCAAGTGCAACCGCGCCTGCTGAGTGAAGAACAAATTCGCACCCTCGACGATGTACTTAAAGTGGGGTTTTCCTTCCGTATCCATCAAAGCAGCAACATTGGAGACGTTCACTGCTTCAGGACTGATTGATTGTCAGCTCGTGTTTGGTGTAGGTGTCGATGCAAACTGACCGTCCACCGCATGGCACAAAAAGATCTGCCTTAAAACGGAAGTGAGCCCCGTTCCTGAAGTCGGTACCGTCGAGAACGACTTCTCCGGCTAAGGACAGAGAGTGTGAGATACCATCGAACGTTAAGAAAGCCAAACGGACAGGGTAGCTTGATGTCCTGTTCCTCGATCTTGACAAGGTATCCGTCCTTGCTCAATTTGGTCTTGTCGAAGTGAGACACGGGTACGCGTAATTTGGCGAGGCGGATGAGTTCATTCCTGTTGATACCTACAGGGTCGGCAAGGACACCGCTGCCATCAATAACAGCAATGGTCTTGTCAGAACTCAATAGTATCTCATCTACCGGGTGATCGATCAATGCAGTCCACGGATGCACCATCTCACGACTTACTTGAACCAAGATCTCCGTCTGCAAACCATTACGTCATGGACGACTCCCAAAGAGTGAAAAGGAAACATACCAGGACCACCAGTCTGAACTTTGGTAATATCCTTCTCCCTCAGTCCAAGTTGCTTGTAAATGCCGAGCACATATTGGCGAATGGACAGCGACGTCATGGCATATATATCATGGGGAACACCGCCCAGAAGCTGAGCACTCTTGCCAGTGGTGAACGTCTTCCACCATGTCTCGGCACCACGATCACGAGCGTGCAATGCCGCCCAGTCCATCATGTCTGCTGTACCCTCTACACGAATTGTCGGTCGTCTCGACGAGTTATCACAAACGGATCTTACCATCAGGCCCGAAGAATAATAAATCCGGTTTGCCATACAAGTCAACCTGGCGTTCCTTAATCCCTGAACTTTGACTAGGGATAAGTAGGTCGATGATAGCCTGAAAAGACAATTAATCAATACATATATCAGCTCATGCGCAATGCACGTTTACATCAATGTACTTCTCGAAGCAGCGTCTGGGCGGCGCTCCAAGACTGGGTGAAAAGTAAAAACACATTCGGGTGAGAACATAAAACAACGCACGAAGGCAAAATAGTACCCTTGGCGCCTCCTTCGGGAATGTCCTTGTTCTTCAAAGATTGTGTGGCAGCTAATCCGTAGTTCTCGTCGAATAGCATCCGCTTGTTGATAATGTAGTTCCTAGTCGCACAGTGCTCAATTGCAAGATTCCCTCCAAAAAACGCGAACATACTCCTCGTTCCTCGACATGACTATACGAATACCGCCGCGGGCAACATCTCTAAAGCGAATGTGAAAGCCACGGAATTCGTTTCCGATCACGAGGAACATTCCGAAAAGCGGTTGCGGATATTCACCCTGGGGTAAAAATTTTGGGGACAGACGGAACGACAGTGCGACTTTGGTTGGTTGATAGAAATTCGTCTTCAGAATGTGCCTACAGCAAGGTCAGTTACCAGTCAATCAAATTGTTTTTGAATTCACTTGTTGAAAATGAGGAAGCTCTCGAGAACTTGTAGATCCTGCTTGTTCGGAACTGCACGTCTGATTTTATCATGCAGTTCAGAGTCAGACAGGGGCTGCGTGGTTTGAAGACGCTGGTAGGAGAGAGTAGGACTGGGTGCTGCTCATCAAGGACACCCCAAGACAAATTATCATACTCACCGCAGCCGCGACGCCTGATCAGCAGATGGATAGTGTACCATGGCGAAGTTGACATAGAGAAGGCGAATCTGTTGGAGAAATATTAACGAGGGATCCCGAGCGAAACTGACAACGCACAATTTCTGCATGTGCGTGGATGACTTGAGCAATACTCTCCCGCGTGAAAGTTTCCTCTCTGAAACGTCTCTTGATATCATTGAGCACCTCAGCGTGCGAGGGATTCGATTCGTCCAAGATACTCTTGAGGTGGTGGTATGCGGGACCCAAGCGATTGCAGAAGTGTTGAGCGAAAACCCAACCACAATCTAATGAACAATTAACTCAATTCCTGTCCCAAAAACATAGGACATACAAGCATAGGTCGCCTCTTGCACAGCATGCCCAGAGTTGACGGAATCAAGGAAAAAGGGGTTGTCGGGAAGACAATACAGCAGAGATGCCTCTTTCATCACCTGGAAGATAGAGTGCTCAATGGGTGCGGCTGTTGAATTATGCATCGGGTTCAGGTATAGAGAGATGATCGTGATCCCATTGGAGAACTGCTCCACATACTTTCGGGCCGAGTACAGCTGGTAAAAGTGATAGAGGTTCGAGAGTGCGCTGCAAACGAGTTTAGGCCACTGCGCTGTTACATATGCTGGTCAACACACCTGAAGAACCGGGAAGTGCCGCCCATCTTGTATCCGATGACAAGACGCCTTTCACGAGTGCCTTCAACTTCAAATACTTCCATGACAGGACCATAGCGACTCTCGACTTGCCACATGATCTTCTGGTATACCCGAAGAGTATGCGAGCTCGCTCGTTCGAGGAAAGCACTGTCGGAGACAGTACGGATATCGGTACGTCCATCCGTCCGAATTGAGGGCGGGGGCGGGGGTGGGGAAATGAAATTGCACTTGGAAATGAAGTAACAGCGCAACTGTTTGGATGCTGTTACTGATATAGATCCAGTGGATCGGAAAGTCTCAAGGCGGTAACATTCTGACGGAGTCGAATTGTCGAGGTATAAAGAGTCAATTCTGCATTACAAACAGAATTGGCATGGTGATTGTGGGATATCAAGTGTAAACATACCTCGATTCGCAAGTAGCGCCAGGGCCCTCGGTAGAAGTCACGCCCGGCAAACTGGTATGAATGAATGTTGCCCCATTTCCTGTTTCGTCGACTTTCTCGAGATCGATGACGAGCTTACTGAGGTCGTGCTTCGTGTATGCGAGAATCTTGGCACCGAAGAGTGCAATGATGTGATCAGATATCACAGATGACGATTCGTTATGAAAGTAGGTGTCATCGATGCCGAGTTGAGAGTAGAACCAGTTGACCTCGTTCGCGACTAGCTCGCGGGGAATGAATCCCTACTATCATGTTAATATGACACGATGCGCAAGGAGCATTGACCTCGAGAGATACAAATCGCAGTACCTTGGCAATGACATCAACCTGCACCTTGGCGCGTTGTTCATCTTTACCTTTGAATATGGGGGTAGTATAGCCAGGCAGGTTACTAACGCGCTGCGGGGATTGCTCAGCGCTTGTGCCGGAGTCGTGTCCATTGAGCAGAGTCATGTTAGGGTCACGGTCAACGCTTCTGGGACGGAGCAGCACGGCGTCAAGCACGTTATCTAGCAGTGATTATGGAGGGTCTGTGATCTACAGGAAGGTCGCGTCCAGAAAGATGAACGATGGATTGAAAGTGAGAGAGCGTATTTATACGAACCATATTTGGCGCACTGCAACCATCCACTGTCACTTGCATGTCAACTAAGTCTGCCACGACAATTTTGCCGCACATCCGACGTGGAGTTCAGGTCAAGGTCGACCAATTTGTCATAGCTTGAGGTGGCATTGCGGCTTCAATTGCATCACCATTCAAATGCAGAATCAGGTGAATAGCTTGATACTCGGGAAGCACCGACTGCATCGGCAGAAACCTTGCTTGGAAGTTGAGTGCTACTTTACCCGCGGTGCAACGGAAAGTAAGCGCTACTTCCAGACAGGTGCGATCTGCATTCCAGGTAAGTTCAAACGGTGAAGTTGATTGGAGCTACCAAACACACTAGGAGGCGGGAATGTTCCTGATAGGTTAGTTTCGCGACGTTTTGAGGGGGTAGTGGTAGGATCCTCTCACCAGTTTCGAGCGCTTGCAACAGTTCTATAACACTAACAAAGGTACGGACACAAGAGACACAGACCGATTCCTGCGATCAACAAGTTTGATGATGGAAGTTTGATGTGGTTCTAAGTAGGACTCGCCAAAGTTCCGAGTCATGTGCATGTGTGTGCATGGGACTAATACTGATAGCACTGGCCAAGCACTGACAGCATGAAAGTGAACGACCGTAATCTGCCACGCGCGAACCTAAACCCGAAGAAAAAGTTGTTATCATTTACTTATATATAGGAACAACAATTACACATAGTCCAAGCGATAGCAACGAGAACAACAAACACTTTGAACGCGTCTTTTTCTTCCGCATTCCTCCTGACATGATCGGTATAATTTATTCTTGCGTCTCTCACTCCATGTTGGCCAGCCCGTCACGGACGTATTCTTCGAAGATGGACTTCCAGTCCTTGTGCCAACGACTCAGTGCAGGCCTGCCCTCAGCAACATCCGCCGCAGCCCACATGATGCGTAACTGATCAAGTTGGCGGCGAGACTCGTTGTCAGGGCAGACGATGTAGAACTCGCCAGCACGAACGTGGTCGAGCATGAAGAGAACTGTCTCTTCGGCCGTCCAGGCGCCGGCGGGTTTCACTCCACCGTTGCGGGCGGTCAGACCTGTGAAGGTCCACCCGGGGCTGTGAAGGTCAACGTGAGTTTTCATGCGGATACATCCAAAAGAGCGGGAAAGGACTCACATGAAGAGATGCGCAGTGACGTTGCACGCTGGACTTTCGCGAAGCTCATGTGCGAGTCCTTCCGTCAGGCTCTTCACTGCAGCCTTCGTGGCGTTGTATGCTGGATTACCACTGAACCACGCGGCATCGCGAAGGGGATATCGTGGTGAGTAACCGGGCCAATAATGATGTGTTTCTCGGACTTACGGTGGGTTAGTGATTCCTTGTTTGGATCCAGTGTTGATGACGACAGCTTGGTTCTCCTGGTGCAACATGGACTGTGATAGAAACAATCATGTCGTCATCGTCAGTGTCATGATTTACCGTACACGTAAGAGGGAAACACCAACCGGCACAAAGGTTTGCTGCACATTGACCACCCTAAATGCTGTCAGTTGGACTATGCTCACACTCCCGTCGAACAAATGACGAACCCGAAAAGATTGACGTCAAAAGTCTTCTTCCAGTTGTCCAGCATCTTCCAGGATTTGCTGTCGGGACCTATTGCGGCGTTGTTGAGGAGAACTGCAACCTGTCGGTATTGGTCAGACCATGATGTTCGTCCGATCCGAGATAGCATGAGATGACATAGTATGGCGTGATTTGAGACGAGACTCTATGTAAAATGGCATAATTCGCTCACCTCGCCCCACGCCTCATAGACCTTGTCGCGCAAGCGCACGACGTCGTCGATGTTCGACACGTCGGTCGGAATAACGAGGACATTAGCCTCTCCAGCGATGGCAATAACCTCTTTGGCAGTCAAAGCCAAGTCATCTTCCGCAATATCCGCCATAGCAATCTTCAGACCGAGCCTGGGAGCAGGACGAATCACCAAAGCACCGAATGCAACAGTCAGTCAGATCAACACCGTCAGCACAGACATATCACATTTCATGAGTATCTCGCTCGCGGGGTCAAGAGCGACGGCATCCACGCACTTTGCCAATTCAACGGCAGCAGCTTTACCGATACCGCTCGCAGCGCCAGTGATCACTGCTACTCTCCCGCCATGGAAGACTGGATGAACTTCGCTGTCAAGGGGAGACATGGCTTCGAAACGTCTATAGGAGGGGGTAAAAGGCGATGGGCCACGATCAAGAGGCATATCTGCAGGTCTAGCAGGTCGATGCGATTCCTGAGAAATAACTGGGGATCGATTGGTGGTTATTATCAGAAAAGAAAGACATGTCAGCGGCCGTCGTGCATAGCGCAGGAGCAAATATGACCCACAAATTACAATTAAATGGCTGTGAACCTGGTAGACTCGCTGAACTCGCGAGTGCTGTCTTGTCGAACAGTCAGAAGAATAACTAGCACTCATTCGATGTTAAGGACAAGTTCACGATGTTTATATACCAAAGGCCTTAACTCAGACTGGTGATCAAGAAACAAGTTCTAGGAAAAATTACTTAATCAAATAAATAAATAAATAAATTCGAGATTCGATTATGTAATATAGAGTCTAGACTTGTGTGATAAAATAAATGATGAAGTTAACAAACCTCAAGTACAAGCAAAGGTACGGGGTCTACGGCTATACGCCAAGCTGCAACGTCCTTCAACGTGATATTCGAACTGGGAGCCTGTTGTCCTTGGTGGTCCATCATTAATATTGTTGCCCATTGCGTGTTTCCTTGATTTGCTGGCTGCCAGCAACTCCCCTCGGAGTCCTCGCTGACCATATGTTCGTCGATTCTCGAATCGTCGTAGCTTCTGTTTCATCCTGGCAATACATATTATTATTAATCTCCGCAGCTGCCCTTGGGCATCGCGATAGGCGGGCAGTCTGCAGGCAACTCTGCGACCACTGTAAGCAAGTCAAAAACCTACATGTGGTGGAACTGGCGGATGCTGGTCAGATGTGGGGATAAATTGTGAAGACATGTTGAGGCACGATGACTGGTAAACCATCCAAGTTTGTCTCATCCTGAATCTCCCCTAGCTGGCCCTCAGGGTAGAACTTCAAAAAGTGAGTCCTAGAACGGCAGGTTCAACATTAGAGGCATTCTGTCACGTTCTGAGCAGCACCTTCACCTCGAGAAACCAAATTGGCTGACAGTGGGGATAGTCATAGGTCAAGCTCCCTGGTTTCAGAAAACAAGAGATGGGTAGTATATCCCCCCTTAGTGTCCAGGGGTCAGAAATGCCTTTTTGAGCCCGTCCAGTCCGACCCAGCTTAGCTTTCCTGGATCCATTTTTTTTGTAAATTCTGCACACGGTCTGCGTGAGTTCAAAAGACAATCGCGCATGACTCCCAGTTAACACTTACATGTGAGCAAGGGCTGAGAGAGGTTAAACCGGGTGTGGGAGAGGAGAGTCAGGAGACACGCCAATAACATGGGAGGTAGGTGCCATCGTCCGAAATAAATTCGAAACAGAAATACGAGACAAAGCGCTCAAGCAAAGACTTGCAAGGCTGACCCAATCGGAAACGATCCTTGCGTCGAGACAGTAATGCGAGTGGCTATCAGGCTGGCTTATATAAGTTATACTAAGTCAAGTGGTGTACATAGCCTTAGCTTCGCTCTCAGGGATGCGATGTACATTGTGATATATATTGTTGTGACACGTACGAACTTAAGTGCGACCAAAGTTGGATCACCGGAAACAATTGTGTATCCATCACATGAACAAACGGCCGCCGAATCATATCGTTGATTTTACGCGAGTACAGTAGAACGAATACAGTAGTAGCGAGAAAGCATAACGACTAGCCAATTTTCGTCCATAGAGCGGTGGCTATTGGGTAAATCGGAATTATCAACACATACAAAATGATAGAATCATAATCAACATCGCGAAGATTTAACCAGCCAGGGTAGCATGCCTTGATCCGCCCCGGCAGATACATACACCCAAGACATCCATTTCAAGACTCTTCTCCACCTGAGGTACTGGAAGAACCAGCAGGGGCTTCGATGCCCATATTCTTCCTAACAATCTCGAATGTCTTCAACATCTTCCTCCTTGCACCGAGAGCGGCAACACCTTTGGCCTCCAGGCCCGCCTCATCGAGCACGACCATGTCCTGCCACTTCATCTTCTCAAAGTTAGGCGTATACTTGTGTAGCCTCAGGCTCCTGAGCCAAGCCGGGATATCGTGAAGCAACGCGGGGTCAACGTCTTCCTCATCTTTCTTCGCTCCACTACCCGCGCTATTTCCACCAGAAGAACCGGTCTTCGGAAGCCCAGGGGATCGTCCTCCTCCACGGCCCCTGTTGTTGTTGTTATTGTTGTTGTTGCTCTGCTGCATAGCAGCAGCTTGTTGAAGGCCTAGCCAGTTCGGCGGGAATCCAGCGGCCATCTGCGCTGCAAGAAGCTGCGCCTCAGGCGTCATCGAACTCATCCCCATAGCGCTCATCTGAGCTTGTAGGTTCAACATGTTCATCTGCATGGGGTTCATGCCTGCTAACAGCCCCGCACTCGGCATGCCCATCCCGAGACCAGGGCTACCAAGTCCACCAATGTTGAAGCCGGGCATGCCCAGCCCGTTCAAGGGACCGTTCACGTCTTCTCCGCCGAACCTGTTCGACTGGGGCAACGCGGGGCTCCTACTGTTGTTCCAGTTCCCTGGCTGTTGGCCGAGATTGAGCTGCGCGTTGTTGGCATTGGAACCCTGGCTAACGTTCCGGCGCTGGCCGAATGACTGCTGGGAAACGAGATTGCCATCATGATCGTATATATTGTTGTTTGGTTGTACGTTGGTCTCAGAAGCAGGAGCGTTTGCGCTGGCGTTACCCCTCGACGGCCGACGGAAGGACTTCGGATCAGCCATGAGAGGAACACGTGCACCAGCATTCCAGTCATTGAGCTTGGCAGCCGCCGCGTCGAGATTCTGTGAATGCGTGTCCTTGGAGAACATAGGGATCAAGGGCGTATTGACGTTGCTGGCCCAGCTATCGCCCACCATGGGGGACAGCGCGTCAACTGCAGCGCGAGGCGTGCCAAGAGAGCCGCTAAACTCAGTGCTTTTGGGCCTTGAGCTGTTGCTAACAGAAGGGACGACGATCTCCTGCGCAGGGGAGTTGATGTTCTGTTCTGCGACTTGGCTGAGTGCGGATCCCCAGGAGGTACGTGGGTCACTGCTGCCGGAGGCAAGAATGGGTGCGGAAATCCTATGCGCTGCATTGCTTGCCTTTAGCTTAGCGCGTTGGTGTGCCAGCGTGGCAGCTGCGTCATGGCTGGATCCCATTGCAGCTGAGTCTGGGGAAAGAAACCCAGAGGAAGTGGTATCGAGCGCAAGGGACTGCCTGTTCTGACTGCCGCTGAATACACGGGGAGAGGCGGGCATAGGCGACTTAAGTGCGGGGCTCTTCAAGGTCATCTGGGCCAACTTGGCTTCCATCTGACTCTGCATCGAACCTGCATCCGATGATTAAGTCCGTGAGGTAACGAACATCGATAAAAGGGGCTCACCGCCAATCGCAGGGCTCAGGAGAGCAGTCATCGGATCTGATTTCGCCATCTGCTGCAAAACAGTAATGAAAAATCGAATCTGAACTTGAGTAGATTGTTGAAGAAGACTGTAAAGAGCGGCAGTACGCTCTGCTTCAGAAAGGACCTTGAACCCTTCAAAAAAAGCCCGTTAATTTATGAGCGATAAAAATGGGGCGAGGCACTTACATAGCTCAATGGCGCTTAATTCTTCTTTAAAATTGGCATCCAGGGACGCAGCGGCCATTTCTTCAAGAGTCTCTTCGTAATTTTGGAGATTCTCAAACCACTGGTCGATTGCCTCTGATTCTGGGGTTTGAAACATGGTCGCGCTACCGAGTAGTTCGCTTGTAGGACGAGCACCGCTTCCTCCACCGGGACGAGGGGAAGCTGGTGCTAGGGTTTGACGAGGACCCATGGAAGCGCGAGCAGAACGACTGTGATCAGTGTTATGAGGGGAAGGCGAAGGACTGGAAGGAGGACGAAGAGTAGACATAGGCGGTATCGACTGAATTTGACGAATATATGAGAATCGAAGGATAAAATTTTGAAATGCAACGCTTGTGAAGATCCGCTAGCGGTGAAATGTAAGAGTTATGTCGCTAAACACGTTTTTGCAAGATATAGGAAGGGGGTAGATATGTGTTCCTAGTCCTCGAGGAAACGATGAGAAGATGAGATTGAGTAAGGAGGGGAGTAGATATGAGATGGAGATTGCTCTTTGATGAGAGCTAGTTCTCTTTAGAAAGAACCCTGACGTCGAGTCTGGGTAGTATATGCTAGAATCAAAAGCACGATTGCAAAGTCTGCTAAGCAGAACTGCAAGCACCGTTGCGTGTCGCTGCTTTGGGTCTAGACGAGACCAGCGGAGCCTGCCGGTCTAGCGAAAGTTAAAGCCTGCTAGGCAATTGTGAAGGACAAGAATGGTAGAATTCAAGATACCTGCGGGCGACGAATGAGGACGACGTTGAACAACGTTGAACGTTGAACAGCTTCTACTGCTGTGTCACTGCGTGTGTGTGTCACTTCCAAAACGTTGTTCTTCCCCTTTCGTAAGAAAACAAAAACAAAAAACAGCTCCCGTTGCCGAATCAATGCCGAATAATTCGGTCATTTTCCTCCAATTACATTACAGCGGAGACTTAATCTTGCAACTACAGCTATCCACAAGCGATCATTGCACGGTGTAGCACTAACTCCCTGATATATAGATGCTGACCTTGATCTCCGCCTGGCTCTTACTGGTAGGATAACACGGCCTGATTGATAATGGTACTGCAAGATATCTTGATATCACAAGGACCATCGATACTGGGAAGAAGCTTCCGCCGGTAATTTAAAGGTGAAGGTTTGAATCATTGCAATATCTTCTGGACTTGATTGCCTATACAACCGTCGATGTCTTAATTTCAAAGGTTATTACACTCAACCTACAATCCCCTTTGGGGTGATAACGCTAATGAATTCAAAGAACGATGTGTTTGGCATTGTCTGGGAACCAAAGGGCATCCGCTATGAAGGTCAAGCAAGAGATGATACCATGACCGGCGCAAATGTGTGGCCCAATTGTTTGCCTTGACTTCGCAAGGACGTTCTTGCATACTAGCAAGTTTCGCGATTTCTATACGATAAAATCACAATTGGGCTATGCCTATCTTCCCAGCAATGCTGCAGTCGAACTGGGACAAACGCTGTAAATTTTTGTTCTTACATTGAATCTGTTGATGATTTTTCTGACGACGGGGTCAGTTTTGGGGCTTGAAGTTTTTTTTATCGTTTTCCCCTAGCGCGCGCGGTCAAACTACTTGCAGAGAGATTGGCTGTGGCGCCCATACCGAGTACGCCTTTAACTACACGATGTCTCCATCAATTTGAGTGGCTGCCTACTCCAATTTTCAGGTATATTAACGTATCCTACATCTATCTGATGCAGCTCTAATTCATGCTTAGTTGTTTTGTGATTCTGCAGCAAGACACCGTCGGAGCATTGCAAATCTAGGATTGATATTCTGATCAGCTATAATGAGGACGTCATCCGTGCCTCTGCAAAGGCCGTTGTTCCAACATTGGATCTCACTACTTTGGATGAACTAGAGGAATCATATCTCAGCTCCCTCCGGTCGTCCTTTCAAGCTGTCGCGAACGGACCGTTCCTATTCGCTGCAGTATGTGCGTAGTAATCTGTGACCACATCTTCTCTGTAATGCAGCCTCGGAGACCAGTTGGCCAGATGGACAGGTGCGTTATTCCCTAGATTGTCATTCGCGTGAATCATTCACGGATTAACGGACGAGGTTTTGGGAAAGATAGTGCCGACGGTGTAGCCTGATAGTTTACCTCTAACACCGTGCTCGTCAGCTGTTTCCGTAACGAGTGCGAAGTTCAAATCGAATTAAAATTTGGTAAGGGACTGCTATGTACACGTTTTCGGGCCGACCGCATCAGTCACAGCACCTCCTCAAGTCATTCAGTGGCCGGATAATAAGTAGTGTAACACCCCATGACATAAAATGATTTTTTGTCATTGAGCACGGTCACCGTCACTGAGGCCTGAGGGTCTTTGGACTTTCAATTTAAGACCTCGACCTCTACTGGAACTTCATGACTACTCAATTACACAAAGACCTTGCAAGCTGCCATGAATGGTAGCGAGAATTTTATCGCACAACTTCAATTGCGGACTTAGTCCTAGTAGCCGCTTTGCAACTATCAAGTTCTTATGTACTTCGCTAATCCTAGCCTGTCTTCGGTGCCCACGTCCATGTTTCCGAACCTTCGCGAATTAACATGGCTTGCGTACCTGTGGTGACGAAACCCGCTACATTAGTTATCGCCATTCGGGTGTTTTGAATAATAATAGAGTTCACTTTACTGGGACGCAAGCCCACGTATCCGAAGGAATTTCATTCCCACTACGTCAGTAGTGGGTATTTGGCGGCCTTCTCAGATTTTACTTCGAAAGCGGGTCTCAGCAAAAGAAGCAGCGTCGGCCAAGGAAGCAGTGACGCGTGAAGATGACGCGTGCATTCAATCCGATAGCTGCTGAGTTGCCGCACGGTCCGATGTTTGGGTAAAGTGCTTTGGCGGCATAGTCAGCATCCGTCTTACCTGAGGAGTCCAACAGGGACCCTTGACAACCACCACAAGGGAACGTCAAAATCGCAGGTGAAACAGTAGATTTGGTAAGTGATAGCCTGGCATTCGATTTTCAGCAAACCTGTGCGTAGCAAAAATAACTCGCTGTCTGCCGCATGACTTCGAGGTCGAAGTACATGCAAGCAGACACCTTTCCTATTGTGGTACACAACGACCATTCAGGACTGCCAAGGTCTCACAATTTAGCGCTTCAGCAATTGGTGCTTGCCGCATCAGAAGTTTTCCCAAATGGGCAGCTGTATACAGACGCAAGCACTCAACGTTCGACGCCGATGTGGCACGGGAACGGAAACGAACTAACGGCATAACGACGTAAGTCCACTTAAGTCCGGGCAAGTCCGGGGTGGGGGAGGCGGCGGCGGCGTAGTGTACATCAAAGGGGTAGCTTCTGGCAGCTTCCGACAGAGAGAGAACAAGCTTCTTTTATGATGCGCTATCGGGGTGTTCATTGATCGTGAAATTCGGGGTAGCCTAGAAAATGATATGATCACGGAGTGCGTGGGGTGAAGCGAGTAGCTTATTATTTATGCATACCAGCGGCACCGGCAAGTTGGCTCTTGCAAGGTAAGTTGTGAGTGTTACCAAGCCTTGAAGTCGCCATTGCATTAACATACGCTGTACCCTGTGTATTTCTAAAGGCTAGAGGGCTTTATTCAGACCTTGTAACATGGGGGAAAACACAAGAGGACAGAATTATTTGGGCCATATAATCTGATCGTGGAGCCCATTCGAACGTAATAATATTAATATGCCTACATTGTAGTTGATGAGTCCGCACCTGTCCGCACGATGTCACGTCGTCGGGTCTCTCATGTGATATACAAGGGTCAAGTTTCAGCGCAGACGGTGTCGACATCAATGGTATTGTGACCTGGGACAGGATAACTGAGATGTCATTACGGAGCCCGGTGTCAGATTTGAGAATCCACTCACTCGTCGGAACCAGTCCACGGCTGAGGTCGTAGTTAGTGGGTGTGAAGGATGAAATCTTCTTCAGTAAGAGAGGCTTCGTGATTGTTAGTCTAAATTTAGAGAGAATAGTTTGCCGAGCTTTCTGAGTGAAAGTTTTGTGCAGGTGGGATGAAGTTAGGAATGAGAGTTACCGACCCAACACCCACTGTAAGATGAGCTGAGGATTTATTGAGGAAATACTATGCCGAAGTTACATCGCCGATACCGCATTGGCTATGGATGTTGGCATTTCAGAGAGCATCCGACGCCGTGATGATGAATCAATTCAAATCAGTACAACATTGATGATAAGATAACAAATACTGTCAACAGCCCTCGGTGCAGATCAGAAAACAATCGAGGAATCGTGAAAGCCGCGGATCAGAATGTTTTTTCGATAGCTGAATGACAGATGGATAATAATGATCGAGGGGCCGCTCGAGAAAAAGTACCAACGTCCGAGGGCAAAACAAATACATGAGCCGATCGGCCCGTGGCGTTATTTGTGGCCGAGGAGTCGGATCAGTGAGAAAGCGGTCATTGGTAGGAGCTGGCAACAGATCCAACTCGTCCACCATCAACCAACCATACTGCACCGTTCACATATGCTCCCGCAGGGCCAGCGAGGAAAAGAATAGGACCAGAAATATCAGAAAGGCTACCTGCGCGCCCTAGAGGGACAGATTGAGCCAAAAGGGCAGGTGTGAGGTGTTGAGTTGATGTCATTTCTGTTTCAGGGGTACATCAACAAGTCAATCAGCATCTAGAGGAGTAATTGCTCACCGCTTGGAAAAACGCCTGGACATAGGACGTTAGAACGGATACCCCAATCGGCCAGAAGGTTGGCAAGAAGTTTTCCGAGGTGTGTGCAAGCATTCTTTGCCAATGTGTAAGAGACAGATACGATTCTCGCATCAATACGAAAGGCACCAGATGAGGAGATAGTGATAACTTGAGATGTTGGTTGTCGAAGACAACTCTGCGGGGCATGAGCAGAATCAAAGGCGGACAATTCTTCAGGAAGGGACGTAAAAGGTGAGGGGGGAGTTGGAGGCAAGGAATGATAGGCTGCTGATGGACTGGAGGACGCGGAGTCTAAGTCATTCGAAATATCACTATCACAGAGCTCTCTGTTGTTAACCGGTGGACGCAACGACATGACAGGTGGTAAATCACCCCGTCTTAGATTGCCAAGATGAAGCAACTCAAGGAAGGCGACAGTAGTGAAATAAACGGCAGTGACGTTCGTATCAAATGTCTCGGCGAAGCCCGCTGGTGACCCAGTATCCCAAAGGACATTTTGAAACGCCTTGATGGATGGGGAGGCATCTGCAGGGCCATCTAGAGGGGATGGCAATCGTACGGGCAGAATGTTGCGGGCGATGCCGGCATTATTGACAAGGAGATCAATATAGCCGTGGCGCGCTCTGACAGTTTCAGCGAGTTTTGTGAGTGACTGACGAGATGTGATGTCACCCTGTAACGGGATGAGCTTTCCGAATTTCTGTGAGCTGAGACGTCAGGGACCATCGCTATGAGGACAATATTACATACGTTGTTCTCCTTGGCAGCCTTTTCTATAACTTCAAGCCTCCGTCCAACGATGTACACGGTAGCACCGTTGCTCTCTAATGCCGTAGCAATCATCAGTCCAATACCTGGAAATACGAACATTATATGATGAGTAGGATTTGGCTAGAAAAGATTATACCGGTGCCGCCTCCTGTGACCACAGCGACCTGACCCTCCACGCCGAACAAGGCGGCAGGATTTGTATGGATGGATGCACCTGTACTGATCATAGTGATATCGGGCGGGGATGAGGTGCATCAGCATATACCGCGGCCGATATTATATAGTCATAGTGGTTATTCGGTGTCCCAATTTGAAACCTGCTTCATGCAAACGATGGCGGAGTCGCGGCCTATCGGATCCTGTAGATGCTTGGGCCGAGGTCAAGCCGAGGCGATAGCACTTCGAGGCGGGTGTAAGAAGCAAACCCACAAATTGAGGTCGGTTCGGAAATAAATGCAACTTGCCGGGTCGTGTCTGAGACATTTTCGTCTGTTTCCGTCTGTTTCATTAATTATGCAGCGCTGCAGCAGTCGCCCATGGACTAAAGCCAAGGAGTCGAAATTTCAAGAATCCAATAACGCCCTCCACCCGAACCTCCGAGGCAATACACTTGAGTATCGGATCGCTGTATCTACGCTCGATCCACAGTATACAGGTGGGCCACCGTGGGCGTGGCGGATCGTGGCGAAACGCGAGGGAAAATCGTGATTAGATTCGTGGTAGGCAATTCCTCGATGTTTGATTATTCACTTCGAATTGCATTCTGATAGTTCATTTAGTCCGCACCTTACTCTGCCCCGAAAAGTGCGCAAGACACAAAATTTCCGCGCCAGGACTGAATTGCCCTTTGTCACGGTATCCTTCAACTTGAATATCACCCTCTGAGATCATCAAGCGCCGAATTCAATCAACATTATGACATAGTGTGAATGGAAAAGGTGTCGTTATCTACTGCATGTGGTCATTGTTGCTGACGCAGTGAGACTTGCCGACTCTGTTTCTACAAACGCAGGCCCAGTACAATCAGTACATCACATTCTTTCCTTCTCCTTTTCATCCTTGCTCTATGTCTGTGAGTCCTAGCCTAGCAGTGGTCACAACCTGATGTGTACAGGGCACGTCGTCTCTGCCACTGGATGCGATACCTCTCGCGTTGTGGGAATCTATTACATTGACGCGGATCGTCTAGTATACGCCCCGGGATTTTCCGTGCACCCCCGTTCTGATTCAGGCGTCTGGTGCAACGCAACACGATTGATTATCAGTTCGCTACGTATTGGAACACTTGACTATCGAAGGGAAGTCACTATTTGTCAAACGGTCCAAGCATGCCAATGTGGAACAATAATATTTTTGGTTCGTTTTGACTGCCGCAGATCAAAGTGACCGCTGCTGAATTTGATTCTGTAAGTCTACTACTCCTAGACTGTACAATTCTGCTCGATGACTTGGACTTGTTTCTTTGCTCATTCACACATAGTCCACACATGCTCTATTCTCATGCCCTTGCTGTCTCCCTGCATGGTTGCAAAGGTAACTACCATCACTTCCGCCCTACGGAGTCCGTGCCGCTACAATGATGCTGTTGCATGCTGTATGCGCTGACCCTTTAAGCATAATATTGGACGGTCCTTAGATACCACATTCACTTGCATTTCGGGCATCTCCTGGTCAGACCGGGCAACGGGCAGACTTGGCCTGGTGTGAACAGATGCGGCAGTGGATGCGGTTCATCCAGTTTTTTTTGGACAAGCGAGTTGATTACGGCTACGCGGCGACTGATGTCGACAAGGTCGAGTTCTATGATATTCTACGTAAACAAAGCGTCATAGTCTGAGGCCTAAAGAACGCGGTTCCGAGGGGAAAATGCTCATCCAGGGTTTGCAGTTCAGTTACTGCTCTGGATCCACCATGATTCACTACTGCTAGTATTATAATATTTATCCAAATCGTCCCAACACTAAACGTAAAAGCAATATCGTAGCTACTGGTCATCATACGAAACAAGTCTAAGTATGATAAATGTTACCATCCTTTGTCCATTCAAGCAAGTCTCTAAAGAGCGCTGCTGAAAAATCCAACGAGAGCGAGTACTGTTGCAGCCATCCAAACGCCATCATGCGGGAGGGCCACAGCCGAGTTACTCGATGTTGGTGAAGTCGTTGGGGACGAACCAGAGGAAGCAGTGGTGCCACCGGAAGGCACGACAGTGTTGGTGCCTTGCGTGCTGAAAACCCTCACATAGCCAACTTCAAAGTAGGCATCATTGTAGTCACTACCACTGCCCATGACCCAGTTGTTGTAGCAAATTCCGGAGCACGTAGCGTTCCATGTAACACCATCGGCTGTGAACCAGCTTTAGTAGTCTGCAACACCCGTTGGCAGAAAAATCCGCTCACCCCAGTCTATCAATTGGGAAGATGAAAAAGTACATCGAGACGAATGTTAGTTCAATCTTCGAGTTGATATATGACAGACGTACCTCCGCAAAGGGTGATATCGAAAATCAAGTTCTGGGGTTGGAAGTACTGCGAAACGTTGCAACCCGTAGAAGGCCAGTTAGCAACAGGAATACCAAAGGTCGAGGTATCAATCGTGCTTCCGTTACTCGACAGCGAGCTGGGTATTTGGGCCCGCTAATAATATAGCTCAGTACTTGGCAATGCTCATCATTTGCACAGTGGACTCACTGGGAAAAACCAAATGCTGATTGACACAAAAGGTTAATTGATGCAGTCCAACAGAGATCAAAAGGTAATCGTCATACCTTATACCAGTAGAAGCCATTTCAGTCACAAAAGCTCCCCCACCACTGCTCGCAAAACCAGCGCCGTAGGAAGAAGTCGACGGGTCTGTGACAATACAACCCTGGTCCTCATTCGACGCATACGAGCAGTTCGTGCTGGTAACCAGGGTTGAAGTTTGATTTTGGGAAACCGCCATGCATCCCTGTAGAAATCGACAAACTGGTGTTGGACGACAAGCAATTCAGAACAACACAAGTTCACGAACAGATTCCGTGTGCAAGGACATTTGGTTTTGGGTATTGGTATTGATGCCCTCAAAGGTATCAATCTCGCCACCCTGCGGCCAGAGAGGTGCTTGACTGTCATGATACGTCAGCTCTTCAAGTAACCTCTAAAGAGTGGGATGTTCTCGAGGGTGACTCACCTCCACCACGCCGGCCACACGGAACACTGAATCGGAGATTAAATTTAGCGCACCCACACCTTGACACACGATTATTGCACGCACGCCATAAGGTACATGATACATATCAGCCACCCACAAGCTTCCCACTGCGAATGAGTCGTTGCTTGTGATCCTGACGGAGTTGCGTTTGTTGTTGTAAACCACCTGATAGAAACTGTCAGCGAAGAGAACGAGACATCTTATAGAACGACGTACAGTGGAAGTGTTGTCTACTTTGATGATCGCATGATTCGTTGAGGAATCTACATAGGCCAATTGATATGCAGTGGCGTTCTGAGCAGAAACATAGCTGCCAGGAAGATGTTATATTGCAAAAGCGACACTATTGCATCCATGCACTCACTTAACATCTCCGTTCGTCAGATTATCGTCTGAAAGCAAGTAAGTTCGGGTCTTTGCAGATTTGAAACACGGCCACGAACAATAATTATAGAAAGTCCACTCGTTGAAGAAGCTGGAACCATAATACTCTTTGACCATAGAGTACGTTGTGGCTGCCACTGGCGCGACTGAGAACGCTGCGCAGGCCAGCACCGTCGCCGTTATGGAATGAGCAGGTAACATGATAGTCCAGGGAAAAGGGGTAAAGTTTGTTGACCCGACTGCGCGGGTTCATAATAAATAGTCCATCGCTGCACCACGACCTCAGTCATATTGCCAGGGCCGAAAATCATGCGGTTCTTTCTCTGCTAATTTTAACTTACAGATCCAGAAATACTACGGCTGACACTAAGTGCCTGTATGCTCCGGCAATCATTAATCATCTTTGGCTGCGTGGTCAAAAAGGGTCAAAAGAACTCAAAAATTACACCAGTGATGCATGATTAACTGGCGTTGAAGTCTCAGATCTCAGAGCTTCTCAAAGGCGTTGTACGAAGCTGGATGGAAATCGAGCGGAAGTTCGTTTGGCCGCGACTGCGGATTTGATGAATTGATGATGGCCGGCTGCGCGGCGTGGAGCTGACTGTGTTCTACTAGGTCCGGGTTCAACATCGATAGGTAGGTTGGTGGATGACCGTAGCTGGTTACGGAGGGTCAGAACAGCATGGATGACGGATTAAGTATGTGCTATGGAAGACAGGTTGAACTTTCAGAGAATCACGTGAACCCTATACCTTATACGTCCGACAGTCCATTTTCGTTACTTTTTAGTATCTTCTCGCAACATACGAACGGAACGTGTCTATGGAGGTATCGTGAAGGTCTTCCACATTTCGTGCGTTATCATACAATCATTATGTATCCTAACAGGTTGTAAATGCTCGGTCGGCCCTATTGTCAAACTTTGAGGTCTTGAGCCTCCTTCGCGAGCTAGATGCGGAGCACATCGCCCGCACAAAAACTGCCATCCGAGTCAAAAAAGAAGAGGCTGCGGGAAAGAACTCGCATGAGGCCCAAACTGAAGAGATAAGCGAAAACCTTCGCACAGTCGAACTGGAAGCTATTCAATATCTATCTGCCGATTACCAGCCGACTCTTTACCAATCAGACGCGGGCATCACGGAGCTTGTTCGTGGTCTTGAGCCGTTTAGATTGTCAAAATCAGAAAAGCTTCAGATAGTTAACCTGGCTCCGACTGAGCCAGTCGAGCTATATGTTGTGAGTGCCAGTTGCGTATGCATCGTTTCAAAATGCTGAACACTGCCATTGAGATCGTCGAGGAATTCGAAGATCGATTAGGGAACCAAATGGATGACCTTCTTGCTGTAGTAACCAAGTCGTTACATGAAAGGGCTCCTCAGCCTCCGAATGGGACTATGGCTGTACTCGAAGACAAACGAACGCGCAATGAAGTTGCAGTGGAGGTCTATGAAGAAGCAGATCAAGAGACTTGGGAATATGATGCAAACGCAATGGAGTTTGATGACATGGGAGAGGGAGCAGGGGTCGAGGGCGACCTTGATGTTGATGATGACTAAGGATGCTGTGAGTCAAGGGATGCACGTACATGCAAACTGCAAGAGCCCATAGGGCATCCTGCCGCCGCGTAAGTGACGGTCCACTCCTACTCAATTATACAGATGTGTCTATGTGCATCACATCTAGCTGTTATGAAGGCGAGGAAAAACATCATGCGAGGTTAAGTATATCTCTGTCGCTCAGAAGTCAGCATGATACTAGGATTTTTGACGGGGGTATGTAGTACTCGGAAAGTCTCGCGCTGTTCCAGCGTTGCTCTGGCTACCTTTGCGCAACCTATACCACAGGTTTAAAATGTAAATATCCTACGAAGTACCTATACGCAACTATGGATATCTTGCACTCACTTGCAATCCATCGATACCCTTGAAGCAACAATTAGGACAAAATCGAAAGAGGAATACATGTACGATACTTCCTGGTATAACACGGAAAAAGATGTCATTACTATTAAATATCCTTGACCTGTTCTTCAAGCCATTCCCACAAAGCCTCCCCTATCTTGGGGTCCCGGGCATCCTTTCGAGTTGGACCGAGCCTAGCCCAAGGAACGAGATACTACACAAAAGAGGCCTCAGCGTCTCTTATCGCGAACGTTATTGATGGAGAAATCACCTTGCCGTTTAGTTCTACAGCTTCTGGAGCAGTTCCGGCATAGAGTTGGGTTAGTGCTCCATGTTCGACGTCGTAGAGAAACAAGTTCTATATAACACTTATCAGCATTCAGCAGATGACTGCATGCGAAATATTGGCCAACCAGAATACTACGCAAAAAGGACGGCATGTGGCGCGCCAGGTCTGTCTTGATGTTACCGGGGTTCAGGGGTATGGAAACGATACCTTCTGAACCGTAGCGTCTTGCGAGTTCGAGTGCTTGTACGACGTTTCCCTGTCGACGAGTCAGGAACAGCCAACGTAAGTAAGATAGTTAACTTGCGTTTTTGCTTTGCCCATAGAGATCAGCAGTAGACAACTTCTTGCGTGCAGGACCATCTTTGAATGTGGAAAACGTAAGACCGCTTAGGACATGTGCTGACGATGAAGTTGTAATGACACGAGCTTTGCCATCCGGTGCTGATTTCGCAGTGGCAATGAGGGTAGGTAATAGTAGCTTGGTAAAGTAGAAGTGCCCTAGCAGATAAAGTATTAGAGGCTTGTGGCAGAAATATAATCGTCCTACCAAGGACATTCGTTCCGAATTGAAGGTCATATCCGTCATTCGTTAACAAGTCCTTTGGAGGGAACATGACTCCACTTATGCACTATGATCAGTACGACAAAAAAATTCAGTGCAATACACTCACGCGCTATTAAACAGAACGTCCAACTTGGTCTCTTTGCTGTTAACAGAGTCAAAAGAAACCCCTGCATTGCGACGGAAGACAAACCTGAGATATTCTTCTGCCGCAGATTTCACAGACTTCAAGTCTCCGAGGTCAAGTTTCAGAAAGATGGCCTCCTTGCCAGTGCTGCCTTTCAGATCCTTGATGGCTACATCTGCCTTCTCTTCGCTTCTGGCAGCTACATATACCTTGGCATTGTGTGCCAATAAGGCCTTTTACTCTATAGTCAGCAGCAAGTATCAACTATGCATCTCTGGCAACGTACCTTCACTGTCTCTTTACCAATCCCAGTGTTGGCTCCAGTAACGATTATAACCTTCCCCGTCAAGTCAGGGATATCATCCACTCGAAAATTCGGCTTGGGCGGAAATGATTGCCCCAGTACTGACAGGTGACTACCCATGACGATCGCGGCAAGTGATACTCTAGCCCTCCATAACGACAGCCCGAGTACTTATAGCACATATGTGAAGACTTCCACGCTACGGCACTGTGAGACCGTAGACGCCGGGTACTGATGCGGATGCCGCATGAGTTACTTGCATCCGATTGGAAATAGGTTCAACCTGCAGCTTGAAAATGTACGGGATTCCAGGGTCATTGACAGAGGTGGGTGTTCCTGGAAGCGACATGTCACATTCGAGAGGCGGAATTTGAGCCTGAGAGCAGCATCATCTTGTCTGCAAGGTCATAACCTGATTCCGCCTGTTCGTTTCCATACTGAATCATTCAGACGGCATGTATCACGATCCCTCTTCCTAGACCCTTTCTCATATTCCACTGGTTACACTGCGTGGAACGATACCACTAGGGGTAACACCAGAATGTGGAACTGAGGTCTTCTAAGCCATAGCTGCAGACCCTCGAGCTGATGTGTTGCCAATGATGTCCATGCGCAGGTCGCAGCCACTATTGGATGGGAACCTATCGGGAGCCGGCATACAAGGTCACAACATTGCTTATTACAAGAGTGGATGAAAGCAACGAAGCCGGGGACGTCACCCATTCCTAAGTAATATGTGTAGGAATGCAGCTAAAGCCCTGACAGGTGACATAATGTCAGCTACAGCACCGACAGAAACGAAACGCTTGTCAGCGTCGGTGTGTGGGCGCAGACGAGTTGTAAAAATAGGACTAAAAGACTACCTTCAGCAGCTCCCGGGCATTGCACCCTCCGAATAAGGGTGTCGTTGTCTCCATTAACGGTAGGCCTCTGCGAGACATCAGCCGAGGGTAGACCTTGAGTGATTTGGACCGTTTGGAGTTCCTTAGAGTAGACCTCTCCTTGACTACTTTCGCTACGCTGGAGGGCAACAGAGTTCATTGCGACACGCCACCACCGCCATGCCAACAGATCCACGCCTGGTAACTTTGCGCCAAGGCTTGTGAAAAAGGATGGGACGGTGACTGGTATTAGCGATTGGGAAAGTATTGGTGGGTACTGGGTGGTGTCCCGAGTACTGGGGGTACATAAAAGTCAAATGGACCCCTTATGCACCAGATAACAAGCATTGGCGAGATGATGGTTACCTCCAGGGAGCAATTGGCTGGGGAGGGGCAGCTTCACGCTCTGTTAGTTACATATTAAGGTAGCCTTTGGGCCGTTCGATGATACCTTTTCACGTCCAAGTCTAGAACCAAGTCGTGAGGGATCGCTGATTAGGAAAGGTGACCCTCGCGAGTCTTCCCAATAAACATGTACAGTGCAATCAGAACGCTTGCATTTGCATGCTGCACAAATGATACAGATGTAGATTGGCCCCGATCACATGAGGTGCCAGAATATGGGTAGCGAATCAGTCTAACTCCAACACTGTTCCACGTTGTACACTTCCCCAGCCTGATGAAAGTCAGCAAAAATGAATCTACAACTGAGTGGGCAAAAATACTTGCCTACAAGCCGCCAATGCTTCTCGATACGTCTTGACAGGGCGACCTTCTCCCCAACCTCGGTACATGCGGGGGAAGTCAACTGAATCTTCGCAAGATCCCCTTTCACGCTCACTACTCGCCCTCCAGTCGATGTTGATCCGATGTTAATAAGTAGGAGCTCGTTTTTGGCAAGTTTTGATACTTTTGTTTGTTTCTTGTCCTCTGTACGAACGCCCAGCAAACGACGGAGGAGGAACAAACTGATTTCAAGTTCTGGCTTCTCTTTAGAACACGCCTGGGTACTGAAAATAGGGTGCTCACCGGTATAAACCTTCGGCAGCTTCCCAACGGCACCCAGCACTTGACCAACGAGACGATCTGCTCTGCATAGCGTAGGATCGATCTTAGTCCCAACACCAATCAGACCTCCCGGAACAGCAAATTGCAAGTGATTGTTCTCAGCGTGCAAAGAGACGATCCTACTGAAGATGGGTTTGCAGCGGTTGCGGCCTTGAGTGTCCTTTGTTACAATTCCCGGACGGATCTCGACTTCCTGCCCTAGCCTTAGGACGCCAGTAAGGATAGAACCACCAGCAACACCGCCTTTGAGGTCATCGACCTCCGCACCAGGCTTGTTGACATCGAAAGAACGGATGACGATGAGGCGGGGATCGGAAGTGAAGTCACGGACTGGGATAGGTATACGCTTTACAATGTATTCATTGACGGCGTCGATGTTGTATTTCAATTGCGCAGATATCGGAACGATGGGTGATGACTCGGCCACCGTGCCTGTTATTGGAATGAGTACATTATTGGACGCTCCATGCCACTGGGGACCCACCCTTAACAAATGCAGCGATTGATTTTTGATGCTCAAGCGCCTGGGCTTCCTTGATCAAGTCGACCTTGTTCTGCAAAATAATGATGTTTTCCAGTTTCATGATTTCAACCGCAGCCAAATGTTCTGATGTCTGCGGTTGAGGACATGTCTCGTTCCCTGCAACTAGCAGAAGGGCAGCGTCCATGACTGCGGCACCGTTAAGCATGGTAGCCATCAGAATGTCGTGACCAGGACAGTCCACGAAGGAAACGTGGCGAATGAGTTTCATCCGGTGACCACAACCTGGTCGTTCGCAGGGTGGATTATCCTCCTTGTCCGAGCGGTACGATCGATAGCAGCCTGGGCGGGGGCATGCCTCGTTCTCGCACTTATAGATCTACGATGGTGGTTCTCGATTATCAATGCATCAGATGCGAAAGGGAAGGAACATACTTTTGCATTTGCATAACCTAGCTTAATCGTGATGTTACGAACGAGCTCATTTTTGAATCGCACAGTCATGACGCCTGATATGGCCTTCACAACTGTTGATTTTCCGTGTGCGACATGACCGATCGTTCCTGCAGAGATAATTCGGCTGCTGAACTGTATCTACTCGCAAAGCTCTGCGCACCTAAGTTAATTGTAGCCTGGAAGGATCGCCGTCGATGAGATGTTTCAAATAAATGAGAACTGCTTGCGCACCTGTTTTGATATTACTTCAGGCGAAAGAGGTGTCAACTTCGTGATATCTATGTCAATCTTTGGGACATCTTCTAGCTGGTCCTCCTCCTCTTCAGAGTCTGATTCTTCGTGGTGTTTTTGCAGAGTCTCTTCGTCTGACATTTTGCGAGATCAAGGGTTCTAGTGAGGAGGTCAGATTTAGCAGGTGACTCGAAAAAGTTGATCTGAATCATGCCATCCTAACAAAGTAAGTGACTTATATATTTATTACTCTCATCCATATGCATGTTTCCCCAACGAAATCATGAACAACGTTTACTTCCCAATCCGCGTAGTAGCTTTACTTCGACGCCTCGCCAATGTCATGGCTACCTTTTCATTATCTGGCCAGTACCTCATGACGAGGGTCAGAGTCGAAGATACCTCCCGTATCAAACCCGAAGAACATGCCATTCCCACCACTTCCAATGACTTTTGGTGGAACCCACTGTCTCCGAACAAGTGGGACTGGCTTCGCGTGGGGTTACTTGTCAATAGTGTTTTGGAGCAACCAACCAAACGGCTGACTCCAACACACCCTCATTGGACCTCCGGAGGCAAGTTCCTGCATATAGCGTGCACCAGCGTTCACCAGACTCATGTAGTCACCCATAAACAGGCCGATGCTTCTTCAAGGACGATACCAAATCATGGCCTTTATCTCTTTCTGCCTCCAAAGTATCATCTGAGTCCCATACTACTGCTCTTGACACATTCTCTGTCGAATCTGAATTACCGCGGGGTAAATTGCCACCCAAGGCTCCAACTGAACCATCCGAGGGTGATTCCAATGATATCATCCATCGCTTACTGCGAAACCCAGCACTATATGACCCAATTAGAGCTCCGAGGTTTCCGATTGTCCTCTGTCACGGTTAGTTGATGTATAGTCGGGTTAATTGGAATGAACCACACACATTTATCTATAGGGCTATACGGATTTGACGTGCGAGGTCCTGCATCATTTCCCAGTCTCCGAATGCACTATTGGTCCAATGTTCTCAACATCCTCAAAAAGAAGGTCGGAGCAGACGTTATTGTCACAGCAGTACCCGCGTACGGTCATCAAGCTTGATAGTAGATCATCTCTGATTTCGCATACTTAGAACGGGTTCAATTACGTCGAGGGCAGAAAACCTCGATCGGATACTCCAGGAGAAGGCCAGAGGGCGAGGTGTCAATCTCATGGCTCATTCCATGGGAGGTCTTGATTGCCGCCATCTCATTACACACGTGCAGCCAAGTGAATATACCCCATTATCGCTGACAACAATCAGCACTCCCCACAGAGGAAGCCCATTCATGGACTGGTGTGCGGTAGGTCCCCGTAGTTTTATCCTCGCTTTGCAGTGCGTTCACTTCATCGATGCTAGGAAAACATCGGCCTCGGAAGACAGCCCCAGGAACAACTGTACAAGAAAACGGCCGAGTTGCAGCAGCAGTCTATGCCAGAAAAAGAGACAACCACTGAGAAGCGCGAGACTTCATTCTCCTTGTCTCTGGCTTCCTTACCCTCCTCTTTCACAACACTCTTGTTGTCCATCCTGGACTCGCCTGCGTATTCCAACTTGACAACATCCTACCTCAACAACGTATTCAACCCCGCCACCCCCAACGACCCGCGCGTCAAGTACTTTAGCATCACAGGACGTACTGCCGATATGAGCATTTGGCACCCACTTTGTCTCCCAAAGATGGTTCTTGACGAGTTGGAGCGAGCGGCCAGGGAACGCCTCAAGCGTCAACACGCTGACACAGGGGATGTATGTGCGCCCCTGACATGGGAACAAGATGACCAGTGGGGAAACGACGGCCTCGTGACCGTGCAGAGCGCAAGATGGGGCGAATTTCTCGGGATAATGGAGGGCTGCGACCACTGGGAGATCAGAGGCGCGCGGGGGCTGGAGTTCAACGTCGACTTATCGTCTGTGCCCTTGACGAGCATAGCGAGTCGCGTCGGTGCGGATGGGTGGGCGTTGGGTGATTGGTCGAAGTTTACACGGGCGTGGAGGAAGCAAGAGAAGGGGTCGTCTGGTGGGTTTGAGTTTGCTAGTGCTGGTGGATCGTCGATTTCACCACCGGACCCGAGAGTCTCCCGAGGAATTAGGGAGGAGATGCGTAAGGATGGTGAAAGTGATCCTGTTGTGAAAGCGTCGACGGATAAGCTCTCCGCCGTCTTTGATTGGTTCATCGACCAGGTCCCATCGGCCAACAAGTTGTCCCCTGGAGACACTTCGCAGAAGCAGAAGGTCAAGAAGGCTGTCAAGAACGAACTCGCCTCCAAATTAGATCTGGAGAGATTCTACGTGGCATTGTCCCGAAAGTTGTATGACGAGGGGTTGTAACTTCATAATTGTTGTAGTCCATTCTATTGAAGACGCAGCTATGTTATTGGTGCAAATCCGGCGATGTTGTGCAGCTTGATCTGACCACCAGGAGTCATACTGACTTATAGTCGCATAGGCAACAAGGGGTCTTTCTTTGTAGAAATTACGGTTGAATTACGGTGCGCAGTTACCCGTGCTGAAATATATCACATTCCGATCACCTAGTGTGACGGACATTTCGTTGCTATTCTACGTTAGAGGCATGTGCATGAAGACGAACAAAATAATAAAAAGAAGAATCAACGACAGTGAGCGGCAACCACAAGGGCGTCATGGCAGAAGTGAAAATGACAGAGCAAGATCGCAAAGGCAAAAGAAAAGAAACAAGCAAGATACTTTTACAACGAACTGACCAAGCCAGCATCGCCTCTAATCAAACCTGTCTTTGTCTCCACCTCCTGGAAGTACTCGAGTGCTCTCTTGGCCTTCCTCTCCATATCTTCTGCGTTCTTGACCTCTTTGCATCTCTCTTCCATTGCAGATCTGAAGCGCTCCCTGAGATCCCAAGACGCCAGACGCAAAACCTTGCGCGTCTCCCTACTAACACGGCCGGCATGGGCATTGACGAAGAGTTCGTTCTCAGTTGCGTTCTCGTCAACGGCAACCAGGGATGCACGGATGCGACGACCGACGGTGCGTGGGATTGTGTTGGGTAGCTCAAGGACGAAGTAAGCAGTTGCACCGATCACGAAAGCGCCCAGAACAGGAGCCGCCCACTTCCTAGTGGTTTCGTTTCCGAACAGCTCAGAAATGCGTACAATACCATCGATGATGCCTCGGGCACCGAACGTCTGCCCGCCAACCATTGTTAGCGCACCGACGCCAACAGAGACAACGCTAAGTGCAGTGGTAGGGCTGGTTTCATCATCCACTTCCTTCTTGTCACTGGCAAAGTGAAGCCAGAGTCGGTGGAAGTCAAAGATGTCGAGGGCAGAAGTGTCAAGCATGTCCTGGCGCTGTGCGAAGCCAATGCCGAGATTGTGGACTCCTCCAGCCACGACGGCGGTGGCTGTTGAAGATGAACGACGGCGAACTCCCTTCTTGCCTGCACGTAATGAGAACATGGCCTCAGGCATGAATACCCTACGCGACTTCTCGACTCCTTCAGGAAGATTGGCATCGCCAAGCTCGCCGATCTTCTTCACCCCTGCAGAAGTAGTGACGCGCGCTTCATCCTCAGCGAGCTTCACAGCCGCATCCAAGCTGACCAACAGAGCTTTCTTGACATCTCTGGCATAATCCCAAATGCGTAGGAATCCAGGGAAAGCTGGCAGGGAAATGGTGGCATGATCCACGCCAGGCTGGCCTTGCCCGACGCGCTCAATGGCAGAGGAAAGGATGGCCTTTGTTCTAGCACTCGTCTTCTCTGCGCCTATTTCCTCCACAGACTCCAGGTTTTCTTCCAATAAATCTTGGCTACCCTTCATCTTGTCAAGAACTGGCTTGACACGCTTCAAATCATCTTTGGCGCGGTCAAGATCAGATTGGGCGACGATAGCGTTTGCCCCGACCAAAAGATCAACGTCGGATAGGAGGTTGGAGAGATATGTTGAGACGGGCTGGAGCTTAGACTTGGAGCGTTTGACAAGAACGAACGAACGAAGCGAAGATTCCAGGTCGTCGAATGCTGGATTGGCTGTGTATGGCCGAAGGGCAGCGGCGGAATCAACGAAGTGGACAAGGTCTTCAGCGTCCTCGTACGTCCTGGGGCTCAGCTGCTTGATTTGCTCCAACACTAACCTCCTGCATTTCTCCTTGTTTTTGATCTGCTCGAACTTGTTCACGACAACGAAAAGGTATGCCTTCTCGTTGCTAGCGTTCCATAGGAATTCCTTGGAGGACAAGGTGAAGTGATTTTCCGCGGAAACTACAAAAACAACGACGTCGATCTCCTCTTGGCGAGCGAAGAGAGCGGTTGTCTTCAAGCTATCGCGGTTAAGACCGGGGGCATCAATAAGGGATATATCAACAACCCCATTATTGAGTAATGATTCCGATGGTGCCCGACTGTCGGCGAGGTAAATCTTCAAGACTGGCTGAACACCCTCGTTGTCTGAGACAATCGTCTCCAAATCGGCAAGTTGAACGCGCGTGAAGGTCGACTCGTCCGAGATGCTATACACCACGCCTTCCTTGATAATATGAACTTCCTCCTTGCCGTCATTCTCAGCAGCATCATGCACTTCGCAAAAGGCAGTTGTGCAGGGCTGCTGGTCAATTGGCATCACCTCACGCCTGAGAAGGGCGTTGACAAAAGTGGACTTCCCAGAATTAAGGTCGCCAGTGACAAGAACCTTTGATGAAGTATCTTCTACGCGAAGGCGGAGCTTATCCATATGGTTGACAGAGGCACCAATACGCTCATCCAATAAACTGGCAATGGAACCCTTTTCGAGGTGTGATACGAGAGCGGCAGGGGATACGGCGGAGCCGTGGGGGCCGAGTTTAAGGTCCAGACGAAGAATGTTGAAATCCCCGTTCTTGGACGACGGTATCAACCTCTCTCCGTCGCACATGTCCATCTCACCCTGATTGGTGCCTTCATCAGCACCTTCTGGGGCGTCAGCGATTGACGCCAGGGTGACAGCCCGGGTCAGGCCCTCTCGTACAGGAGTGTAAAGAACCTCAGTTTGGTTGTCTGGATCATCTGCGAACGAAAGCGAACGGCGAAGAGAGCGACGGGGCTTTGCCTTTGATATTGACGAAGGCTCTGCGGAGGGTTGCTCGTGAAGAGTGGGATATCTCACCACCCACTCCTCCTTGTTGAACTGACGCAGTTCTCCAAGAATAGACTTGGTAGAATCAAGGGCAAGAACCAAACTGCCTGACCATCAGAACTGCATAAAAAGTAAGGAAATCTTCCAAACGCACCGATCCTTTTGCTCAATGTAGGCTTCTTGGACATCCTCCACCTTCAAATGTTTCTCACCGCCGTGACTCGAAAGCAAAGGCTCCTTCGCAAGTAAAGATGACCGCGCTGGGGCGGAAAAGTAAGACTGAGCCATTGGCCTTTGCGCCTCCAAACTACTTGTAACGTCAAGAACAAGCGAAACGGTGAGTTGCTGAGTGTGAGCTCGTCGTCAAATCAATGATGCATATTTGGTCACCCGCTGTGCTTACTCAGCCGCTTCCGTCCGAGCACCACGGTTCTCCCCGACATTGCTTACGCCGTCAACGAGCCTCTAGTACTAGTCACTCTACAAATTCTAGTACTTATCGAGAACGATAACTTCAATGTATGTAACAGCGAGCTTGGTAGGTGCTAAAATTTACGATATTTTAATAACGACAATGCGACGGTGTCGCGAGATGGTATTATTTTATTCAGTGACTTTAGTTCAACTACTGACCAAAACTTAGTCCCAGGGAATTTATCTGCGTGCGATCCACATGTATGATATGGCACCCTTGAGTCAAGCATGATAACTTCTGTTGACTCACTGATGTGTTGCTCTTGCGCCAAGGCGTTGTCTTGGTTGAACTCAAGAATTTGAGTTTAGTTGCACTCGGCCATGATGCATGCAGCCTGATCCTTGAATCACGCAAGAATCGAAGATATACTCATGCTGACTTATTCTCCGGTGTTTTGCTCTTGCACTGAGGCGTGGTCTTACCATTGTCTCGGTACGACCGATATTGGCGGTCAAAGTCGAGGTTAATAATGAGGTTGATTAAAGTTGATCATGCAGGACTAGCTGTCCCTCATTCGTTTCCGCGTACTCGGATATGGTGGGCCCGTATTGACATGAGAACTTTCCCTTCTTCAATGAATGTCTAGAACTGATTGTTGTCAGAACAGTACAGCCTTCTACTCCTAACATATGAGCATCTTGATTCCATATTGAAACAATGATCAAGACCTGTATCTCTAGGAAGGTTCTCCTACGGCATACTATTCCTATTCTTCCGAGTATTACTTCGTTCACCCCTCGTGATCCCCCAGTGGTGAGCATTTATACATTGGGGGACAGTCTAGCCGATGATCCTGCGCGTTCGAGAAGAATTTGAGAACAGGGAAGGACGGGGACTGCTTTTCGGTTTCAAATCTGACTCTCACGGATTTCACGGTGCTCGCCACGCACCTTCGATCAGGCAATCATATCGACCATCTCAGTTTCACTCTCGTACCGCCGACTAAATATCGTTGCTTCGAGAGCGGTGACCTTCAGACATCTTCTGAACTCAGACTTCCCTGCGACATCTGCGGAAACAGTTGGATAGTCGCTGAATTTTCGTGGAATACAAAACCTCCTATAATTAGCCTGTCGATAATCCAAATTGGGCCGCTAGCAGTATTACAGGATGTCGATACTCACAAGCTTTTGATAGAATTTGTGTCACGACTACCGAATCACACTTCAGAGATAGAACAGCGATCGTCCTAACCATAACACCTAGCCCTACCGTGAAGATGTCCAAAATGCGCGCTGTGTTGATCAAAGGCGGGCAAGGTCCTATTGAGAACCTCTATCTTGGGGAGACAGATAAGCCAGTCCCAACGAAGGGACAGGTTTTGGTAAAGGTCCGTGCCTCTCCATCTTATCGATCCACATAAATCAATCGAGTCCGGCATGGAATCCTCGTGGTAGATTGTCGCATTTGGCCTCAATCGCATGGACCTTTTACAGCGACAGGGCGGTTATCCTGTACCCCCTGGTGCATCCTCCATTCTTGGTGTGGAATTCTCTGGACGTGTGACTGAGCTCGGCGAAGGAGTGACGCGATGGGCTATTGGTGATGAAGTCTTTGGTCTTGCGGGCGGCGTTAGTCAATTGGTCAAGTTAAAGTGTATGTATGTTCTTTACTGACTAAAATTGTCACGGGTATCATCTAGGGGGCTTATGCGGAGTTCCTAAACTGCGACGAAGGACTCTTGTTGAAGAAGCCCGGTCACTTATCTTGGGTAGAGGCAGCTAGCATACCAGAAAACTACATTACAGGTAAGTACGGCAGACCAGCCAAGTAAGTGGTTGTTTTTGGTTCTGACTGCTCTGGGACTATTCTTAGCCTATCAAGCTCTTGTGAAGTACGGGGAAGTCAAGAAGGGCGATCATGTACTCGTTCATGCAGGCGCTTCTGGTGTAGGCTTGGCGGCTATCCAAATGGCAAGGGAATCAGGAGCGTGAGTGTTCCGGTCTTCAGCGTCCCGGTCTTCAGTGCCTTCTGCGCGTTCTTGCTGAATATGTATCACGCGGCGTTCACAGGGCAACCGTTACTGCGACGGCATCTACCACAGAAAAACTAGAATGGCTCCGGTCTATCCCTAACGGGGCGACACATACTGTCAATTACAGAACCGAAGACTTTGCCGCGGAAGTCGGAAAAACGACCAACGGAAGAGGTGTCGATATTGTCATAGATTTTGTTGGACAAAGTCATTGGGCAAAGAACATCCAATCCCTCGCCATTGATGGTCGGATGATAATGTTGGCTACTCTGAGTGGTAGGCATTTGTTTTGCCTTCAAGAAGCCTGAAAACTCGTCACTGAAACGTTTGGCAGGGAACGAGGTCCCCTCAGTCAACCTTGGCCAGATACTTTACAAGCGTCTTCGCATTCAGGGTTCTACGTTGCGTTCGCGTAGTTCAGAGTACCAGACCGAGCTCATCGCAAGGTATTGTCAAAACGTTGCCCGATACGATTTCCTCCCAGACTAGCTCATCATAGCTCAAGATTCCGCGATTTCGTCGATAAGCTAACTGGCGCTAACGGAGGTGGCCCGATACGGACTTACATTCATAAAGTGGGTATATTCTTCTATGTACTCTTCTCATCCCGTCAGACACGGACATACCACTCCACAGGTATATCCTTGGACAGAGATCCAGAGCGCTCATCATGAGATGGCTGACAATAAGAATAGGTGAGCATTCTGTCTTCGTAGGAAGAAGCGGTGGCCGAGACTTCATTATCAGCGGGAAGATCATTGTTGAAATTCAGTAAGAACGCGAACAGTGTCAGCCGAAATTGCAGTCCATCAAGAATCCCCCAACTTTCTTCCATAGATTTGACCGCTTATTTTTATGGATAAAAAATTGCCACGGCCACAAGACAATAAGCGCGCGACGGAATCAATAGCTACTGCCCGTCGGATTTATTGACTAAACATGAAGGTGCTGTGGATGGAGCAGTTTTTAACTCAAGATGCTCAACTTCCGCTTACCATAAACAATACGAGGGTCACTGATATGCAAATTTCCCAAAATCAACTCAATGACAGGAATACTGCGCTGGCTCCCCAGAATCTGGCTCTTCAAGGGTCAAATCTCAGTAAGTATAGAACGAGTGCCCTTACTTGTAACATTTATTTTGCTGCCTTTTCATTGCTATTGCCATAAGACGGGGGATCCTCGGGACCTCGGTGTCGAGTTGTGTTTCGTCGCCAAGGTGGTTCAGAATTTGAGCGAGATTCAAAGAAGGGTATATTCAGTGGTCACCCATGACTCAATGTATGATACCACTCAGTCAAAGTATCAGGCACAGATTTGGCCAGACAACTGCGCTTCAGGTCACATTTCAGAAGAAAGAACGTGCCTAGAAGGGGAACGTTAGTCACATCAGACATCCCACTGGATTTGCCACTGGATGACTGGAATCTGACATACGCGGATGACGAATCCCTTGTGATGAAGTCAAACACCACGGTAATCATAAGTATACCTCCACAGCCTCATGTGCCAAGTGCTGTGGGGAAAAAAAGTAAGCCGTGTTGCACCACGAGGATCCGACAAGTGCTGGAGAAGAGAAGGATTCCCAATAAAAGCGCGCATCCTTTAGACATATTCGCCAGAATGGGGGTCAGAAGTCAAGTACTGACTCATCCTGATCTGAGAGACACCGGAGGTACAGCATCGGAGGTAAGTAGCGTGTGAGAGCGGGGCGGCAAACGCCGGTCTACGTACACAGCGGATCTGTTGCGAGGAACGAGTGGCAGCCTGTGCTACCTCGTTAGCTTATTGGGATTTTCCTGCGTTGGTAAAACTCTACCCTTACATGAGCGCCAATGAGCTTGCGAACAAGCTTGATGTGCCTTCCCAAGCCATTGCGTATCCGTGAGAGTACCCCTTCCATTATTCTCCATCGGGCCTGTGTCGGTCCCGGCAGCCAGATCTTGAAACCTTTCTTAATTCAATACAGCAGGAGGCGATGAACCTGCTACCTATAAAGAGCCTGCTATGCTACCAGAGCTATTCACAAAAGCATTCCTACTACCACTCCAGCAGCCTACCAGAACTCTTTCGAGTCAAATAACATCACGCGTCATGAGCAGCCAATACAACACCTCTAATAGCTCACAAGCTGCTTATGCTTCGTCGAAGTCTTACTCGAGCAATTCCAGCTCGCAACCACCTTCGAACCATTCGGACTCGCGTGGTCAATCACACGCGCAGTCATCACAATACTCGTCGCAGCGCACCACGATCCGTGCTGGCGCTAGCACAGTCGTACCAGTGTTTTTCTGATATACTGCGGGACACTTTGTTGCCTAAGCACCCAACTTCACATGACGCCTCATGGCATCTATCGTCCCATACCAATCGCTCTCCGAGCACGCTCCCCTTTTTCGACAACCTCATAACCATAACACCATCATAATACGCGGCAACTTTCAGACTCCGCACACGCATGCGCTGGAACGTGTTGCCACATAATCATAATTTAATATGTGCAAGAGAGGATTTGCAGGGAAGGAATAGGAGGGGGAAGATCATTCAGTCCAGGCCGAATGGATGTATCATACGGACCACGCTTTGATTCACCACAAGATCCTATTACTATGTATCTATTTGGCTTTGATTTGCTATTCGGTTACAGTAGCTACTAGTAATTACCGCGGTTAATCTGATTGTGCCCAGCGGGACATTACACTGCAGTGGCGAACGTGGGTCAATACTGGTGCATGGGGTGCGTGGCTAGGCCTGGCGAAAGAAAGCAGGAATTTGTCCTAGCTGATTTGGTAGCATCAACGGAGAGGAGGCCCGGCCTGGATTGCCATCCTGCCCGAGAAACACCATGATGGATGGCTACAATATGATACATGGTAGCAAGCGTGATTGCCGAATGCCGATCAACAACCTGTACTCTTTAGGGATCATCAATGGCCTGAATCAAGTTTGGCTAAAGTGTTACAGTGCGCAGTGCGCATCCGACTTGTATGCAGTGCTGAGCGTGGAGACAGGCCCACACGGGAAGATCAATGATGCGTTATTGTGTTTGAACTTGGTTTGAACTTGCCATTGTATTTGAACTTGCTCGCAGGGAATTACACTGTATATTAAATTGCACAGTCGTTGATATTCCGTGCTGTGAAAAACGAGACTAAAATGCTTCATTGCAAATGAACCAATGGGCAAGAACATCAAGGGTAAGAGCCTATTGCGCCCATAAATTCACAAGATGGTCCAATAGGGACAGACGTGGGCAGCCAAGGGCAATGGACTCACTGAATCTACTCCTTAGTGTCAGGAAAAAAGGGTATATTCTATTATCTTTCCCAAGGGCTAGATGCTCGCAATTACAGTTTGCCACGTACGCCTGTCATCCATATGCCTGTTTTCAAGCGTCCCTGGTTAAGAGCATCCCACCACTCCAGGATACAGTTTACAACCTCGTCTTGGCGCTGAATGTATTGTTAGCGAAGCTACGACGATAAGAACCGAGATTCACATTTGTAAAATTGTGATCAGCCTCCTCACTTAAATGGAGGCTATGGGTTCCAGGGGTTCTTGCACCAAGTGCTCGAGAGTAAATAATCGCGTCATATCTGAGGTAATGTTATTTTTTTATGTCACCCTATTGGTTCGCGAACACTTACACAGGAACTGTCTTATCGACGAGACCGTGCAATGTTAGAACATCGATATGGGCGGGAAAGTTGTCCCAAACGATTTCTGTATTCCACTGAGAGAACTCCTTTAGATCGTGTGGGTAGATCCTTTCCACAACTGCTTGTCGAGCAACTGTGTAAGACCGCTCGAAGTAACCTTTAGTATCCCATTGCTCTTTGTAGGTCTCGGCGTTGTCTAGAAACTAGGATAAGATGACCGACCCGCTAGAAATTCGAGAACCCTAAGCCTACCGTAAATTCGCTAATCATGCGCTATTTTCAGTCATTCTCTGGCGCGCAGGAGGCTATTTCTCTCACATGCATTCGGTAACGACCTGACACATTGATCATAGCATGAGCACGTTGGCCTTCTTCAGACGTGCATAGCCAATGCATCCCGACTACAGAACCACGAGAATGGCCCACCACTACATCAATCTCATACCCATATGCATTGCGGAGGTAAGAAACGACCGTCACGAGGTCCTCGACGTCTCTCGCAAATCCGCCTTGTGTCCGTTGGCCCCCACTTTCGTGATTTCCGCTGCTCTATATGAATTGGAGTTGACAGCCAAGACGAGGGGTAGACGGACCGGAAATCAAATCTGAATGAGTCCATCGGAAAATGTAGTGCAAGACGCTTTTGGAACAAGTAGTCTTTATGCCTGAAGTGAGATGAGAACAGGAAATGAACGGAAGTAGCAGGAACGTACCCCATGGTGCCATGGAGAATCTAACAGGATACAATGTGTCAAGCAATTTTGTTAAGGTCGGAATGACGATCAGCATCATACCAGGGCAATCTTTCTGCCTTGCGTGGGCTCTTCAGGCGTTAGCTGTTCCAGTATCCCAACAAGCTCGCAGTCTTCCTGAGGATGCGGTATACGAAGTTTTGTTGACTTCCTGGTGGCCATTGTGGATGCAAGAGAAAAGGTAGGGTGTGACAGGCCCATCGGCAAAACTGTACCGGAGCTCTGTACCGGTCGGAACGAGATGACCAGAAAGGAAGGTAATATTCACCCCCACAGAGCCGCTAAAACGCTATTGCAAGTCACATAGATACCTATTGAGAAAGAATACACGACGGCGTTTCGGTAACTGGCAGTATGCCTATTGGCAAAATCTCGGAGCATTGCAGCACCTGAACAACCAATCGCGAAACACCAGCAATACATAACTATCTGCGCAACGACATGCAGGAGCGAATCATGGTCGACCTGGCTTTTTGCCAATGAGAGCTCCCTTCGCACTCTTCGCTGGGCCACCTTTCACGATCTTCGCTTTCTTCTTCTCTCCTCCTTCGGCGCTCCGTTTTTGTTTCACCTCCTTCGGCGTAACCGACGTCTCGAAATTCTCATTCAAGGGTTTCCCCGCGCTCTTGCTTTTGCCCTTGCTCGCTGGCACTTCTGGCACATGTTCCTCCGAATCCATTTCATTGGAATCGGAGTCTCCATCAGACCCACTCTCTACAGGTGCATCCTCAGATTTGACCATACCATCCCAGCGACCACCATTTGCATCTCCGAGTTCGCATGTCCATATCGGTAAACTGATACTCGAATTTGTCTTGATTTGAAGACTCTGAACGTTGTCCCAGTTGCCCTTGATATTTTTCACGACAGCAGGGAGAGATATTTTGAGGTTGTCGAGGATTTTTTCTGGCGAGTGTGACAGTAGTCCAATCTTGACAGACCTATCAACCGGCGTTGTGTCAAGCTTGCGTTCAGAGGGCAGGTAAAGAGAGACATACGTGCACGTTCCTCTGTTCTGATGCATGTAAGTTGACTCGATGGCTCGTTCTAATTCACCCTTAAGGTCTTTGCGTGTCAAGCAGACCGGAATAGGCTGTCTGTAAGGTAAATTCAGAAATGCTAGCGATAGAGTTAGTTTAAAGAATCTTACTTTTTTGCATCAAACCACTTCTTTCCTAATAAGCCCGGCAATAGAGGTATTACACGGTCATCTGCCAAGAACATTCCGTTCTCTTTCAGTAACATTCGCCTGGCTTCATAGGACTTGAATTTCCCCTTGAGTTTTGTGATGCCGACAACTCTTGATATAAATTTGATGTTATGTGACTCGAGGAGGTCTTTGTACTCTCGTTGCGGGTCTTTGGTGATTAGACAGACAGGCGAAACCCGTGGATCGACGAGGGGATGCTTGAGTGGGCTTGAAGATGTCACAATTTCAGATCCATCTAGGAGAAGCAAAGCTTACATTTTGAATGGTTTGATCTTGTGCTCGGGGTGCATCCGCTTCACTGTGATTTGCAGCCACACATATAACTCGTTGGATGGTAGAAGATCGTTTTCCTCCTGCTCCTTCTGTTTTTGTGATGCATATGCGTGCAGCGCATGTACAGCTTTTGTACATTGCTTGACAGAAACATGCGAGTCGATTAACTCGGTTTTCGCCATGGAGTTTGTGTGTTTGGAAAGTTGCAATCTGGCAGTTTTTTCGATCTGACGATGATTGCTTCCGTGCCGCCGGCATCTCCCTTATATAAAGGGTTGTATTTCGTCGACCAAATTTCGACTCAAGTTTGACTTCAACTGCTTCATCGATCATCTGGAATCAATCCCCCAAAATGTGCCATTACATCGACGCCGCGATGCTGACTACTCTATTCGAGCTAGCAAATTTACCCCAAGGAGGCGTTCCTGATGAGTAATGCGAGTTTGCTGCGTCTTTGAACGGGCAATGACCGTTTGTCAGCGGAACAAGAAGGGCGAGAGGCACCCCGCATGCATGCGCAGCGCGCGGCACCGGTTCTGCAGTGCTCAACGGAAGAATGGAAACAGGTGGCCCAGGGCAATACTGTGATCCATCTAGGGATGCTTTATCATCGAGTTCTAAGTATGACTTATGGCAGCTTATATGAAGCTAGTATGTACTGACGGCGTGGAGGTGCCTCGGATGTGAGGGAAAGCAACGACGATGGAAAGATGTATTACTCAGAAGAGGAGACAATGGCGCAAGCCCTGGCAACGGCCACGCAAGCCATTGGGATAGGTTCGGCTTCTAAAAGACGGTGGAACAAGAAAGTCAGCGGCATGAAAAGTAGGCAGGAGGACGCAAGGAATTGTGAGTTGTATACTTGTTGTATTTGTGAGTCGTGTCGAATAAAAGAGGGGTTCTTCTGAGTCTGAGTTGGGAGTCGTTTTGTTTGGCATGGACTCACAATGAAAGTAATTCACCGAAGTCAATGAGGATGAAGACCTTGCTGGCTACTGGTGCCGTCGCATCTGACCTCGTAGCTAGTGTACGGTGGAACTCCCGACCTTGTCATCATAACATTACACTACATGTCAAATTCAAATTCCGAGTCCGAGTCGTCTTTCTTCGTTTGTCCCCGTATATTTTTCGGTGCCCGAGCATTCGTACTCGTGGCAGCAGACCGCATGCGAGAATATGGATCATCGTCCTCTTGCTCAGAGTCGTCGCCATCGTGCGCTCGTTGCTCGCCGAGTGGCCCACGCAGGGGAGGCTCTAAGACGCCAAATAAGATCAGAAGTGCCTCGAGTTCTGCAATAATTCCAGAAATGAACATCCGACGGCATCACAGGATTCCCTGGGCTTGCCTTCAAGCTGCCTTTCACGATCTGCGCCCCATGCAATAAGTTGATTCCGTATTTCCCCCTTGCGGTATATAATCAACATAGGAATTCGAGAATCTGGGAGGTCTGCGATGCATTTGTTGCCCACGATTGACACGAACTTTGAATGTGGATATCGACTTGCTAGATTTTGTATATGTTCAGAAGTTCTGTCGCTCCGAGGAATTCTGGTCGTTTATTCGAATGAGTATCCGAGGTGCTAGAAGCAGAGGAGAACTGACCCATCTTTGTACAAGAAGCAGATCACGCCCGTGCCTTTCTCTTCTTCATCGCCCTCTTCGTTTATCTTACTAGCCTCGGTGACTTCCCTGGTATAATCATCGCGTCCGATGGGATAGACTCTCCCAAAGCGAGCGCGTTTCTGCTGCAGTCGGTCCTCAGCTAATCGTTGCCTCCGGTATGAATCGACACTGCGCTCAAGGTCATCATCCGTGACCTCTTCACCAAGTTCTCTGAGCTCTTCTGGAGTAAGATCGTCGAGTACGTCTTGTAGCTTTGGAGAACTCGGAGGTGAAGGGGTAGGGGGAGTGGTTTCCTTGGGAGGGATGATGCCGTACTTGCGGAGGGCATCGTTGCTGGGCACGTATATAGGTAGTTGTATGAAGTAAAGAATATGTGCTCACAATTCCGTATCTTCGTTCGGATTAACGGCCATGGTGGAGAGGGATAGCGTGAGTTGCGCTGCGCGTCAGACTTCAGTGATGCGGCGCTTGGTCACGTGAACACAGGAAGACTGACTTCTGAACTTGATCACCACGACCACGGTTCAATGAGGCATGAAGCTTTGAAGACGCTGCTGGCAACTACTGTTTTTGCATCTTCCCTCGTAGCCGGTGCTGGTGCACGCTGGAACTCCCGACCGTACCAACTCACTCTTCGACGGCAACCAAACGCTAGTTCATGTGACATCGTGACTTTCGGCGAGACACAGTTGCACAAGAGTCTCCTGCCAGTGACTGTGACATCGGGGCACGTCATTAGGCAACAGAATACTGTACCATCTGTTGGATCACTTGGCAACGAGGAGATAATACACTTTCTATCATACAGCACCAACGAATTAGGGCTTCACGCGCAGCTTGAGTGTTCAAATGACTTATCGTTTATTGGACAAAGTGTACGCAATGGCTTCGAGACGCAAGTGACGTTTGGAGATCAAGGCATATTGTATGGTACATTAGATGCCCCCGTCCCACCGCTAGAAGTCGTCGGTCTTTTGCAATCTGGGCCGTCAGACAATCGTATTGATCTTGCTTTCTTCTCCGACGGGTGTACGTTTGCATCTGATCTTTCTGTATGTCACATTCTTAGTCCGCAATATACAGACACAATGCGTGAAAGAGACCAGTTTCTCGAGGACGCAATGCGTCTGGTCACCGACTTGTCAGCAAATCAGACGTTCGCTACTGTCAAGCCTCTGTTGAACTTTTGGGCCGTATTCTCACCCAGTCAAGAGGTTATTGCTCCCCCAAATTTACTACGAGGCTCTAGGCTAACTCATCGGTCCTCTAGAGCGGCGTTGGTGTTGATGGGAAAGCTAAGAGGTGCTTATCATGATAATCATGATCATTTACTTCATAAACATTCTGGCCTAGGACTCCCTTTGGGTTGTACCGTGATGGCACGGAATTGAGAGGCCTGTACGCTAATAACTCCGATGTTGCTCTAATGGCCTGCGCGTCTCTCGGAAATAAATGCAACTACGCTATTATCCTCGGTGAGTGTTTTTGGAATTTTGATCGGCGATATATGCTGCAGCTATTTTTTGACCTCCTCAAAAAAGGCAACGATCCATTGTATGGCGGTATGTCATCCAGCGTCTCTTGAACACTGTATCACACTGACTACTTTTTTATGTCCAGGAATTGGCGGGGAGTATACGTATGTTTGCAACCCGCGTTAATATTGTGTCTTCAAAATGCTAACAAAGGGTGAAGGACAACAACCGCCTCTCTCGCGAACGGAGCATTGGTCCTTAGACATGAGATTGGACACTCCATCATCGACGTAGGCGAAGAATATGACGGAGGATTTGCTTATTTCGGCGTCAACGCTGGCCACGATCTCTCAGCCGTGACGTGGACCCACTGGCTTGAAGATGACGCCAGCATGTTCCGCGCAGAACGGTCCGTGATGCCGATGCAAGCGTATCCATGGACACTGCTGAATACAACTCAACCATGGTCGATTTCTTTCCTGTCATCAGGAAATTATGCGCGTCATCTAATAAAGTTCTCGCTATCTGGCCTCCCAGATCGAGATGACTTGACTATCTTATTCGACGGGGTTGATTTACGATGGGCGCCAAGGAAAGATATCGGCGTCGATAGATGGCACTATGATGTTTACGAGAATACGTCATTGAGCGCTGGTTCACATGAAATCTCATTTGTCCTGAAGAACGGCGCTCTTGAAGGAAATGCGCAGCTATGCAGCGTAGAAGTTCTGGAATACGGGACAGAAGCTGAGTGCGTCATGGTTTTTACCGTCTGTTTTATCTGGGGGATCTAACGCCAAGGACAGATTTAACATGACACCCGGTCACTATAGCATGTTCCCGACGTGAGTGGACACCTATGTCAAGAGTGTTTTAGGCCGTTGACTGGTGTGCAGATTCAGTATCGATAATGAAACGTCTTATCGGCCGACACACGACGATTGCCTCATGCGCAGCGTCACCAAGCCCAACTTCTGCAAAGTGTGCTTGGAGGGCCTTTGGCTATCGTTGCTCAAACGCGTCGATCTCATCGATGACTTCAGGCCAACGTGCGGACATGATCACAGAACCTTCGAAATCGATCTGGTTCCGCTTGCTGAATTCAGAGAAACTCCTGTTTCTAGTGAGGAAAGCTACAGCATCACATGGTCGAAGGACGGGGAAGTCCTTCCACAGTTCGCGAACATGACGCACATAGACGTGAGGGATGAGGTCGGGACGTACCGTGTGGATGTTCACTTCTCAACGGAAGAAGTGCGCGTAGACAAGGATGGACTGCTTGGAGCTAGCAGGTCGTTCACTGTTACCGAGTCGGACTTGCCCTTGAGTTGCGATGCATAATGATAATATCACTGGTATGATGTATGGAAGGGAAAGATGCTGCGAAATTAAGATGTCTATCTATCTTTACTTACACAGTCATGTCGATGTCATTCGCCAACCGATGTGAAGACATTTCTAAGATATTTATTCTGTCTTCCTTTCTCCTGCACCCCATCTTCGAAGAAGGACTTCTTTACTGTGAGGGCACTTAACGCTGCTAGCGACGGCGGTCATCTTTTAGGACCTTTAGGATCGTAACCGCCGACTTGTTGAATACAAGTTGAGAACCAGTTTACGATTTTATGTAACTATTGATTTTGTAACATTACATCAATGATGCAGAGAAAAGGTGCAAGAAACGATATGATTCATATGAATATCACCTCAGCTTTCAGCTGGGTTCCGAAGCATGGTCTACTGGAAGTCTCACCACCAACTCACCAGGAAAGCACGCAGGTTGCTTTGCGAGCGCTATATATCCCCGCATTCTCAATCTCCAGGATCCCTGTCATTTTCTTAACAGTGAGAATTCGTGGAGCCTTTCAGAGCCCCGAAACTATGTCGACTCTCGGAGGTGGGTGGCAGGCTGGGACAAATGATGCTGCAACATGATTCATCTCGCGCGCCATCGGCCATTAGTTCCTTCTGGCTATGAGGGACCCGGTCGGCCTAATGGACTACATCCCACTCGAATTTGCAACTAAGAAACACCAACGGCTTCTGGCTTGGCGCTGGGCAAGCCACACTGCGGCAGTGCCGTGCCCTGCAAGCAGACGAGTGCCCAGTCGTTTTTCAACTGCTTTTTACCATTATTCGCGAGCTTTCCACAACACTGGAACTAACATCCGCCTATTCCATCTCGAGTAGCTCTTACACCTTACAACTCCAATCACTCCACAGTAAGTGGCAGAGTTGTTTGATTGTTTCGTTGCCCAGCTCATCACCGTTCCACAGACTTAAACCAAAACATCGTTTCACAACTTCGGCACCCGCTTTCAAGGGAAGTTTAGGATTTGATCCTTGCATTAGCGTCATCGTACGTCGCGAGGTGACCGTCGCTCTTATGATTTCTAATGACACTGTCCTAATACTTGATTAGTACTTCGTGGAGTTATTCTACCCCATTTCACATTCTGTGTCACGATTTATCACCACCCCTCGTTAAGGAATCGATGTCAGTACACCCATTTCGTTTCCCCGCTCTCGTTCTCTGACCTCATCAACAGTTCTTGGATATGTCCGAAGGAACTTGGGAGAAGTTGTCCCAGGTCGCTGTTAAGGGAGCTGAACATGACTCTCGTGAACACCAACCCCATCCGAAATGTTTGGAATGATGAATGCACACCAGAAACTCTCGATCAATCCACATTTGAATCTCTCGACAAATCCGAAAGCGAGCTTGCTGAACTCATCTTCTCCTCGCCCAACCTCTTGACGATCCTGCACTGCCCGTGACCCACATTCTGGTGACAAGTCGCTCGGAACCGCATATTCGTGACGCCATGCAGAACGAAGATGTACGCCCGCTTGTGTGCGAGATATCAGTGAAGATTTTTGGGCAGGGTGTTGCTGCCACCATCTCACTAGATGGCGCAGATGTCGACGAAGACATCTATCTTTCCTTGGAGCATTCCTTCAGAAAGCTGCGAAGTCGCTGTTCCGCTTTCCCGCAGCCAACGGAGCGTGAACTCGCGCGCCTGGCGAGCCGAGCGGGAAGACGTTTCCTCGTGGCGTCTGTAATGATGAAGTTCATCGATGATCGACACAACGATCCCCGTGACCGGCTATAACTCATGCTCGAACTAACGAGTGAACTGCTTCCAGGAACAGAGGTGTACAAGCTATACGACTGTATCCTCTCCACATGCACTGACCCAACGCTGGTATACCTACACTTGTCCGTTGTTGTTGCCCTTACAGACCCTCTACCGATCTCACAAATATCGGAACTTCTTGGCCCTGGTCAGGGAAGGGACTTGGGGACAGTACTGGTGCGTCTGTCATTGACGTTTCTATCGATAGCAGTCTCCCCGTGAATATCTATCACTCGTCCGTTTGTGACTATGTTTCCCACTGCTCCAACTGCAGCCTCAGTCAAGTAGAATATATCACATCTCCGCATTCCCTAATCGCTCTTTCCTCTCTCCACTTGGTGGTGCGCGAGATTCCAGAAGGCATGGCCCTCATGGATGCGTTCTCAGCATTGACGAGGCACAACCCAGCTATGTCCCACGATCCCCAGAACTTAACCCGTTTTTCCTTCGCAGTCCAGAGCTACAGTTCTGGCTAAAAAACCTGGACGAGTGTGCTTGGCTGCAGACTGAAGGGGTGAAAGACTGGTTGGAGACCCAGGGTAGGCAAGACTGACTGCAGACCCACAATGGGGAAGACTGGCTAGGGACATCCTACGGGGAAAATTGGCTGCAGATCTCCTTTGGAAACGATATCCTGTGATTCCTGTCCAGACAGGAAGATAGTTGCACTCGAGGACACTAGAGCGTATACTGCAAACAGCCAACCTCAGCTCCTTCAGGTTGAGCTTCTTCCCGAGTGCTGATCAGCTCATCTCGGTCTCTTCGCGAATCATGACAACGACAGGTATTGGCGTCGCAATTTATGGCTGTGCAGACACAACACTGAGTAAAGCCGCGGAAGCAAGAGCATGTTGGAGTCTGGAACGTCGGAGACATCGGGTGAGACGTCAGAAGTGACAGACGAGTAATGAGTTACGAGCACAACCAAGGGGTATGAGAGGACGACGCTGTGGCGTCGGACCGAAGCTCCTATATTGCAAAGTGTCATTTGCTAAGTTACGCTAATACTTATTCCAATCTCTACGCTAACTTACTATAAAGATACGAGTTGTATCGTACGAGCATCTCAGTTCCTTTAGAGACTGAGATGTGAGTACCGTTGATTTTCACGCTTTACTTTACGCTAACGAACCAGAAGTTATATTGTTCTACTAGGTACAGTACTCGAATAAAGAGTTCCTTTAGAGACTGAGATTTATATTGTTCTACTAGCCTGTTCTCTCTCGCGTCCGCTCGCCTGTGTTCATCACAGAGCAGAGTCTGTTGTACACTCGGCAATTTCTGGATTTCTCTATGACGTTGTGTTGTCTTCGGATATATACAGTAAACCCCCTGAACAGCATTTTCGCAAGTTGATCTTGCATCCCTTTCATAGTACTTACTATTCATGTTATCACGTTCAACTTCGCCCACCAGCGAGCGTAAAGATGAATCAATACCTCCACCCCCCACTATATCGGCAATCCTTCCAAGAACGATTCTTCTGATAATTCTTTTTATCATCCCCCACTTAATTTATCATATACCAGCCATCTTCCGCTTCGTCAGGAATTATCAAATTTTTCTAGCCGTAGGGGCGCTGTTGACGGCGGTCCTATCTGCCAATTTATACCATACCATTCTTTACGGGACCTGGCTAGGACATCACTTAGGTTCGGCGGCTCAATTCTTCAATTGGGTCATCATTTTTATTCAACTCCTAGCCCCGAGTAAGCAATATCATAGTGGAATGTCTTAGCACTAACAATCATATTAGTCTCATCCTCGTTCTACACGAATGCTTTCCTTGACTGCGTTCTCTCCTTATACACAATCACCACCCTTGAGGTGACTTTCTGGGCGCTCGTTGGTGTTCAGAGGCCTATGGAGTAGGTCATTTTGTATTCTGAACCTGGATTGAGTGAACGTCTTCAAAGGTTTGTCAGTCTTCTATCTTCGAAAGACATCTTATTGACAAAATGACCTCTAGGGTTAGAAGAGACCGTCGAGTCTGCCTTGGAGGTTGTGAACACCGGTATTAACTTTCTGAGAACGATTACTATCTCTGGTTCGACGCTCATACAGTCGCTTATTGCAATTCCATGTGTCTTCGCCATCAGGTGCCTACGACTCCTCCTTTTTATCGAGTCCCCGGATCGGCGTGCTCCTCAGTCCCCCCTACTTCCGTTGAATTCTCATTTTGCGTTACCTCACTTATCTGGTACCGGCGACCAGGATGTGACGAGACCAGGAGATGAGCAAGGAGCTCCGCCACCATACTATGTAAGTTTTCTCTTTAATTTCATCTTTTGCTTGCTAACCGAAGTTACTGCTTGTGGCCAAACAGTACTAGTGAAAGCTCTTCCTTCAGTTCACCGATGGATGGGAAGAAGGACCTCGAGCTAAAGCCAGTTTGATGAACGGACGATATCCAAGCACTGACATTACCACACGACATCACTATATTCATATACTAGATATTTGTATCGCTAGACTTTCTCGTTTTACCTCGACAGATGCAGACAGATCGTGCAGTGTCAGTGAAATTTCCCCTAGCCAGACGCTGAGACTCGCTCTTAGAGTCACAATATATGACGACAATATCACTGATGATGTATATGTAATAATCGAATCAACTACCTCAGAATACTGGAGCACTAGAATAGTTTGAGGATGAATAGTGGCCATGATCCATAGTACACAAGGTAAAACGAGCGGCATAAGAAGAGTGACGGATGTGTTCTGCGATAGGGCTGCGATGATATGAGTAGACGACGAGACGAAGCGGAAAGTGAACGAGAGGCATGACATTCCAGTTGTCTTGAGTGCTAAGGTATGCGGAGAGGAAAAAACGTAGGAACACCCAATATGCAATGAAATCAGAACGACGCGGATAAGAGAGGAATGAAGATGACATATGTACAAGTGTTGATGAGAAAGAGGGAGACGAAAACATGGGACAAGATGAAGGGAACGAGCAAATGCTTCGAGAATCGGAATCGTCGTAATCACATAACAATGCACTTGCAGCACCCTGCGCTGTCTTCCTCATCGTGAGGGAGTTGCTGTGCTGGTTCGAGATCAGTGGATGGTCGCGTAACGTTGATGGTCGGGATATCTGTGCGCCGGTATTGCGAGAACGGTGCGGGAGATTCAGGAGGACGCCCTGCCCCCTTCCGACGATCCGGACGGATGGGTCGTTCTGGTTCTTCGGTAAGGGGTGCTAGTGTTGGAGCGGCACTTTCAGGTGCAGGTGCTGATGCCACCTCAATCGCACTCGGTAGCTTGCCGAATTCATCCATAGGTATCTCCTCTCCCCGAGGCGCACGATACTTGGAGTAATCGTAACCAAAAGTGCCAGGCGCCTTATACAGATCATCAACCATTGATCAGATACGAGATTCAAAAGTGAACTTACCGGAGCAACGGGATCCGGAGGTCTGGGACGAGGGCTACCATCCGCTTGCTCGTACTGACCATCCAGACCTTTCTTACGTGCCACGACCGGTAGAACCACCTGAAAAGCAATCAGCGAAACAAGTCAATATAGTTATCCTTATCTTATCACCTCGTCCCAGGTGCCCGACTTCTGAACTGGTTGGGTCCACGTGGGTATGGCGTCAACCATACCATCTCCTTCGGGAGTCGGATATGATGCGACCGAACCGCGAGTATCATCCTTCCGATGTGCAGCAGGAGGTGGCGTTTTCGCTTTCGACTTGGACTTCTTCGGTGTTGACGGGGAAGGCGACACCGGTCTTTTGATGCGGCGTTTGTTAGTCGAGGGATTATCAGGCGATTGACTTTGTGATCTTGAATATGTCCGCCGGCGAGAACTTGTGATAGAATCAGGAGGTGAAGGAATTAGTGTTTCTGAACTGCGTGTCGTTTCAATGGAGGTGTTGGCTCGGAGAGGTTCCGAGGCTGTACGTGCGACGGGTATCCGAGTGGGTGGTAATTGGGTACTAGTAGCGGGTGCTTCACTGCGAGTATTCTCCGTAGAGGATCTGGGACCAGGTGTAGACGCGCTGAATGAAGGATGAATGGTAACGTCATCTTTGCCAGTGTATGCGTTATAGGCATCCTCCGGTTCAGTGTCAGGATCACCCTCAATGTCCGTGAGCGGGCCCTCGTCCAATACCATATCCGTCTCCTTTGCCCTCTGTTCATCCATATATAAACTCTCTCTTTCTCCTAGGCCCGAAGCACTATCAGCTCTCTTCCGTCTACGGCTGTACTCCAAAGCGGCAGAGATGTCCCGGGGTGCAAAACGATGCGTGGTTGGTTTCATGTCATGTCCGAAGTTGGCGATGCGCAACATCTCCATGCGTTTACCAACACGCAACTCCCCGACGCCACCGTTTCTATGTACGTCTCCTCTATACCAATGTTCAAATGGACGCTCCTCTGATTCGTTAGAAGGTCGCGGAGGCGCAAAGATAGCGTCATGGTGAGACTGCTTGGAGAGAATAGAAGAACTGAGAGAACTTGCACCAAATGGAGCAGGCTCGTTCATGATATTTGATCGTTGATGTCGAATAGTGGCATTTGACAAAGTGGGATCAGTCTCATCGGTAATCCAGAGATCAGGAGACGTATCAGGAGTAGGTGTCTGGTGGGGAAGAACACCATTACGGCTTTCTGCGCGCGGTGCGACACTCGGAACATGACTAGAAGTGCTTGTAGTTCTTCCTCGTGCGACCATCGGTATTCGGGTAGGTTTCACGTCGGATGTGCGGGGAGAAGTAGGGCGAGAATGATCTGGGGTTGGGAGAGCGTGTCCGTTCGCGTAGGCGTTAGGTGGAGAAGAATCGTACAAGTATGGTTGAGAAACCGTGCGAGCGCGTGTATAGGGAGGATTGTGCGAGGAAGTACCGTTTATGCGGGAAGCTTCTGCAGGACTTCTTGATTGTTGGAGGCTTGGTCTGGGTATAGCACTAGATTTCTTAGGTTCTAAAGAATAAAGTGAACTGGGAGCCAGGTCTCGCAGAGTATGGCCAGAAAATGAAGGAGCGTTTGACCTGGGAGTGTCGTCCGTAGAAGAAAAAGAGGCCACTGATAGGCGTTTAGCAAGAATGCGGCTTTCGCTTTCTAGTCCTGAAAAAAAAAGGAAGAGAAGGCGGGTTAATCTGCCGCTCGAACTCTTCTGGAAAGGAACGTTAATATACGTACTGTTGCGCAGAGTTGGCACTATCGTATCGTCCCATGTTGGGAGAGCAGATTGCGCCGTCGCAGTCAAAGCCATGGGGCGAAAGAAGTAAACAAAGAAACGAAAAGAAAAGAAACAAAAGTCGACCTCGACGTCGTCTGCGACGTTGAAGAAGACCCGTAGTAATCTCACCGAAGATCAATTAGTGGCTGACGAGAACAAGTACAAAAATAATTCACCAAATAAATATTTCCTTACTTGTCCAACGCTTGTTTCCTCACTTCGACCCTCGCGTCCTCGCTCAAGTTGCTGTTCGTTTTCCAACTCTCTAAGTATTTAAACTCGTCTCACGAAATTATATTTTTCAGATGAGTGCAGCAGCAGTTCGCGTCGCGCAACATAGCGCGCAGGCAGTTCGTTCATTCAGGAAACCACCAAAAATTCGTAAATTCCTCAAGCGTGACGAGAATGGTCTTCCCATTCCGCACGTCAGGAACCTCATTGTCCGCGACACACACCCGTGTCGTCTCATGGACCATTATCATACAACCCTCCAAGACGACTTGATGTACATGACATACAATCACGAGTCTGGCACACCACCTTCACCTCGCAAAATTCGTCTCACCTACGACCCCAATGACCCATACACTAAAAACCGTCATAACCCTCCTGTCGGTGGTTCCCAGGCAGGAAAGAAACCGGCTCCTCCAACGACTTCAGACAATGTCGTACGCTTGGAAAAAATCGTCATTCATTCCATGGTCAAAGAGGCTCTCACCAACCGGAGTAATTTACTTGGTCTCATTGCCGCGTTCCGTGCATTGTCGGGAGACACTGAGGGTGGGGGAGGTCGTCCTTCGAGCGATGGAGTCCAGATCGTGAAGGGGAAAAAGAACGTCGGTGGATGGATGCGCCCAGGTCTTCCAGTGGGTGCAAAAGTCGAATTGAAGGGTCCCAAGATGTACGACTTCTTGAGCACCCTGGGGGAATTTGTACTTCCGAGAATTCGAGAGTTCCCAGGTATAGTCATGCCTCCCGCGTCCTCAACAATGAAATCTCCGAGCGGCGTGGCTGGTGTCGTTTCATTTGGCTTGCCGCCAGAAGCCATGGGTTATTTCCCTCAAATCGAGGTGAACTTGGACTCGTATCCCAAGTCTTACGGTATGCACATACATTTTGTTACCAACGCGGTGGGCCTTGGTGCACAAAATCGTGCAAGGGCACTGGTCTCTGGTTTCCAGATACCCTTTGCTCGCAAGTAGATTACTTGTACTTTTCCGTTACCTTACTCTGTCGTCAGTGAAGTAATTTGCTCACATTTCACGTCCCGATTACGTTGGTTAATCAATTTGTTTGTTCTCTGCATGCCATCATTAGTGAGTGATGTACGGTACGTGCAAATGAGAGTTCTGTCTGTGATAACGATGCCAAACTGACGATAAAGAGCGAACAATAAAATAATAAAATAAAAGCACACTGTACTGTCAGACCAAACAATAAATAGATCATCTTTGTCCACCATAAGATTGCCAGGATATATCACCAAGTCTATGCCTGGATGACGATTGCGATCTCTCTATCCCCGTCCGCGACGTTGGAGGGGGACCCATGCTAAGACCCAGCATGGACGAGTTTGGTCCCATGATTGCAGACGTTTCAGATGCCGTCCGCCTGGCTTTCCTGGGCGCTATCACGCTGCTCTTTGGAGTATCATACCCCTTGAGCAGCGACCTGTTACCCGCAGGTTTAAGCGCAGGGGCTAGCGCCGGCAGAATTTCTCTCGCCAACTCGCGCACCAGGACAGCACCGTCGTCCTTGCTAAGTTTGAAGACAATTTCATGCAACCCGTAGCGCTCCACCAACATCGCGCGGTTCGGATGCACGTCGCAGACGGTTCGAAGGATACGCAAGAGGTTGAGACGAACGACTGCACGGCTGTGGCTAAGCCTGTCAATGATGCGCTTGAAGAACTGGGATTTGGCGAGGCCGATGGTGAGTGGGGTGGAGATACGACAGATTTTGAGGAGGGGGTCAAGGAGGTTCTCGAAGGAGTTGGCTTTCGCGGATACGAAGCATTTGAGCAACGCCTCGAGACATTCGGATCTGACTAGCTCATCTTCAATCTTGGCCGTTTCATCTTGTAACCTGAGTTCACATTAGTCGTAGCATACAATGCGGTAGAACATTCTCCTACCATGACAAGATCGCCTCCAAGGCGCTGACTTGGAAGTATGGGTCCTCTAGAAGTTTCAAGTAAAGCGCAAGGCCATTATGCTGCCAAAGGAGGTATCTACAACTCTTCCCGGCGCTCGCCAAGTCGCACAGAATGGGCAGCGCGAATTGTTTGAGAGGTGAGCTGGTCTCGATCACTCGCTTCAAGCACGGAATAATGCCAGCTTGAGCAGCCTCTTCTTGCCGCGACTTATTCAGCCGGCAGAGGTTAAAACAGGTCTGGAAAATGTGATTTGACACTTCCTGGAATGCCATTTGACATAAGTGACACTCTACTCGTAATCTTGAATTGCTTACTGTGCTGTGAGGATCAGTCTTCTCTTCATCCAGCAGTTTGATGAGTATCTCAATGGCGTTTGCGTTTTGAAGCACCTCGAGCAGGTTAGCATTCATGGACAAATGCTTCACAGCCTTCAACATTTGAACTAGGCATTCCATCTCCAAAAGCTCGCACGCGCGTAAGAGCCCTGCCATCATCATCATTACGGTTAGAACCATCAAATCTGAAGATTAACACGAAAATCTCACGTCTGACGATCTTCCGCGTCCCCATCGCGTTACGCACGTGAATATCGCTTTGCGTCACTTGGGAGAACACAAGAAGGATCTGAATGATCTTATGCTTCATCTCGACCGCATTGGGACTGGAATTGCCCATCACGTTGAGTAAAGCGGATGAGAGGGGGTCGAGGAGGCCTTCGCGAATGAACATGCGACAGAAATCATTCTTGGTCGTGGGACTTTGCAATTCGAACACGCTTCCTATGCCGTTGAGAGCGTCGACGACGAGTTCAGTTTGGTCGGTGTAGTCCTCGTCCAAGAGTTCAACAAGAACTTTCAGGCCACGACATCTGTTGGGGATGAGGACGTACATACAGAGAAGTTAGGCAAGCACGCACGAGATGAACATCTGCAAGGTCAGCACGGATGTGTGGCAGAGCAACCGGATGAAGTTGGAAGCCTCCACACGACACTCAGAAGGGTATTTCTTTGAGGTGAAGCCTGCGAAGCGTTTCAATCCTTCATGATCAACATCCATGGGGGCTACGAGACATACCCATCATGACCGGAATCCCTCCGATAAGGCAGAAGCTCTCTAAGAACCCGAGATCGCTCGTGACCAACTAGCCAACGGCGTTAATTTATGGACGCGAAGGAGTTTGTATGATTACACTTACCAAGTTGATGATGTGAAGAAGCTTCATGAGGACGTCCCTGGAGCACTTGCCTTCCAGTACTTCCAAGATTGCCAGCATACCATGTGAAGACACCAACTGCACGAGCATATCTGGATTTTCTACCATGATATTGATCTAGAAATACGGTAATGTATCAGACTATAAACCATTTAATAAAAATGGACTGACCAGTTGATCGCAAGCATCGCGCAATTGGAAGTCAGGCGCCGAAGGTGTCAGTTCATCAATGAGTTGGTTGACCATGTTGCATAACCGAGCATGTTTGTCGCGTTGAAGATTAGTCTCCAGGTCATCTTCAGCAAAACCCTCGTCAATCTGCAGGGATTCGGTTAGCCAGTCATCGTGGATGGTATACAGAAACTTGCCTCTGCGAAAGGATCATCTTCATCCGAGTCGTCTCCCAGCTGCAGCTACATCAATCACAATAATTGAATAAAACAGTAGGCCTTACCCATGACTTGTTCGACAACCTTGTATTGAGTTGCAAGGTTTGCATCGGCTGTTCCAGAGCTACAGAGCTAAAGGTCGAAATCATCCATACATTGGCATAAAACTACTTACTAGTTCCGCCAGGCTTTCCAAAGATATCATCGTAGTCCTCATCGTCCTCCTCGGCATACTTGCCAAATTCAGCCTGGCTAGCGGTACGTTTCGCCTCTGAGCGACCAAAAGAGCCGGAAGCACTTGAACCAGATCCAACAAAAGAAGATGAGCGTGAATGCGACCGCATCGAACCTGTGGGTGGTGGACCCATGCCAGAAATTGGACTCAGGGTTGGGCGGGATGCTTTCCGCGTCAGACTAGGAAGAGGTGCAGACATGGGACCAGGAGAACTAGAAAGGAGTCCGAGGACTTTGATATCGTCAGGATGGAAGAGCCCCCTGCGCACCGAATTCTTCATCTTCGACATTACGAGAGCTCTCAGTCAGCAACAAGGAAAAAATGGGAATGCACTAACCTTGAAATCTGCCACTTTCTCTTGAAGCAGGAGCTCGTCCTCCTCGGTTGCGATGTCGGAATAGTCTTCGACGATGGGTACGATATCGGCAGACGGTGCCTTTGCGAGTGGTATTGTCCCGGGGCCAGCTGGGCTACGGGTTGGTCTGATAGTCTGCGCATTATCGTCGCCCTCGGGTTTTTCATCTTCAATGGACGTCTTCTCCAGGGCAGAGGCTGCATAGCAAAACAAAGTAAGATCATGAAGATCACTCAATTGCGCACAAACCTTGTAATTTGGTGAATGAGGGTCCATCCTCAAAGTCATCATCCCAGTTATCTGTCTGCTCTTCTGGAGGCTGGAGGACAAAGGCTAGTGGCTCCCGAATCTTCTCCACAAGAGCGACGGGGGCAGAGGGCTTTCCTGGGGCAGAAGTGGGTCCTTTGAGAGCGGAGTTCCCAGAGGTCGAAGCCTGGAGACCGAGGACTGAATGCTGGAGGAGCGATACTGCGGGCTTATCTCGACTACCACGAGTTGGGGATGGAGGTTGACCTTCTGAGACGGAATTACGACCATTCTTCTTCGTAGGTCGTGTAGGTGCTAATGGGGCATGAGCGAAGCATTGATTGAAAAAATGATAAATCACATTTGAGAGCTTCATTCCACTCCTGTACCTTGAGGACAGCCTCGTCGTAGTTATAGTTGCTTGTGGGTCTCTTGCTGTCTGTGATTGCGTGCGGCCCGCCTTCTGGAGACCTCTTTCCCGCAGCCGCATTCATTTGCTTCTTCGCAGATATCATCCAAGGATGACGAAGCAGCTTCTTGGCCGAAATTCGGAGGTTGCAGTCCTTCTGAAAACAGTGAAGTAGAAAATCCTTGACGATCGGAGATGCACCATCAGGAATGGGAGGGCAATCATCCTGAACGATGCGAAAGAGCGCGGGCATGGGGTCCAGGAAGTGATATGGAGGCTTTCCTTCCAGAAGTTCGATAACTACACAACCGACGCTCCTGAATGATATATCAGCACTTGTGTCGATTCGCAACCAGAGCGATTATACATACCAGATGTCTGATGCAGTGGTTGCGCCAGATTGTTCGATGACCTCAGGTGCCACTGGCGTAGAACGCTGTTAAGTCGAGGCGAGGACATGTACCATGGACAACTCACTCCAATAGGGACTGCCCACAACAGCGTCATCATTGATAGCACCAGTTGTAGTAGAGCTAGCGACTCCAAAGTCGGCAAGCTTTACACAGCCATCCTTGTTAGTCAAAATATTCGCGCCCTTGATATCGCGATGGATGACACCTTGATCGTGCAGGTATACGAGCCCCTCCAGGACTTGACAGATGTAGACCGCTACTAGGTTCTCTGGAAATTTACCGAAACGTTTGCAAATATTATGCAATGATCCATTTTCGCAGAACCTGAGACGGTGTGCATGCTCAGTCAATTTCTCGGTTGAGGTGGAATGAGGACTAACTCAAGGATAATGTATAAGTACTCCCTAGTCTTGACAAAGCCCTTGTACTTGACGATATTAGGGTGCTAATGAATGATCAAGTAAGCGATCAGAGTATACTTAAGTTTCAACAGCCACATACGTTCAAATTCTTGAGTAAGTCGATTTCGGACTAAAATGAAGTCTTGAAAAATGCACCCTATGCCGTGCTAAGGGAGTCCTGGACTCACCATTATCTGCCCGAGCTCTCCCTTTGGTATATTGCTGAGTTGTATCTCCTTCACGGCCACGGTCTCACCAGTGGCCCAGTTAAGTGCCCCTGCATGCATCAATGCTTTGCATGGAGTTAATTTCCAAAGAATCCCTCGTTACTCACGGTAGACTTGACCAAACGCGCCCTTTCCAAGAGAGTCCCCGAGTTGCTGCAAACATATTCAACACAATAACACGATGTGCAATCGGTCAAACAAACATAGTCATTGAGAAGCTTTGACTGTGCTTGCGCGCTTTCCGGGACTGGTTGAAGTCGATGAAGGAGTTGCCATAGCCTTGGATGGGATATGGTCGGTATCAAGGCGGGTATAGAATAATGGCCTATGGTGGAATGGACCTGGCGTCCCAGTCCAGAGGACTTTAAATGGTATATCTGAGGCGTTTAAACCAGGAAAACAAAAAGAGAGCCCGTAAATGATTCTCTAAGTCTGAGTGTCGCGTCCTGCGCTGACGAGGAAATGCTCAGTGATCCAACACCACTGAGCAGAAACCAGCCAAAAGCAGTCAATTCAGTGACAGTCCGATTTGGAAGGCCTCTCTGTTCAGCTGTCACTGTCACTCCTTGAGTGACCAGGTCTCCCTTACATAAAATTATAGTGATAGCTATTGCCTGCTCAATAAGTACTCCACGCTAAACTAATAGTACATATAACCTCTGTCGTACCGGAACAGGTAGAGAATGGATAAGATTCAAGTCATACAATGCCAGCAGTATTTCGCTGGTCGGATTTTGAGGCTGGGGGCCAGTCAGCGTGGTCGCTAACTGGACTACCATCTATAGGACTTAGAATAGTTGGAGTATTTGTAGCTGAACATATCGTGCTCAAGCGAGGGCGAGTAGTCGACAATGATGGATTCTCTGCAAAAGTGATGGTTCGCACAGGAGGAACAGAACTTGCAGAGCCAGATCGCAACCGGCCGAGAACGACAACTCCCCCCGAGGGCGTGGATATGGCATTGCGTGTGGACATAATAATACTGTCCACTTCCGAGTGGTGGGGACTAGGCCCATGGAACGCTTGCTTCTTGAGGTTCAGAGTAATCCGCGACATCATTGTGACCTGTCGATCGTGATGCGATCAGAGTATCATGGATAGGATGCCATGAGCCGCTCACGGTGAGGACTATGATAGAATAATTTCAGTCAATCACTGACAGTCCTGGGTTTACTATCAAAACTCACAGAAGCCCAAGCCTTTGCACATCGCATATATCATATGGTAAGCAATACAATCTGGGAGATTGTTGCAATCAAGATGTACGTACTGTGCGGCGATATTTCTCAACCCCTCTGGAGCTCTGATGATCATGACTGTCAATATTAGATTGATGGTACAAATGACGCTGTATGCTTGGTGAGCTCTGTTACCCGGAGAGTCTGCTCCGCGTACCTGTAGTACAGCAGCCCGTCTGCGAAGAGGGCACGAACGACATGTCCTGCTTCTTTATTACGGATCGAAGGGAGGGTGCGATACAACGTTAGCCCAAACACATATGTATCGTAGAGGAGAGGTAACCAAGCTGAAGCCGAAGCAGAGCTGCCACTGGAAAGGGTTTCAGAACTCACATCTGCATATCAGTCGCAAGAACCTACGAATTGAACACCATAGTGCAAGCTGTGAGAAACATGAGTAAGGTTTGCCGTGTGTGAAAATGAGTATCTCACAGTGAACTTTGTCTGAGTGATAAACAGCTGGGAACATCATAAACTTGTATGTTGTGTGGCGAAGGTGGAACCATACCTTGGCCATGACTCAACAGCCACGCAGTCACTACAATCCAAGCTAGCAGCAAGAATACCGCTAGCGCAATGGCAACCTGTTGATGTCTGTACATCGCAAATACACTGTGTTTCCCATCATTATTAATAGATGCCTGTTGAGAGGTCGAACAGGTGTCACCGTAACAGCATCATTAACCCGACTATCTCGATGCCGATAGCTGTCATGGCCCCTTCGTATCGAACAAAATGCTGACAACTTAGGACAACATCAACCGAGTCCAATGGTGCAGTGAAATGCTGACCTCTGCAGTAACAGATTCATCACTGGAAAATAGTAGATATAACACATCGAAACTCACTGTGTAGCCCCATGTAGGTAGGTTGTACGCTGGTGGAGGTCATAGGTGAAACTGTAAGTCAAAAGTAAGGTACTCACCAACCAGGTTAACAATAAAGCCGAGAGGAGTAAGATATCGGTTCTGGGACATAAACCCGAACATGTCGGTTTCTATCGTACAACTGGCAGAGACACATGCATACCAGTAGAAACAAGTATACAACTAGTAAGCAGGCTCAGTTGATAGTGCACATCCATATCGGAGATGCCACTCACGTATTCCTTTAGGGCCTTGCCAAATTAATTCAATCTGAGTAAATTTGAGCTGCACGCAAGTCCGGTAGCATCTGACTCATGTCGCACCTCATCTACGATGGTAACAACGTGATCCCAGACCAATATGGTGAAACCTAGGATCCCAACATACTAAAACCATATGATAAATATTAACCACTGCAACAGGAGACTAGGCATAGCAACTGTACAATCGTTTGGCGTCTGAATATCAAGTATGTAAAGACATAAGTACATAGAGGAAAGCGTGACTCGCGTTTCTGTCAAGTCCTGGCGAACCATCTCCTGCATTGCTTCCGTCATTGGTGAGTGTACCATTTATTTGCGAAGACAGCAGTCCAAAATCGGTAAGGTGGTGTACTTCAGGGAAGGTTTTAGAATATTAAACGTGAAGGTTGTCTGAATGGAAGGTGGAGGATGGTAAAAAAACAGTCGACCACGTTTGAATGGAGCATTTACGCGCAGTAGCACCGCATGGGAGTTTCGGGCTGAATATATGTGCCAGTCTGTCATAAGTAACCATTGGTCATAAGTATGCCCTCGATGTTTCTCCACTTTTAACCAAGTGCCGTCCAAAGAAACTTCCTCCAGCGGACGGCAATCAGACGACCACACCATCGAGCCATCAAGCCATTGAAGTTGCAGCCTTGTGAAGCAGTATGCGGTCGCATACTAGTGTACATTTTCAAATCTACACATGTATCGCTTCGAGGGGAGAAACAGTGCTTTTCACAATCCGAGGGCCTACCTTGAGTGCGTGGGGACGGGACTGACATAGGATGTTGGCATATGGCTTGCTGCCCCGCTCGCTTAAAAAGCGGAGATAATAAGAGGACAGGGCATACAGGATTTAGCACCGATACGTTTCATGTTCATCCTACAGCAATCATGTACCTTGCCATGTATCCTGTGCGTGTAAGTTATCTTGGTGCAAGATCAAATGACCTATGTGCGACAGGCGGGAACGTGACTATGTGGCTGCGCGCACAACCACAATCTGAGGTAACACGCCTTCAATCATCCAAAATGCGGGTTGACGCTGGTACGAAAAGAGGTCACGACAACAATGTGCATATGTTTACTACTTGAATAAATAAATTTGACAGGAGCGAAAGAAAACATACTGAAGGAACTCGAGAGATTCTAACCCCTTCCGGCTGACTCTGCTACAAACACCGCCAAACACCATTGCTGCTTCTGCTCCTAGGGCCCCCACTACATCGGACCATCCAGCTATCTGGTGTGAGGAACAGCACAGGCTTCCTGAGCACCCCGCCACAGCACGCAGGACAAAATTGCGTCACCATGGCTAGGGCAATCCCGTTATTGAGACAAGACATGCTCATAAATTATAATAAACGAGGTAGAAAATCGATAAGATTCAAATCATACAATGTCAGCAGTCTTTTGATGGTCGAAATTTGAGACTGGCCAGTCGGCATGTTCGCTAACTAGACTGCCACTTGGGGTATTGGCAGCCGAAAATATTGTGTTCAAGTAAGGCCGGGTGGTGTAGAGTGATGGATTCTCTGCAAAAGTGATGGTTCGCACAGGAGGGACAATTGCAGAGCCAGATCGCACGCGGGTACTCGAGGCGCGCGCAGAGGAGACATAATGGGATCGTAATCGGCTGGGAATGACAACTCCCCCTGAGGGTGTGGGTATGGCATTGCGTGTGGACATAATGATACTGTCAATCTGCGAGTGGTGAGGACTAGGTCCATGAAATGCTTGCTTCTTGATGTGTAGAGTGATCCTTGACATCATTGTGACCTATTGGCCGGAATGCGGTCAGAGTACAACGGATAGGATGAAGCCTCCTTGCTCACAGTGAGACTGACGGAATAATCTCAGTCAATCACTGACATTCGTGGTTTAATACCATAGACTCACCAAAGCTCAAGCCTATGTATATGTATATCATATGGTAAGCAATGCAATCTGAGTAAGTGTTGTAATCAAGATGCACGTACTGTACTGCGATATTTTGAACCCCCTCTGGAGCTCTGATGAGCATGATTGTCAATATCAAATTGATAGTGCAGATGACGCTGTATGCTTGATGAGCTCTGCTACCCGGAGAACATGGTTCGCGTACCTGTAGTACAGTAGCCCGTCTGCGAAGAGACTGCGAACAATATACCCTGCTTCTTTATAGCGGATCGAAGGAAGCGTGCGGTACAACGTCAACCCAAACACATAAGTGTCATACAGAAGAGGTAACCAAGCTGAAGCCGAAGCAATCTTGCCGCTGGAAAGGGTGTCAGAACTCGCATCTGTATCAGCGGCGAGAACCTACGATTCGAACACCATAGTACATGCTGTGAAAACATGAACAAGGTTGTCGTGTGTGAAAAATGAGGATCTCACAGTGTACATTGCTTGGGTGATAAACGGCTGTGAGCATAATTTCAATATATTGTGTGGCGAAGCTGAAATTGGCATACGTTGACCATGATACACTAGCCATGCAGTCACTACAATCCAGGCTAGCAGTAAGAACACCGCCACAGCAATGGCAGCCCGTTGATATTTATACATCGCATAGACACTGTATTCACCATCATTAATAATTGCCTGCTGAGATGGCGAACAAATTTCACCGTAATAGCATCATTACCCCGGCTATCTCTATACCTATGGCTGTCATGGCCCCTTCGTATCGAACGAAATGCCCACAACTTAGACAACGTCAACCAAGTCCAGTAGTGCAGTGCAATGCTGACCTCTGCAATCAAGTTCATATGATTCATCACAGATCATAGATATAACATATCGAAACCTACTGTGTAGCCCCATGTAGGTAGGTTGTATGCTGGTAGAGGTCATGGGTGAAACTGTGACTCAAAAGTGAAGCACTCACCAACCAGGTTAACAATAAAGCCAAGAGGAGTAAGATACCGGTTCTGGGACCTTTAAATTACTTTAAAAATGGCAGAGATTGATATGTGCATACCAGTAGAAACAAGTATCCATCTAGGCAGGCTCAGTTGCAAGTGCATATCCATATGAGAGATTGGACCACTCACTAATTCCTTTAGGGCCTTGCCAGATTAATTCGATCTGAGTATGTTAATAAATTTGAGCTTCACGCAAGTCTGGTTTGTCTGATGTCGCACCTCATTTGCGCTGGTGATCAGGTGATCCCAAACCAATATGGTGAAACCTGCGATCCCAACATACTAAGACCATATGATAAATCAACATCAGTCACTGCAACAGCAGACTAGTCGGAAACAATGTACAATCGTTTGCCGTCTGGAAAGTCAAAGGTATCAAGTATGCAAAGACATACACAGGCAAGCACAACTCACGTATCTATCAAGTCCTGGCCAACATTGATCTCCGTCATTGGTGAGACGAAAACAGCAGTCCAAAACCAGTAACTTAGTGGTGCGCTCAAGGGTTATTAACCCGGAAGGTTGTCGGAATGGAAAGTGAGGGATGGTTAAAAACAGTCGACACGTTCAAAGCACGTTTGAATGAACGCATTTATATGCAGCAGCACTGCATGGGCGTTCGTATGTGCTTCTGTCGTAGCGACACAGCTCGGGATCTCAGTTGATATGTTCTCCACTTTTGACGCAAGTGACGTCCAAATAAAACGTCGCCTAACGTCGCCACCAGACAGCGATCAAGCCATGGCATATACTGCACAGGTTTAGTCTAAATTTATCAAAGCCGCTCGGATTCAACCAGTGGCTGGCCCGTCCTGCTTTTAAAGGTGCGACCTTGTGAAGCCGTATGTGGTCGCATACTAGTGTGCATTTTCAAGATAAAGCATCGTAATACGGAGCGCCTACGTTCAGTACACAGGGATGGGAATGCAGATTGTCGCCCCCGCTCGTGACATGGGCATGAGAGACGCTGAGAGGGCAGGGCACACAGGATTCAACACCAATAGGTCCCATCCTAGAGCGGTTACTTGCTATGCATCCTGCACATGTCAGTTATGTATTCTTGGTCCAATAACAAATGACATATTGCGACAGGTGGGAATGTGAGTATGTGGCTGCGCGTACAACCCTAACCAGAGGTAGTGAATAGGCCTTCAGTCATCCAAAATGCGGTGACACTGATACGAAAAGAGGCCATGACAGCAAGGCGCATGTTCCTGCCACTGGTCAAAACAAATTTGACAGGAGCGAAAGAAATATACTATCCACCTATCTGGTGTGAGGAACGGCAAGGCTTCCTGAACGCCCCGCCACAGCACGCAGGACGGGAGGGCGTCACCCTGGCTAGGGGAATCCCGTAAGATTATTGAAACAAGATATGCTCATATCGTGCAGACTCCACATCAGCACAAGTCCTATTGAGCCACAGACTACTCTCGAAAGATTGGGCATCGTCCGTGAGATCAGTATCCATTGAGATGGATGGCGTAGGGGTACTTGAGAGAACTGTCAAGCATTGTGATCGTAGCTGTGGATTGTTCGCGAAGAGCATTTGCCGGTGTCCGGACACTGATGCAAACATTGACAGCGTGGGGAGTGAATAGAGCAAGGTCGATGATGGTCACGACTCACAAGACGGATTAACCATCAGCTCTACTTGTTTTCTAAAATTTAGTGTGACGCGCGACGTCATGACTACCTACAGTAAGCGAAAACGTCAATCGAGGATATTTTTCGCCTGTCCATCAACTTACCGTCAACCTGACGAGACGATTGTTGAGCTATTCAGCATGGCAGCAGAATGACTAACTGAGAATCTCACAAGAACACTAATCTAGTGAACATGTATGAGCGACTGTAATCACGGGCACAAAGCTAGATGGACTTACTGAGCCGCAACGCCCTTCAGACCTGGGGGCGCTCGTATAATCATCACAGTCAGTACTAGATTGGCAGGACAAATGACGCTACTCAACCAACAGATTAGGGGGTTGACTTGAATGGAGAAACATACGTACGTATAGTATAATGTACCATCTGACAGAAGTATATGCAAGATACATCCAGCTTCTCTATTCCGAATACTGGGCAAGATGGACCATAGGGTCATGACAAAAATGACAGTGTTGTATGCCAAAGGCAGCCACGCTCGAGCAGCAGAGAGCCCCCTGATGTCACGATATGGTGAGTAAGAATAAGAAACTAGCATGACGATGAGTTCCTACGGCGGCAAGTCATAAACCTCACGGCAGGCTAACAGGGAAATCAGCGAGAAGTCACTACATCTGGAAACAATGCTCACAGTGTACTTGTTGAGCATGGGAAACTACTAGAATAGTATGATATCACTGCTGTCTGCACAAATAACAGGTGTGCTCACTTTCGCCACGAGTCATCAAACACGCCTCGAGTGCAACCCAGACTAAGAAGATGAGACAAGGGATCGCAGTGGCGAGCCTGCGACTTCGCCACAAACACAAAGCATAAACCCTAGAAAATTCGTAAGAGGTGCCGACCACCGTCCCGCTTGGAGTGGCTCACCGCAACAGCATAATCAATTCCGCTATACTGACACCAATGGTCGCCATGGCCCCTTCGAATCTGATAAATTTTCTGCAGCTTAACAACAGTTTGATGCCAGTCATTCTAGATCAGAGGCCACAAACCTCTAAAGATAATACATATGATTAGATTTTGAGATAATGTACGAAGCAGTTACCTACTTCTGTGGACCAAGTGGGGAGGGTCAAGGCTGGCAATATGTTTCAACAAAGAGTAATCTATCATGCAAGAAGAGAGAGCCAACCAACGATCTTGACGATAAACCCCAGGGGCGTGATGTATCGATTCTTAAATTCAAAGGCACATATAATTTCAAGAATGGGTCAAATGTGGTTTCACGTACCAGCAGAAAGAGGTACCCAACTAGAACAAATGTGAGCGCACGAAGATGTCAAAGTGTAACCTATACTCACGAGGTCCTTTACGTTTACACCAGATAAGGGCTACCTGGATCAACATCATTCACGCTATTGAGGTAAAATGCTCTGGAGCATACCTCATCCGCAAAGGTGATTATGTGATCCCAGCACAGAACCGTAAAACTCGCAACAGCTACAAACTTGACATCCAATGATATGTCAGACGGTGCGACAGTGGATCATTGGAATAAGACGTACGACAGCCTGTTGACTAGTGACAGGAGATGGTTCATGAAGGCATGCGAAACAATACGACAACATAGGCACTTACGCCTGGAGTGAGTCTAAAGTCGCAGATTGTGTGGTCAGACTATCCATTCTTGATGGGGGGTCAAAGTGCAACGGACAAGGCGAGACCTGCAGTTGCGATCTTTGGTCGGGAAAGCCACTGGAGATTCTCTTATATAGATAGCGGATCCCATAATAGATACTTTACGTCAAGGGGCGATGTGCATGCTGGATCAGCGTCTGCGGAAGCAAGGCCATGAGCTTCTCGGAGAAAAACACGTATTGCGAGTCCTTAAGCGCCAGGGACGGAATTGGACGGAATTGTGCCCAACGGCTCGTACATGCGCAATTCATTCGGAAACGGCTCCGATCGCAAAGGGGCGTAATGGGTTCATTGAGCTAAGAAAAAATGGCATTGAACTCGTCGCAGTTCGCGAATTGCAATTGAAGTTGTCATTGTCGCGTGCATGAGGTATCAGTGGCTGTGCAACAAATCTACTAATTACTCTCCTTGGATGTACTCGAAGTATACAGCTACTAGTGATATAATGCTATGAGTACTGTGTATATATGACAGCCTGCTGTCGAACGGAGTAGAATTCGAGAGTCCATCTATTTATTTCTTCATCAGCTCTAGATCTAAAGTGCTACCCGGTGGGTGCGAAGATCGAAATGCGATTGGTAGCAGTACAACCTCTGCCAGGAGTTGGTTTGAGTATCCTAAATCAATGTATTATGTGACAAGTTGAATAACGTACTTTTGCAGGTCTATGTTATACGATAGTTTGTACATCAATCCTTGTTGAAACCATTGGGTTGCAATACCGACTGCGTCCATCGTCCACAACATCGAATGCACCAACCACTGCAGGACAGGTGAAGCAGGTGCGAAATTTACGGTCTCGCTGTCCTCAAGAGCAGACACCATCATCGAGAGCTCCTGCATGACTTCGCATTCCGAACAATTCTGTTCTCACAGGTGAAGTCTGGGAGCTGGAAGCTGGTAGTTGTAGCTTCAAGACATCTAGGGCTGGCTTTTGGCAATCAAAGCAGAGCGGAAATTTGCTCCCCAGATATGTGTCAATCGGTGCAGAACCAACTTTCTTTAAGCTGAGGGTGATGCGTGACATCATCGTGACCTTATAACGAAAGAGGTCCGAGGTTATTGCAATTTACAAATATAATGAAACTCACCTAAAAAGAAAAAAGTTTCAAACGAGTGTGGCTGAGTAGTACTCTAAGTAGTACCCGACGCGCGTTACACAACAACATTCAACTGAGTATATGCGCGACTATGAGTCAACTCGGGTCCGACGATGATACTCGCGACGACGCTAGAGTCCATGGCAATGGTTTCAATGAAAATGGTATGTTTTTATCGCAGTACTGAACAGTGAACACCAGGGACCTTATGTTGTCATTATAGGACCTTTGGAGAGCGCATATAACAATGGCAAGGGTATCGCAGTCTCCGTGACATTTACCCCACTTCTACCACCTCCAGCAACTGGAGAAAAACGCCGCAAGAATGCTAAATCACCACCCATAAACCGTGCCTTCTTCATCCACGAAGATTCAACCCTCCGCGACCTTCTCGATACAACATTCGAACACTATGACATCTCTGAGAAAATGATGTACGGTATTGGGAATCGATCAGGTCTTCTCTCGGCTACCAACTTCACGATCACGTACACAATCCTTCGCACGAACTATAAGAATATTGTTCTCGCAAACCTCAGTGATTTCGACACAATCATGGAGGAAGTCAAAGAACACCGGTCACCAGCCTTCAAATTGACTATCATCAAGACCAAGGTATGTATTTTGGGTGTTTGTATGTGATTTGCAGTAAGCTAAATACATGGTAGTATGATGATGGCGAAGAAGCTGAAGAAGATGAAGAAGCTGAAGCTGAACCTGCGGGTAAGAGGGTGGGATATATGTGTTTCGATTGTCTTCTTGTCACTCATGTTGCGAAGGCTGCAACAGGTCCAACTGATGAGGAGATAGAGCAAAACGAGGCAATTGCAAATCTGACTCGTCAGTATACCTGCGAAGACCGAGCATGTGGTTTCCGTATCTGCTGGCCAGCTCCACCAGACGCCAAACACGTCAACCTGACACCATTACATCTCAACACGTGGGCTGCTGCGATGGTCTGCGTGATGTTCTGAAGTATGTAATCTGCATGTGTCACTAACAGGGTTATTACACAATAGGTTGGTCCGAACAAGCAGCCAGGTGTCGACTTAGACAATCTGCCAAACACGAAGATTTTCGATGTTACATACGCAGACCCGACTGATATTGCTACTCTCTCACGTCGACGTCTCAATACAGTTACCCAAACCCAATCCTCCGCACCAAGTATTGTCATCAACAATGACTTCAAGGATATTGTGGGCCTCCTGCATGGCAAACGTGGACCCGATCACGCTGCCAACATCCCACAGCCTGCTGCTCTTCGTCTGAAGTTGAGTTTGATTGATTTTTGTGAACGCTTCAACCTATCGCTATGGCTACGTGAGAAGTTGGACAACATTGACATGACAGGCCCACACTGTCTTCGGTTCCTTCAGAATGCTGACTTGCTTGGTGCTGGACTGTCTCTTGGTGAGCTTGCAGATATTTGTGATGCCGAGGAACGGTGGATGCTTGATGCTTAGTTTGTATGGCTCCGAGCTTTCAAAGTGTATTTTTCGGCTGCAGTATTCACAGACACCCATTCATAATATTATGCTACTGTATTGTAACAATGCTATGGTCAAGCAAGATAACCCGAGTGACGAAAGAAGCCCCAAGTCATCTCGGGTGTTATGACAGAACATGCAGTGTACAGCTCATAGTAAGGAGCCTTAGGCCCATAGAACCCTAACCCTTGGCGACGGAGATGTGACTTGATTGCGGAGAATGCTTGCTCAATAGGATTGAGATCCGGGGAATATGGTGGTAAGTATTCAATGCGGCACCCTGACAAAATAGTGAGACAACTCCGTATCACAAGCTTTATTATACTGACCATAAGCATGAACAAGCTCTTCGATTTCCTCCACATGGTGAATACGAGCATTGTCCATAACCAACACACTCCGTGGCCCTGGAAATGGAGTCGTGATAGGAAGCTAATAATAACAGGTTACTGATACATCACAACGACACTGACAGTTTGAAAATGAACCACATCATTTTGCAAAAAATCGATGAAAGTCTTGCGATTGAATGATCCTTCAACAACTTTTGCAGCAATGATGCCCTCATCGAGAGCCAATCCTGCTACCATTGAAAACCGACGTTTCCGAACAAATGGTTGATGCTGCTCAGCACATGCACCTCGCGGAGCACGTCCCCAGCGACGTGAGTATGTACGGTCATCTTTTGAAACTTCATCCAAACAGAGTAATGAAGCTGGCGAGTATTGCGAGACACAACGAACGAAGTCTGCGCGACATAGAGAGTCACGTTCAGCTGCAATCTTCTCAATGTGCTTGAGATTGATGCCAGCACGCTCAAAAGATCGGTGAATGGTGGATAGTGATGTCTGTAGAAACCGGCCATCCTGAAGTCTCAGCTGGTATTCATCGAGGAATAGGGTGGGGTTATGGCGAGCAAGCCGAATGAGGAACTGGATATCATGCTGGGTGAAAGTACGAGGCCTGCCCCTGCCAATTGCCTGAATTTTGGCTACACTGCCAGTGGCTCGTTTACGACGTTGTGTGCGGTAGATGGTTGACTTTGAGATCTGTGTGATGGAGAGGATTTCTTTGGTTGCATATCCTTTGTTCGCCATTCGCAATGCAGCATCTTTGAGGTCGTCGCTGATCCGTCTATTGCCCATCGTGGAGAAGAGTAATGTGTGACTCACGAGATGCTGGCTGAGGCTGTACGCTGCTGTATGCCACACGCAACAGGTGACCAATTCCGAAAATATATATTTTTACACATTCGAAGAGTGTCATTGTTTATGAAAATCGCAATAAGATGAAGCAGGCAATTCATGATGTAAACCGGACTCACTGTTAATCTGCAAATTGATCGCTTGGTGATCGACAATATCCGCCAATTGACTACTCACATCAGTTCAAGTCTTTGGTGTTCAAATGAGGTCAGTTAACTATGCCACTTAAACAGATCGGAGACTCACTGTCCAGTAATGTTCTTCAAGCCTTGTGGAGCTCTCACAATCATGATCGTAAAGATGAGGTTTATAGCACACATCACACTGTTAAATCATGTAAAAAGTCTGCAACTGTTCGATCCAGGAGCGTACCTGTAGAATAAAACTCCATCTGCAAAAAGCGCGCGGACGACATGTCCTGCCTCCTTATTTTGTATCGAGGGCAATGTGCGGTTCAAAGTCAAGGCGAATACAACGGTGTCATAGCAGAGAGGAACCCATGCCCATGCGGATGCGAGCCCCTTTCTAAGCACTCTGTTAGCCCTTCCGCTGGCTGGAAAGTATGTATTACATACGCAGAAACAAAGAACTCCATGCGACAAGCTGTGCGAGAAATGTGAGCAGATGAGATAAGGAACATCCAGAAAGACGGTTTCACAGTGGACATAAGAAGGGTGAGGGACAGCTGACCAATGGATTAGCTCGACCCGAACCGCACGCCAACTTTGACGCTCACCTTCGCCGTGACACAACAGCCAAGCGCTAACTGCCACCCAACCAAACAACAGTGATGCCACGAGGCTTATAGTATATCTGTTATTACGATACATGGCTCGAACGCTGATGTATGGGATTAAGAAGCTGTGTATGATGATAATTGACACGTCCGGCTTGAGAGCTCACCGCAGGAACATCATCAGCGCCACGACTTGGATCCCAATTGCTGTCATGGCCCCCTCGTACCGAACGAAATGCTCGCACCTGTGTACCTATCACAACGCAGGAAAGTTTTTTTAAAGGGATGCCTTACTTCTACATGTCTCTTTAGATTATACATATTACGGAGAAACGAATGGCACTCACTATGAACGACCAAGAAGGCAGGCTGTATGCTTCATGACAATAAAATGTCACACGTTGGCATGGCATTTCAGAACTCACCAACAAGGTTCACTACAAATCCAATGGGTGTGAGGTACCGATTCTAAGGCAAAGTCAGGACGGAAAGGTCGTTATCTGGCCACAACGTACGAGCAAGAATAAGCACGTCACTTGAAATCGATGTCAATACCAAGAAAACGTGCATAATTTACGGACGAGCTTACAAAAGTTCTTCGGACGACCCCATATGATCTCCACCTGTGGTGGGTTAGCCTTAAGCCAATGTACCAGAATAATAATAAAAACAGACCTCGTCTGCAAAAGTGATTGCATGATCCCACACCAGAATTGTCAAACCAACAAAGCCAATAGCCTTCAGATGTCTCCTCAGCCTGAACCCCTGTATATGTACTTGACAACCCACAATAGTTTGCGAACTGGTACGAAGGGTGAGGAAACCGATGGACTTAGCATGAAACACAGCACTTACGCTTCCAGTGCATCACTGATGATTTCGGTCTTCAGTGGGGTCGACATTGTCAGCCTGAGCGTCACTGTTAGACCAACCGCTTCAGTTTGCGAATAGTTGGCGGCGAGCAGAATGGCCAATGGTACCCAAGGGAATGAAGTAGCGCACAAGGGAGTCAGACCAGCACAAATTCACTGTTCATTAATATGTGCCTGCAAAGTCCTAAAAGAATTCGCAAATCGGATATTACCAGCACGTAGACCTTGCAAAGGCGCCAAGGGACCATGATCAAACGACAGCTGTCGATGTGCATGTGCCGCTGCCACAGCCTGCTAGCGTCTGTACTTTATGGGATCCCAGGAAAGTCCACGGCGACTCTCCTGTTTTCTGTCACTGGAAGTCTGGAACCCTGGAAACCGGCGACGACCGCCCCAAAGTTTGGAACCGAGCTGGGGCAGAACATGGAGGTTTTCCTATATCGTGATCTGAGCATTGAGCAAGGCAGGTGCTGACAGCGCTGAGCGCCGAGCCGACCCGTCCGCATCAAAGTGCATATCAAAATAGATGGTATGAATGAGGACATGATAAAAGAACTGAAAGAAGCTGTGAAGCATTTCTACTACTACTTAGTACCGTAATACAAGGTGGATCCATGATCCGTTGGTCGACGAAAAATAAGCAGATGTATGAGAGGCTACGATACGGGGACCGTATCCATAATATAAAAATATGGTCCGCCAATGGTGGGCGTTTCGGAGACGTACAGCCAGAAGCACAACTTCAGAACCTTCAACGATGACAACTGATCATGAGATACGCTGCCGTGCATTGCCACTCGGATGCCCCTTGTGTGTCTACAGAATCAATTTGTGGTACGGAATGCATGATCGATTCAATGTTGTCTGCAAAAAAAAGTAAAAAAAGAACAGGAGGTACTAGTGAGCCCACTGAAGCTGTGTGCACTATCACATATCAAGCATGCCGCCTTGTTGACTGAACCATATTGACCAACGTTCCAAGGTGACGAAATACGTTCCTTTCCCCTTATGAGGGTGTTATCACTTCATATGCGCATTACGCAGGGTGCGCCAAGCAGATACAAGCGCATCTCCCCGATAGTCCCCGACAATGTCGGGTTGATGTCAGGCTCAATCACAGCATTCTCCGCATGGACTTGCGTACCAAAAGTTTTTGATTTAATTGAAGCGGGGATTCAAGGGATTGAATGAGCAAAGGAACAAAGTTGTCTGAGTGCCACGACATATCATTACAATTTAATTACATACAGGCTACCTAATCGTAAATTCCTCCAATTAGCTTTCCTCGGACATACTCGAGCTTGAAGCTTGAGAACTATGCAGCTACGAGTGATATAATGCCATGAGTAAACTAGATGGCAGCTTCCTGTCCAATATACGGAATTCGAGAATCTCTTCTGTCGATGATTTTTCTCGTCGAAGGTAAGAAAACAGTTACAGTTGGTATACGTATTACGCGTGACGACCTCTGGAATCTGTGTAAACATCTCGATTCTATTGAGGGAAATCTGAAAGTGACAGGCTGAACGACGCACCTTCCACAGGTCTGTTTTATTCGATACTCCGATGTACATCAATCATTGTTGAAGTTATTGGCTCCTGGTACCGACTGTGTTCATCGTCCAAAACCTCGAATACATCAGCCGCTGCAGGGCAGGCGAAGCAGATGCGAACTTGGTCATCTCGCTGTCCTTGAGAGGAGACAGCACCTTCGAGTGCTTCTGTATGACCTCGCATTCGGGACAATTGTGACCTCGCTGACGAATTCTGGGAACTGCAACCTAGGGGCTGTAGCTCCAAGACATCTGGGACAGACCTTTCGCAATCAAAGCAGAGGGGAGATCTACTTTGCGAATGTGTGGTGAGTGATGTAGGACCACCAAGGCACTCCTTCTTTAAGCTTAGAGTAATGCGTGACATTATTGTGACCTTGTAAACAAATTCATTCGGGGATAAGAATCATATGATGAAGCTAGAAATTCGTGATCTACAACCAGACTCACTGGTAATCTGATTTCTTGTTCATCGACAATCAGCTCCTAAATCCGCAATCAGCTACACTCACATAAGTTCAAGTCTGATAAGATTTGGTTTTCGGAGGCTCGGAGTCAATGAATTAATACCATATGAGAATGACTGAGAACTTACTGTCCAGTTATGTACTTCAAACCTGGCGGAGCTCTCACGACCATGATCGTAAAGATGAGGTTTATAGCACACATCACACTGTTAAGACGTAAAAAAGAATGCAACTGTTCGATTCAGGAGCATACCTGTAGAATAAAACTCCATCTGCAAATAGGGCGCGGACAATATGCCCTGCCTCCCTGTTTTTTATCCCGGAAAATGTGCGGTTGAAAGTCAAGGCGAACACAACTGTGTCATAGCAAAGAGGAACCCATGCCCATGCGGATGCGAGCGCCGTTCTGAGTACATTGTCAGCCGTCCCACTTACTGAAAGGCATTGATTACATACACAGAAACAGAGAACTCCATGCCACAAGCTATGTGAAAACTGTGAGCAGATGAGATAAGAAGCATGGAGATAGATGATTTTACATTCGGTATACAGAGAGTGAGGGACAGCTGACCAACGGATTAACTCGATCCGACCCCAATTGGCTTTGGGACTCACCTTCGCCGTGCGTCAACAGCCAAGCGTCAACTGCCACCCAAGCAAACCACAATGATGCTACGAGGCCCACAACGTATATATTATCGCGGTACATTGCTCGAACGCTGATGGATGGGATTCAGAAGCTGTGCAAGACGATAATTGACGCGTCTTGATTGAGAGCTCACCGCAGGAACATCATCAACGCCACGACTTCGATCCCAATCGCTGTCATGGCCCCCTCGTACCGAACAAAATGCTCGCATCTGTGCACTTGTCATGATACATTAAAATCTTTAAAGGGATGCCTTACTTCTAGATGTCTCTTTAGCTTATACTTATCAGAGAGAAATGAAAAGCACTGACTATGAACGACAAAGAAGGCAGGTATGCTTCATGATAATTAAGTGTTACACATCGGCATGACAGACATTCAGAACCTACCGACAAGATTCAGTATAAATCCGAGGGGGGTAAGATATCGATTCTACACCAAAGTTAGGTCGAAAGGGTCGTTTTCTGGTCGTCAACGTACAAGCAAGAATAAGTATGCCACTTTGAAGTTGATGTCACCCCAGAGAAGTGCATAATGCATGGACGAACTTACAAAAGTTCTTCGGACGACCCCATATGATCTCCACCTGTGGTGGGTTAGCCAATGCACCAGCAGAAGAGCAAAGACGGACCTCGTCTGCAAAAGTGATAACATGATCCCACACGAGAATTGTGAACCCAAAGAAGCCAACAGCCTTCAGATGAGTCTCCTCAGCTCGGACCACTGTATATGCACTTGACAACCCACAACAGTTTGAAAACTGATACGAGGGGTGAGGAAACCAAGGAAGTCAACATCGATCGCAGCACTCACACTTCCAGTGCGTCACTGATGATTTGGGCCTCCGATGAAGTCGACATCGTTTCACTATTAGACCAAGTGCTTCAAGAATCAGAACAGAATGGCCGACAGCACTACTGAGTGCAAAGTGATAAAGTACTGGTACAGAAGGAATATGGGCAGTTAGACTAGCCAAATTCATTGCGATGAAACAGCATCTTGGCTAATTGATGTAAGCAGTGTGGAATAGTGTGGAGTGTCGGCAATCAGGCCACAGCCTGCCCACCATGGCCACAACCTGCCCACCATGGCCACAGCCTGCCCACCATGATCGCAGGGTAGTGTTGCCGTCGAACCAAGGTGACCTCGAGGTAACTTCGGTTCGGTTCGAAATTGAGGCAGTTCGATACAACTCGATTCGTTTATGCCTCGTTGTAGATAAGCATCGAATTAGGAACGAACTGCCAAATGAAATGCTAAATCTGGCCTGTGACTTGGTGATTCATTAGAGCTAGTAGTACTCCAGCAACCTCACATCTCTAGCATTTCCTCAATGTACTCTGCTCCTCCGTTGTCCGTCCTCGAACCTTTTGGTATAGAACGTATTTTCGTCGGACCGTAGTACTGCTTTAGCGCCGGAGGACAGGCGCCTGCAATACTGTACAATACAAATGTTGAGCAATCCTCAAGCGTGGTTAGGCGACGGATGTATAGGTCATCGTATAAATTCGTGCGTCGTACTGTGAGTTTAGTATTATATTCCCAAAACATGAGTTTTCACCAGTGGAACAGTTCTGCAGCTTCTGCTATCCCTTCGGCATCTCAGCAACAGCATCATCACCCTCACCCAGGCTATACAAGTCTGGCATGGTCCGCCGCTCATGCACGTCCACCATTTTACCCTCACACACCATATGGGCTCCCAAGCAACACTTCTGCATCTCCACATCTCCCACATCCATTGCCTGTCGCAAATACATTGGCAAACATGCATCACTTTGTGCAAGCCCCTTATTCACCAGCTGCAGCAAGCTTTACACCGTCAAATCCACTTACCGACATCACTCCTACGGCTGTCAATAATACCGCTCCAACTACTACTACGAGAACGCAAAAACGCGGCTGCGACAGGACCAAAATCCCGCGCGAAGAAACACAAGAACGACGACACGACTTCAAACATTCAAACAGCAACTGTATGTTGTGTTGGCCCATCGACTGCGCCGACGCACACAGATACTACGGAGCTACCTCCCCCTCCTTTGCATATATACACAAATCCTTTGCACACTCCGTCGAAGCAGATTCTCACCACGAGTAATGCAAGCACTCCAGACTCTTAATTCTTACAGACAGGAGAGATTATGTTTCACTAGTGATTTGATTGCAAAAGAGGGTGACTACAAGATTTCGGGGCCTGTGACACGAAGAGCTGCAGAGGAATTGATAGTTACGGGGAAGTTTGACGAGCTTGCTAACCTATTACAAAATGTCGACGACGATAACGTAGAATGAAACACAGCCAATTCATATCTACTTCACTTTACAAACAATTCTCATTGGCTAGAGCTTCGAGCCGTATTCGTTACACTTCGGTTCGTTCCACCTCGACCATCGAACCTGGAACGAACTCCCACCTCGTTTCGATTTGGTTCAATTCGCGGCAACACTATCGCAGGGAAGTCCGCATTCATAAGCGAAAGCTTAAAAATGATGTATACCCATACTGTTCGGAACCGATTTGGGGCAAAGTAGAAAGGTTTCTCGACACTGACCTTCTCCGACGTCGGCATCAAAATGCATTGATATCAAAAATAGACGTTAAAAATAAAAACATGAACATGATAGGAAAGCTTCGGTGAAGCAATGTCCAAAATTCGTAGGCAACAAAAAACTAGCAAAGGTATAAGAGCCGATGACATAGGGAACACCGTGTCTATGACAAAATCTGGATATGGGTTAGCCAAGTCTATCTGCAGTAGCAGGCATTTCACGTACGGCAAGAAGCACAACTGCAACGACGATGACAATGATAATCATGAGACACGCTGCACGTCGCCCAGCTTTACGCTGGTGCTCGGATGCAGTCGAAAGCTCCTCGGCTGCCCCTTGGGTATCTACAGCGATGGAATACACGTTCGATTCAATGTTGTCTGCAAAGAAGAACAGTAGAAGCCAGTAAGCCAGTGTTGATAACTAAAGTATGTCACACACCAAGCATGCCGCCTTGTTGGTTGACCAGTGTTCCAAGGTCGCGGAATATCTCCGATAGTTCGTGTATACCGGACTCAATCTCTTGAATCTCTGCTTCTCGTTCTTGGATCAAAGACTCCTGGTACGCAAGTTCGTGTGGAGAAAGCTGTGACTGAAGAAGTTGAGCCTGGCGTTGTCGGGGAGATGCGCTTGGCTCTCGTTGGCGCAGCCTAAGCATATATGAGGGAATAGCACCTTCACGAGGCTGCAGTCACGTACGTGTCATCATGGTGCTCGTCTTCTACTGCTATCTTCACCCCTTCTACCACTGTTCTCTGGCGCTCTGCGCTAACTTGTTGTGCTCTTTGAAATGCTACCAAAGACAGCTGCAAGTCATGTGATATCTTCTGAACCGAGGTCTTGTGTTGAGGCTGGTACGTTTGATCAGTCGACAAGAAGGTACGGTTCAGAATACGGATTTACGCTGGTCGCAGCTGTCGAGGCAATCTTTTTCAAGTCCTCGGAGCCTCGCTTGGCCATAGCCCTAGTCGTCTCGGTGAGGTCATGTCTGTCCCGAATATAATCAGTAACTGTGGTGGTGACTAGCAAGTAATGACGCACAAAGACTTCCTTAGTGTGGCAGAGTCCTTTGTAGTGCCAAGTTGGTCAACGAGCTTGAGGATACCCTGTACATTCGAATTTATCTTGAACACTTGGAGTGAAAGTGACGATTGCAAGGAGAGAAACGCAGACTCTTCACGGGGCTGGAGCGCTGTCGAACTTGATTGTCCCGGACGCGCAAGGCCAGTTTCAATGTCCTGGAAGCTCATAATGGCACAGAAGAGCTGAGGGAGGACAATAGCGGCAAGGTTGTGGTCCTCACGCTGCCGCGCAGTCAGTACCCAAAGGAGTTAACGAAAAAGCGCTTACAAATCATTACGAATGTAGTCGTTCCGATTCCGAAAAATGCCTCGACCCTCGTACTTTCTTTTTAAAAAAATTCAAATTTATTGTCCTTTGGGGTCGTAGACCCTATGTCGGACACAACCCTTTTCGCGGGAGGCTTACTCCCGGCTGTCTATCGTAGAAGGTGTAAAGTATCTGGCAGAGTATGATGCAATGCGTACTGCGTTAGCGTATGTCGGGCAAAAGCCGACGCCAACGTCGTCATCAAAGAACTCGTGAGTCTACCCAGGATACTTTATGTCGATTACGGCGTTTTACATGACTTTAAATATAAAGGAAAGAAGTTCTATATATGACGATATATCGTCATATAAGACTTTATCTGCGGCTCATCAGTTCACTGATGATACAGGGGCATGTCCGTGGTGTGAGATGTATAAGAGCGGTGGATGAGGTGAATGTGATATTTGTGCATTGCATCGAATGGGCGTCTGATGGTCGATAGTCTGGTTGTTATATTGTTCCAGTCCAAAGCCTACTTCCTCCGTCCTTCCACAATCTCTGTTCCTACGGCGATGCTCGGCCTGCGAGCTTCCTTCCCCTTGGCGTGTCACTTTTTCCTATGCGATGTAGATGGTAATTGAGGGGGACATCGTGCTAACTTAGGTACTCAAGCTCAAGGCTAGGGTACGGACGAAAGTCTCCAAGCTGTTATTAACATGGCCATATAACACGTCACTCGCGGGGGTTATTAACAGGCATATTATTTAACACTTGCGCGACCTAAAAATTCAAAAAATTCTCACTTAGCACTAAACCCTACCGCCAGTCATTGCCAGTTACTCGAAACAATTGATGGGAAGGAGCCTGAGGCTCTTCGACATGTACGAGTGGCTAGACAAATGCCGCTCATGCGTGTCCACAATCATTGATGCCACAAAGAGCAGAAGGAGCCCGAAGGTTAAAGGTAATCCACGGTGGGCTGACGTGAAACTTCGTCTGTGTTCTTAGTTCTAGTTTCGTCACTTCTGACGGGCGCACGAAAGTCCTGCCGCGTATGCTGACCGACCGACTTAAATTCGTGCATGATGTAAGCTCTTAGTCCTTCAAATGTTCTTTTGTGATCATTGCTGAGATATCAATCATGTAGCTTGCGGCTATTTGCCCCATGGTTGCACAAACAGTCAATAGGCCCATTGCCTAATATCCGGCAGCCTCTAGCAGCTTGACAGCGGCGGCAGCTGTGTAATGTAATTACCGTTACGGTGATAGCCCTCCTGGATTTGATCGTGATACCAATATCAATCACTTGGTAGTATCACGTCCTCCCTCTTCTTAGCATATGCCGCAGTCAGGCGTGGCCTGGTGTAAGTATGTAGATATGACGGCGATCCCCATTGTCATGGTCTGCCACAACGGCATCGCATTATCCGTGGCTCGTAATGGGAGTCCGTTAGAGCCCGTCACGGTTGGCTTCATACGAAGGAATGACTGCCTGGCTTCAATCGATTTGACTTGGAAAGACTGACCCACTGGCAATCCCTTGGTGACGTCCACTCAGATTATGACTTGGACACTCCCGCGCTGAGTCGGTGTGGGTTTTCACTAGGTTATTTTCTCGGATAAAAGTTCGCAAATTCATCGGATTCGACGTATCTACCCTGTTTTCTGCATGGTGATTGCCACATATCCGCCTCTTTCTCATCCCAGCAGCACTATTGAAATGATTTTTCTGACGAGACTTCACAGTATATAAGCGCGACAGGCGATAGTAGGAAAATGACCTACACTCCCCCCTAGGCGGCACACCGATGGGATCATATTCGATACACCTTACAGTCCTTTTTGCATTTTTAACCAGCTTGGGCGTGCAAATTCATGCACTCTCTCCAGAATATACCGCGTGCCAATTGCAAAAGAGCGTGGTCGCATCCCCGTTGACTGGGTGCCCAAAAGGAACGATCTTTGTGTCGCCCACAGATGACAGAGCAAGTTTCAAAAAAGTCCAAGATGCAATAAAGTCTCTGTGAGTAGCAGCTAGAACTATGTCCTTGTCTCCTGTATTGATATTTGCCCAGGCCAGAGACGGGCGACGCAATCATCCTAATCGGAGAAGGAGAATACAATGAAATGGTTAATGTCGCGCGGGCTGCACCGCTCACTCTTCTGGTATCCGTCACTTTCTGAGGTGTTTGAAGTTCGATTGCCGAGACATCTGTTGTATAGGGTCAGCTTGATCCTTACACGGCTTACGATTCAGCGGGGAATGCTTCTCAACGCAACCTTGTTCATATTTGGAACAATTTATATGTTCACGATGGGTTGACCGACGAGGAGACCGCAACCCTCACCGTCGCGCCTGCCTCTGGAGAGCACTTCGGCAACACTAACTTCAGAGCGTATAATATCGACTTTGAAAATCGCGCTGTAAGCGTTGCCTCCTTCCTTTCATTTGAAGATATGCACAATCTCACCCGATCAGGCCAACTACGCGATTTCTCAGGCCCTCGTCACCTCCCTCAACCATGTAAATGCTTCCTTCTATGGCTGCACCTTCGCTAGCTATCAAGACACGTGGTACACCGGCAGTGGTGCATATACATATGCCGTCGACAGTATAATATATGGTTCAACTGATTGTGAGTCATGTTGTCTTGGATCACGCGGGTTGCACCTGCTGAGGTTGTGATAAGATCTTTTCGGATATGGCACTGCGTAAGAGTGTCTTCACGCGTATACTAAATCCATCGAGTAACTTTTTGAACAGATGGTTCCAAAATGTGATTTTGGCCAATCGAGCTTGTGGCGGCGGCATCACAGCCTGGCAGGGTACACGCGGCACCAGGAATGGGGCTATACATCGCCGATTCCAAAATCATTCGGGTCAGTTTTTTTGGTCTGATGCTCAAGCCCTCGATGATTATCTCCAATTCAGTCACCGGATGCTAGTGCGACCACTGTGACTAATGCCCAATGCTACCTCGGTAAGCTAAAGAGCGGAGCACATACTTCAATTGTAACGCTGAGTTGTCCACGACTCCTGTAGGACGTCCATGGAATGACCTGGCCATTGCTGTATACTTACGCACTTACATGGACGAGAGTATTCCACCCCGTAGGTTTTAGACCCTGGGCTTCAAAGTAAGCACAATCGTAAGAACGGCACCAATTGCTGACTTGTTTACGACAGAAATACTGGCACTATTCCACGCACCACTTACTACGCCGAGTTTGATTCAGTATGGTAAGCTTCGTGTACTTATGCTGCTAGAGCGGGATGCTTACATTGTTTGCAGGTCCTGGAGGGGGCACGTCGAAACGTGTAGCACAAGACCATATCATGACTTCCGAGGAGGTAGACAAATACTTCACATTGGAGGAAGTGTTTTTTGAAACACCAGCGTGGATTGATTTTAAGTACAAGTATTGATAGGTGTTGCCGTATTGTACTGAAAAAGACTCTGACGACCAAAATCCGTCAGACTGGTTGTCATTCGTTATACTTTACCCCGAATCCCTTTGTCCCCTCGCATCTCATACACGCAGTAGCCACACAGGTTCATGCCGATCCAAGCCTAGGGGAGCTTCCACATTCTTAGCAGGTGTGGCGGATAGCTGCACTGCATGTCGCATGGCTACCATCGTCCTTGGGGTCCCTTCAACTTGCCTTTTGTCACCTGTCGCCTCGTGGAGTGTGACCGACAATGCGGCTACCTCAGCATCTGTTCGTTTTGGAAGAGGTTTCCCATCCCCGAACGCAATCTTTGGCTGAATTTGCCCAAGTGATCGCAGCCACTGCGCAACTGCTGCTAAAGAAACACGGACTTCCCAAGAGCTGCCCTCCTGAACCGGTAACATGTTTTGAGACTTTGACTACTACGCGAAAGATGGTGCTGAGGATGGACTCACCGTGATCGTTTTTGCGATCGCAGCTTGAATGCCAAAAGCGAGGAAGTACCCTGCGACATGATCTAAGGCATGCATGTGGAGTGCTCGAGGTTCTGGCTTATCCACGACGGGTTGTCCATTAAATTCAGCAAAAGCTTCAGCCTCCGCCCAATTGAAGCCCATAGCGGTCTGCACGAGCGAGTCGAACTAGATATGTTATTGTCAGAAAGCGTAGTAATGAAGAGAGAAAATGTGTTACACCGCGCTTGTTCTTCCAGGGCCCTTCCCAGCCATACGTTGTCAAATTGGCGCATACAATACCAGGGCGAATTTTGGCAAGCTCATGGGCCCCGAAACCTTTGTCTCGAAGGCTGCCCTGGACGGTATGCTTGCAGGAATACGTCAGCATCCTTCACTAATTCTTTCAGGCGGTCGTGGTGAGTGGGCTCCGTGAGGTCGAGTTGCGTCGTGCGCTTGCCACGAGATGTATCAAAGTCGATGAAGGGTAAGTCAGGAAGCTTTGGGGACGAAACCAGGAGTACATCAGCGCCATATGCTATCAGGTTTGCAGATCGGTGTGGCGCATCTAATTGAGAGAGGAATGTTGGCACATACCTGCGAGCGTTCGGCCGCACACCGGTCCTGCAAGCACTCGGGACAGATCCAACACTCTAATTCCGTCAAGAGGGAACGGTGGGGACCCCTTGATTTCCCGTTTGGGAGCGTCTCCGATCTTTATGAGCTGAATGGGAGGGGTTCCTCGTAATGCAGCTGCTTGGGGATGCTTATCCCATTCCTCGAATGACCTATAGGCAGAAACACACATGTTCTGCTTTTCTGCTTCTTCTTCAAAATCTTTCGCGTTCCATTGCAGTAAGGCAGCTTGAATGGCTTTACGAGTGGATTCGCACTGCAGAATATTGAGGATGGCTTCTGCGTGGCTTCGGTGATCATTAGCTAGGTATCAAACGTGTGCTTATAAATATGATGCGAACTGACTGCGGAAAGTAGGTTTGCAAACAAACGAAACTGTTGTCCTTGGTTCTATAAATTCCCGCCAGTTGCATCCATGGGAATGGAGTGGCCCTCTGGTCATCTACGGAGTGCCAATATTCACTACTGGATGTCAGTAAGATAAACTCAACACCAACGGAATACGTAACCTCGAGATATCCAGGATAGCATGACGTGCATCGACGCTTACGTCTTGCATATTTCCTGTCCTCAAAGAATGGATATACGCAGCTGCTAGGCCTGATAGGCCAATCGATGTCTGAAAGGGGCTGGTTCACGGATGATATTCGAGGCTTGAATATGTTTGCTTACCTGGGCTGCGCTCCCTAGCTTGAAGGAAGAATTGATTGCAGTGTCAGGGGAGCCACCGAGTTTGAGGTGTGAAAGCATCTCTTGAGGCAAATCATTGGCGAGCCACAGAGAAGTAGCCTGGTCCCAAGGCTCTGAAGCGCCTATGTCGGACATGTTTCTGCTGCAGATAAGTAAACTTTGAACGGGGGGACTGGTAGGATGTGCTTAGTAGATAGGGTATTCAATATGTACCAATAACATGGATCTTTTTTGATATCTTGATGATGATGTGGCCATCTACGCTACGAGTAGCCTGATCTAGAGGAGCTAGAGGAGCTTTTACTTGTCATTTATGTTGTCGTACTGGGGGTATACCATACCCGTGAGTCATCCGATGTGTTTGTCGTGATCTAGATTTGATCTCGATTCCCTCTGTTTGCCCTTAGAAACAGCCTAACTACTGTATTCGGACAGGTGTGGGCACCGACTCTCTGCTGTTCTCGTGTACTCATTTGAGTTTCAGACTCATGCATCCGCACAGCGACTCCTTTACTACATCCATTTGCTGGCGCCTCCATTGTTATCTCAGCTCGAATGCTCGACCATCAATCTATCAAACGCGCCGTTCCGAGTCCTGATATTGCTGCCTTTGGCACGTTTTCAGCTGGTCGGGCAGGTGTACCTTGGCTGGAGCTTCCCGGGACCTTTCTGCAAAGGAAATAGTACCGCACAGTTCAAGCTTGAAACGCAAATGTACTGCAACCGCAATTATATCATCGATGAGTCCAGTTTCTTCCTCTATGGTTGCGCTCGCGACTGAGCAAGTGACTTCTACCATCGAGATGATAGCTAAGCTAACAACGTCCATCTTCGTCCTTACGTATGATATGCGAATTTCGAGTATGCTAGATCTAATGAACCAAATCGCATTTCAGTGTTGAGGCCATTCAGGCCCTTATTTGTGGCCCGTCATGATTGGTTTCATACGAGGGAACGACTGCCTTCATTCCATTGGTTTGGCTCGGGGAGACTTGTCCGTTGGCGACCCGTTGTTCAAATCAACTCAGATCATGACTTGGACGCTCTCCCACGCTGAGTCTGGATAGGTTTTCACTGGAATGATATTCTCTCGGATAAAAGTTCGCGAGGATTTGACGTATCTACCTGATTGTCTGCATGGTGACTCATGGTGATTATCAGCAATCCTCCTCTTTCTCAAGTTGTCAACCCAGCCATGAGCAATTCCCGGTCAAAATGTAACAGCTACTTATGAAACATGGAGTCCTCCAAGCCATCGTTAACATGCTAACTTTCACTGTTCAGGCGAGTATTTGTTAGTCGCGAGACTCCACAGTATGTGAATAACTAGTTGTCGTTCGTTTTACTTTACTCCGAATCTCTTCGTCCCTCGAATCTCACACACGTGGCTGTAGAGCAGCTAGAGACTACGCTGTTCAAAGTGTCAACGATCTCGAAGGGGAAGTCGAAGACTTCGATCGAGGGAGGAGAAACATTGATAGTGGAGAACAGACATTTTGTTCATCAACCCGTGAAAACGGAGATTCGCATCCGTGCAACGCCGAAACGTCGAAGACCCCCCGTAGATCTGACTGGAACACATTCCGACCACCAATAAGTAGGCTATACAAAACTTGACGAATCTTGCTTGCGTCATTCTCGCATAAATGACCGGCAGTATCACTCCACTGGACTCATGGAGGAGCAGCCCGCTTGGGTAGCATCAAAAACCTGCATGGTGGAACTCTGGGGCTGAACGGCAACATCATCCGAAAAATCGTCAACTATTTGAAGCGTTCCATTTAATCCTGAGCGTTGAGTATAATATCTAATCGCAGAAGGAGGCAACCACGCACCTTCATCACTTGCTACGGGCAGTGGAAATGATGCACACCAAAAAGTGGCCAACGAGTCCCGATAGTATACCTGTCAGTCTCGATCCCAAAACAACATCGGTCGGCAATCCATCCTGCACAACAAACGGAAAGTCGATCGTCAACTGCACGACACGACCAGCAATTTTCGCTTGAATTGGCGGGTCGGTCGCTTGACCCGTACCGTGGCGGGTGCGGTGTAGCTTCAGAGACCCGCGGGTTCACCCGTGCTCAACCCTACTCAAACTAAGGGCATCTCAACTGGCGGCAAATGACGAAACACATTTGAGTATTCTATTCACTAATATTAATTTACGAGCAGTCCCTCATGAAAACTGTTGCGCCTCAAATACACATACTTTATGAACAAAGGCATAGTAAGTGTATGCTATTCGCTAGTGGTATAAAATTTTATATTTGGAGCGCTTGCATTATTTTTTCTCCGCTCGGGAATCGGGATTCTGAAGGTTTTGGCATTCCAAATAGGGCAACCGGTTGTGGGCACCAACGAAAGCACTCTACTACTCAGACCATGATATATGTTAATCATCAAGAAGGAACCACTGTTGAACGTTGAATGTTGAACTACGGTCTTCCTTCTATGGATATTAATGTCTGACCATGTAGGTATGGGATCCGACTACGCTCACGATTGTTTTCATACGAAGGGACGACTCGGACTGCATTCCTTCAATAGACTAATTCGTTGACGACCCGTTGGTCACGGTTGGTGATGCCACTGATAAGTTCACTAGCTTAGATCACGACTTGGGCGCTCTCCCGCGCTAAGTCGGTGTAGGTTTTCGCTAGGATATTCTGTCGGATATAAGTTCGCAAATTTCTCGTATTCGGCATATCTAGTACCTGATGTTCCGCAATATGGTGATTGCCATCTATCCGTCTCATTCTCATCCTAGCATCACTATAGAGATGATTTTTCTGACGAGAATCCACAGTATATAAGCGCGACGGGCGATAGTAGGAAGATGACCTATACTCCCCCCAAGACGACACACCGATGGGATCATATTCGATACACCTTACAGTCCTTTTTGCATTTCTAACCAGCTTAGGCGTGCAAATTCATGCGCTCTCTCCGGAATATACCGCGTGCCAATTGCAAAAGAGCGCGGCTACGTCCCCGTTGACTGGGTGCCCAGCAGGAACAATCTTTGTGTCGCCCACAGATGACAGAGCAAGTTTCAAAAAAGTCCAAGATGCAATAAAGTCTCTGTGAGTAGCAGCCAGAATTATTTTCTTATCTGTTTTGTTGAAATTTGCCCAGACCAGAGACGGGCGACGCAATAATTCTGATCGGAAAAGGAGAATACAATGAAATGGTTAATGTCGCGCGGTCCGCACCGCTCACTCTTCTGGTATCAGTCACTTTCTGAGGTGTTTGAAGTTCGATTACCGAGACATCTGTTGTATAGGGTCAGCTTGATCCTGATACGGCTTACGATTCAGCGGGGAATGCTTCTCAGCGCAACCTTGTTCATATTTGGAACAATCTATACGTTCACGATGGGTTGACCGACGAGGAGACCGCAACCCTCACCGTCGCAGCGACCTCTGGACAGTCCTTCGGCAACACTAACTTCAGAGCATATAATATCGACTTCGAGAATCGCGCTGTAAGCGTTTCCTCCTTCCTTCTATTTGGACATATGTACAATCTCACCCGATCAGGCCAACTACACGATTGCTCAAGCCCTCGTCACCTCCCTCACCTATACAAATGCTTCCTTCTATGGCTGCGTCTTCGCTAGCTATCAAGACACGTGGTACACCGGCAGTGGTGCATACACATATGCCGTCGACAGCATAGTATACGGTTCAACTGATTGTGAGTCATGCTGTCTCGCCTCATGCAGGTTGCATCTATTGACGTCGTGAACAAGATCTGTTCGGATATGGCACTGCGTAAGAGTGTCTCGATGCATACACTAAATACATCGAGTGACTTTTTGAACAGATGGTTCCAAAATGTGACTTTCGCCAATCGAGCTTGTGGCGGCGGCCTTGCCGCCTGGCAAGGAACAAGCGGCACCAAGAATGGGGTATACATCGCCGATTCCAAAATCATTCGGGTCAGTTTTTTTGGTCTGGTGCTCAAGTCTTCGATGACTATCTCCAATTCAGTCCCCGGATGCTAATGCTACCACTGTGACTAATGCCCAATGCTACCTCGGTAAGCTAAAGAGCGGAGCACATACTTCAATTGTAACGCTGAGTTGTCCACGACTCCTGTAGGACGTCCATGGAATAGCCTGGCCATTTCTGTATACTTACGCACCTACATGGACGAGAGTATTCACCCCGCAGGTTTCAGACCCTGGACTTCAAGGTAAGCACAATTGTAAGAGACCGGCGCCAATTGCTGACTTGTTTACGGCCGAAGTACTGGCACCATTCCGAGCACCACTTACTACGCCGAGTTTGATTCGTATGGTAAGTTTCATGTACTTATGCTGTCAGTGTCGGATGCTTACATTATTTGCAGGTCCTGGAGGGGGCACGTCGAAACGTGTAGCACAAGACCATAGGTTGACTTCCGAGGAGGTGGACAAAAACTTCACACTGGAGGAAGTGTTTGTCGGTACACCAGCGTGGATTGACTTCAAATACGAGTATTGATAGGTGTTGTCGTATTGTACTAAAAAGACTCTGGCGATGGAAAATCGTCAGACTAGTTGCCGTTCGTTTTACTTGACCCCGAGGCTATTCGCCCATCGCATCTCATACACGCGGCTAAGGGGCAGCTTGAAACTACACTGTTCGAAATGTCAAAGATTTCGAAGGGGAAGTCGAAGACTTTGATTGAGGGAGGACAAACACTGATAGACGAGTTCGTTCGAACTGACTGTCATAGTGGTACCAACGGATCCGGATGATGGGAATTTATTGACGGAAGATACGAGAGATACATGTGAGCTTATATTGAAGAGACTATCAGAACGCGAGGGGCAACCATGAAGGGTTGAAGCATAAATACGAGCATGAAGGGTATGGCGGACGCATCGGTCAGAGTGTAAGAACGAGAGGCGAAGCGTGGTGCTCGCGATGTGAAGTGTGTACGATATGGACAAACATTTTATTTTGCCCAACCCATAGTAGACATCGAATCCGCGACAAGCAGTGGTGAGGATGGTGCCAAAGGACAACCAATGCGAGTACAGGGTTCTAGCTAATTGATGGTATACACTGGATAACGGATCACTGCGAGATAATTTTACGGCGAGTGTTTGAATCTGTCTTGATGGATGGAGAGGTGTCTACCAGCATGGCGTCATGCTAGGGTCGCAAATATGCAAACGAGTAGTTCTCCGGGAGTACTAGTGCTCTGTCTGGTGTACACACCAGAGCCGCCAAAACAAAAACCTGGGGCATAACACAAAGGCCGAAGGGAAGTAACGCTAGCACAACTCGACGGAGCTCAATAGGCCATGGTCGGGTTAGACCTGTGCGTAACTGCTGTGCCCTTGATGCGGTGCCGAAGTAAGACAACAGGTGTGAGAAAAACTATGGAGATGTATTGCAGAGTTGAGCTTGCCGTGTATCCACAGGGGCATCTAGTGGGTGAAGTGCCAAGACCAGTACGCCGACGGAACTTGACATATCAAGTCAGTCCAGTACAAGTGCGCGGCGGCAGGTTACGTATAACTGCTGCAATACAATGTTATTTGTCGAACTCGGGGCATAGAATCCCAGCGCACGAATGTTGTTGGGGTAGGAATCATGTTTGCACGGAACGTGCATGACATTGACAGGTATGGATATCCTGAGCTTCTTGGTTGCGGTCTTAAAATTGATGCTGCTGTTCCTTCCTTGAATATCCATGCTGTTTATTTCAGCTTTCCGTACGTATGTTTATGTATGTTACAGCCCGATAGTCATTGATCCTTCCCCTGAAAAAAAACTTGATTCAATTATGATTCGAATACTGAGTCTTCCGAAAGTCGACTCCTTCCTCACTGTGTACGCTCCTGCGAACACAGCATCCTTTGAGCCACCCATACTGATAATCACATTGCTGATGGGGCTCGCTGTGATCCTTCTGAGGTGCGAGATCTGAGGCCTGAGGCATGGCCCTTCTCTCTGGGTCACGAGTCGGCGGCTCGGCTTTTACCGCGCCTTCTTGCCTCGAGCCGCCATGGATCCCGACTTACAACGAGCGCCGTCTAGGGCGACGAAAACGTCTTTTGCGTGGGCTCAACGCCCGAGGCTTTCTTAACGCTCTTATATTGCTCGCGGTTCCCGTCCTTTCTCGCGCGTTTTTCTCCTTCGCTCTACCATGTCGACATACACCTGTCCCACAACCAGGAAGAAGCATTTCACATCCCGTCGTTTCCTTCCGCGCATTTAGTTTGTGATGCTCTCTGAATCCCATTCATGCACATTCCGACCGAAGCATGTCCGTGCTCCTTCATCGGTGCCGCTTGCACTCTTGGGTGACATCGTTGCGCTGGTCGTATTTGTGGTTAGGTTTCAACCCCATTGGGCGGTCGTGGGTGGTGTTGTGATGGTGACGTATGCAGGGACATCAAGAATGCTCTTGATAAGGTTGCACTAACCTTATCGAGAGTATTTTTGAGGTCCTCCAGACAATAATTCAGAAGTCTATCTGAACTTCTTGGTTTCATGCGCGCCTTATACAGCGGCCTAGTATGGATACATCATACACCTATCCTCTCAAAGTCAACATTCCTCTCGCCCAAAGATTCTGTCGAGCGTGACACGCAGGTGATTGATTGATCATCGCATGTCTGTCGGTTTCAGCTCATCTCACTTATTCTCTGGCACGGATGTATCTACTAACATTCAAGGTCCTCCGCTTGAGTGCAGAAAGCAGACGAGATAATTAAGACTATCGGGGGCGGGAGCACTATGTGCCTTCATGAACTAGACCGCGACCACGGTAATGACCATTGACGGCGCGCGTCTGATTTTGTGATCTAGGTTCGCGGCCTACCGCACTTTGCAGGCCTCGGCCATCCTCGCAACAGAGCGCGGTCATGCTACTCGTACTATGCTACGCAGCGAACCGAAATGTAACAAACCCTTCCATTGACTCATACGTCTAGCGACCGCCGCGTTTGAGACAGATACGGGGTTGATATTCTATGAAATACTCAGTTTGTTGTATCGTACACTTTTCAGTGACCTCGAGCTCGTTCGGAGAAAATCAGATTTAGTTGAATGCGAATTTTTCTACGGAGGGTTGCATGGTGATACAAGGACTACGACGAAAATGCAGTAAGGAATGTACAGAATAGTTCGGTGCAGCAGCAGCTGGCAGGAGGTGATACATACATATGCATAAGCACGCGTGTTTCGAATGAGAGAGATTAGGGTCGAAGTCTGGTATACTTGATAATACATATAAGTAAATGCTGTGGAAACTCGTGAGCGAACTGTTTCACGACAAAGACTCGCATTGAGCTTACCTATCAGATGATCTTGACGGTCATCACAAAGGGGATCGTTTCATCATCAAAATTCGTGATTCAGTCGTCGTAGACGTTAGCGAACGCGTCGATATCTCCAACACAAGAGATGTGGTCATTGCCCAGATGGCGTTTCAGCGCGTCCCGCCGACTGAACTCTCTCCCACATCCTCCAATCATTTGTTTTCCGTTATGAATGTATGGAGTCGCGCCGTGCGGAATGTTGTAGATTGTAGCCGATTCGCGCAGCAGACCCATTGTGCAGGTCTTTCGAAACGCGTATGCGTGCGGATATGTCGTTTAAGGTCAGGCGTACGATGGTTGCGCTGAACCCACTTGCAATAGGGACAAGCCCAAGGGTTGGATTTACTCGCAGAGCTGAGATTAGTGCCAGGGATTGCTCGAGTGTTCCGGGGAGGGGGGGCAGGGCGAGAACGTTTTGCGGAAGGCGACGCGTATTGGGGCGCGGCATTGCTAAGAGCGTAGGCAGGCGCATTGGTATTACGCGTGGAACAACGACGTTTCTTCGGATTACGCGAAGATGAAGGGACATATTCATCGTCCGTCTCCTCTGCATCACTCTGCCCGTCGGCATTGTCATCTAAATCATGTAGCACAGCAGAAACGTTGCGCTTTGAGAAGGAACGAGTGGAACGCGGGATAGACGGCAAGGAGTAGTTCACTGTAGCAAATCCATGCTGGGGAGCCGGTTGAGGAACAAAGGAAGAGGAGGGAGTGGGTTCCATTGTAGGCGCGACTTGGAGAACTGCGTCGTACTCAAAGTTGATGGGAGGGTGGAACTCGACGGGAGGGATATAAGGAAGATCCACGACTGGATCGAGATTGTGGGCCAGGCTGTTAATGAGCATAAGATGAATGACTCGTTGTGACATGGATACAAAACCTAGCGGCGCAGGCAGGTACACAGGTAGTAAAAATAAGGTGTTATGAGGATCACATACTATCGAACTTTGGCAAACTTTTGTACCAGGGGGGGAAAAAGCATGTGGCCACGGTCTCGCATGACAAAGAAGAGAAGTGTCACCCATACAACGCGGTCACATGCGCTCCACTGAAGTGGTTCAAAGGTCCATGAGTGGTCCCAGCTCGTCCCGAGGAGTGCAAGAATAAATACCCAAGGCGCTAGGGCCGTACAAATCTAGGCACAACGAAAGTGTAGATCGCCCAACTCGTTAAGGTGAAACACTCGATGAAATGATTATGTCGACGAGAGACTTATCTTGGATCAACGTGTGTCCAGAGACGCAAAAGTTGCTACGACACTCCATATTCTTCAAATTGCTGATGTAGAACATGTCCGAATTGATAAAGGACGGTCAGACGAGTGCAGTTTCTCGATCGCGCGAAGCGCCAGAATACGATGTATCAAATTAATACGGGCGTCGGATTCTCAACATCAAAGACGACAGGTCGACGACAAGTGACCGAAGCGATAAGAAACAAGATGCGTGCAAAGCACACACTGTGGGTAAACCTGAAAAAGGAGGGCGGCTGCGATGGAGCTAAATTTGTAACACTTCTTGAGGGTGGGTGGGGCACCAGCGACGAAAGCAAGATTTTGAATTGTCAAAAGCTTGTGAACCGGTGACCTTTAGGCTCGTGACCAGCCTGGCGTATACTACCACGGATGCTCGAGTTCACACACATCTCAAAAACGCACGTAGGCAGAATGGTTACGAGTCTAGGTGACCTTTCGTCCTAAAGTTTTAGACAAGTTAGGGTGTTTTTGCTAAGGACTTTTTGAGAATTTCACAATGTAAAATGGGTGGAAATGTCGAGTCGAAGTACCAAGTTAAATTGACCGCCCACCAACGTGATGAACCGATCGCGACGTCAACCCCCCGATGCCATTTCTGGGCCCTGGCTCTTCAAACCCGTCACGACACTATCACAGACCAGCTCTCATTGTATGTCTTTGACTCGCCCGGCGTTGACGACGCGGAGGAGATGACGAAGATGTAGGACGGAAATAAGGTTCTCACATTTAACTTAAATCTGTCGACTCCAATGGTTCAGGTTAACTCTTAGAATTCGAACTCAACGGCACCCTGATCAGGCAGAAGCCTTCAGGTTTTTGGACTTACGTCTCGACTCCGCCAACGAAAGCACTCTATAGCAAACCATGATATGTCTTCATCATCAAGAAGGAACCACTGTCTTCCTTCTATTAATATTATGGTCTGACTAAGTACGGGAAACTACATTCACAAGTGACGATTGGCTTCATACGAACCTCCGAAGGAACGACTGCCTTGCTTCAATTGATTTGGCTGGTCCGGGAGACTAACTCGCCGGCGACCCGTTGGTGATGAGCCCACTGCTTAGATCATGACTTGGGCTCTCCCGCGCTGAGCCGGTGTAGGTTTTCACTGGCATATTCTCTCGGATTTAAGTTCGCGAATTTCAACGTATCTACCTGATGTTCTGCAATATGGTGATTGCCACCTATCCGCCCCGTTCTCATCCCAGCGTCACTATAGAAATGGTTTTGCTGACGAGACTCCACACAGTATAAAGCGCGTCGGACGGGCGATAGTAGGAAGATGACCTATACTCCCCCCCCCAAGCGACACCGATGGGATCATATTTGATACACCTTACAGTCCTTTTTACATTTCTAACCAGCTTAGGCGTGCAGATTCATGCGCTCTCTCCGGAATATACCGCGTGCCAATTGCAAAAGAGCGTGGCTACGTCCCCGTTGACTGGGTGCCCAGCAGGAACGATCTTTGTGTCGCCCACAGATGACAGAGCAAGTTTCAAAAAAGTCCAAGATGCAATAAAGTCTCTGTGAGTAGCAGCCAGAATTGTTTTCTTGTCTGTTCTGTTGATATTTGCCCAGGCCAGAGACGGGTGACGCAATCATTCTGATCGGAGAAGGAGAATACAATGAAATGGTTAATGTCGCGCGGTCTGCACCGCTCACTCTTCTGGTATCAGTCACTTTCTAAGGTGTTTGAAGTTCGATTTCCGAGACATTTTGTTTATAGGGTCAGCTTAATCCTGATACGGCTTACAATGCAGCGGTTTCTCAGCGCAACCTTGTGCATATTTGGAACAATCTATATGTTCGCGATGGGTTGACCGACGAGGAAACCGCAACCCTCACCGTCGCACCTGTCTCTGGACAGTCCTTCGGCAACACTAACTTCAGAGCGTATAATATTGACTTCGAGAATCGCGCTGTAAGCGTTGCCTCCTTCCTTCCATTTGGACATATGTACAATCTCATCCGATCAGGCCAACTACGCGATTTCTCGAGCTCTCGTCACTTCCCTCGCCTATACAAATGCTTCCTTCTATGGCTGCGTCCTTCGCTAGCTATCAAGACACATGGTACACCGGCAGTGGTGCATACACGTATGCCGTCGACAGCATAGTATACGGTTCAACTGATTGTGAGTCATGTTTTCTTGACCCATGCGCGTTGCAACTACTGACATCGTGACAAGATCTGTTCGGATTTGGCACTGCGTAAGAGCGTCTTGATGCATACATTAAATCCATCGAGTGACTTTTTGAACAGATGGTTCCAAAATGTGACTTTCGCCAATCGAGCTTGTGGTGGCGGCCTCACCGCCTGGCAAGGAACAAGCGGCACCAAGAATGGGGTATACATCGCCGATTCCAAAATCATTCGGGTCAGTTTTTTTGATCTGGTGCTCAAGTCTTCGATGACTATCTCCAATTCAGTCCCCGGATGCTAGTGCGACCACTGTGACTGATGCCCATTGCTACCTCGGTAAGCTAAAGAGCGGAGTACATACTCCAATTGTAACGCTGAGTTGTCAACGACTCCTGTAGGACGTCCATGGAATGACCTGGCCATTTCTGTATACTTACGCACTTACATGGATGAGAGTATTCACCCCGTAGGTTTCAGACCCTGGGCTTCAAAGTAAGCACAATTGTAAGAGACCGGCACCAATTGCTGACTTGTTTACGACAGAAACACTGGCACCATTCCGAGCACCACTTACTACGCCGAGTTTGATTCATATGGTAAGCCTCGTGTACTCATGCTGCCAGTGCCGGATGCTTACATTGTTTGCAGGTCCTGGAGGGAGCACGTCGAAACGTGTACCACAAGACCATGTGTTGACTTCCGAGGAGGTGGACAAAAACTTCACACTGGAGGAAGTGTTTGTTGGTACATTAGCGTGGATTGACTTCAAATACGAGTATTGATAGGTATTGTCGTATTGCACTTAAATAGACGGCAATGGTTGTCGCCAGCAGCCACTCTCATTCATTGTGTTACCCCGAATCTCTTATCCTCGCATCTCATACACGGGGCAACCATACAGATTCATGCCGATCCAAGCCTATTGGAGCTTCCACGTCCCTTAACAGGTGTGACGGATAGCTGTGCTGCATGTCGGATGGCCGTCAAAGTCCTGAGAGGCCCTTCAACCTGCCTTTTGTCACCTGTCGCCTCGTGGAGTGTGACCGACAATGCAGCTACCTCAGGATCTTGTGGAATCCTTTGTTTTGGAAGAGGCTTCCCATCTCCGAACGCAAGCTTTGGCGGAATTTGTCCAAGTGATCGCAACCACTGCGCAACTGCTGCTAAGGAAACGCGAACTTCCCAAGAGCTGCCCTCCTGACCAGCACCATGTTTGTGAGAACTTTGACTACGGAAGAAAGATACCGCCGAGGACTCACAGTGATCGTTCTTGCGATTGCGGCCTGAATGCCAAAAGCGAGGAAGTAACCTGCAACGTGATCTAGGACTTGCACAGGGAGTGGTCGAGGGTTTGGCTTATCCAGGACGGGCTGCCCATTAAATTCAGCAAAAGCTTCACCCTCCGCCCAATTGAAGCCTGTGGCAGTCTGAACGAGCGAGTCGAACTAATATGTTATTGTCAGAAAGCATAGTAATGAAGAACCAAAATGTATTACGCCGCGCTTGTTCTTCCAGGGCCCTTCCCAACCATACGCTGTCAAATTGGCGCATACAATACCAGGGCGAATTTTGGCGAGCTCGTGAGGACCAAAACCTTTGTCGCGAAGGCCACCTGGTCGGTATGCTTGCAGGAATACGTCAGCATCCTTCACCAATTCTTTCAGGCGGTCGTGGTGAGTGGGCTCTGTGAGATCGAGCTGCGTCGTGCGCTTGCCACGAGATGTATCAGCGTAGAGATAAGGTAAATCGGGAAGCTTTGGGGACGTAACCAGGAGTACATCAGCTCCATACGCTGTCATGTTTGCAGATTATCGATTGTGAGCATCGATTTGAGATAGGAATGTTGGCACATACCTGCGAGCGTTCGGCCGCACACTGGTCCTGCAAGCACTCGGGACAGATCCAACACTCTAATTCCGTCGAGAGGGAACGGTGGGGACACCTTGATTTCCCGTTTGGGAGCGTCTCCAATCTTAATGAGCTGGATGGGAGGGGTTCCCCGCAATGCAGCTTGCTTGGGGATGCTTATCCCATTCCTCGAATGACCTATAGGCAGAGACACACATGTTCTGCTTTTCCGCTTCATCTTCAAAATCTTTCGCGGTCCATTGCAGTAAGGCAACTTGAACGGCTTCAGCGAGTGGGTTCACACTGCAAAATATTGAGGATACCTTCTGCGTGGCTTCGGTGATCGTTAGCTACTTATAAAACATGTGCTCAGAATTTTGATGAGAACTGACTGCGGAAAGTAGGTTTTCAGAAGAACGAAACTGTTGTCCTTGGTTCTATAAATTCCCTCCAGGTCACTCCACGATCTAGTGGGTTTCTGGTCATCTATGGTGTACCAAGCTTGACTATTTGATGTCAGTAAGATTAATTCAAAACGAAGAGAATAGGTAACCTCGAGATATCCAAGACGGCATGACGTGCATCGACGCTCACGTCTTGCATGTTTCCTGTCCTCAAAAAATGGATATACGCAGCTGCTAGGCCTGACAGGCCGATGGATGTCTGAAGGGGGCTGGATCGGTGATAGCATTCGAGGCTTGAATATGTTTGCTTACCTGGGCTGCGCTCCCTACCTTGAAGGAGGAGTTGACTGCAGTATCAGGGCAGTCACCGAGTTTGAGGTGTGAAAGCATCTCTTGAGGCAAACCATTGGCGAGCCACAGAGAAGTAGCCTGATTACAGGGGTCTGCGACGTCTGGCGTGTAGGACATGTTTCTGCCGCAGATTGTACGAGTGAGCTATGAACGGGGGGACAAGGATGTGCTTAGTCTAAGTAAACACGGCATCTATGTATGCGTACTTACTACTGATAGGATGGATCTTCTTTGATATCTTGATCATGAATCATGATGGTGATGTGGCTATCTACACTACGAGTAGCATCTAAATCTGGGGATAGCCTCGCCAGAGGAGCTTTTCCCCGAATACTGTCGTATATCTAGATTTGCTCTCCTGTGTTCGGACAGGTGGTGTCACGTCGGGATGCACGAACTGGTGCATCTAAAAAAGTCAAACTGGTCAAAACAAGTTTTCAACAGAAGCCTGTATGTGGCCGAGCGCCTAGTGTCGCCCAAGTACCTCTCTACCAATATGAGAGCGCACGCTTATGACTGAAGAAAGTTTCAAATGTGAACGTAAACTAGGCCGTCTCTCAGATGCTGGTAACCAAGAATAAGCTTCACAATCACGCGAGTCCTTTACCATATCCATTCGCTCGGCGGCTCCCACTAACGGAATCAGTAACCTCTAATACACCGTTATTTGAGTTTGGGTCGCATAGCACTTGATCGCAGCCATACTTTTATCTTTTTTGTTTTATGCGCAACTACATACTAGTATTATACCTGTAGACTAAAAACACTTCATTTGAATGCAAGATGTTGCGAAAATTTCACTGTTCTGTGTGACAAATGATATACTGCCTTCCATCTCACTCCTTGACCAATGGAATATGCGTTCATGACCCCCAGCTATCATATCCTTGTGCCACAGCAATATTATGCCGGTCAAGGGTGTCTGAAGCAGTCCAATATCAGATCTAACCAACAGAAAGATAAAAACCTAATTTGATCGACGCGATTCCCGTCGTCGAATATCTTATCTAACCAACCGGGTCTTGTATTTACCTGACTCAAATGGTGGTGATTCTGGTGAACGCACGATAACATTCAGTGACAGAATTTTCATCGTGTGGTAACTTCTCAACCGATTTTCTTAAAAACTTGTTATGCAGAAGACTAAATGTATATAAAACCTATTGCCAAGAGCGATTGACAATATTTTGCCTGGTTGTGTTGCGGCAGATGTTTTAAATTTGCGAACTCAAATGACGGTGTGTTGCTGTATCTAAGATAGCATGACGTACATCAACGCTCACGTCTTGCATGTTTCCTGTCCTCAAAAAATGGGTATACGCAGCTGCTAGACCTGAAAGGCCGATAGATGTCTGAAGGGGGCTGGTTCACGAATGTCATTTGAGACTTGTATATGTTTGCTTACTTGGGCTGCGTTCCCTAGCTTGAAGGAAGAATCAATCGCAGTATCAGGGCAGCCACTGATATCGAAGCGTGAAAGATCTCTCGAGGTAAATCATCGGCCATCCACATCCACAGAGAAGCAGCCAGATTGCAGGGGTCTGACGCGTGGGACATGTTTCTGCCACAGATTTTACGAGTGAACTATGAGCGGGAAGTTACTGTGATCGAGACCAGGATGTGGTAGATTAGTCTGCATCCACTGAGTGTGCGTTACCCTGTTCTCACTCCGGCACCATTCCGCTGCCAACCTAATGAAGCCACAACGAGAACTGGGTACCAGCAGTGAATGCTGTTGCATCGCGAGGTAAGCCTACGGGGAAAACGTACCGCAAACAACACAGACGTCACGCGCGAGAAACAAGATGAATCGTGACGCTAACGCGATCATTGACAAACCTCACGTGCGAGTCTCGCACATGATTTGTGAAACTCTGCAACACTCAGCATCATTTCCCAAACCATGGCCTGGTGTCGGGACCCAACATCGAGATCAATAATGAACTTGGTAGCGGAGATTGAAATATATCGGGATAAGCCGTGATACCGAGAACTCCCGAAGAGGTGAATAATTTTGGTCAAGCAGCGCCTTTCGTTCACTTTGTCTTCTTCGGAATGGTCTCGAGAACACTGTCGGCGTCGCTAGCTCGTTCACTCAGAACTACTGCGCGCAATCCTGTAAGTTTGCTATGTTTTACTAGACCGTTTGTTTTGATGTTCATACGCTTGTAGCGGCCTTTACGGTCATTTGCGACAGCTGTGAACATTCCGTCTCCCATCACCCAAACCACCACACTCTCCAATGGCTTGACTGTCGCCACCGAGTCTCATCCTCATGCTCAGACCGCAACAATTGGTGTCTGGATCGATGCCGGTTCGCGTGCCGAGACCGACAAAACTAATGGTACCGCCCACTTCCTCGAGCATATGGCCTTCAAGGGCACCAGCCGTCGTAACCAACACGCATTGGAGCTCGAGGTCGAGAATATTGGCGCACACCTAAATGCGTATACCTCTCGCGAGCAGACCGTATACTATGCAAAGAGCTTCCGAAAGGATGTTCCGGTTGCCGTTGATATTATTTCCGATATTCTGCAGAATTCCAAATTGGAGACTGCAGCTGTTGAGAGGGAACGTGATGTCATTCTTCGAGAGCAGCAGGAGGTTGACAAGCAGCTTGAGGAGGTTGTCTTCGATCATCTCCATGCTGTTGCTTTCCAACGTGCGTATTTCGCTTTCGTCTCATACTCGCTTTACATCCGCACCCAACACTTATTCATAATCTTTTGTAGATCAACCGCTTGGCCGTACCATTCTTGGCCCTAAAGCCAACATTCTCTCCATCAAGCGTGACGACCTGGATTCCTACATCAAAACCAACTACACCGCCGACCGCATGGTTCTTGTTGGCGCAGGAGGTGTTGACCACCAGGAGCTGGTGAACCTTGCTGAAAAGCATTTCTCTTCGCTTCCCGTCTCCCAGAACCCCATCCCTCTTGGCCGTCTTGCTCACTCCCGTTCAAACTTTGTTGGTTCGGACGTTCGTCTCCGTGATGATGCCATTCCCTGTGCACACGTCGCCATTGCTGTTGAGGGTGTCGGTTGGAGCTCACCCGACTACTTCCCCATGCAAGTAATGCAGAGCATCATGGGCAACTGGGACCGTTCTCTCGGCGCTTCCCCTCTCCTCTCATCTCGTCTTTCCCATGTCATCTCCTCCAACAACCTTGCCAACTCCTTCATGTCCTTCTCCACGTCTTACTCCGACACCGGTCTCTGGGGCATTTACCTTGTGTCCGAGAACCTCATGAACCTTGACGACATGGCTCATTTCACTCTCAAGGAATGGTGCCGCATGTCCATGGCTCCCACTGATGTCGAGGTTGAGCGGGCCAAGAGCCAGCTCAAAGCCGGTTTGTTGCTCTCTCTTGACGGGACGACTGCTATTGCAGAGGATATTGGAAGGCAACTTGTTACCACTGGTCACCGTCTCACTCCTCAGCAGATCGAGTCTGCTGTCGATGCTGTGACTACAGATGAGATCAAGCGTGTTGCACAGAAATACCTGTGGGACAAGGATGTAAGAGCTTTTTCTCGGACCTGATTTTGGGCATATTCACTCAATCACTCGTTTGTAGATTGCCATCGCTGCTCTTGGCCCGCTCGAGGGTCTCCTCGACTACAACCGCATTCGCTCAGACTATGTCATCCATGATATATTAAAGGTCTGTTTTGTTTTGTTTTGTTTGCGTGAGGTGATGATATATTGACGGTCGCGGGATGCTCAGGTGCGATTGTTGTTTGGACGCTAGCTAGACGATATGCTGTTCGCTGTTGTTCGTTCCGAATAGACCACGGAATAAATGACTTTTAATACCACCATAATTTCTTGCGAGTGAATGGACTGAGGTTTTTGCGGGTTTCGATCAAAATTCTGTAGTCGATAATTATATCAATGGTTTGTTCCTCCACCAGCTTGAACTATTGTACTCGACCAATTTATTACATCATTAAGGGGGTTGTTCAAAACTTTTCAGTGCGCGTGTAGCGCACTCATCAAGAGGTCTATTTTTCCCGTTTCTTCACTGACCGGTGCAACATCATCAGATTTTTCTGTTGTGTTGTTCGATGTGCATGTAAACTAGTTGACGTATAAGTACTTTACGATTGCACTTGATCTTGAACCCCTGACCACAGCGGTTGGCCAATGTACTAAACGTGTGATGCTGATTTGTGTAAACAAGGTGATAGTCGGCATCATCGAACCCTAGTCACGTCAATGCAGGTTTGTTGCTCCACCAGCTTGAACTGTTGTACTCGACCAATCCACTAGTCGACACATTTCGGCGAAAATGACAACGACACGAGCTGGACGCGCGACGACAATTTTACAGGTGCTTGTAAGTTATACAATAGTCCAAGTCAAAACACGGTGTCCGGCACACCACCAGAGGCAACAACTAGCACATTAAAGATCAACGATATCTACGCCTCACTTCCGCCTCTCGATGTCCCTTTGGGCCGATGCTTCACTATCCATGGGTGTCGTGAGACATCAGTTAATGGGATACGCTCTTCAGGGTTATATTTGAGTAGCTGCAAGGGCGATTAGAGTCTGGAGCACAGAGTAACATCGTGAGCATACCTGGGTTATTAGATCTCTGGCCTCGGGAGAGACGAGTGGTGGTATTCTGAGGTCGACTTTAGCTATTCGACGGTAAGTGGCTTGAATCACAAGCGTCAGCTTAAGAGAAGCGCAAGTATAGCATGCTGCTCACCATTCACGCTGTTCCGATCTTCAAAAGGAGGATTCCCAACCAAAAACTCGTATGTTAGTACACCCAGGGCCCAGTAATCTACCTTCTCATTATGTTCCCTTCCCTCGACCATCTCAGGTGGCAGGTAATCGAGCGTCCCACATAGCGTCATGCGTCTATTTCCAGGTGCGTGTACGCTCCATCCAAAGTCGCCTATCTTCAGCTCACCATTGATCCCCAACAACAAATTCTCCGGCTTGATATCTCGATGAATGACGTGCTTGCCATGCAAGTAGGTCAAGGCATCCGCCATCTGGTCGATATACCTCGAGCTCCGTTTCTCTGAAAAGCTGCCATGCTTGGAGAGCTGCTTGTACAGCTCGCCTTTACCAGCGAACTCGAGCATGAGGAAGATGCGTTTCTCGTCGTGGAAGTAACCGTACAAGCGAAGTACGTTTGGGTGGCGGAGATTTTGTTGAATCTCTATTTCTCGTCGGATTTGTTTCTCGACGCGGGACTGAATGATTTCGGATTTGTAGAGGGTTTTGAGTGCGAGGATATATTGTGGTTCGCATTTGGTGCGAACCATGTAGACGCGCCCGAATTTTCCCTTGCCGAGGGGGCGACCGATCTCAAATGAGGGGAGGCTCCACTCTCGGGTGGGACGTGTTCTGCATGGGATGTTAATGATGAGATGCCACTGGGGTTGTCTTTACTTACCTTGAGACGCTGGAATCGAGAGCGAGCGCTTCGGCTGCCTCTCCAAAGACTTTTTCACCCCTCTTCTCGTTGTCTAGCTCGAGGCCACCATCATACTTGCCGATGTCAAGCTGGGGTTGGGGTTCTGAAGGAGTTACCGCTCTACTAGTTCGAGCAGTTCCAGGTGCATTTGTGTTCGTCTGGTTACGGAGAGCAGACGGTTGAGTTGGTTTCGCTGTAGGAGGATGGGGTGCGGCATATTTTGTGAGGAGTTTGGCTACGTTTGTTTGGGAGGGCTGCTTGGTATGGCCGGGACGAGAAGATTGGTGCTTCTTGGAGGAGATTTCGAGGGCAGCGATCTGCTTCGTGACCGCGCCTATTGACGCCATTTCCAAGGGAGTTGACTTTGGGTGCGGGTGAGGAAGGGATGCGGTAAAACGCGTGGCCGTGCAGTTAGGTACTTGGTTCGACTTTTCGAGCCCCGCTCACGCGTTCGATCACATGATCAGATCTTGTCTGCTTACTAATGCTTCGCACACCTGAGCTGGTAGCCTAAGTACAGGGGGGTTAACTATTGAGTACTCTGTTGTATCGTACGAGATTCTTTTGTGTATGAGGGAAAACTATCAAGTCCTTCAAGGGACCATCTATGTTGTATCGTACGACATCCTTTGTGTGTATGTTCTGCTTAGTACTTACTATCAAACATGTTGCCAAGCGGTGGAAGAGAAATGCTCTATCAGTCAGCCACTATTCGTGCGCAGGGTTCCTCTCCTGGCATGCAGATGACACTCCCGTACATGACGGGGGTGGTTGTCTTTCATCAGTGTCCTCCCGCAGTTAGGCCATAAACACTCCACTTTAATGCGGTCTCCATCTAGAAAGATACGACGGAGAGAACCCATGTCGCAAGCTCCAAGAGTGCTTTCGGCGTCAAATGCAGCCGGTATTTCCATAGAAATACTTGCGCTGGCGCCTGGCTCTGTGTTCACTACGTCTGGAGACGTGGGAGCAACCTCGACAGGAGGGACAAAGGGCATCGAGGGAGATGCAGAATGTCCGGAGTTTACAACATGCAAGGCCGGATTGGCTAACCAAATGTAATGCCTCAGAATCAAGATTGCCTGGTCAACTGTTAGCTGCTGACCGCATACCGCCTGAAGACGGACAAGGTAGGCTTCAACAGAAGATGCCATCCGTGTGTTGACCGTAGGAGTAATCTGATTCAAAACAAAGTTATCCCATGATCTGTGAGGAGTGGTCAAGTACTGGAGCCTAAGTCAGAGAAGATGGAACTTACTGATGCTCTGTGAAACTATTGGATGGAGACGAGTCCACGGCCGAGGTCAATTTTACAGGCGAGACGGCTGGTGCAACGTGATCGATGCTTTTGCTAGCGTGATGTAGGAGTCAGAAGGCATCAGTTGAACCAGATCAAGCGTACTCACAGCACCTCGTTTTCATTTCTATAAAAATCCCATGGACGAATAGGATTGTCAACATAATTTTGACTGAAGAAATCAACTGTCGCATTGGTATCAATCTGACAGCTGTCGAAGTTCGCTGTCAGCTCTTCCAAGGTGCGACTCTTTGAATTCATGGCGGGTGACTTACAATGGGAGACGTTCAGAACTTCAAATTTATACGGAACAGTGGTAAGATACGCAATGCACCGGCAATGGTTAATGAGAGACCGATCCACAGCAACATACCTTAAGCAATGTATTCATTAGCAAAGAAAGTGGACATGATGCTGCGCCGTCTGATACACGTTGTGAGTCGTTGCAACGCTTAATTGACACCTAGACACTATATCTGGCACTCAGAGGCCTCACTATTTCCGACAGAATATGACTTGGGCGGTAAGCTCAGGATAACGAGGGAATCTGAAAGGTAGACTTTGGCCGTTGTAGCTCGAGTACACCATTCAAGCAATGTGCTCTGCCAAAGCACAGACCCGCGAGGTGACAACGAAGGTCAATCAATCAATAAAATGAGTGTATATTGAAGCTGAAGGCTGTCTTCCGGTTTACTTTGGTGAGCAGCTTGGGCGATCAAAGGCATGTCTTAGTTTCCAGGTGACACATCCAGTGTAGCATAGAGTCATCAGCTTGAACTGCATTGATGACAAAACCTTTAAAATTGAAACGAAATTTTTCTGTGACTTACAGGATACAAGGGAAATTGAATAAAGAAGACTCGGAGTGTTAGAATATGCGATTCAAGATAATACTGCAGGTATATACCAGATAATCAAAACATGCTATTTTGATCTCTCACGTGACTTATTGCAACTTTTTGCTGCGTCTCCTCGAGGTCTCCTCGAGTTCATTGTACACACAGTCCTTCGACGCACAGAAGGTGAGTGGCACAGATATTGGTGCGCGTGTAACACATGGCGAGCACGAACACCGTGGCTGGGTCGTCTGACCCCCGCCGTACTATGATCTCGCCCGGCACATTCTCCGATTACACGACCTCTGTGCAATCGGCTGCACTGGCTACAACTCGTATTGCTGCTACTACACTACCACAAGACATAGAGTTTCACCGTTCTATACATGCATCATTCGCTGCAGAGCTTGACTCGCTTTCCACACGAGTTCTCCAGCTTACCAACAAGCTTGTGCGACTTGCAGGCTCTGTGGATAGCGGTGCTACTGGGCGCGGCACATTGGATGATGAGGATGATGTATTGGACGGTTTTAAATCCCTGATCGTTGATCCAGTGGATAGACTTTTTGAGAGGACAGATATGTGTTTGGATGATTATATGGGGCATAAGAAAGAGCCTGCTATCGCTGTTCCCGCTCTACCAAACCAGAGTAACAATCTATCAAAGGTGCATCCAGCAATGTTTGAGATTCATTAAGTACTAAGTATTCATTGTCGTATAGAAAACCCCAGCCCCAAGAGGACGCCTGCACCCTGCGCTACAGCATGCTTCTCATTTACCAAAGCCTCAACTGCTGTTCAATACAAAAGTGGATAACCGAAATGAGACGCCGTACATCCCGACTCGTACCCTTGAACACAAGTGGTGTGCCCGTGTCCCGCTTGGATACATATTCCACGACGAAGACCAGAGTGAGGGCATGGACGAGGAAGAAAAACAAAAGCTGTTCGTCCTTTCTAATTTTTTCACGACTGCTGTCTTAATTCTCGCAGATCGGCGCACCCCTACTATTATGAGCTCACCCATCCACCATTCCCTACTCATCTCTTCTGTCCACCCTCTACCACCATTCTACCTGCTTCTCTCACAGGTACCGACGTCTCGAAGCACATATATGTCTCGACTCCATCTGCTCTTTCGTCAATGGCTACAAAGCTCAAAGCAGCGAAAGAAATTGCTGTCGACCTTGAACACCACTCATACCGCACATACAGAGGGTTTCTTTGTTTAATGCAGATTAGCACACGCGAGGAGGATTTCATAATCGACTTGTTGGTACCAAGTGTGCGAGATTCGATAAGCAATGCACTAAGTGAAGTTTTTGCCGATCCAGAGATTGTCAAGGTGCGCTTGCATAATTTGCAGGCGGTACTTTCGTGCTCTATTAATTCTTATGACTTTCAGGTCTTCCATGGCGCTGAGAGTGATATTGTGTGGCTTCAGCAAGACTTCAATATTTTTGTTGTTGGACTGTTCGACACATATCATGCCTCAAAGGCCCTAGACTTTCAGAAGCATGGTCTTGCGAACTTGTTAGAGGCGTTCTGCGACTTCACACCCGATAAGCGGTATCAACTTGCTGATTGGCGCATTCGGTACGTCGAAATCATCTTTATCTTCTCGTCTCTTCCTTCGTTTCCAGGATGATTGCACATGCGATGACGCCCTCGGGTTCCATGCGTGCCTGTTTTCATTGAAATTTATCTATTAAAATTCTTCCAGCCGGTTTATCCCTGTCATAATGTCAAATCCCCTCCACTTCTATCTTCATTTGTTTTCTCTTGGAGGTATTGTAAGAATGGAACGTTGGTTCTATGGAACCAGTTCGCGTCCGCGGTACGCGAGCTCCACGTCATAGGAGTTCTATGTTATTTCGTTTCTGTATATGTTGTCGAATTTGATTCAGCTCCGTTTTTATCCATCGTCTCTTAAGGATGTACAACTAACTTTTACGAAGTCCATTGCCAGACGAGATGCTCACGTATGCACGCTCCGATACTCATTTCCTGCTATATATCTATGATCGACTTCGACTCTCCCTTATCGAGCGTGCACAGATAGTGCCTGCTCCAGAAGCATCTTTGTCAAGCACGGTATCTAGTATCATCAAGGGCAGCATATCTGACAAGCCATCACACGCGCTGCTGAATGATGTCTTGGCACGTTCGACTCGGACTGCGCTAAGGTTGTATGACCGCGAGGCATACGACGCTGAGCTTGGCATTGGTACCGGCGGCTGGGATACGCTTGCACGGAAATGGAACAAGAGTGCATTGACCAACAGTGCTAGCGAGATTAATGGCGTACGAGGTGGCGTAACTGGAGATGTGTACAGGACAGTGCATCGGTGGAGGGAGGATGTAGCAAGGGAGGAGGATGAGAGTACGAGGTGAACACCCTTCATATCCAGGGGACCATGGTGGTGTGGTTCCCCGGAGTTGTCGAGCCTCTTCTGCTCGTATATTGACTGACTTGGTGCACAGATATGTTCTCCCAAACCACCAACTTTTCACTGTAGCCGAGCGGTCACCTTCCAACGCTGCTCAGCTCCTTGCGCTCTTCTCACACGCCAGCGTTCCGCCCGTCCTACGACGAAGAGCAAGTGAACTTGCGGAAGCCATCAAGTCCACCATGGAACAAGTGGGGTCTTCAGAAGTCACTGTTGAGGCTGTCACGGTTACTACAAGTGCCAAAACAGCTGACTCAGCTGCCTTGGCTGGAGTTGTTGTAGGCGAAGAAACTGCAAAATCTAGACTATGGGGTTCAGTGGAAGTTTCTTCTTCCTCGGTTGTTCAGCGTGCGTCGTCCTCATCTCTTTTCGGCCCTCGGAGCGCAGCGGCCGCCGAAGGAAGTTCATATTCGGCTTCGCGAAGTTCATTATTCGGCGCCACATTGCCGTTCCGCAGGACGCCTCACGTAAGTCAGCCCACTCGCCTGGACACCTCCATGATGCTGAAGATCTTTTCCAGAGCTCAGCGCCAATTATATCGTCCAGTAGCAAGAAATTCCATGACCTCGTGATGCAGATACATCGGACCCTCGTCATTGCGCCTAAGCAACCTCAGGCAAGTCAATCCCTGTATTCGCGCACAGTTCTTATCTTCATCCCAATATCTAGATTACTCAAGTTCGTTCTCAGACAATCTTCGAATCCAGCGTCTTCTCGGGTTCTGGCTCAACACATCCAGCAACGCCCGCCCCTGCCGTGACTTCAGCAGAAGCGCCTGACGGAGCTACTATCTTGGGACAAGTAGAAATTCCGTTTATTCCTTCCGATCAGCGGCAGTCCCGTCTCGCCCCTGTTTCAGACGATACCATTGTATTCGTGGGTCAGGTCAGGCAGAAGAAGCGCAAGCGGATCAAACCCACAGTATCGGGCAAACCCCCAATCGGAGATCAGGAAGACACGGGTGAGGATGAGGTATTTGATTATACGACAGTGCCAAACCTCCTTGATGATGTCCCGCCTGCCCCCGAGGAGCTTGATACGAGGAAGAAAAAGAAGCAAAAAGACGTCAAAAGTACGCTATCAATTGTTCTCTCTATCACCTTTGTTTCAATTGTGCGGAATCTTCCTTCGTCGCCATATTACTTCTTTGGCAGATTATCGTCGCACCCCTTTTGCTTTCGGCCGACATGCTGCATGCTTACCTGTCTGTTAACAGGTACTGGAGTCATAGAGTATGGCAATTTTCGCGCACCACCGCGAGATATGCGCGAGGTTAAGAGTGGTAACAAAACACATACGTTTAGATGACCTCGATCCATCCGAATAACGTTGTATCTGTAAGGCTATTTTGCCTTCACATCCTAACAGGTGTTGTTCATATACTACGTCGCTCCTATGTGTGGTCCGGACAACACCAGTGACTTCTGTTCTCGTGTGAGGGGGCACCATACTGAGGTCTTCGAACAGGGATTGCTTTTGTGCTATTGGACTTGAAACTTGAAACATCAATTCCACGAGGCAAACGCAAATTGTAGCCGTCGATGCGTGAGCACGGCAGAAGGACCAAATTGGTAGCATCTTTCGAAATCCAGAACAGACTTGCCTGGTATTTTGTCGGAACAATCTCCGGCGGTGGGTCGCTAGGCTAGGGTCACCTTCACGCACAAAGGTGCGTACGCGTATACGGCGAATTTTTCGGTAGCAGTTTCGTCATACCGATATCCCAATATCCATCGGAGAGCGTAAGATGACTTGTGAGTGAACTCCTTTGACTGTATAAGAAGCAATGTGTCTTGGGTCAGACTTCAAACTTCCCCTGCTTCGTCTTTTCAATCTGCAATTCATGGCTACTCTAACCGTAGCAAAAGCGCCCCTTGTGTCCAAATCCGAATCTCTACCCAAAAACTCTGATTTGAAGCCGTCCCCTGACGCACATAATAAATTCGATATAGAACATGTTCCAGGTCGACAACGACCCCCGTCAGTGGAGTTTTGCCAGAAAAGTGCGTTTAAGACACAATATTCTCAGTTGGCCGGGCTGACAGTGTACCACCCGTAGACCACAACTTTGTGCATTGTGTCACTGGCTACAATGGTGGGCACGTTAGCGTCTAACATCCAAAATCGTTCGTCGCATGTATTTGCCTAATGAGCGGTTTTGAATTTGACATATCGTCTCACAGCCTCGAACTCTCTGATAGAGGAAGATCTACACGCCACCAGCAGTCAGATTAGCTGGTCGTTAGCGGCGTTTATGGTGATACAAGGAAACTTTCCATTAATATGGAGCGCCGCAGCTGAGATTAAAGGCCGCAAGGTTGGTCCCCTTTCTTGATCTGTTTGAGGAATGCGGATCTCGAGCATCATAGGTTGTCTATTTGGTGGCTTCGGTTGTATTCGTGGTAGGGGGTGCTGTCTCAGCACTTTCAAAGACCATTGAGGTGATGATCGGCATGCGAGTACTTCAAGCGGCGGGGTGAGCTCTTATCCAATAAACTTGAGCGCGAATTGATGTCCTGCAGATCAAGCGCTTACATGGCTATTTCGGCTGCGACCCTAGCCGATATTTACGAGACTCATGAACGCGGGACTATGATGGGCGTCTTCTTTGCTGCACCTCTTGTGGGACCCGCACTCGGCCCTATATTCGGAGGGTTATTATCACAAAGCTTCAACTGGCGTGCAAGTTTCTACTTCCTGATGATCTGTGGAAGTGTTGTCTTTTTCTCCTTCCTCATCCTGTTCAAGGATACATACCGACGGGAACGAAGTCTCACGTATCGCTCCGCTCTACAACGACGTCTTGCCACCCAGGAACCAATTCAGCGTCTCAGCGAGTCTTCCATTGGCGGGTATGAGTCCAGCAAGGACCAAACTCATGTCAAGGACCCTGAGAAGCAGCTCCAACTCCCGATTGTTCCAGATGGCACACCAGCTGTGACTTCTACACCAGGGCTGGACGATATCAAGTTATCAATAATAGATATCAACCCCCTGCCACCGTACTTTCGAATTTTGTCGCGAAAGAACAATGTTGTCATTCTTACCGCTAATGGTGGGTGAACGCTGCCCTCCTGTATTGCACGTCGTTAATGACTTCACTAGGACTTGTCTTCGGTTTTAACTACTGTCTTTCATACACGTGCGCCCGCACTCTCACCAATGCATATGGCTATGGCGCGCTGAGCGTAGGCTTGGTCCTGCTTTGTCAGGGCGTTGGTGAGATCCCCACCATCTGGATCGTGGCAGAGCACTAATTCCTATGAAGGAAGTATCGCTGGGAGTATAATTGGTGGGCGCTGGTCTGACCGGGTACTTGCGAAGATGAAGAAAGCGAACGGAGGACAGTGGTATGCAGAAGTGAACTTTTTTATGTTCCTGCACCAGAACTCTTGATTGACTTCTTACGAAGATGCGATTAGAGGCCTCGAAACTGGCGATGCTGTGGCTACCTCCGGCTGTCCTCGGTTATGCTTGGATGTGCGAGAAGCACGTCAATATCGCCGGTATTTGCGTCATGCTCGCACTTATTGGATTCTCCTCCATGTGTGCAGAACAGTTATTCATAGTTATGATTTCCCTGACATCTACTTCCAGATGGATGTACGCAAGTACAGTGGCATACCTCGTTGATGCTAACCCTGGTCGCTCGGGCTCAGCGGTGGCCGCGAATAGCTCGTTCCGAGGAACCCTGGCTTTTGTTTCGCTTGTGATTGCTGTACCGCTTCAAGTGAGTTTCTATGTTATCTGGCGTGTCTCGCAATTCCTGATGCTAGCTCGCTCTCGCCGCAGGATTCTTTAGGAGATGGCAAATTGTTCACGGCGTGGGCTGGTGTCTTGGTTGTTTCGGAGCTACTGATTTTATTGGTGTTGCACAAGGGGGAATCGTGGAGCAAGGAGAATGAGCGAGAATGAGCGCGAAATATTAAGTAAATGAATATTCACATTTTCTGACACATTAAAAAGGTATGGATCATGCAGGGCGGGCCCATCTAGATAGCTATAGAGCGATAGAATCAAGCTGTATAATACCACATGAGACGAAATATGTAACAATGTATCTATATACCCGCGGCATGGCACGTGATCGATTGTGAAAGACGCGTCGCGTATGTGACACGGCCTTATGTGCCGTGGTGCGCTATTTTCAAGAACAAGTTCAGAAAATTGCCCTAGCTTGCCTCAGGATATCCTCTAGCTTTGGATAGTACTTGCGAGTATCACGCCGTCCGTAATGATTAGAGCGCAAACTATCGTGGCACGTACACCAACTGCGCTTCTCGCCTCTCTTGACCGTTTTCATTTGCTCTCCAAAGCGAAAGGTAGTACGCTCCTCTTTGCCCTTTCCGCTCCCTCAGACACTCTGTCTGTGATAACTTCTCATTTGAATTCTCATTTTCCTCGCCACATTGGATGTCTATCGTCACCACTACCGGCGTACCGTTCGCACATCATGTGTGCTGTCGCTCTGCTAGATGGAATCACATTCCGATCGACGATTGCTGGTCGCGCTGTTCCTCAGGTTGGCCGATGGCATGCTGCAAGGCGCTCAAGTCAACAACCACTACCCGCAGCACAATCAAACGTTTTTGGCGAATTTAGTGGAGATCTGGGCCGAGTTAACTGGGAGGACATATGGGATAGGAGCGCCGGATCTGCTCAGGAACTGCCTGTGGAGCTGAGAATGGCGAGGTGGGCATGAGGTTGCCCTGTTTCTATGACGTCTTGGCTTCATGCATCCTCCAGACCTGACGATGTGTCTTCTATACTCTATTTCTCGGATAAAGCCCCGGAGGGCATCGCGAAGGCATTGAAGGTCACTTTTCCGCATTCAAATGAGGCGGGTGCATCATACATCTGAGACAGCGAGATATTAATGCTCTTTCCCCGATTAGTTAGGTTTTTTGGCGTCCTCGACTCCTTTCATCACAGGTCGACCAGTGACGCTTTTCCACGATGGCGAGGTCTATTCAGATGGAGCAATCGGAATTGCCCTTCAGCCTTCTCTGGGCCATACTTCACTGACAGTCGAGTTTCCTGGTCTGGTGGATCTGACTCCGGAATTGCAAATAACAAGGTAATCATCCCTCCCTCCTGCACTCCGTCGTATGCTGATTGGTTTGAGTTCTGGGGGAAATCTTATACTCACGGTTGATAATGGAAACCCTACACGTCTCCTCCTTGCTGCAATGAATAAACACGGCCTTGACGGCCGTGACGTCTTGCTCAAGGATCAAGAGTTTTATGTTGGCGTCATGAGTCACGGCAAGGTATGAAGTGCCCACTTTCAATTGAACAAATGCACATTATCATGAGCGAAGGTAGAACGATTACACCGTATAACCTCAGGTGATCCTTCACGCGGCACCATAGCCCTCGAGACAACGAGTGCGCCACCACCGGGCTCCGTCATGAGAGTGGGTCTTCTGTCATTCGAATGAATATACCTAAGATCCCGACAGATGCTCTATTTGCCACGGAGGGATGAAATAGCCTTGAACTTGGAGTCAACACATGGAAACGCGTCCCTTTCCTTCATTGCGACACCTGACTGCATCGGTGACGAGCCTCCATCACCAGTCCTTGACACGGACGTCCTGGTAATTGACGGAATTTTTGTTGCTGGGTCTGAGAATGGGTTTACATTGAGAAGAGGTGCTAAGGAAGAAAGCTGGTCCTGCAAGCTGCCTGGTGGACGAGCTCGCTTGCATTGGACATGACACAGGCTGCGGCTGTTGTGGAGTCTTTCAATTTCTTCTGGGAAACTAGCCACTCGTGGTTCTATAGTTATACGTCGTGATTCATTCAGGTCTTCTCTCTCTTTTGGCGATTGGTTTTACCATGTTTCTCATGTGTTGTTTTGTCCATGATAGCTTCCCCTTTGATGTGCAAGCCAGTTGGCATTAAGTTCCCCAGGTTGGATGACCCGCGAGAAACGGTCATTACCGGATTCCAGATGGACATGCAAACAATAGGAAAAAGGCAAACTCCGGATTTACACCATGACTTGAAATGGTCCTTGTTTGTCCTTGTTGTCGAATCCACAATTAGGATGTGGGCCAAGTGGCCTCGCAAGCAAGTACTTGAATTCCCGTTTTGGCCGGGTATACCGTGTTGTTGTTCGTGCTTTCCTCAGCCCGACAATCTCTTTTCAACGCACAGACCACCAACGTCAATGTCAAACAGCGTCAACGACGTCGCTGCTCCCAATAACGATCCAAGGGCGTCCCCGCCGTTTGGTGGTCAAGAGAGCGATCCCGAGGGGGGCGCTGATGACTTCGAGGTAATACCTGAAGATAAGGAGGACGCGGTGGAGTCGATCCAACAAGGGGATGTTGCAGGCGAGATTGAAATAACGTCGTCTTCTGTCTCTTCTAGTCAAGACGCTGAGCCTGACGCTGGCGAGACTCATGATGCAGCTTATGGTCTTCCAGCCCGTCCCCCTTCAGATTCTGATAGTGGAGAATCGGACAAGGGTTTGAAGCGCAAGCTTGCTGACCGTGGCACGAGTCAGGGGCCGGAGAACCTGGTGCCCTTACCCTCTGCCGAGCCCGCCAAGCGTCCTAGAGATGATACCGACAAAGATGATAACCCTCGCGAATCAAAGAGACCATCGCCTCCCCCCGAACAGAAACCTGTCGCGGCAGAGACATCGACACTCAAACTTGTGCGTCGCTTATTATTACTCGATAGCCTTTCACTAATGAGTCTCTTATCAGGGAGGGTTTATGGCCTATGCTGCCGCAGCATCTCCGTTTGCTGCCGTCAAAGGTCAGAACATCTTCTCAGGAGCTAGTTCTAGCACGTCCAAAAAGCTATCTGTTTCACCATCACCATCGCCATCACCCACCCCCCCGCTAACGACCAATGCCCCTACGCCTTCTCCATTTGTGGGCTTCGCCTCCTCGCAGTGGTCGGTACAGCAGACGCCGGCTAGCACGGCAACCAAGCGTACAGGCTTCGAAGCCTTCATGGGCTCTACTTCTCCTTTCGCAACAGCAGGAGTTTCTCCCTTCCCTTCTCGACCCAAGTCACCATTACGTGCCAGCGGAAAGAGCGCTCTCGGAAGGAGCAGGTCACCGAGACGTACCCCTCTCAGCATGAGCAACGCATTCTCATCATATGCTAGTGGTGGCGTGCAAGCTCTATTTTCTGCGCCCCATCCCAAGCGTGCTAGGGCAGAGTCGCCCAACGGGGGGTCGTCGCGCAGTTCGCTTGAACGGACGAGCAGCACTAGAGTGAACTTATTTGATTCAGCATGGAATGAAAGTGCGGACGGCAGCGGAAGTGGGGAGGAAGATGATGATGAGGAGCAGGAGCGTGAGAGACCACCTTCAACGTTTGGTGAGATACTGCGTGCAGGTAGGGATGATGAAGAGAACGAGCCCGAGGATGAGAAGGAGAAGGAGAAGCTGCAAGAACAAGATGGTGCGGGGTCTCAAATTCTTTTTGTGCAGAAGTCTAAATCTATATCTATGGCAGTTGTAACTGGCGAAGAAGATGAGGAAACAATACACCACGTGCGCGCCAAGCTCTATGCTCTATGCCCCCAGAACCAGTGGAAGGAGCGGGGTACTGGCCTCCTCAAGCTCAACGTCCGACGGTCGGACGGTGGAGGTGCTCGTCTTTGTACGGAAGTCACGTCGTCTTCACCGCTTATCTCACTAACGTTGGGTATCAGTGATGCGCAAAGAAGCGGTCTACACAGTTATACTGAATGTTACACTGTTCTCCGGAATGAAATGCTTTATTGCACAGGATCCACGATATATCCGGTTGGGCGTTATCGAAGATGGGGTCACGACACATTACAATCTCAGAGTAAGTCGTTTTCATTTGTGTTATTTTTACAACGTCTATAGTGACCCTCTCCCAGGTTTCAAACGCGAAGATTGCACACGATTTGCTAGAGGAGATCAAGTCTAATATTCCAGCTTGACATCCAGAGTACCCTTATGTTACTTTACTGCTCGTGATGATCATGCCTTGCTACATTTAACATTAATGTTGTCTTTATGTACAACCACAGGACCCTCGCTGCTCCCTATATCGCATGTCCACCGGTAGCAAGGAGCCTCCAAATCACTCATCCTATGGTCCTAAAAGTTGCGTCTCGGAGTTCATGGGCCATACGATACGCCATGTCCGACGGTACGCCCCAAAAAGCCTTGGAGAACTTGCTTACCCTCGATTGTACGTTAACCGACATTCGTGTAGCCCTAAACAGGCACTCAGTACTCAATAAAATGACCTACCACTTAGACCTCATCAATGGCATGCAGTCAAGATATAGAGTTCGCAGTGCAAGCCCATGTTACAAGTTGAACAAAACCCGTCTTTTCCACTCTGAGCCTCAGTGAAACCCGCTCAGAAATGTCCTGGTAAAGCATGCTGGCTGTTTGTTAGACGAGTTGAAGAAGCTTCGCATTCATGCTCAAGGTCCAGTATCGGAAAGTATTCTCGGGTCAAGCACTTGAAGGGGCAGCTGCAGACCGCTTGGAGCACTTGATGAGCTTGCTGGGATGTCACAAATCTAGTCCTGGCCGCTGAATGGCAACAGTATCATTTTCAGTGCAGAAATCCATTGAACTTTTACCAGGTGTCTCCAAATGATGTTCTTCCAAAGCGAATCACAGTTAACGACATAAATCTGCACTTAGAAGTTCCTCATACTACATAAAGGGTGTGGAGGCTACTCACGCGTCGAATCGAGTCATACCAGCTGGATAATACCCACTACGACGGAACTTTGCCTTCTGGGAAATTGAAGGTTCGCTTCCCGAAGAATCGCTTGCGATTGTGTAGTTGTTGATCGCTCTCAATTCCTCACAGACAATTTTCCCCATCTGCATTGGTTCTCCTAGAATTGCAAATATATCCTGCTGGTGCTCTGATCATGTGACGCTCTTAAGGCCACTACCGGCTCGGCAAAGTGATCCGCCTTCACAAGAACGGCAATGATAAAGGTGCCCAGCACGAGAGCATTCTCGTCGCTGGTGCCGAAAAGGTTTCCTCATTCACTGACATAGGTTACGATGTTTTTATTCAGGTATCATCCGTCGCAACTTTTCATTCTCGTTCAATGCTAAAGAAAATGAAAACTCGTTTCAGTAAGTCAGCAGGCCACTGGTGGATGTTTGCCAGTATCAAATAAAACGTTCGCGATCTGAGAAAATCTTGCGCTTGGTGCTGGAGGGTAGGGTATCACACTTTTGAAAGGTAAGTTTATGTTTTATAAGACCATAAGACATTAATTCAACTTGGCATACAGGCGGGGAACTGCTGGGATGGCAACGCACCAGTCCAAAACTTTACTGCGATAAGCAATCAGTATTTGACGCGATGTCCGTCTTCAAAGGAATTCATGTTGACATCGCGAGTGACGCCAAGGTACGAAGGACCCGGTTCAATTGAACAAATACACATCATCACACATCACGAGCCCTGGGGCAATGAGTGTGTCACCACAGGAGTCCCTCGTGAGAATAGGCTCCTCTCATCTGAATGAATGTACTATCTAACATCAGATCCTCTGAAGTGGCCTTGGACTTGGAGTCAACGCATGGAAACTCACCTGTTTTGTTTATTGCAACACCTGACTCCATCCTATCGATGACTTGCCTCATTGACGGGCTATCACCAATCTAGGCTCCATCGGTGATGAACCTTCGCCGCCAATGCCTGACAACGACGTCCTGGTCATTGATGGAAATTTCATTGTTTGGCCCTTCTTAGAATGTATTTCCGCTGAGAAAGGGTACCAAAGAAGAAAGTTGGTCCTGTACGCTTCCTGGCAGTGGAGCTCTCTTTCCATGGGCACGGAACAAGCCACAGCCATCAATACTCGATCAATTTATCAGGCTTTCAATTTATTTTGGCCGTGTGACTTACGGTCGTTCTATGCAGGGGCTCTAGCCACGCGTCGCTGTGGTATCCGAACATGGCATCCTGTCCCGTCTTGGATTTCCTTTATTCAGGCGAAGCATGACTACATCGATACATGATCAGTGCAACAATCGATAACACCTTCCTTGTTCCTCTGGCAACGTACAACAGCTATGCTTCAAGGCGCTCCAGTGCAATACCACCAAGGTGCAGCGTACAATTCTGTTATCATTAGTTCCAGATTTCTATGCTGTTTTGGTGCAGGCAAGAACTTTGAATGCGTCCGTGCCATTTTGGGTTCATTAATATATCGGGCGACAGTCTATGTGTCTTAAACCGCAGACACTTCCATAGCGCTCGAATTGGAAACAGTGGTCCGGACGCCCGTATACAAGACATTGAATTGTCATTAATATTGATGCAGTACGGGCAGAAAACTTATCTTTCGGAGGCTTAATCTAACAACGTAAGGGTCATCATAACGCCACCACATCACACGCTTGGTTAGTTGCCTTCAAAGTCCTGCCACCTGCATCTTCACGAAGAAGTTCGAGACCCGTTCCGAAAGGGCAGTGTCACGTTCTCCAGCTCGTTGGATACCGGGGAAGAGGCTTCCTTCCTGCCAACAACTCCCTAACCGTAACCCACCCCGTTGGTGGCCATGGGTTATGAGTCTGGTTTTGGACTGTTTGGACTCAAGGCAGTCACGTTTTTGTCAGACCATTTACTCTCACTGATCGCATAGGCTTGGTAGTAGTGTACTCTATACAACTCCAGAAGAGGAAGCGGCTGGGGTAGCGGTACCTTCCCGATGAGAACTTTCGCAAGTTCGAAACCGCCTGCCATCCGCTTCCAACTACTCATACCCACAATATCCGTTGACATATACGCTCAACGCCTGCCTTCAGACAGCTGGACACTGGCACTCTTTATTTCACCATTCTGGGAAATTCATCCACGGTGTCATCTCGGGTGCAAGTCCACTACCGAGTCTTTGTTGAGAATCACCGTTTCGCGGAAACATGCAACAGGTATGTTCTCAATTGATACCTTGATTTTTCCTAGCATCCATTGTGTTGTCATTTTCTACCCCAAGGAACTGACGAAATTCTTATGACTATATTAATATTAGTATATATGTTTAATACATTATCCATTAGCGCTTTAGCTATAGAACGCCATCACCAATGAAAATCCATTTATCATTCATCGCCGTTTCTCCTGATTGGATTCATTGTCTATATTCTCACTCGTCTTTTGAACTCCGCTGGCCATCGTCAAAATGACGGAACCAACACTGCAGTCAGATGTCATAAGACATGTATCGCCCTGCCCGCAATGTATCCTGAACCTAGCCTCGACACAGACGTCCACAACGGGTTCTTCTAATCCCAGCGGTGCTTCGAGACTATCTTGTACCCCGAAAATTAAGGCACATGACCAAGGCAATGTCATAAGCCAGCATATACCCTCCACACCTGGTGTTATCATTGTGTTACATATATCTCGTGGATTAATTCGTGGATTACTTGCTTCTTCGTTACTTTTCCTTGCGCCTTCATGTATTACTATAGCTGAGCTTCAGATAGCCGCTAGATGTGCTCAAATGCATCATCACCGCGTACAACTTACCGTACGACTTACGTTTTTGCCGCATGTGGCATGTTCTTCTAAACCTTACGCGCGCCACCGACCACGCATACATAAGTACTCTACGAATCCGGACCTGAAATTCTATACAGTGGTACGTGACAGATAGTATGTGGATTAGACGTTACATTTGACTACTGCAATACATTCGGATACGAGCGGGAACACAGCACAACTTTTGAACGTTACAACAAAAAGACGCTGCAAGCAATTCTGCCGACGCGGTCAGCGGTTCCCGAGTGCTTGAAATGCAAACCGATCGAGTACTGGGCCTCGGTCCTGTGGGATCGATGATCAACCGGACCCGAGTAGAAAGTATCCTAACTGGCGTGCAACTTCAGCTCTATCGCCAGGGGAATTACCAGATCTTGAAAGGCCCGATGGCGCAGCGAGTTCTCGGGAGGCTCAGCGTTGCGAATGCCAACGATGGAATATGTCAAATATCATGTTCACCTTTCCGCTTCACCACTAGTACATCCCCCAGCACGGTGCAATCATCACCCCGGGAAGTCGTCAGAAGTTAGAACATGTACGCTTTTCTCACAGGCTTTTTCATAGAGCCCACCACTTTCACCTTAACCCCATTTAGCGATTGTCGAAGGAAGCGTTCAAGGTCGACCCATTTCTGATTTGAAGGCTTTTGAAGGCTGGGAGCTGTTTGACACCGGTCTGGTGATCACTAAAATCACTACAGCTTTGTGACTCGTGACATTTAGATAATCATTCCTGCGAAAACTGCGGAAGACCCTTTCCCCTCCAAGTTTGTGAGTGATGTAAACCATTCTCGTATTCTTACAAGATAAGTAACTTCGTGTCACAAGGGTGTTGATATTTTTCTCATGTATGAATATTGTCAAGGACCGCTCCAACTCAGTCCTGGTATGTAGCCCTTTGAAATCCAAGAGCAGCACTTCCTCACATTATTCATTGGAAAGTAAGAGGTTCCGTATGGAGCGAAACCTGACCTGGCACCCTTGAATCGTTTCTGATTTCCACCCAATAACGAGGCAGTGATTCTTATTGACTCGTAATCTGTGGAAATCCACCATTTCGTTGATGATCTAGCCGCGAGGTCGCTGGCAACTTGATTGCACAATAATGAATACCCGCTTCGGGACAGGAATGCATAGAGTATTCTGAAGGAACTGCGGAATGGCGTCTCAAGTAACGAAGGCTTATCCACTTTTCAGGGTCTCGAATTGTACGTGTCACACCCCGGCAACATAGTCGCTCCTCCCCACACTCCGCGCGGCTTCACCATGACCACCGCATCCATACCTCATGTGCACTGGTAAAAGGATTGGGATAAACCTCTCGAAACCTGATAAAATTTTGATCTGCTTTTTTCCCAACACATAACGAAATTTCTTCGAGATCTACGGCCAATCTTAACTTTGACGGTGGTAAGCAGCGTGTACGATATATCTATTGCCGCTCATGCAGCGCTCTTGGCCGTAGGCATGGTTCTGCGTGTATGATATTCAGGTCAAAAAACTGTGGGGGTGAAAAAGGCAATCACTTGATAGTAACCTCCTGACGTCATTCCGACTTTCTCACTAGGTTTAGAGATGGGGCGCAACGCCCGTGCCATAGTTCACGGTCCAACAGTTGGCAAGCTCAAAGTCAAATTTTTCCCGGATCATATTCGGGTTAGGACGCAAACGTTTCCGATCGCCTGTTGACGCTGCAGTAGCCAAGCTATAAAGAATCGAGTATTCAAAAAGTGATACAGCAGAATTAACCACCCACATCCCTCATTAATGGATCAAAATCGCCCTACCGATCAATTCATTTTGATGGCAGCTCATGCTCCATCGTCAGTGACGCTGACGACTGAATACGGACGAGCACACGCTGCTGACCCCCACGAGGAACCATTCGCTGAGTTCCCTGGCCCCAACGCTGCAAGCCAAGGCTTCTTGAACTCTGGCATGGGTTATTTCACATCTCCACAAAGGTATATTTGTTTCATCTTTTCTTGGGGACAAATATTGATTTCTACTTCTACTATTTAGCCTCGCATACTGTGACAACCATTACCTTCTAAACCTGATGGAGCAAAATTACGCTCATGGCTCTGCTCATCACGCTTTTCTTCTTCCCGGAAAATCTACTAAAGAGTTGGATGGCCTGTCTAAAACCCACTCTTATTATGACAGTGGTGTTATGCGTACTTCGTTACAGGATGAGGCTGCTCTTTTTGTTCCATATCATCGCCACCAGTGGCGCGAGACATACGGCACGGAAGCTACCATGAACCAAGCCATTCGGATGTGTGAGGGACAGCGGGACACTCCAGGTCGCTATCGTCATTTGCTCCTACGTCGATGTCGCTTACACTATTCGCAGATCCAAATCTCCTGTACAGTCAGATGGGGAGAGACGAATTATCTGTGAACATCAGTTCATCCTCGACGAGTCACACAGGTTCCCAATCTAGCAGATCGGCAACTCACCGGCTGAGATACAGCGGGAGAGCTTTCAGGTCCAAAGCTGTTAGACAGATCAACCACAGGATATTCCCAGACGGTGACAGGATGAAGGTAAGATGTTTCGAAGACCCTTGCAGCGGCAATGTGTTGTTGAAGGAAAATTATGCCCGCCACGTACGTGAACGTACACCTTGGAGGGAAGAGGAAGATAGGAAAGAGCTCTAGACGAGGTGTTCGTCTCGGATTGTGATGATGAACGACCGAGATCGTAGCGTCATGGAAGATTGGTAGATATGGAACCATTGTAGCTCTTGAAGGGTATGCTGTATTTGTGAAATTTATTTACATAATAAGGCATCTTTCCTGTGGAATTGATAACCATAAATTCACGTTGGAGTGCACAGCACACACAGCTTCGCAGATAAGTACGGAGGTGGTCGTCTATTGGCTGTCCAGAAAAGGGTAGTTGAACGGAAGTCTCCGAATGGGACACGAGTTGGGGGTCACCGCGGCTGAACTTACTCACCACTGCCGTCTACCACCATTCAACGTCGTCCTCGTCGTCTTTGCCGTCGCCGGGACATTGCAGACAACGTCGAGCTCTGTACCAAACAAATTTCTAGATTGTAACTTAGTTTCATCCTTTGTTTCATTCTTGTTCGCATAACAGTAAACAACGCTGCCATCCAACTTGGCTTTCTTGCTTTTCTTGCAGAGGCTGGGCGCTATATCCCGTCAATTTCCTACTCTCACTCCTTTACTTTTTCTCTGAAGTCAAACCAATAAAATGGGTCAAACTCCATCCAGGATGCAGATCCGTCGCAATGGTCTTGCAAAGGCGAGATCTGACATGCCATCCTCTGAATCGCAGTCGTCGTCCGAACTTTCAACTTCCGTTCCCAATCCTTCGTCGTCATCTGTATCAGAACCTCAAGCTGCAAGTATCGCAGAAGCAAAGCGTAGTCGTCGTGCTTCCCTGCCGCACCGCCTCCTTTCATCGCTTGCTCCCAAGACTTCGACTTCTGAAACTCCACGCACCCGTACAACCAGTTCGGCTACTCAGTCTTCCCAGCGCAAAAAATGGCGACTTTCCCGACGCATCTCTAAACCTCCAATAGCCAATGACATCCCTATTCGTGAGGTTGCAGAATCTCAAGACGAACAAAGCAGATCTCAAGATTCTCCTGTGGAAGTAGAGAGCGGGAAGGGCAAGGCGAGGGAAGATGAAGCTGTGGATGACTTCCCGTCAGCCCCAGAAGCATCGACATCCCTCAGTCCACCTATAGAAGCTGTGGCCTCAATTACTTCGGGTGGAAGATTTGTTGAACCGGATTCTGATATCCCGTTTCAACCTATCTCCACAGCTTCTCGACAGTGCTCGGAGGAAGATCAGGATGAAGTGGTCATTGCTCCAAGTACCGAGTTGGTTGATTCATCCCCCCAAACACACGTAGTCCCGCCATTAAATCAGAGCGAAGGTCCGCCGTTCATGCCCCCGATTGCACCCGCTGGATCTCAGCCTCCCGTAGGGCACAACTGCACAGCCCTTCAGTTCGCCAGTTTCCACCCGCGGGAACACTTGTTGTCGTACAAGGTGTTGTGCACACTACTGACGTGTCCCGCGCCTTGGAAGCAAACTCTGCCAACAATAACTCGAACAATCCGAATTCCGTAATCGATGGTGGTTTGGAGCCTCCGGGCATTGGCAGGTCACTTATTTCACGCCAAAGATCGTCTTCGACCCCCGGAGATCGCATGCGCAATCGCTTGTCTGGAATCTTACCGCGCCCCTCCAGCATGCTGCCATCTGTACCGCTTATGTCAGAAGACGGTACAGCTGTTGACCGCACTGCTGCTGATTATCCTCAACAACCGCCCGTTGACACGCAGTCAAGTACGGCCACTTTGGCCGGGGGGACAGGCTCCAACACAGGAGGTGGTCCAGCAACCTCTGAAATATCTAACCCCGGTTCACTTTCCCCGAGTAGTATTGATGTATTGGGAACATTGCTCAGGTGTGCATTTAACTCACTCCACAACATGCCTGTGTCATGCTCTACCCCATCATACTATTTGGCTGGTTCGTGCGAATTGCATACAACGATGCTGACTCTTTCAATCCCAGTGTAGCAGCAGCAGCAACGGCTGCTTCCCTTCTCACAGGCACTTCTGAGCCTATCTTCTCTTCTGGGCTTGCGCCCTTATCTCAGTCACCAAATCAGCCTCCTCCTCAAAGTGTGTCCGACAGACCCCTATCTCCTACGCCCACAGGTGATGCTGGGCGGATGCGTCATGTCTGGAGCAGTTTACGCGACCGTCTTGGTCTACGCACGCCTGGAATGGGAGCGTCTGGGACTGATGAGGGTGCAGGTAGACCCAGTCCCCGTGACGCATCGGGAGGTCCTGCTTACGGAGATGGCTCGGGCTTTCAATCTGGGTCTTGGTCTAGGAAGACCACCTGTAGTTTCTGGTGTGGCCAATGCCAGCGGTCCCCGCCCCGCCCGCAGCCGAAGCAGCTGCCGTCAATGGGGGTGGGATCAGTGACGTTCCCGTTATGCCCCCACCTGGCAGCTTTGAGCGTTTCCTCATTGATCTTCAATCGGATCTAAGGGTTGCGCTTGCGCAAGAAAGTGTGCCTGCTGATGCTGACACTGAGGGCGATAACGAAGATGTGGGTGATGAAGACGGCCATGAAGGCGAACATCATGAGGAGACTGGAGACGTACCAGATGGCGCTAGTGACAACGAGTCTTTCGACACCGCCGCATCCGACATCGATGATAACATGCCTGAACTTCAAAGCGTTTCCGATGAGGCGTCTACTATCTCTGACGCCCACACTGCCCGCGAGAGCCCAGGCACCAACGGTGATGGTTTAGGAAATGGCGGTGACCCTGATTTGGAAATTCGCAACGCCGCAGTCCGTGATACCACAGCAACCTTGCCTCACGTTGCCCACGCTGATACCCTTTCTGGAGAGGCGAGTACAGGCATAGGGTCTCAAGAAGCTTCATCTGGTTTCCACGGAGGGGCTGTAACAGACCCTCTTTCTTCTTTATCATCAGGACCTCCCCCGGGTGTGAGTTCTTTCACTGAGTCCTCAACTGCCGCACAAGAGTCTGAGACAGACATGCCATTCCGCCTTCCACGATTCTCCCCCGGTTCTGCGTCGCGTACTGAGCACACACCTATCAACTGGTGGCGATTGTACCGTTTCCCCGCTATCACCGCGCCTGCAAGTCGCAGTACGCAGGGGCCCACGATCGTACAGCAAGGATCTGCCCCACAACCACAACCACACGTGGACGACCAAGAGGGACAAAATACAGGTGCTGCACCAGCAGCTCCCTCTCTTTCTTCTACTCCCTCAGAAATGTCGGATACTGCGCACGCAACGCTAGACGCTAACCTGAACGCTGGAGTACAGTCAAGTGACGGCAATGCTAACGGTAATGAGCAACGCAATGTCGTTATTCCCGTCATCGTTGTGGGCTTGCAATCAGTACACGCAGAACGTCAACCGCCTATGCCTCCACACCCTCCTCACCACCTTCACCATCCTCACGTTCATCATCATCCAGCCGATTTCGTGGACGAGCATCACACAGAAGGAGATATGATGGATTTGGACTTTGGCAGTGAATCTGGGATGTCCCCATCAACTACGGCCCCTACTGCTCCATCAGAGTTTTCACCTGAGGATACACGACAATCTCGAGGTCGCTCGTGGCAGTCTCGTGCGGCAGATGCCATTCGTAATTTACGTCCTGGTCGCAGAGCCACTGTGACAAGAAACCCCGCGACAGAAGTGCCTGGCTCAAGGACGTTCCTCATTTATGTCATTGGTGGTGAGTTCACCCTTTGTGCCCTGTTTTCAGATGTAGACAATTTGTTTCAAGGCTATTACCCACCCGATCACCAAATCATCACAGGCGGGAACTTGGATTCCTTTGAAGCATTGTGGTACGTATATGATGCGAGTATGACATAATGCTGGGCTCACTTTCATGCAGGGAACTGGCCGAGTTGCTCGGCCAAGTAAAACCACCTACTGTCTCCAAGGAGGAGATCGCTAAGTCTGGACTTGAGGTCATCAAGGCAGATTCACTTGAGGAGTATGCAAAGGACGGACGTGTCGCTAACAACTGCGTTGACCGGGTATGTAACCCTGCCTTTCTCATGCTCCAAGCTTACCTTGCATATAGTGTCTCATATGTCTCGATGACTATGTGCCGGACGAGGACTTACGTGTGTTGAGCTGTAAACATGCATTCCACCAAGGTTGTGTAGATAAGTGGCTCCAGACAGGAAGGAATAACTGCCCTGCATGCCGTTCGAAGGTACGTCTGTTTTAAACGGCAGCAAGTAACCAGTTATTGACGATCTGTTTCAGGGCGTCGAAAATGAGACTAGCCCATCCGCCGAACCGTCCGCTTCGAGTTCAACCGCAATGCCCCAGCCAGCAGCTGCGTGATGGTGCGCATTCTTTATTAAGCGGTATTTTCTCTTGCACCATCTTCCCTTCATCTCGATCGTCACAAACTTGTCTTGCGATGCATGTAGCAATTTCATCCTTTCATCCTTGTTTTTCCAGCCTATTATAATGCTGCTGAGTATCATCCGTCCATACAACTTATCAAAATCACCCGCTATCATTTGTACTGTACGACACATAGAAAATGACATTTATTACTGAGAAGCCTCAGTACTTAGCACGATATACAACTCGTGATGCAGGTGAGTGCGGGAGCACAAAAGCTACTACTATGCACGCTTCCCAGTGATACCAACCTCTTTGAGCTTGGCGAGAAGCTCGTCAACATTTGCCACCTGGATGCAATTGTAAACACTTGAATATACTATGAATAAATGAAGGATCACCTTGCCACCCCCAACACGCTTTGGAGGTTCTGTGACTTTAATGGTTTCTAGTCTAGGGGTGAGGTCGATTCCAAGGTCCGTAGCCGTCAACTTCTCCACAGGTTTCTTCTTGGCTTTCATGATATTGGGCAACGAGGCATACCGTGGTTCTTGGAATAGGTCCAAATTAAGTTGTATTGATGAAGTATTGTATTTGAAACTGAAACATACCATTAAGCCTGCATTTAAATGTATTCGTCAGTCACTGAGAGCCTTGTGAATCCACGTAAATGAACTTGCCGAAGATCCGTTGTTATAATGACAGGAAGCTTGCACCTAAGCTCCTCAAGGCCTCCGTCGATCTCGCGAGTGACGTTCGCAACCTTCTGCTCTGGGTCCACTACGACCTTGCTCGCAAACGTTGCTTGTGACCAGCCCATGAGGCCAGCGAGCATTTGTCCAGTTTGGCCAGCGTCGTCATCAATGGCTTGTTTACCCATGATGACTACGTCCACACCCTCTTTCTGTCGTTCGATGAGGGCCTTCAAAGTCTTCGCAACACCGAGAGGTTCTGGAGCCGGAGCAGATTCGGGGATTTCGACGTGGATGGCAGAGTCGGCACCCATGGCGAGTGCGGTACGGAGTGTCTCTGCGGACTTTGGTGGACCAATGGTGACTACCTTGATAGATTTCACTGCGTCCTTGAGGCGTTCTCGTATCCGAACGGCTTCCTCCACAGCTACACTGCAAAGTCAGATGACGGTGTCCGCCGAATGCTAACGTCAAACGTACCAATCTCATCGAATGGATTCTGTAAATGTTCGTGTGAGCTAGATTGGTTTATGATTGTGAGCTTGCCATACCATGGAATGTTTAACATTGAGGTCGATGCCCGTCTGCTCAGGATTTACACGGATCTTCACGGCATAGTCTACCGCCCTTCCAAACGCATCTTGAGAACTGGCAGGATAAGAACTGAATTCATGCATACCTCTTTATAGGGACTAAAATGTTGAGCAACCGCACGGCAGAAGGCCTCATCCTCAACTTGTCCTCGACGCTTGCTGAAAAGTCAAAAGAATCAAATGATCGAAGCCGCCAAGCGAGTACTGTTATCGGAACTCGGAAATGAAGGTAACTATTTATAACGTAAGCCTGCGCCGACACACGATACTACTTACTAACTTGGTCTGCGTACGCCGTAGTCAGCTGGCCCACCTGCAATCGGTCCCTAGTTTACACGGGTAACTGTAAGTGTCCACTTCTTGATGGAGGACTTATACTTAGCCGGGATAACTGACTCGGACTTCGTAGAGCCGAAGTAGCTTCAAGTTCCTCCCTCTCAGAACAAATTACAATATGTGATTTGTTCGTGAGACTAGTGCTTAATAAGTTGATAACAGAATGTACGGATAACTGTGTTCACTTGGATGGTCAGCTCTTCCTATTATTAGTTCGACTTTTACCTCCCACTGACCGGGCATCCGACATTCCGTAGAAAGGCAGTGATTACAATCCAAAATGTAACTCGCAGGCCTTCCTCGATCGGTAGCTATCTGATAGCCAGAATGAAGACAAGGTTCTATTGCCTCGCCACTCGATCGGCCACTTTGTCCGACGCGCTATGTTTATTCCGTCCGGTGCGGTTATTTCATTCAGTGAGATGTTAGCATCGGCACTGGTAAACCCATGTGCGCTTTCTGGCGCCCGCTTTATCACTGAGCCATCTATAAAATCATACTGCTACGTTGTCATACAATCTTCAAACTCCCGCATCGGAAGACCTTTTACGCCCATGGCAGAAAGCCAGTGTACGACTTTGACGCCTACGGAGGTCCAGAATGTGGAATTCAAGGATACTAATGACACACAGACGCACTCCTCCAGCTCAAAATTGTCCAATGAGCCCATCAAGCTCGACATAGAACATGCAGTGGTTGAGGATGATCCTCGACTGTGGTCAAACGCGAAGAAGGTGCGTCCTTTCATCTTCACGTGTGAGTAGGAGTTGGTTGAACACACCTACAGAACGCCATACTGTGTATCATATCTGGAGCATCGATGATTGCGGGTTTGTCGGCCAATATACAAAATCGTAGGTCGCGTCCTTGATGCTATAGTAACCAATGTCGGTTGAACAGCCGGGGAACAGCCGCCAATGCTCAAATTGAGCAGCAGCTACACACCAGCAGCGGAGACATCAGCCTGAGTTTGTCTCTGTTCATTCTCGTTCAAGGCAATTTTCCTGTCATTTGGAGTGCAGTTAGCGAGATAAAGGGTCGCAAAGTTTGTATTTCTAGCTGCCTTGAGAGCGTCATTTGCTGATATGACCGAGCTCAGCTCGTGTACCTTTGTTCCGTCGCACTTTTTGCACTTGGATCTACAATCGTGGCTGTGTCGAAAACCATTGGTTTGGTAATTGGCATGCGAATTCTGCAAGGCGCAGGGTAAGACAGTTTCCCAATGCCTAACGACCATGCTCACCTGGATTAGCTCAAGCGCGGTTATCGCTATCGGAGCTGCCACTCTGGCTGACATATACGAGCCGCATCAACGAGGTACGATGATGGGTGTCTACTATTCTGCACCTCTCCTCGGTCCTTCATTGGGGCCAATAATTGGTGGTGCACTCACACAGGGCCTCGGATGGCGGGCGGTTTTCTGGTTCTTGGTCATTTGGGGAGGCATTATCTTTTCGGCATTCCTTTTCTTGTTCAAGGACACTTTCCGGAAGGAGAGGAGTATGACTTACCAGAACGTATTGAAGAGGAGGCTCGGAGAGCAACAGTTGTCAGAAGCAAAGGATGAGTCGCAAAAGATTTCAGAGAAGGAATCGGAAGTGAATGGAGAAAACCAGACAAGTTCGAAAGATATTGAAGCACAACAGACGGTTATACCAGCATCAGCCATCAAAGAAGTGAAGTTATCCATTGCAGATGTCAACCCTTTCCCTCCATACCTATCAATTATCAGCCGGAAGAACAACTTTGCTATCTTAGTATCATCAGGTGAGTGCCCTCAGTAATTCATACTGGAAACGTTTCCAACGACGTCTATGCCCTCTTTCCCTAGGTTTAATATTTGCATTTAGCTTTAGCATCACATATACATGCGCAAGAACATTGTCGATGTATTATAATTATAATGCCTTGAAGACTGGCCTTGTTTTGCTCGCCTATGGCATCGGTGAGCGAATTACAACAAACCGCGAGCACCTCCCTGACGCATGTATCCCAGGCAGTGTAATCGGCAGCATATTGGGTGGTCGTTGGTCCGATCGGACGCTTGCTCGGCTGAAGGCCGCGAACGGAGGGATCAGTTACCCAGAGGTGAACTACTATCTTCAGCTCTGCCTCCGTCTCCACGTTCCTGACGCGAATTCATGCAGATGCGCCTCGAGAGTACGAAAGTCGCCATGCTGTGGTTACCTCTGTCCGTGATCGGATACGCCTGGGTGTGCCAAGAACGGGTCAATGTTGCCGCTATGTGTGTGATGCTATTCCTCGCTGGATTTTTATCGATGTGCGTTCATTTCATTTTACACTGTCTTTTGCTCTCATTCGTGATAGATGGATCTACACGAGCACGCTGGCATACATTGTCGATGCAAACACTGGTCGCTCATCGACAGCAGTAGCGACTAATAGTTCTTTCCGCGGTCTGTCTGCTTTTGTTGCCGCTGAGATTGCCGTTCCTCTACAAGTGAGTCGATCCATGATAGCTTGCAGAATATCGAATCTGAGGTTCGTTTAGGATTCGATTGGCGATGGGGGTTTGTATACTCTCTGGGCAGGCCTGATGGTCGTCACCGAATGTATAATTCTTCTGGTATTGTACAAAGGCAGGAAGTGGAGAGAAGCCTAGTGTTGAGAGGGAGAAGCAGAAGCTGGATGCTAAGTAAACAGTAGACGATCATAATTCCGATCGACCAGGGATGAGGGGCATTAGAATGACCATAGATATTACTACATACACACTAGAATTAACCGTATCATTACATTTGCGGCCGATCGATGCACGAAAATTGCCTTCGGGAAGCGTGGTCGTTGAATATTGAATGCTTGTGGGTATCGCGGAGTTACTGATAGGATATGAATCGACAAACCGATGAATTTACAGTACAGTCGACTTTGCATGAGAGACTTTGAACGCTGTACTTGCCAGCAAAATGATACCGAAGTACGCGATTCGAGGCCGCGGCCACACCACGATCAGACAATCTTCACGACTAGCTGCTTCATACCTCGACGATTTCAAATTGGTCTATTCTTAGCTGGATAAAAATCAGTATCAGTACATCGGACTTCTTCGAAAATGGGTAGAACCTACCATGTCCGCTGGCAGTCGCACCAACTTGGCCAGATAAATTCTATCCTTTTCGACCCACACCACGGTTAAATCCATACTGGGAGGGAAAACTCTATCCGACGCGACCTCGACATAAGGCATAGACGTCGTTATTATCTCCTCCGATTCAGGGATTTTTGTCATAATCGACTCTTTCACCACTCGTCCTAGACCGCGGTGGCGCTCAACAGCTAATGGGCTGAAGTCCATCATGTATAAACTATACCCCCTGGAGACACGCATCTCGTCGACTACACGAAATGGCTGTACAACTCGATTCCCGCAAACGATAGCGTCCCAGGGGTCCTGGAACGCACGAGCGTTTGGAGGGCCCCAAGATGTCCATGGTATTGTAATTGGCGTTTCACCAAATCTGGAGAGATCGAAAAAAATCCTGGTGGAAATAACCAAGATGAAACGTGGTTTGTATGTGACGAGGGATAACAATCGATTCTCAGGGTCTGACGTCCACATTGTTTGCCGGTCTTGTGAGCTATGTGCAATATCATCAAGGTGGCACTGTATTCCCATTACTGATACAGGCATCAAGTAAGATGCCAGCAATTGAGGCTCCCGGGACATATCCTCAATTGAATAGAGCTTCAAATGATCGCTGGCAATCAGCAATCTATCGTTTCCAACGAAACAAAAACCAATTGACTGGTCAAACAGTATTGTGTCCCTGAGGTTGCTCTACATGAATCGAGTGTTAACTGTCGAGTCTTTCAACTATTTCTGATAGCGGCTCACATTAGACGTTGTTGAGTGTCGCCAGTTCCAAAGTTGCAACCACCACATGGCCCCGCTGCCATCATAAACCAGCGGGGAGCATTGGAGAGCGATATGCTTCCCAAAACACTTGAGCTTCAAGTTCTCGGTTGCAGAGCGATTGTCTTGTGTAGTAAGCACCGACACGAACAGTGTCTGTCCAGCGGCTCGAGGGTGAATACCATCTCCATCCAGGGCTCTCAGATCAACGTAGAATCTTCTCTCCAGGAGAGTATCATGATCAATGACATACGCGATGGCCATCAAGTTTTGCATTGGTTCCATGAGCACATCGACGATGCATGCATTGGGAACCGAACACAGCGATCCTGGGGACCAATGATACTCGATTGCTTTCCGTGAGGGCTTTGGCAGTATTGGAAAGACCCTGGCCGAGTGGCGGAAGTCTTCATCTTTCTCCCAGACACAAAGATGCCCATCGGCGAGGGATGTTCCCCTATGAAAAATTTGTTCTGGTATAGAGACTGTTTGGAAGGAATGGAGGTCAAACTTGAACCATGTGTGGGCTTTGTCCCTCAGGAGCTGTAGGCGCTCATAAATAGAAATACAGTTGTCAAAATCCGTGACGGGGACAGGGAGCAAGCATTGGCCACCGAGTTCTACGAGGTACTGAAGCTCGGAGGACGAAATGTAAGTCAGACGAAGGGCCTTGCATACCTGCAAGATAATTGTAAGTCATCCGGTAAGATCAAGGTCGATTACATAGAAATTAATGGCTCACGGATGTACAGCGAAGAATATCTCGCCAAGGAAGGAAGCTTAGAATGTAAGACAGAAGTTCTTCAGGAAGAGACAGGAATTCTGCTTTGGGCTTCATGTTCTTCTGATCAGCGTCGAGCTGGTCCGCCTTGTCCCAGCGAACGATGATCTAAGTACTTGGAACTGCTGCGGTAATATGTGAGACTCCGCGCTGTAGAGACTCGCGATACGGATTTCCAATAGGACTAGAATTTGATAAAAAATGGATGTATGAATCATCTACTTAAATACTGAGAGGCCCAGATGACTTACGAGTGGCTCAATGGCGTCGCAGCCAAGATGTTAGATCAGAGCGGCTGGCGCCATGACTCGAGCGTTCGAACAAAGACCTAAGCGGGTCCTTTGACGTAGCGAGAGTAACAATTATTAGTGTCAGTAACGATCAAAAAGTAGAGTACATATCGATTCCTGAAGGAACGTGATAGCGATTATGATCGACGCGACTGACACGATTGAGCAGTGACTAGTTAAAGGACTCTACGCCCAATCGGTCACTTAGCATAGAAGGGAAAATTCCTTCGTCTAGGGTCTGCCTAGGGGAGATTACAGCAACTAAATAATGTATTTAAATTTACTTACTACCCGCAGTGTATAGAAGCAAAAAGGAATGCGACTCCTTGCTATGTGGTGTTATGTGGATTGTGTTGCAGGCGCTAAGATTATGCTGGTGACCAGTCCGTCTATATATGAAGTAGAAGGACTGGTCACGAGTCTAGGCTGTATGGAAAGCGAGAGTGATCAGTTCAATGAGAGTGATCAAAGCAGAGTACTACTATGTTACGGTAGTAGAGAGTCCAGAGTGATCAGCTTCGCCCAAAAAGGGTTTTGTTTGGCTTTCCCCCAGCCAGACCCCCAATCACCTTACTTGTCAGGAGTTATTACATTACTTATTCTTTTGTTGTCCACAGTAACTGTCTTCGCATCGGATGGCTACAATTCATTACCATGCTCGTGAAGAGCAAGAATGGACCTCGACATCCTTATTCTGACCAGCCTGAGGGCTCCCGCTTTATATTTGTGGTGGACGAGGAGCTGCCGAGCGGTGTAGGTGAGTCTCTGCCTGCACTCCCAAGATGGCCCATGTGCGAGAAGGTGTGAAAGGGCGTAGGAGGATGCCGGCAGGTGAGGGTGAGTAATGAGGGTAGCAGGGTGCAAGAGGGGGGCGGCTGCAGGGTATAGTATGGTATGGCAGGTAGCGAGTGCAGGAGTACGAAAACGGGTAGCTGAGGTTGTACTATTGATAGTGAGAAGAAAGAAAGAAAGCATAGAAGGAAGAGGCTTACATATCATACATTGCATGTGGCTCCTGGCACTATGATAGCCAAAGCTCGAGGGACTCATTGCAGACTTGTACACGGGATGGGGTTTGACATGGGACTGACGTAGCATTGGCACAGCGGAGACAAGGCCTTCAGACGCATGAATAATGCCTAGCAGGACAAGCGGCAGAAGCACACATGCTAATCGGGGCCGTGAATTGATGATCGCTGAGAGTACGTGAACTCCGCTGGGAGTTGGAGGGACACGTACCAAACGAGCCAGAACGTAACTGAGTACTGGCCACCCCGATGGCAGACTTGAAGCCATCGCAGAAGTAGTCTGAATCCTTGCGAGTACTTTGGGAGGCCAGCATGTCAGAGCAGATGACACTATAGTGACAATCATGGGCCATGCTCCTCTACCATTCCGAAATCTACAAGGGGGGGCCAGAAGTAGGGGTCACAGGTGATCTGGCTAGTATCCTTTCCTTCCCTTCTCGTTCGTCTTTTCTTCTAATAGCCTATCATGTAATCTAGCATCCTATACCCCCTTGGCACCTTCTCACACCCGCTTGACACCTTCTTGCACTCTCTCGCAATATTCGAAGTGGTTAAGTTGGAGGGCTGACCGTCGTACAATGTAGCGTTTTACTACTCTAGAGCATGCAATAATATTACTGTCCCTTTGTGTATGGAGGCGACCGTAACGCGTGTCACGGTCCAAACAGGTGAGGTTGCTAATTCTGCGAATTCTGCAAATGTGGCGACCTGTCAAGTACTCAGTGATGTTCAACGCAAAATGCGGTTGTTTCCACCTGACCAGCGGGCAGTGATTGGAATGGTGAAAATCACCAGTTTTGTAGCTCGTACTTAGTGTACCAGTGGTGCTTGACTTGTCTAAGGGTTGTCGTAATGCGATCCAGACGTTTACTTTCATCGATATGTAAGTCGAAGTACACCGCCGATCATACAGACGATGCAATTTCTGTATAATAATTCTGGATACAGTTTGATCACACACCAGGAACTTCCAAGATTGACTGAACCAATAAATATGATATAATAAAGAAGCGAGCGACAACTTTCATGCCCTTCGGTCTGAGTCTTTACACCAAGGCATGTACAAGAAGGGGTGATAAGACAACTAGTACATGAGGTTTCCAACTGCAGACGGAGTTCCGTCGTTGTTGTAGAGGCACGACCCAGTTCCGACATAAGAGGCACCAGACGGGTTGTTCGCTTGGAAGAGCGCTGGCGAAGTTGCCAAGAAGGGGAAGTAAAGCTCAACGTATGACGCCCCGTCAAGGAAAGCGAACGCCTGTTGGAAGAAGGTCACCCTACACGATACATAGAAGCGCGTTAGCAGGTTGATTGAGGGTGCTGCATCACGGCTTACTGATCTGCTTGACCACCTGCGGGGTTCTGCAGAGCAAACTCCGTGATGACAAGTTGGTAGTTCTGGATATTTGTTGTTGTGAGATATAGCTACCGCATGCGCAAACAAGACTGACCGGGAATTGACTGTGGGCCGATTCTACGTAGCTCTGGAAAGCTGCAAAGGTCTGTCTGTATTTCAAAATTGGAGTGAGGTTACGAGATGCACCAAACAAAGCTCTTGCTACGTACCCATACCAGTGCTGCAAGATAAAACCTTAACGTCAAACAGAACAGGACCGCATACAACCACATACCAAGTTGATATAGTCGAAGTAGCACTGTCCTGCGCAAGCGCTGATCATTTGAGAGACCCAGCTAAGACCCTGTCCACTCGTTGTGCTGGAGGTAACAGCAGGGAGAGCCTTCTTGATGGCCTAAAATCAAGACAAGAATGTGATAGGTCATAGGGAAAGAGTCGATGCGATAACACCTTACCAATGGGTTGATGTATTGGATGTACCAAGAAGCGGCCTGACTTGGGGTGATGCTGTTGATATCAGGTTCGTTCAACGTAAACACAGCTATGATGAGAGGGGTCAGTCTAATGTCCATCCAGCAACGAGTAGCGACGAACTAGCCCAGCCTTGTGATGCCTGACGTGACGCCAGATCTGCGATAGGACTGGATGAACAGTCGAGGCAGCGCTGCATGCCGATGAATCCGAGGCCTCCGTTTCCATTGGTGGAAGGCGGAGCATACGTCTCATAATCATAGCTACTTATTGTTAACGAGACTCTGAACATGGATGTTCATTCAACATACATTGCGACAACTTCTCCATCTCCGTTGTTAAAAACACCAGGATCACTGGAAAGAGACGAGTTAGTGAACATAATGAAGCATGAAATGCGAGCCTACAGCGATCCATCGACTGTTCAGTTATGATGAATAAATGGGCTTGTACTCGTAATGCGAGGTGAGACTCACAGTAAGTCCAGCATAGGCCGCGCTTCCCAGCCAGAACGGTGGTCGCGAAGAGGGCTACAACTGCGAGTCTGGCGGACGTCAACATGGTGAACTGATACGTCAGGAAGCGGGTTTGTGAGGTGGGTTTGTAAGAGAATAGCGAACACACCAAGCATATTTATACTTTCAGAGTGGGGGCCAGAATCCGCGGGAGCCCAAACGTTAATGCACTGGTTGCATTAGAACATCTGCTTTGGCAACAAATAAGCCCATCAGCATACTAACACTACGATGCATCACGGATACGAACCTGCATTGGGCATAAGTTGCATGTGGCCTGCTTGAAAAAATTGATGATAATGAGGCACGATGGTCCCAATGTATGCTTTCCATTCAAACTGCAATGATGGCCGGCGTCAGGAGAGAACGTGCGGTCGGTGTCTATCTCTATATTTAACATCAAGGCGAGCTCGGAGAAATATCACCAGGGCGGTGGGAATGGGAACATGTGAGGGCGGCCTATGGAGATGAGTTATGGAGACACCATCTCAGTAGGCTAGTACAGTAGCAGAGGCTTCACATTACCTATTATGCCATAACAGCAGGGTCATGTGATAGCAGCCTCTGAAGATGAGGTATGGAGACTAAGCTAGTACAGTAGCAGAGTGTTTCACATTACCTATCGTACATGTGCGCGTAAGCAAGACAGCGCAGTTTGGGTACTTCGGCCGCCTCTTGTTACCCGGACCTGAATTGACATGACAATGAGTACAGCATGATGCATTGATGGCGGATGGACGAATGAAGTCAATGATGCTTATGGCTAGTGTGCGATAGACGCCATCATCAGCTGTGCAAGATATGAAATATTTTGTCAAAGATTGCTACTTTACTGAGCAACAGAGCCAGGAGGTAGCTATAGCCTATGCCTTTACATTTTCACTGGCACGAGCCCCATTGGGCTTTTGATGCAGGCACAGTCTGAACGACGAGAAATCCGATGAGAGCGCGGGATATTCGGTGAGCGACCCGTAGATATCTTCAACACTGGGCTAGGCGTCACCCATAAATTAAAGGTCGATGTCCTACAAATGTAGTGGACTGGAAGTTGGAACAACGTGAACAGGGCAGAGGCCTGGCTGGCTGGGTGTTGGACTCCGAACGATCCGAGACGAAGAAGACCGAACGATTCGAGATAGCTGAGAGAGCAGAGTAACAGGTCCAAGCCCAAGCCAAAATGGACATTCACGAGCGATGTGTTGACGTCGGCCCGTGTCCTGCAATATGTTACCTTTTCGATTGATATATTTTTCGCTTCTATACAACTTACTATAAGATCGCTAGCAGTAGCACGGGCGCATCTCAGCTTCTTTCAAGAGACTGAGATGTGAGTTAATAGTGTCGTCGTATCAGCTAGAAGAAACTGACATACTGGGCAGGTCGCGTGCGATAGTGGCTGCATGCGAAACATCTCTGAGTTGCAATTACAATAATATGGAGGCGGGCGAGGCCAAAGTGCGAGTAGAGCCTCTTAGGATTCGTAAGGTCTAAGTTCAAGTTTAAGCGAGCATAGTGACGAAGCGGGAGAAGCATCGAATTACGTGAACTCATGCTCAGCGTTCGAACGTTCAGTTACTTCGACTTAGTCTCCGAGTCTTCAGTAAGCAGTCATTTCAAGTACTGTTAGACTGCATCTTATATACCACTGCACTTCAACGAATCCCACAAGAACCCAGCCTGGGCCTTCTCTGAACGACTTATTCAACGTCTGACTACGGGAGACTACTGTGGCCCTTCCGCGGTAGCCTGATCACATCGCTGGTCGCGTCCGGCAAAGCAAAGACTGGGAAGCAAGTACCCTCAGCAGCCAACTATCACCGTCCAACCTAAAGCTATTCAAATTCTGCGCGTTTCTATAGACTTCGAGACGATCGAGTTTTCAAGCTTCCAGGTCATGATAGCCACGCGCCTCAAGCTCAAGTCTACTTCACGTGCATTACTTGTACCTATAATTGACACCTAAGGGTCTGCTTGGTGCGTTTTAGATCATATTACAGCGCTGAAATCGAAATCAAGCCAAGGATAAATGCATGTGCACAGTGCGGCGGCCAGAATGCCAGCCAGGATGCCAGCCTAACAGGAATACCGCGTTTCTCGAATAGGATTTCGGCATGGTGAAATGGCAGCCTCTGGAAGTTACTGATGACGTCGACGATATACGATGTTTTTTCCCGATGTATGATTGGTCCCCGCCCGCTGCGTCGAAAAATGATAAATAGCGGTCCTCAGCCAGGACGAACTCCAGTGTCCCTCTTCTCTCTTTCTCTCACATCGCTATCAGAATTACAAGACGCTCCTTATTATCTATATCCACATACTATTTAGCATCATGGTCCAACTAGCTCCTCGCTTCGCCGCCCTCCTCGCCTTTTGTTTCCTTGTATCCGCTACTCCCGTCGTTCACCGTGACTCCGGGCCCTCAGTTCTCCCAGTGTACGCGTCTGTTGCCGTAGTGATCACACCCTCCCAGACCCCTTCCTCCAACCACACAGCTAGGGCTGTCCCCGTATCCGTCATCGAACAACACCCATCGCAGTCCCATGAACAGGCTCAGGGACAAGGTCCGGTACGTCGTTCCACTTTGTCGAGAACGTCATGTTGCTGAATTGGTCGTGCAGATTGCCGGCGTGCAGAACGCCCCCAGTATGCAACACGACGTTGTCGTGGGAAAGAACGCTCAGGCCAAGTCCAGCCAGAGTCAAAACGAGCCGGTACGTCGTTGTGTTCGACAAGCGCCATCTTTTCGCTGATTTGACTCCACAGACTGCAGCCAGTCCTACTCAAGGCAAGGCCAAGAGGTATGATGATGGTCAGTACCACCCAAACACCTCGTACGACGACGGCCAGTACCACCCCAATCCCACGTATAACAATGGGTTGTACACTCCCAGCTCCACGGATACGTCCAGCCCTACTCCTACTCCCAGCCCGACGTACTGACGATGGCCAGTACCACCCCCCTGCGAATGATGCTGCTGGGCTCCCCACTCTCCCTGTTAACACAGCCCAAGTCACGTCTGTGGCTGGTCCCGTAGTCAATCTGTTAGCCTTACCGGGCACCACAACAGGGACCACGACCTCCCAAACGGACTCCACTGCCACCGCGACCATGAGTTCATCAGCTGCGGGGACGACAGCCACCTCTGCAACGGAGACGACCACTTCCACTTCCACCACAGCTGTCGCCCCCGCCGAGACTGCAATGCACGCTGTAGCCATCCCAGCGGGTGGCAAACGCTCGGACGACGGCCAGTACCATCCCGATTCCAAGTTCGACGACGGCCAGTACCACCCTGATTCCAAGTTTGACGACGGCCAGTACCACCCTGATTCCAAGTTTGACAACGGCCAGTACCATTCTGATTCCAAGTTCGACGACGGCCAGTACCACCCTGATTCCAAGTTTGACGACGGCCAGTACTATTCTGATTCCAAGTTCGACGACGGTCAGCACCACCCTGATTCTAAGTTCGACGACGGCAAGTACCACGTCAAAACCACCAGAGGCAAACGTTCGAACGACGGCAAGTACCACCCTGATCCCAAGTTCAACGACGGTCAGTACCATCCCGATCCCAAGATCGACGATGGCAAATACCACCCAGGGAAGCATAATGTCAGGAGGGGATTGGCGCATCAGGGCAAGGTGCGCGCTGCCAGGAGAGCTCTGCAGTACTAGGCATTGGGAAGTTGTGGGCGCTACTCATTGGACTTTGATGCAAATGTCACACTCTTTCGTTCTCTTTCATTCATGCACGTGCGATAAGGGAACGTGAGGCTTTTAGACTCGTAACTAGTCTGCCTACACGCGCTTTTTGAGATGTTGACCCGCATCGGCAACTACAAAATTTCAAACTCCGTGCTTCTCCCGCCAAATCACCCGGGATCAACCAGCTTGAGCGCTACACTACTAGCGAGCATCCGTGGTAGCATACGCCAGGCTGGTCATGAGCCTACCGGACTTTAACAAATTGGGCGTGTCGGCCTCCAGTCGCTTTCACCCAAATCCCCCGAATACAGAAGGAACGACTGTCTTTCTTCTATCAGGCTAGGGGAGACGGTCGGTGACTGCCCCCCCCGCTTTGCGCAAGCCACATTGCTCAAGACGTATTACTATTATTAAGCTTACCCCGCAACTTGAAACCGATGTGGTCTTAATTTGTTTCCTTAAGCCTTGCAGACCCTCCTTAACTTGCCTGTAGACCGTGCGTTCTCGATACGTGCAAGCTACGATCCCGAACGACCACGAGCGAAATCATTGCCAAAGCGTCCCCAAAGCCTGACAGGAATACTGCGCTCCTCGGATAGGCTTTCGGAACTAAAGGCGAAATGTCAGCCTCTGGAAGTCGCCAATGACGTCGACGTATGATTGGTCCCCGCCCGCTGCATCGAAAAATGATAAATAGCGGTCCTCAGCCAGGACGTACGAACTCCCGCCTCACTCTTCTCTGTTTCTCTTTCATCGTTATCAGAATTATAAGACGCTCTTTAATATTCACATACTATTATCTAGCATCATGGTCCAACTAGCTCCTCGCTTCGCCGCCATCCTCGCCTTTTGTTTCCTGGTATCCGCTACTCCCGTCGTTCACCGTGGCGTCGGCGCTCTTGATCCACACGTATCTATCAGCGTAGAACCGATAAGCGTAGGATCTCCCAGCGTAGACTTGGACCGCATGGTCGACACCTCGGACGCTCACGGCAACCACACAGCTAGGGCTGTCGCTGTCACCAACAATCACCCCGTATCTGTCGTCGAACAATACCCATCACAGTCCCATGAACAGGCTCGGCGACAAGGTCCGGTATGTCGTCCTGCTTTGTTGAAATTGTCATGTTGTTGAATCGGTGGTGCAGATTACCTCCGGCGTGCAGAACACCCCCAGCATGCAACACGACGTTGTCTTGGAGAAGAATGTTCAAGCCCAACCCAGCCAGAGTCAAGACAAGCCGGTGCGTTATTGCGTTTGGCAAGCACCATCTTTTTGCTGACTTGAGAAACAGTCCCATAGCGGCGCCGCTACAGCAAGTCCTACTCAAGGCAAGACGAAGAGGTATGATGAAGGTCAGTACCACCCAAACCTCAACCCCTCGTATGACAATGGACTGTACCATCCCATGACAGCGTACGACGATGCAGCCTATGACGATGGCCAGTACCGTCTCGGCTCTGATGCTATCATTCCGAACGCCGTCCCCGCGCTCCCTGTGCCTGTGCCTGTGCTCCCCGCGCTCCCTGTCTCTGTGCCTGTGCTCCCCACCCTTCCTGTGCCTGCGCTCCCCACCCTTCCTGTGCCTGCGCCCTTACCCGTCACTGCAACAGGGGCCGCGACCATGAGTTCATCAGCTCCGGGGACGACAGCCTCTTCCGCGTCTGCAACGGACACCACCTCTACCGCTGCCACCTCTGCAACGGAGACGATCACTTCCACTTCCACGACAGCCGTCGCCCCTACCGAGACAGCAATACGCGCCGTAGCCGCTACAGCGGGTGGCAAACGCTCCGATGATGGCCAGTACCATTCTGATGCGATCTTTGACGACGGTCAGTACCATCCCAATGCCGTATTTGACGACGGCAAGTACCACATCAGCCCCGCTGGAGGCAAACGTTCGGACAATGGCCAGTATCACCCTGATTCGAAGTTCAATGATGACCAGCACCACTCGGGGAAACATAACAGCAGGAGGGGGTTGGTGCATCAGGGCAAGGTACGCGCTGCCAGGAGAAGAGCTTTACATTAGGAAAGTGTAGACGCTATTGATGCAAATGTCACTCCTTCACACAAACTCTTTGATTCATGCATGTGCGATTAGTGAGGACCAGCGCGCGGGCTTCAACATTTGTTGAAATTGGGCGTGTGCGCTTCGAGCTGCTTTCACCCCAATCCTCCTACCCCGAATACAAAAGGAACGATTGTCTTCTACTATGTATTACTATACTACTGACCCCAGACCCCTTTGCACAAGTATGTACGTATTATTGCTACTATTATTAGACAACATGATTTCCTCTGTAAATCGTAAGTAAGGTCTTCGTGTCGTACGTGGCTTGATCGGTCGCAGTTCGTTTCTTCGAGCCTTGCGACAGATTCTCCTCATGCTAGCTAGCTAGCTACCATCGCGAACGACCACAGCGAAGTTGTTGTCAAAGCCTCCTCCAAACCTTGCCGTTTGACAGCATTTCAAGACGCTCGTGTTGGCTTTTAGGGAGTCCCTCGGTGAGTAGCATCGTACCAGACACACTGCTCCACTGGAAGATTAATATTTAATAACCACCCGATGTCCAGTCGTGATTTACACGCAATGCACGCCTGCCTGCTGATCTCAGAGATTTTAAAAGCATATTCGCTGAAGTGACACAAGTCACGAAGGGCGGCGTCCGACCATCATACATCACTCCGTACCACCTGGCGTTGACCTGTCGAGGTTTCCGAGAGCTAGCACTGGATGCCCTATTGGCGCACATACAATCGCCAGATGTGCTTGCAGTGTGCCTGTCTCAGGACGCTCGTTCTCAACCCGTCAAAGTGTCCTGGGAGAATGTCAGACACGCTTTCCGAAATGGCTGCAGCATGCAAGGTAGTGAGTTTGGCGTTATGCTCCCCTTTTGAATGTGGTTCATGGTATATTGATTCCAGAGGCTTCTCAGACCCTTGGTCGACAATGATCTGTCGACTTTCCAGGAGTATGCGCGCCGCGTGCGCTCACTCACTTTTGAAACATATTATGTGTCATACCCTGGGCTCCATGATAGCGCCGCGCTTACTCTCCTGGATTCTCATGATTTACCATCCCCACTATTTCCTCTGCTCCGAGAGCTGAGGTGGTACGACAAGCGTGATGTACTTTTCCCTTGCCTGCAGTGCTGCATTTCCGCGACCCTTATTCGACTGATCATCCATTCGGAGCATTGGCCAACAGCAATGGTTGATCTCGTGGCAGGCCTTGGCAAGACTTGCCCTAAAATCAAAGAATTTCGTTGTTCGACACCACCCGCTAGTTCATGCGCCACACTCCCCGACCTCGTCACTTGCTGGGGTGATTTGGAGATCTTGGAGATGGGAGCAGTGAACGCACCTGCATTGAAGCTGAGGGAGCTGGAGATAATCGTGCCAGAAGGACACAGCCTGGAACAGGCATCGACGTCCAGCGTTATATTTTCGTTGGACGAGTTCAATGTAATCACTCGAAGATGCGACTCGCTTCTCGCTTTTTGACGCCATTGAAAATTTCTGCGAGGAGCGTTCAGCTGGAGATCAAAACAGCTCTGAACGCAGTTCATCTCGACCACCTCCTTTCCTCCCTCACAGAGCATTTCAAGCCCAATGTTTTAGAATCGTTGGATGTTCAGGATTCTCGCCCGGGACGCGCTGAGTTCCACAATTACGCCCTTTCCCCATTGACTGCTTCCGCCTTCCAAAGGCTACGTGCCTTCACAGGGCTCACCAGACTCAATCTCGGTTCCATGTATATTTCTATCACCGACGACGAAGTTCTAGGCCTCATTTCTACGTGGCCTCAAATAGAAGAGTTTTACCTTGGCACGACGTGGGACTGGGGAGCTCTGCGCTTCGGCGTGACATTTCGCGGCCTTGGGGGTATCCTCGAGCGCTGCCCAAATCTTCGATTGCTGAGGGTCAACCTAGACACCTCTGCCCCCCATGACTTACCTGTCTATGTCGATCACCGGTACATTGGCATCACCAGGGAGAAAGTTACTTTCCTGGGCGTCGGGTATGCGGAGTGCAACGTTGTGGAGGCCATTGGCAACCTACTAGGTGCGATGTGTCCCAACTTGCGCCAGATCGATCGTGCGTGCCTCTTAAGTTTAGTTCATGAAAGTGATGTTTTTTATGATAAATGGCCAAAGCGGTAGACAACTGGAAAGAGGTCAAATGTGTCATCACTCAGAGGAGAATGGGGCAACTGCAGAAGAGCAATGGTGAGTGTGCTTTATACCCACGCAGTCGTGTTCTAACACGTCCCAGTGTAGTTCAGTTGTGTACCAGAGGTTGTGTACTTGTATTCCAGCAGTGTATCGGGTAACAAACACATATGCTTTCATGTTTGGATGGTTTCTGTGGCGAAGAACGAAGCGACTTACTTCGCCTTTGCAAAAGTCAGTGTGGGTCGTACCCAGGACCTAACTTCGGAGGAAATTAGTAATCGTTGAACATGTATGGTGGAGACATACAACCTAACAAAGGTGCTCAACTATTTTCCTTGATCAAGTGAGTGCAAATCGAGCTGCTGCATTAGATATTCAATATTGAATAGCAGTTTCAGCAATGGCTATATATTTAGGCAAGCAAGCTAGCGTTGAAGTGGCCCGCTTATTGCAATACTTAATCCCGCCCCCCTTTCGCCTCTGGCTGTTCCAACAGCAACGATTTATCAGTATGGACATCGCGAGCCTGTTTTGAAGCGCGGGAAGTACTGGCGCAAACACGATTATAATGGCAAAGATATCGGGAATGGCGTCACCTCCCAATGACAGGTAGAGAGTTTACACGCGAAACTACACACGCGCCCGCCTAGAGAGACATGATCTCGTTTACTAGTCCGCGACAGACAACCAAATCGCTTCGGCCAACGGCTTATATTCCTAGGTGCAAGAGAGGCTTGCGCTCATCACGCGTGGAATCCCAATAGCCCCAGAGTACTTGGTCAGATCCCTGACTTTCACAATAAGTACTGGTACTGCGCTCCTCGAATAATGGTGAAATGGCAACCTCTAGAAGTCACTGATAACGTCAACGCCGTACGATCTCGACGTATGCGCCCGCTGCGTCGAAAAATGATCCTTAGCTAGGACATACGAACTCCCGCCTCCCTCTTCTCTGTTCCTCCATCACTATCAGAATCACAAGACGCTCCTTATTTTCTATATCCACATACTATCTAGCATCATGGTCCCACTAGCTCCTTGCTTCGCCGCCCTCCCCGCCTGTTGTTTCCTGGTATCCGCTACTTCCTGTTGTTCACCGTGGCGTCAAATACCCTTCTCGTACGTACGGATATCTCAGTGCACACATGAATCCCTGTCTCGGGCCTAGGGAGCATCAGACGTTCGGCAACCACGCAGTTAGGGCTGTCGCTGTCACCAACAATTACTACGCCATACCCACACAGACATCGGTCTATGACCCAGTCTGCGATTATCTGAAGTCTAAGGGACGAGTTCCGGTATTTCCCGGCGTGCAGAACACCCCCAGCGTGCGACACGACGCTGTCGTGGACAAGAACGCTCAAGTCAAACCCAGCCAGAGTCAAGACACGCCGATACGTCGTTAAAAGCACCTTTTCGCTGACTTGAATCTACATAAGCAGTCCCATAACAGCGCTGCTATAACTAGTCCTACTCAGGGCAAGGCGAAGAGGTATGATGATGGTACCACGACCATGAGTTCGTCAGCTCCAGCCTCCTCCGCATCTGCAACGAACACAATATCTACTGCTGCCGCCTCTGCAACGGAAACAACCACTTCCACTACCACAAAAACAGCTGTCGCCCCCACCGAAACTGCAATACGCGCCGTAGCCACTACAGTGGGTGGCAAACGCTCCGACGATGGCCAGTACCATCCCGATTCCAAGTTCGATGGCGGCAAGTCCCACGTCAGTACCGCTGGAGGCAAACGTTCGGACAATGGCCAGTATCACCCTGATTCGAAGTTCAATGACGGTCAGTACCATCCCGATTCCAAGTTCGACGACGTCAAGTACTACTTGGGGGAAACGTAACGGCAGGAGGGGGTTGGTACGTCAGAGCAAGGTGCGCGCTGCCAGGAGAGTCGAGGTTTACACACAATGTACGCCTGCCTGCTGATCTCAGAGATTTTGGAAGCCACATTCGCTCAAGTGACACAAATCATGGGGCAGTGTCCAACCATCATGTATCACTCTGTACCACCTGGCGTTGACCCGTGGAGCTTTCTGAGAGTCAGCGCTAGACGCCCTATGAGCGTGCATACAATCGTCAGACGCGCTTGCCATTTGCCTGCCTGAGGACACTCGTTCTCAACCCGTCAAAATGGCCTGGAAGAATCCCATCAAGCTCACGCCCTCCAAAATGGCTGCAGCGTGCAGGGTGGTGAGTTTGGTGGTATGCTCCCCTTTGGGGCGTAGTTCGTCATGTATCGATTCCAGAGCCTTCTCAGACCCTTGGTCGATGATGGATGGGCGACTTTCCAATAGTATGCACGCCGCGTGTGCTCGCTCACTTTTGCGAAAAATTATCCGTCACATCCTAGACTGCATGATAGCGCCGCGCTTGATCTGACGGACGCTCATGCTTCGTCGTACCCACTGTCTCCTCGGCTCCAAGAGCTGAACTGACATGACGAGCGTGATATACTTGTCCCTTGCCTGCAGCGCTGCATTTCTGCCACCCTTACTCGACTGATCATCCATTCGGAGCATTGGCCAACAGCAATGGTTGATCTCATGGCAGGCCTTGGCAAGGCTTGCCCTAAAATCAAAGAATTTCGTTGTTTGACACTGCCCGCTATTCATGCACCATGCTTTCTGACCTTGTCACTTGCTGGGGTGATTTGGAGATCTTGGAGACGGGAGGAGTGAACACACCTGCATCTTGCATCTTGCATCTCTAAAACGGGTGATCTCTGTTTATTGCATATCTCTATCACCGATGACGAAGTTCTGGTCCTCGTTTCTGCGTGGCCGCAAATGGGACAGCTTTCCCTTGGCTCGAAAATTGACTGGGGAGTTCCTCACTCGGGCGTGACACTCCGTGGACTTGCGGGAATCTCCGAGCGCTGCCCACATCTGTGCTCCCTAGGAGTCAACCTAGATACCTCGGCCCCCAGTTACCTATCTATATCGATCACTGATACACTGACATCACCGGGGAGAAATTTACCCACCTGAGCGTTGGGTATGGAGAGTGCAACGACGTTGAGGCCATTGACAACCTGCTATCTGCCATGTGTCCCAACTTGAGCGATATCCGTCGTGCACCTCTCCTACGGATGATTTACGAAGGTGTTGACAATGATGAATGGAGCGAAAATGGAAAGAGGTCGAAGATTATCACGCAGAGGCCCAGGAGAATGGGGCAACCGCAGCAGAACGATGGTGAGCGCTTTATACCCACCCAGTCGTGTTTTCACATGTCCCAGTACTTGGTGTGTGATGCAAAAAATCATCGCTACTTACTTGAGCGAACGAATTTTTTTGGTACAAGATGCAAGATGACTGCCAGAATTTCGGTGGTTTTGTGAACTATTATTAGATTGTGATTTTACCCTGGCTTTGGTGATAGTTTGTTTCTTCGAGCCTTACAGATCATCCTCCTGTCAAGTTACCTAGTAATAATTAAGCAGTAGGCTTCGCGCTCAGATTCTCCAGTCGATAAGTACTACAATCCAGAATGACCTCGAGCGAAGCCATTGTCGAAGTGTCCTCAAAACCCTGTCATTTAATATCACAGCCCTGACTTTGAGCATTCAACGGCGGACGCTCGTGCTATCACAATCAAGTTCTGGTTTTCACGGAATCAGGTGAGTAGCATTAGATCGTCACCCAGACATACTGCTACACTGGAAGATCAACCACCCGATGCTCAGTCGTGATTTGCACACAATGCACGCCTGTTGATCTCAGAGATTTTAAAAGCCATATTCGTGGAAGTGACACAAGTCACATGGGGCGGCGTCCAACCATCATGCACCACTCTGATTGACGTATCGAGCTTTTCGAGAGCTAGCGCTGGATGCCCTATGGACGCACATACAATTGTCAGCAGTGCTTGCCATACGTCTACCTCAGGACGCTCGTTCTCAACCTGTCAAAGTGTATTTGAAGAATGCCACCAAGTTCGAATACACACCCTCCACAATGGCTGCAGCATGCAGCATGCAGGGTGGTGAGTTTGGTGTTATCCTCCTTTTTTAAACGTGGTTCATGGTGCATCGATTCCCAGAGGCTTCCCGGACCCTTGGTCGATGATGATTGGGCGACTTTCCAAAAGTATGCGCGTCGCGTGCGCTCGCTCCCTTTCGAAACATATAATATGTCACGTCCTGGGCTGCATGATAGCGCTGCGCTTGCTCTCCTGGACTCTCATGCTTTGCTGTCCCCACTGTTTCCTCGGCTCCAAGAGCTGATCTGGTATGACGAGCGTGATATACTTGTCCCTTGCCTGCAGCGCTGCATTTCTGCCATGCTTGCTCGACTAGTCATTGATTCGGAGCATTTGCCACCGGTAATAGTTGATCTCGTGGCAGGCTTGGGCAAGGCCTGCCCTAAAATCAAAGAATTTCGTTGTTCGACACCACCCGCTAGTTTATGCGCCATGCTTTCTGACCTTGTCACTTGCTGGGGTGATTTGGAGATCTTGACGACGGGAGCAGTGAACGCACGTGCATTGCAGTATCTTGCATCTCTAACACAGCTGAGAGAGCTGGAGATACTCGTGCCAGAGGGTCACAACCTGGAACCGGCTTCGGTCATATTTTCGTTGGACAGGTTCCGCATAATTGCTCCAAGGAGCGATTTGCTTCTCGCTTTTTTTAGCGCCCTTGCAAATTTCTGCGAAGAACGTACAGTCGGAGACCTAAACGCCCCTAAACGCTGTTTATCTCGATCACTTCCTTTCCTTCCTTACAGGGCATTTCAAACCCAGTGTTTTAGAATGGCTAGGATGTTCTGGCGTCTCGCCCAAACCGCGCTGAGTTCATCAATCACGCGCCATTTCCATTGACCGCTTCCGCCTTCCGAATGCTACGGGCCTTCGCAGAGCTCACCAGACTTAATCTCGGTTCAATGCATATCTCTATCACCGACGGTGAAGCCCTAGACCTCGTTTCCGCATGGCCGTAAATGGAATATCTTTACCTTGGCACGAGATGGGTGGGGAGTTCCCCGCTTGGGCGTGACATTTCGCGGCCTTGCGGGTATCCTCGAGCGCTGCCAAAACCTGCGATCCCTGGGGGTCAACCTAGACACCTCGGCCCGCCATGGCTTATGTGTTGATCGCCGGTACACTGGCATCACCAGGGAGAAAGTTACTTCCCTGAGCGTTGGGCATGGGGAGTGTATCAATGTTGAGGCCACTGGCAGCCTGCTAGCCGCGATGTGCCCCAACTTCTACCAGATCGATCGCGCATGTCTCCTCACTATGATCAGAAGGTCTTGACAGTGGTCTTTATGATGAATGGGTTCAAGCGGTAGACGACTGGAAAGAGGTCGAAGATTTCATCACTCAGAGAACGAGGCAACTGCAGGAGAACAATGGTGAGTGCGCTTTAGATCCATGCAGTCGTGCTCTCACGTGTCAGTGTAGTACCAACGATGTGTGATGCAAGCTACTCAAGCGAATGAGGTATTTTTGGTACAAGATAACTGCCAGTGATGCTGTATATGCTATTATGCTTTGAATTTCGGTGGTGTTGTAACTGAGATTTGAAGTAGGTATCAACTTTCAAGTACTTATTATTAGATAGTATTGTGTGTAGCGGTCCTATAATTCGCTTCTTCGAGCCTTGCAGATCCTACTCTTACATAAGCAGTAGGCCGCCGGCGCGCTCAGATTCTCCGATCAATCAGTACAATACTCCACAGTACTACCATCCCGGACAGTCTCGAGTGTCAAAGTGTCCTCAAAACCTTGATTTGACAGCCCTGAATATTTAATGTTCATTCTATCACAATAGTTCTGACCTTCACGGAGTCCCTCGGTGAGTAACACTGGATGCTCCACTATTCACCCAATGCTCAGTCGTGATTTGCGCAATGCACGCCTGCCTGCTGATCTCAGAGATTGTGAAAGCTATATTCGCTGAAGTGACACACGTCACGGAGAGCAGTGTCCGACCATCATGCACGACCTGGCGTTAACCTGTCGAGCTTTCCAAGAGCCAGCGCTGGACGCCCTGTGGGCGCACATATAATCGTCAGAAGTACTTCCCTCAGGACACTCGTTCTCAACCCATCAAAATATCCTGAGAGACTTGGTCTACACTGATACATCCCTTCGGGGGTACTTATTTAGCCATAGAGAACGATATATTGTCTACTTTCAGTGGCTACAATACCAGGTACCTGTTCGATAAGTTATGCCGGATGGTGGATGACTGCGAACGAACAGTGTAAAAAGTGGTGGCCCCTGTGATATATCGTCGCATCATCATGACTTCATCGAGTTCAACCCGAGACAATCATCACGAAATCCTATAAAAGGTCGATTACACGGAGGAAGATACACAAACGTTTTTAACAACAATCTCTCTCTTTACACCGCGTTACTCGACCATGTCAAACGCACAAAGCTCGCAAAGACATTCTCTCGAGGGGAACAGTAAATTGCACAACGCAAACTATACAGACCCTGCGGCGCAGGTGAACCAAGGCATCGTTGGCAACAGACCAGAAGGTTTCCTGCTAATAATTTGTTACGCTACTCAAATGGCTGACGACAGTATGAATTTTGCAGGCCAGCAACCACGCACAGCGCCAGTGACCCTTGACACTTATGTCAACAGGGATGCGTCGGCTACTCCATCGTCACCACCCCCTGTAACTCGGGTTTCAGATACGCTGACCGGAGCTACCTCACCTGACGTCCACAACGGTCTCGGTCATCCCGGCCAGGGAATGTCGAGCAAGGAGTTGAGACATGACGGCCAGCCAGGGCGGAAGCGGTATGGGGAAGGGACGGACCAGTTTGGTCAAGAACATGGTCGAGGGAATGGTTCCAAGAAGTTGGATGGTACGGGTGAGCGTAGATTTGTTGCCATAGAGTCTGGTCTTAGGAGAGCGTAATTGACATCGAACTCATCGAGCTATATTCCAGACGCATCATCTTTTGTATGTTAAGGGTCGACATTTCCGCACAGGCTGGATATGCAAATTCGCGCCTACACCATCGTCATTACCTTAAGCTTTATTTTGTGCTTTGTATTGTCGACAAGCAATATCTGCCGGACTACCCATGTTCTGCCAGAGGTCCGAGTCTGGGCACTGCGAAGTAATCACGAACATCAATATGGCTATGCTCTTGCTTTGCTCACATGTACACCGTCGGGACATTTGACTCGCCCTTCTCTTCCCTGCGCAGGGTTGCCTCTGGATACGACAACTTGTACGGTGCCCGACATGCAGGCAAATGACCAGGAAATTGAAGCGACCTAGAGAATCGAGACAACTGCGGCTTTTGTTCATCCTGATGCACATACAAAACGGGAGAATTTTCTCAAATCACTTTTGAGACCGTAGCTTTTTCTCCAAGTCCTACAAACAAAAGGGTCACTCGCCAGTCATACTTAGGGACGTACTTCCATGGAGCAAGGTTCCGACCGAAGTCCGAGTCGAAGGGTAGCATTGCCTTGGCCTCAGGCTCGAAGGGCCCGGATTGCTACATAAGGCTTAATTCTTCAAATTCAAATTGGATATCAGGTATCATACCTTCTTACGTGCAAATCTGATTTCCAGGGGCCTCCATGGGGGCTTGCCTGGCCTCAAGCTGGCTCGTTATAGGATAGTAAAAGTGGTACTTACGTATGAACTTTGGATCACCTGAATCATGAGGCTTGAGCTGACTTATGTAATACGTATCTCTGTGCGCACAACGCCCATTCCATCGTTTCTTCCGAACTTCCGAAGCCCTCCACACAACCTCCGTAGACCGCTTCTAATTGACAGCATCAGACCCACGCTTTTTACCTCATCAAATGCGATTGGAGACCCAATATTGATACTCCAATTACCATAAAATGGGACAGCAAATTTCATCAGATGATGGTGCTCGTACGCGGGTTTTGTACGAAGAAACGTGCAGTCGACGATCTCGCTCTGTCCCCCCGGAATCTACTATGTCTAACTCTGTGCACACCGAGCCTGCGTCGGGCTCTCAATCGCACATTGCTCACCAGACAGCCGGCAAACGATCTTCAACAGAACCCCGTAAATTCGGTGAAATTATCAGCCAGTTCACTGCTCCCCTGGCCCTGAGTCTAGTGCTCGAGAACAAGGGTAATGTTGCTCGCGATCATCTTGCATCAGAGCGAACCTATCTTGCCTATGTTCGCACCAGTCTCGCATGCGCAAGTGCTGGAGTTGGTGAGACTGTGTCTTTGTATCTCAGCCTATGACAATCGCTTACAGCAGAGGTAAATTTGCAGCCCTTGTACAGCTGTTCACGCTTTCCAGTTCCACGAACGTGAATGTTCGACAAGGAGGCATTGACCCACAGCGGTTTGCTCGACCACTTGGTGCTACGGTGGTGCTATTGGGCTTGTTCATCCTAATTTATGGCGAGTCCTACAATTCTACTAGTGCCTTCATGCATTCTCATAAGCACTGTAGGCCTCGTACGCTACTTCATGACCCAGGCAGCCCTCGTGCGAGGCTTCTTCCCGGTAGCACGCAACTCCGTTACCGTTGTGGCATTTTCCCTTGGTGCCATTGTTGGCATTGTTTTTGGGGTACTAGTTGCTGGAACGGGAGACTAGAGCTTCCTATATCACGTACACACTCGGTCTATGGCGCACGAACTCTACCGCCCCAGAAGGATAGCACGTCCTTGGCGGAGGCAGAACTGGAAGACTCCGTCGTTCCACTGACTGTCCATCACCTGTTCTTCTGCTACCCAGGAATTTTGAAAGCCTGGCTGGTTGAGGGAAGAATTGTGGTTAATTGGTCTACATCGATTTTAATCATATGTCTGGGACTGGGGAATGAATTAATGACAAGCTGTTAAAGGAAATTTATCCTTTATTGTTGAATGATCTTATGTAATTGGCTGGCGATTGGTCAGTGGTTTACTTGGTGATGTCATCCGGATCCGACTCTCTGATGCGGGCCGGTTCCACCTGCGCTTCTGCCTCAACATGAAACACTTGGTCTTTTGAATCCTAGCATTAGATTTACTCCCCTAGATCTGTGACTTGCATCACACTATTCCACCAATGCCAAAATCAGTCCTCTCATCAATCACTGATACCGTCAATCTCCTCCTAAATACCCCAATTGTCCCTCCGCTACCCAAACAAATAAAGGATGTCGCACTCACCGAGCTGCCTCATTCAACACCTCGACGACATGCGGAAGCACTGGAGCTGGAGAGATCTCGTAGTGTAGATTTGGCAGCTGGAGATAGTATCTTCCTACAGGTAGGCAATTCAGGACAGCTCTGTCCCTGACCTGACTAACAGCCTGGACAGGGGATGTCAGACGAAAGCAGACGTACAAGCACTCAGAGTCGTGAAAGCAGTGATCAGTCTGCAAGAGACGATGTACCTACTGGGATGGCGGCGCCAGCTGTGCATCAGTTGTCGAGGCGATCGTCGTATATACAGGCAAGTATCACTTGAATACATTCAAATTCCTCACTGTTGACCATACATGATTAGGAGGAATTAGAGCACGACCTGCATCTAGCACTGGATGCTGAGCGTGTATTGAGCCAGGCAGAAACCTAGTCATCGGTTTGCGAGGGGTTCAGCTGTGTGTTCAGAACGTGTTGTTCTTAAACTCGTATGTCTATGATTTATGTATGACTTTCTGCAGTCTCTACAAGCTTCCTGATCTGAAGAAGCCCCTGAGTGATTGACTTATAACCGGACAAGCATTGTCTGGTACGCTATGATGCGACTACCTCACATCCCTAGGTTTTTGCAACGACTTTAGGTAATAGACTATCAGTCACTCTCCTCTGTGCGCTGGAGCTTGGTGCGGACCGTTCGAAAACCTGTAGAGACAACAATCGCGTCAATTCGTTTCGATGTGGCGGCAGGTGAATACGCTACCTCCTGTCAATGCAAGTTTTCGGGTGTGAAGAACGTCACGCGTATCACGTCCTGAACACCCTCAAGAGTACCAACTTCGTTGTGAGAACCAGTGGAAGTTTTGAGGAGAACTATTCGCTCCCCAAAGCCCTCGAACTGATCCATCAACCCGAAGTTGGGGATGACGGTACGGGTCAGTAACGACTCGCGCATTTCCCTCCGCGTGACCAGTTGAGAATGGTACTCGTTCCACTGCTGTTTCGACCACGACTCTTGGCTTTCTGGCGGGGAATAGACGGGAGGGAGATATGGTTCCAGGAGTGCATCAAACAAAGCGTCGGAGTGCGTGTGCGAGATATCCCAATCATCCTCCGCGTGTAGTATTAATAGTGGTACCTTGACTTTCTGGATGCTAATTGATGTGGTGCTAGATAACCCGGGAACATTACATACCGATATCACCGACAAAGTGTCGAACTTGTGGACGAGAAAACTCTTATAAACATCTTTGGGACACACATAAGTCAGCGTATGTCGGCGGTTTGTGACTTTTGGCGGACTTACTGGCGGCTCGAGGTATCATGTTGATGGGTAACATGACAGGAAATAGACCAAAAATATGGTAGGTATCTAGTAAGGTGTAGAGCGACGAGAAAGGAGACATGAGAACAGTCCCTCTGAACTTTACGCCATCTTCGGAGAGGCTGACAGAAAGGGTCGACGCCACTGCAGTTCCCAAGCTGTGCCCGACTATAAGAACATCTTGCGGTGAAGCACCTTGTGCAATCAGCCAATCCCATGCAGCTCTTGCATCTGTCGACAAACCGTCCTCTGTAGGCGTGCCTGGACTATCCCCGAATCCACGATAATCTATTGCCAGGACATTCGTGTTCAGACGCGCGGTAAACGCAGAATATAGGCGGATGCGCATGCTTAGAGCCCGCGTCGCGGCGTTGCCGTGGAAAAAGAGCACAGTCGGGCGTCGTGCCACGGCCTCTGAGATGTGCAATTCCGCAGCGTGTGAAGGCGGTGGAAAGGGCAGCTCGTGATATACCGCGTCTGATAGGATGAACCATGCCCCAAGAGTGTGATTATCTGGGGTTTGAATCTTGATATTCGCCGTTTTTCCAGCTAACGTATTCACGGTTATTCTAGGAAAGAGATAGACGCGATGGAGTAGGACTCACGTGCAAGACCATGCCTTTCCGGTGCATCAAAATTTGCATTCCAAGGTAGCTTCAAGGCGTTCATGTACAGGATGCTGAATTACGCCTCGAGCTCTACATGCGCAAGTCGGATATGATGATTGGACTTACTGGGACTGAATCCAGGGCACTGCAAGAAGGATGACTGCCAACAGGTAAACAAACCCGAGGACCGCAAAAACCTTTCTAATCCGTGCAAGGAAACCTTCATTATCTTGTACCATGGACATGCCGCTTGGTATGAGAGGAAGTTACCTATTATCTAATAGGTGCTTCCATAAACCAATTACATAATATCAGGGCGGAGATGAGCACCTATCTTAATACTTCCACCTCGGTGAAGAGCGTTGAGATTCGAATTGCGCTGTTGAACCGCTCTATCTTCTTGTCCTGTATCTGCCGAAGACGTTATTCATTCACCCCTCGACTCCTCAATGGAATTTTTTGGGGTACCGTTTAAATTTTCAAGTGGTTGGACCGGCGATCGTGCCGGCGCACACGTCAGTGAGCCCAATATTAATGCCCTCAAAGTCAATACCTTTTCTGCTTCACGACGATTTTAGTGTCTCCAGCATTGAAAATAAGTCCAGAGGGCGAGTTTTGCAATATCCAAAATGTCTTTCGGGCAGAAAGTATGCTGTATGACACGATGAAGGTCTCGGAGCAAGTGCATGATCATGACCACAGTGCCGGCCGAGAAGTTACGATGCTGATCTCCTCGAGAATACATCCAGGTGGACAGTGAACGACAAGACAGGATAATGTATCAGGCTTATAGTCCAGTATGGATGTATCAAAATGACAGTATGGGCTGACATTGCTGGATATCTTAGATATAGCAAACCTCACCCTGAAACACGCACTCGAGCCAGGGGGCCATTAGTGAACCCTAGCGAAGGATTTTACAACTCGGCCACGAGGTCGCTTGATCATCACTTCGTAACGCGTTGTCGCAGTCTAGCACTGCATGGAAGTGGTCGGCGGCTAAATTCTACTGCGCAAGCTTCTCCGTCCCATCATGGTCTATCTCATTATCTATGTATTCTGGCTATGCATTCTGGCTATGTGTAACTGTAAGCTTCTTGTGTTCCCTTCTATGATCACACCAGTCACACCGTTGATACCTTTCTTGCGACACGACTACCCTTTCTAGATCCGGACGCATAAAATAGCTCCATCGAGCGATCTGCGCCGATGTCTTCTATCTTCACGGGAGGCGCACCTGGTCTCCGTAAGATTGGATTACGTCGCTATGCACGCGCAACACGCGCTGTCATATTTCATGCGTCCGTTGGCACCCGAAACTCAAGCCAGCTTTTCTACCAAAGAAAAATGTTCAGTTGTGGGAGGGAATGTGCATAGAAGTAATTCTTCGAACTCGTACTACTAGACTAAATGTCTGATTACCTATGAGCAGTGGCATTGATCGGGCATGGAAACGTACGAAACAAACGGATTCGCGACACCTTCACCACGACCATCCAGATGATGCCCAGGATGTTATGACTCAAACTACGACTCAAGAATACTGCCGAGGTGTCTCAGATTGATAAAGATCAACAGCGGGAGCTACTTATGCTTGTGAAATGGATTGTTGCTGATGATCAGGTAGGGGTTTTTGTGTAGGCATTCTAGCTTGGAATAAGAATGCAACGCACTTCGAGACCTTTATTGCACCTAAGCGCGGAGGCTACAAGAAACCCAAACCTCTCACCACGCGACGCGTGTGACACTTTGTGGCGGCACGCACACCAGCGCCTGTCTTGCTCGGGAGGAGACTTAGGGCGCAGCTACACGCTTGGCAGAAAGTGGGAGTCAGACCATTCGTAGTTGCGACAGCAGCCCACTCGATTCCGGAGTGCTTTGTCGAGTACGACTCTCGAAGAGGCAACGCGAATTTGGAGGCGGCGGCTCTTTCCGAACACTTGTCCGACCAGGAGGTAACGAGATTGGAGGTAGGTCCATCTGAGATCCCACGATTGATAATGATGCCAGTAATCACCGTCCAATACGTGCGAGCAGAGTGTCCCCGAGTTGGAGAAATAGGGAGACTGAACTTCTAAGTTCTGTACGGTAAGACCCAGCCGTAACCCTTAGCCAAGAGCTTGGTATAATGACTAGGTTCCATTCAGTGATCGTAGATCCAATTATCGTGCCACGTACTAATAGCACGTACTTCATGAAATCGACCCTTCACCCTTCCTGTAATCCGTTCTACCCCGATTTGAAATTTTTTGTTCCATTTAGTGACTCAGTAGCACTTGTGTCTGGGTAGTTCATGATTTCCCTGATTCCTCCAGCGTCCAGCAGTTCTTATTTCTACCTCTGATACTATGGCTTTGAATACCAACGAAATGCCAATCGAAGTTGAGCCTATAGAAGAACAAGCAAGAGAGACACCTGGAATCTCTTCCGCAGGTGCATCGAGTAGAACGCTTCACGATGCCACTACAGGTCGTCGCCAAATTCATTCGTTCATTCGTGAGCTTGGGGCTGGCATCATACTAGACGCCCGCGCTCGCATTCCTTGGTATTTGAGTGACTGGACAGATGCATGGAATTACCGAGTCGTACCCGCGACCGCCCTCATTTTCTTTGCAAAGTATGTCAGGGAACGTTATTCATGACCTTCGTTCTCACAGATACATACAGTGTTTTGCCTGGAATAGCATTTTCGCTAGACCTAATAGAAACAACCCAGCAATACGGAGTTGCCGAGGTCCTCATATCTTCCTTCATGGCAGCATTTGTGTTTTCCGTATTCGGAGCACAGCCGCTTACAATCGCGGGCGTCACTGGTGTGCAAATATCAGCGTCAATCATAATGTGATAATGTCCCGGTCTTCGACGGGCTATTCATAGTGCACTATTTAGGGCCGATTACCGTCTTTAACAAGACGATATATGATATCATCATCAAACAGCCTAATGCACCGAATTATCTGCATTTTATGGGTTGGGTTTACTTCTGGGCTGCAATCATCCACTGGATAACAGGCCATCTTGAACTGTAGGTGACCCTTCCTCTTCGAGAAAATGTCGCTCAGTTGATCTCGGCTCTCAAGGGTGTAATTTCCTGAAATATGTCACACTTTTCTCTTGTGACACGTTCGGCTTCTACGTCTCCTGGGTGTACCTCCAATACGGAGTTCAAGTGATTACTCGACAGTTCAGTGGGGACTTCGAAGGTGCTTTGGTGGGCATCATCCTCGCCCTCTTGATGCTTGTCACATCATTCTTGTTCCAACGCCTTTCGGAGACTACGTTGTTCCACCGTCATATCCGTCGCTTCTTCTCGGATTATGGAATGCCCATCTCCCTCGTTGCAGCATCAAGCATGGCATACTGGGGTCGCTTTAACGCTTCTAATCCTACTACGCTACCAGTAGGCAGTGCGTTCCAGGCTGCGAATGGAAGAGCATGGCTCGTCAAATTTTGGGAGCTAGATGGAAAATGGGTTGGTTTCGCACTTCCTTTTGGCATCATTCTTTGGATCCTGTTTTTCTTTGATCACAACGTTTCGGTATGTACTGCTACTTGCATACCAACACTCAGGCTCATTGCTCGATAGTCTCTGATGGCTCAGGGTTCACAGTTTCCTTTGCGGAAGCCACCCGGTTTCCACTACGATTTCTTCCTTCTCGGTATTACAACATTCATAGCGGGACTCATTGGGTTGCCTGCGCCCAACGGACTTATACCCCAAGCACCTATTCATACCGCCTCGTTGCTCGTTATGGGAAAACAAACCCAGAAAGATTTAGATGAAGAACAGATCATCAGATCATCCCCGCAATCCGGCAATGATTCCAACGGAGTAGTTACAAAAACGGAAAAATCATTTGACTCTTCCATCAGCCGGCGAGAAGTCCCTATCGCCGTCGTTGAACAACGGGTCTCCAATCTCGCACAAGGTGCACTATGCCTTGTGTTACTCACCGGTCCGTTCCTGCATATCCTGGGTCTCGTCCCAAGAGGCGTACTGGCTGGCCTATTGTAAGGTTATCCACTGGCATTTGATTTCGCTAACCACAGCGTAGCTGGTTCATGGGTGCGGATGCGCTCAAGGGCAACGGAATCACGATCAAGCTCATGTACCTTATACGCGACAAGACCCTCGCCTCGCCTGATGATCCACTGCACAAAGTCAGGAAATCACGACTATCAATGTTCGTGGCTGTCCAACTTGTGGGCTTCGGAGCGACGTTCGTGGTCACTCAGTCCATTGGTACATCGTTAGTCAACTATTGGTCGCGATCTTGCTTACTTTCCATGCAGCTGCTATCAGTTTTCCGGTCATAATCTTGCTTCTTGTTCCTCTTCGAACCTACGTAATTCCAAGACTCCCCTTCACGCAGGAGGAACTTTCGATCCTCGATGGTCCCACTGCTTCTCCATTTGTGAGTTCATCGCTCTTATGTTCATTCGTAAGCTCATCTACTCGACTCAGACGATGGAATCTGTTGGCGGATCTCTATAAATGACTTGACTATGATTCTCTGACCCTGTCCATTGCTCTCGTGTTTGATTCTGAAGTGCTGTGCTGTTATTCACCAAATTCTCGTGTATTGCAATCGTGAGGGTATTGCCCAACGTATATTGACAGCACACACAATGTGCGTTCGTTGTATTGTCTACATCTATGTATAAAATATGTCCGTTGGCTCTCACTTCATATCAGTTAGGGTATTAGACGCATGGAGGAATGAAAGCCAACTGGCGGGGGCACGAGTGGGTAGTGCAGTGGTACCTGCAAGAGGATCTAGGGGGGAGAGTGCGCACGCATACTCCAGCAGGTTGCTTACATTCTCGGAGCTGTGGGCTTGTGTGATTACGCCAGGCTTGCGCTGGGTACGAGCAACACCGTAGTCAACGCTCGTGCATGTAAGCGTTATTAGATACATTTCCAAAGGAGCGAGCGAAGTGCTCTTTTTATCGACATTGAGATCCCATGTTCGTGCAGTCCCCAGCAGACCAACAAAGGCGCACCTTTTACTAGCTGATATGCTTGCAAATAAACATACCCGGTCAGCAGATTAATGTCGTTATACATTGTTCTAAATACCATACTACTGATCTGCTCGTCGATTCATGGGTGCATACATACTATGCATCAGGCTATCCGACTCTTAACCTTGAGGCCGACCACACTCGGATCCGACTTCTTCTTAAGACATGTGAGTAAGTGACTCACTGAAGTTCTTGCTTCGCCAGAGCACCGTGCCTAGTGATGTTCCGGCCCGGCTTGGGCTCAAAGCCCCGGCTTAGGCCCACCAGATTTCAAGCCTGAGCCGTGAGCCCAAGCCGGCCCAAAGCCGGGGCTTGGGCCCAAGCAAGCCGCGGCCCATGCACTGAATTGCTGCGATGACAATGCAATGTACATAGATATATATATAAATGCACCTATATGCCAGGAACAATGCAGGTAAGCACAAATGAGCGGCAGCATGCGGAGACAAGTAAAGCAAGGAGCAAGGATACTGTATACATGATCAGTTATAGTTGTAAATCTAAAATAGCGCACACAACAAGCAGTGACTAACAGATATGTAAATAGTTGTCAGTGATAGATATAAGTGAAAAAAGACGCACCTAGCTTGCAGTGCAAACAAGCAGACGAGCCGCAGGGACAGTTGCAGTGAGCAGTTGATCAATAAATCATCATCAGAGTCACTGAAGACTTCGCGAATTAGCATCTTGAGACCGCCGGCTCTGCTCTTCTTAGTTGCCTGCTGCAACGATAAACAACATCACTTGCGATCGAGTGACCACAGAATTCACAGAAATTGCTGAACACACAACGGCGACCGCTTGTGGACACGTGAAAAATGAAAATACGAAGGGAAGTGGGCGCGATCGAGTTGATTTTAGCTTAGGCAGGAAGGGTCGGTCAAGATCAGCGCGTCGTCGAGAGTACGAGTTACAGGAATAAGTTAATGGGTAGACAGAAAAATAGAAAAGCACCAGGGCTTTCGAGCCCACCAGTCGTCGCTCATTGGCGTTAGCGTCAGTGCAATGAGTTGCAGGCAACAAGGGCGCTGATCATGGTCGTGTCAGTTGTGGTGCATGGGCGGAAGAACAAGAGACCGTCACAGAGAGGACCGAGATCAGCCCGAGCCGAGCGCCCAATCGGGCAGTACACACGGCAGTTCGCTGCGTACTTGCCTGGTCATCATGATGCTTCCCTGGTTTGGCGAACGTGGCCACCGACGTGACCAGGCTGGTTCGCGGTCATGTACCAAAGCCGCGGCTTGGGCCGCCGGCTTAGGCTTTTCTAAATCCAAGCCCAGGCCTAAGCCCTGCTCAGGCCGTGACTTAGGCCTGGGCTGGGCCCGGCTTGGGCCGGCCCGGGGCTTCAAGCCGGGCCTTGCACATCACTAACCGTGCCACATAGTCGAGACTCGAGACGCAATTACCAAGTACTGGTACAGAATTCCAATCAAAAGTGTAGATCAGATTTTGATATTAAAGATAAGGAGACCTGTGCTGTACCGCGGGGACAGCCTGAGAAGTGAGACGAAGGCTACTGGTCTTGGGCGAGTCTCCGGGATGTTCGTGATGAACAGAGTCTCCTTACCCGTCCAATACAAGTTTCTCTGCACAATTATTAGGCTAAGCGCAATGATCAGGTTGCCATTGCCAAGCGGCGGCGGCGTCAATGAGAACGCGAACGAGTCCGACCCAATCAGATAAATATGATTTGCGCGACTAGTGACAGATCATGTTTGCTTCGAATCAAGTTTCTACCCATGATGCACATCTTCATTACAGCCCTTCTTGACCCAAAGGGCAAGGGAAAGGTGTCCAGGGTAATGTTGCCGCTGTCCGGTTCTGAACCCACCGAGCCAGTTTTGAACCCCGAACCGAACCACGGTTCGGTCCAGTTACGGTTAGGTTCGGGAGGGTCCAGAGGTGGTTGGGTTCGAGGTTCGGAGAATAATAGAATATGAGAACCGTATGCGGACCTGTTCGAACCGTGACCGAACCCCGAACCGCTATAGATCTTTTTAAAAAAGTAGAAAGACGTTCGGTGGTTGTGACTTGTCGCGCCGTGCGGAGAAGATCATAAGTGACGGCTAGATCCGTTATATATATAATCGCGTGAATGTTTGGTGGATATAAGCTCAAGTCGTATCCCGCATGATCAATCGATCAAGCCGTATCCCACATGATCAAGTCAGCAAGTAACTGGCACAACTTAGTACCGTGGTTCGCGCACTAAGTACTTTGCCAAGGGTTGACCTGTACTGGCACTTCAGCTGCAGCCGAGCGCCGCTCAGAGCTGCAGTTGAAAAAATCGCTGGCACTTCAAGTTCCCGTTAGGCTAGGTACCAGAGAAATGACGATGATGGTACCGGACTATCGTCTGCCAATTCGATAGTACACGATTGACAGAATTTGACGTCGGCGATATTGGTACGCGTGAACCTGGCACCTCAGGGCACGATGCGACATCACGATGGTATAAATGAATGGCAGACCAGTGTCATTGTTTGCTCCCTGGCACTCTTCTTCTCCCAATCATGTCACAAGATACTAACAGCCAACTGTTGGGCGTCGTATTGCTTGTTCGTCACGGGGATCGACAAGGATTTTATCAAAACCCTCAAACCTATACTGCAACAGCCACGCAGATAACCCCCCTGGGCAGCGTACGTCAGTAATTTTCAGCCATGTGCACTTTCATCAATTTCTTTTAGCAACAAGAGTTTCTGCTTGGAGACTACCTGCGTTCATTGTACTTGAATCAGTCATCGCCATCGTACATCGATGGCATAAGTACAGGATTGTTCAATCAGTCCCAGGTGTACATTCAAGCAGACCTTGGAGGCGAAGATGGAGTTATTTATGATTCTTGTGTATCACTAACGCAGGGACTTTGGCCTGTTACGCCCTCCAACAATATCACCCTCGCTAATGGGACGACGATTACGGCTCCCCTTGGAGGGTATCAGGTATGTGTTTAATGTAATACCGGTCTCGCTTCCCCTGACTGGCATGTTGCAAAGTATATACCTAGTGAGCTCTTGTAGACACTTCAACAAGCAACCAACGCTCACACAGGGTAGTCGAGTCTGTGGATCCCAACCTGAGTGTATCATTGGAAGGTTTCACTGATTGCAATGTTTGTCAAAACAAAATCCCTGGAACGTTTTTCCCTAATGATGGTACCTTTCAGACCTTCACCACTCATACGACAGCGTTTTACGATTCATCCAACTTTCAAGAGATGGCTGTACAAAGCGCATCTTTCTTGGACTCTCTGCCTCCTTATCTGAATGGAAGATCGGTTCAGTTGCAGAATATGGTACGCTCCGAGCGAGTAGCATTTCGTCCGTGTTCCTAACCCCAATTTGTAGTGGAACGTATGCTCACCTGCTGTTGATGCAGCGCTAGGCTAAATGCGCCAGCAGATATTCGATTTTATGAATATGAACGATATTCACAATGCCACCTTTGCCCAGGCTCTCCCTCCCACATACCTAGCGCAAGCACAAGATTTGGCTAACTGGCACGAGTACAATGTCTTTAGTGACCGGGCCATTGGAGGCATCGGGAACAGTACGTGTAGTTCTGGAGAAATTTTGATTCATTCGTGACGATCGTCCCCAGTTGCCGGTTTGACTCTTCTGCCATCGATTCTCAATGGATTCGCAGACATCGCGAACTCCACAAACCCTCTGAAGTTGTCGATTACTGCCATCGCATACAAACCTTTCCTCTCCCTCTTTAATATGACAGGCGTCACTTCTGCAAACCCGAGTCTTGCAGGTATTGGTCAGTATACTGGTTTTATGTTTGTCGCGAGCTTGACTGACACACAGCTAGTCAACTACGCTGCTACCGTTGCTTTGGAATTGCGTCAATCTTCTGCGGGTGGTGAACCTGTCATCCGTTTCAACTTCAAAAATGGGAGTGACGCAACCTTCGTGACATACAACTTCCTCAACCGCACAGGAGATGTCCCGTTATCTGCTTTCATTGATGCGATGGCTGTGAGTGAAGGTAGCTTCATCTAGCCTTGCCTCGTTGACTGTACCTGCACCAGCCTGTCGCAGTAAATACTACAGCAGCTTGGTGCGATATTTGTGCCAACACCCAAGATAGGGGCTGCGCTGCTCTTGCTCTTGCGACAGATCAAGGAGAAGCTGCTGCTCGACCTAAGATCAGTCCAGCTGGAGCTGGTGTTCTTGGCGCGGGTGTGACTCTTGTAGTTGTTGCATTGATGGCTGTCACTCTGGGTTTCCTTGGACTGTTGACGGTTGGTAGGCTTGGGAGGCGGCGGTCAAGGCATGCTGGCGTGGTATGTGATCTCTATATGCGCTTGCTCCGATTGATTTAATGCAAATGATAGTTTGAACTCAAAGACGGCGAAAGTTCATGATTCGGCGATGTGAAGATGATGATGCTGAGGAATCTAAGAAGAAACTAAGAGCGAATGCCGTTGTAAGTCGCGAAGCAAGGGAGATGTATAGATGTAGAAAAAAGTTGGTAGTACAAGGTGTGAGTCGTGTGTCCATAAGCCATGAAATGCAAATTCTAGAACCATGCTCTATGACCGAATTCCTTACCTCCAATAGTTGTCTTCATCATTCAGATTGTTATACCGAAGATCGTCTTCTGCCTCAGAACTTTCATGAAATATATCTACAAGCGGATTTCAGACTGACTCTAGAATGAGGCCACGAAAAACATACCGCTCCCTTCGCTGTCGTTTGAATCATCCTCATCTGGATAGTCGTTCTTGTAGTATTCCTCGGCTGGGAAATGCCGTGTCAGATGAAAGATCTAGTGCCGAAACGTGCAAATACCATTTGAATCTTCGTCGGCTTCATCCTCCTCCTCGGACTCCGAGTCACTGGAGTAAGGGTCATCCAGTGACGGAGGAAGGCCTTCACTGTAAACGCAACAACATTCTAGCCAAGGATTTTATTACTGATTCAACCAGGCAACTTACAGTGTTCCGATATTAGCAACTGAGTTCCATTCGCTGAGTGTGCCAGGACGCCTGTAGAACACGTCCCAAACATAATCCTCTGCTGGGGGAGCAGCTGAGAGAACTTGCGAGGGCTCATCATTCACTGGAAGGGTTGGGTATGAGGATGCGAGGTATCAAGAGAAGAGATGCCTACTGCGTAAGTAGTTTTGCAGCATGGGTAGGAATTTCTCCATTTCGGAATCGAAGATAGGAGACGTAGGCTTCTGATCAGCAGGAACGGCATCATACATCCTGAAGTCACTTGGAGATTGAACGTCCTTCACAGATATGACCTTTGGACTACCGCAGATGAGACAAGTATGTGGCAACATCACCAGTAAACTCACGGACTGGTAGCAAACTTGGTGTTTTCAGCAGACTCGCGTGTAGGAACGATCGTGTAGCGTCTCCCCTCATCAGCTGATTGCCGACTGCGTTGTGCCCCAGGCAGATTCGTAACATCCGCAGGCGCTGAGGGCTGCATATTATTTTCATGATGGTTTTGCGATAATTTCGAGATTTGGTTCTGGAGGGATGAAAGAACTCGTATGAAACGCGAGCGCGACAAGTCTTAAAGCTAACTCACCTGCAGCGTCACCTGCAGTTGCTTATCCTCCCAGACGGTCTCTTCGACAGTTTGAACAAACTGGAAAACATCGCGACCACCTTTTGACTTCTTTCTGCGTACCCGAGACTCGACGACTGATGTCATTGTCAGAAGTTGACTTCGCGAACGGTGGCATGAGCAACACACCAAGCACGTCGAGTGGTTCATCGGTACGTTTACGCTTGATGCGCACAATCGTGTACGGGTTGTTGTTCGACTGAGCGTTCATCGTAGTTTGAATGGAGAAGAAATATCAACGAAGGAGCACTGTATGCTGTGCGCGGTGGCACAAGGCTTAAGGTGCTTAATGAAGCCTGGAGCATCCTGTGATTACGTCATCATATCGAATTTTGGTTGTCAAGTCCTAGTCAGGGATGACGCTACTTCATAGTGACAGAAGCACTCGATGCTTCGAGCTTTTCATTCAAACTTAAGTATGGCTGTTTGAAATACTTAAGGCCGGCGTACCGGTAACTTCCAAAATAAATAAATAGATGTGTGTGAGCAAATATTGCTACACTTTATTTAAAGCTTCGACGTAAGTAGTATCATATTTTACGACCAGTGCAGGCAAGCAGCTCCGTGCAGTCGGAGACAAGTCATACTAGTAACCTTTCTAGGGTATCTTTCAGGAGGGTCAGGTAACTGAGTCGCGAAAGTCGCACACAAGTCTGGAATACAATCCTGGCACTTTAAAGTTCAAAATAAAGGTATCATACTTAACGCAGCCTCATAGTACAAGGGAAGTTGCTTACGATTCTTTACAGCTCTTATCACTTCCTTATTCATCATCATCTTACAATTCTTTCAAGCATTCTTTTATTACCTCCTCACTCATCATCACCCACTGCACCTTGTGTCCCGGGCTCACCGGCTGTTCGCCAAGCAGCTAAGATAAGCTCTACGATGTCATCCACGCCTTGGTCGTTCTTGATGCTCGTAAAAATAGTTGGACCGTCTCCGCGCATGAGTTTCGAATCACGTCTCATCACATCAAGAGACGCGCCAACATACTGCGCGATGTCGACCTTGAACCTCGACAGTGAGGAGGTCTATAAATGTAGAACAAATTTTGACCGACCTTGTTAATTACCAAAAGGTCAGACTGCGAAATGCCTGGTCCGCCTTTACGGGGAATCTTGTCTCCTCCCTGGAAATGCACATGAGACAGAAAATCATCGAGCGTCTGACGGACATACCGCTACGTCTATGACGTATATAATGTAGTCCGCTAATTCACGGGAATAATTGGCAGCTAGGTTATCCCCTCCGCTTTCCACGAAAAGGAGCTGGCAGCCAAACTTCGCTTGAAGTGTCTCCAAAGCGCCCATGTTGGCACTGATATCCTCGCGGATCGCCGCGTGAGGGCAGCCACCGGTCTCAATAGCTAGAATACGCGGCGTTGGGAGAGCCTTGTTCTTGATAAGGAATTCTTGGTCTTCGCGGGTGAAGATGTCATTCGTCACAGTAGCTAAGTGTATTGAAGTTTCACAGAATGCAGAAGATCATGCCATATTTTCTCACCGATGTTATATTTACTACGAAGCTTCCTGCATAACGCAAGGGTCAAGGCTGTTTTACCGGAACCAACAGGTCTGTGTAGAGTGATCGCTATCATGCAAAAGTAGTATCGCAAGCTTGTCAACTTACCCCCCAATTCCGACCGTAAAGCCCCTTTCTTGGAAGTTTCGTAAAGAGTAGTCGGGAAGGTCCCGCTCAGAGAATTTACCTGCAAGAAAGCAAATGTAACAATCAATCAGATAGGCTCAATAACGAAACCGACCTGGGTGATCTAGGTGCTCGTGTGTATGACCATGTTCGCCATGATCGTGGGGCGCACCACCAAGCTCGTGCGAGTGAGCTTGACTTGGCTGGTTGGTAGAAGAATTCAGGTTATTGATGAATTGAACACTCATGATCAAGATAAGCTAGTATTGCGACTCGGATCATCGATCAGCGCTCAGTAGATCATGAAACTCGGAGTCTGCCGGCGGGTGCAGTGAGACGGAAGCGGTTCTGTACCAGATTCATAACATCAAAACACCAGTCGTGCATGAAGCGCACATCAGGGGCCCTTGTAGCTTACTCTAGCTCTGAAGACGAAGCTCCAACCAATGCTCCAGAGAGAAAGAAGAAGTTAGCCATTTCATCGTCTCTTTGCATGAGGCTACTTAATGTACGCACAGGAAAGCTACCGTCTCTTGCATCATCCTTGATCGTACCAGTACCCGTCGATGATCCTTCTCTTCACCAAGGACGAATTCGTGCAACTCCGCACGTAGAGGGCCAATATGCCGCATATGTTTACATTCCCCTCGTGGTGCAGCCCAAAACTGCATTGTACTCGTTGGTCGAAGAGGTGCTTGATGTCACCAAGGAAATGGTCCCAGCCGCTCATGCCATAGGGGAAATTGTCTCGTGTAGTAGGAATAGTGGTGGCGTGGTAGTAGGTAGCTCTCGCAGGGCGCGGGAGCTGCACTTGTCGTTAACTCGACCGATATTCCTTCGTGCCCACCAACGAGAAGAGTTCAAACAAGCCATAAAACTTATCGCTTCGCGCCAAACTCCGTGCGCCTACAATTCATTCATTGCATAGATTATGGTCTCTCACCGTCCGTATGAAGATTCCAGGCTTCATTCGCAACGTTTTCGGAGCTTACAAACGATGAGCGAACGAGGGCGTTCCTTTCCCTCGAGATAGGAGCCGGTCATCATGAAGTTCGTCCTTGTCCTCAGCCACCTCAATTGATTCCAAACTGACCTATTGTAGCTGAGGAATTTGCTATCTGCACTATCCCCAACCCTTCAGTCCCTACGCCAACGAGATTTTTACAGCCAACCAAAGTTCCACGTTTCGATAGCATGGGCTCTTCTGGATCCTGACACGTCAGTGAACGGAGATGTCGACGTTAAAGGACAACCTCTCGCCTATGAAAGTGCCATACCAGCAGAAGGCACATCGGGCAACAATTTGTCCAGTAGCGGGGACATCGGGCAATCCAATAAAGAATTCCAGACCGAGTGTTTTCCGCGTATTCCCCACTTTCCATCTGTGTTGATCCCTACGCTAAACCAGCAATTTGGTGCTAAAGTCTCATCCGCTCACACCGGAGGGTTCGGCGCGGATACTATCGCAGTGAAGATCGGAAAGGACATCTTTTCGTGGCCATTCCGAGGCTCTGATGTCAATCAAGTCGATCCTTAATGTACGTTCAACTATGATCCACAGAAAGACCGAGGGTGCCTTCCGGTTGGTCATAGAATGTTAAATCATATTGAGCCACTCGCGAGGCTTGATAACAATAGCTACGTTCCTTCCACTTCCTGTTGCTTGGTCAAACAGGTTTATCAGGTCAACGTCCATTACGTTTGACTCCGGTGATTCACTGCTTTCACTCAACTCTTCTCGAATCCATTCATGCCTATCGAGAAGGATGAGAGATTCTATTAGAGGCCCCATGATGCACCTTAACACGTGCAATACCGACAAGGCACTTTCCAGCTGCCTTCGGACGCGCTCATTGTGAATATAAACAGGAAGCTGTGTTGCAGATTGGTCGAGTCGGACGCCGATCTTCGACGTCGCACCATCCAGGAATGTTTCCCAATCCTTGTACGCAGCATTAGGGAGCTTGCCCAACCGCCTATTTTCTGGTGTTTGGCCTGCGCCACGGAGCTCTTCTGCAGTGTGATTTGCAGAGGCTTCCCCTGCACCTATTACTTGAAGGACAGGCTGAAGGAGGGCTCGAAAAACCACTTTGCGTATCGCCAGAGTTGCTTCTCGAGCACACGTTTCATTGCGGAGCCATTGAGATGGAATCTGTGCAGCCAGGTGGCGAGAGGCAAGGGGAAGTGTTGCTACTGGTGTTCGCTCACGGAGCGACCTGGACAACGGAAAATCTACAATGTAGCTGTAACAATCCTTGACTAAAACAGTCGTAAAAACTGATGCTCACCCTCAGGCGCCATCAAGTTGTAACAGCATCCCACTACAACGAGTGCCTGCGCCGTCCAAATGCGAACATCGGGGGGTGAGGGTCTACGGTGATTAGACAGGAAGGTGCGAAGGACATCAGGTGTGAGCGATCCGCACGCGTGAAGGGCAACCATCATTACAGGAACTGGCTTCTCCTGAGGTGTGTCTCGCTCACCCCCGCCGACAAGTAAATCCCCGATCATACTACCAGCGATTTGGTTGGCTTCACCGGAGAGAAGCCAATCATGAATCGACGATTCGAGTGTACGGGGATTGATGCAGATGGTCTGGTGGGTAAGAGAACCAATACGGCTATGCACGATGCGCCCGTTTTTGCTGGCAGTGGAAGCCGAAGGCACAGAGGTGGGCACGTGTGGTTGGAAAAGGGGATCGTTGCAGTGATGGTTTAAGTCGGGCGGGCTCTGGGCATCCTTTCCCTTTTTAAGCTGCTTCTGCCTTCTTGCTGCTTCTTTTGCTTTCCAGCGCTCAGCCCCGGAGGTCTGGATGTCATTGAAATCAAGAGCTAACACATGGTGACCCAAATTTTGGAGCGCACGAGACAAATATCCCTGAGAAGAAAATCATTGATCATTGGATAATGCATTCCTGTGACTTGAAGGTTGGAAGATATACAAAAGAAGATACTAACTTGTCCTGAACCAACATCAACAACATGTTTCAGTGTGTCCGCAGAACCTGGGTATAAAAGTCGGTTGATGTAGTCTGACATCCTGGAGACCTCATGATCTTTCTTTGGTGACATGCCATACGATCGAGAAGCAGCTCGATGAGCATTCCCTGGATATGCAAAGCAGCATGATGAGCCGAATAAGTGAGGAAGCCGTTTAGTACTAGTGCGCCCGGAAGGTCTCCGGAGTGTGACTAACCCGACTCGGAGGTGTTCCCGACGGGAACAAGATTTCTCTTCAATTGGAGGCGAATAATTATATCGATGAGAGTTTTCAAATCGGGCGGGATCTATTGCAGGATGAGCATGCTGGGTGCACGCACTGATTAGCATAAATCAGGCCTACTGAAGATTTATTACTTGGGACTTGGTTCCCCGTCGGCTGGTCATCGGACGCAGAGTAGTAATGGAGAAGCGACATCCACCTCGGGAAGCACGTTGTAGATTCATCGTCTATCGATGTGGCCCATTCCCACCAACCCTCCCAACCTGCAGGAAGCTCGAAGCCAGAAGCAGCCAGGTCGTTCGGATGGATCGAGAGAAGCTCGGAAGCTGGGGGAGAACACAGCTGCTGATATATCAGTTCGAGCTTCGACATTAATTCACTGGATTGGCGAAGAAGACGTATTCATACCCTCATATACTTGATTTAAGTCAAGACCATGATTGGGAAATATCTCTCACGGTCCGCTCGTGACGAGTCCCTGCAAGCCCCGCGTCGGAGGCCCGGCGTTGTTCAGCTTGGTATCTGTGGTACCCTGCTGTCAGGTTATGTCTTGAAGGACGTAATTCTCTTTGCTCTACCAGTCCCCCTTGAACGAGCTTCGCAGTTCACCCTGCCCGTCGCTACTTTTTGGTAATCTTGCGGAGATGTACCACCAAGAAGACAACGGTCTCCTTGCTGACTGGAAGGCTCGGTACGGAATGATTTATGCATACGGAAGTTTTTTTGGAGGATATCGGCTGATGATGACCGACTTAACCGCTATTACTGGATAAGTCTGACATTTACTATAAACCCGACTTCATTCACAACAAGCTGGCCAGCATGGGTGCCGGCGAACTCGGAGTACTGATAGCAGAAGGGGAGACTCACAAAAGGCAGGTCAGGCTCGTTCGTTACGATTGTAGCGGAGAATACTGGTCAGTCATGATATTATCCGATACTATGTCAAATTAGCTGCAGCATTGTTGTGGTCCGCCCGGGGTGCGCCTGTACGCGGGAAACATTTGCCCCCATTCGATGAACCTCGAACTTTGCACTGCAGCGTGCAGGCTTACTGATCGTGTCCCAATTGCTTCCGCACTTTAGGCTCCGGTATTCACGGCTGCGCACATTAAAACTCTGAATCCAGTGTTCTGGGATAAAGCCAATCAGGTAAGAGATTAACTCGTTGACGGAGTAATCATAGCACATTTTTTCTAGCTGCGCGATATTCAGGCCGTCCAAGAGCATGGTTCTAAACCCATTGATGTTATTGTTTGGTTGTCGAAAGCAACTTTGGACGTCATTGGACTTGCTAGTAGCTTTCTATAAGCTTGTCATGTGGCGCCAAGTATTTTAAACATTACCAGGGTTTGGGTACCAGTTCAACGCCCTGGCGAGGGAAACCGACGAATTGGCTAATGCCTACCGTCCAATCTTCACTACTGCGCGGCAGTTAGCGCTCAGAAGCATATTCGAGACTTGGGTACCCCTGCTAAGACATTTGGTGAGCGGGCCATCTTTCCCGCTGCTAACAAATCTTGCCCTGTGGCGGGGCTGTTAATCATGCTCCATCAGCGGCGTCATAGTACAACGATGGCACAAGCGCATGCGCATCTCAATTGCATCGGGCTCCAGCTTATCGAGGATCGCCTTCCAAGCACGGTTGCACAAAGAATGTTCCAAGACAGAGGGTTCTCTTGACCGTTGTTAGTGTGTTTCAGCGATTGGAAATATGGAAGCTGGAACTTACTGTCGATCCAGTGGGACCAATTCGCGGCATATGAGCACAGACGAAATCCTCTGTCAGATTTCGACTTTTCTGACCGCAGGCTAGGAAACCACGTCCTCTACACTGTCATGGTGTCTGTACGCTTCGGCCAAATTTCCAGACAGTCGGAGAACGCTTCGCAAGGCTCTTCGAACAATTCCTATCAATTCACCGACTCTAGACGATGGTGTCGGAAAGCTAGAGTATCTCGATTGGGTTGTTCGTGAGACGCCTAGATTGCACGCGCCAGTCACCTGGGCAATGAGAGTCGCGACTAAGGATGCCGAAATATCAGTGGCGGAACCCTTTCTAGACAAGAGTGGGCAGTACAGGAATTCTATCAAGATCAGAAAGCATGACATTTTCACCATACCCATTCAGGCCATTAACAAGAAGGACATATCGGGGGAAGGTATTTGCTCCTTCAGGCACGTTCCCTCGTGGTCCATCTGACTTTCCCTGACAGATTGAGACAGACCTGAACGATGGCGGAACCCTCCTGAGCAAGTCAAACTTATTCCGACATGCTTACGTTCCTTAGCGAGAGCCATGGATGCATCGGCTTCAGGTTCGCCCTTGCAGAGTAAGTGTTCCCCGGTGCCTTTTTCCCTCTGGGGTTTTCAGTTTGAGGCGGACCGCTGCTCACCTGCGGGCCCTGCACTTTACTTTCCCATGAACATGCGGTCGCACACATGAGCTCTCCTATGCGTTGTTAAGCACGCGAACTTGACCTGTCAGGCACAGTGGCAAGATAGGTGGAGCCTTTCTTGGATCTCTACTTGAATTATACTCCGCTCTGTGTCATCCCGTTTGTCTAATTGCACCTTGTATTGATATTTTTGGCTCCCCAGGATCAAGGCATTTCTGTTCTCGCTAGTTTGCGAGCTGGAGTTTTCTATAGACCCCCCAACAGTCGGTGAGAAGACCTTCAAGTAAGTATCATTTTTTTTGACATCAGATTATTGTCCTTTGGGACTCCATGTCGGAAACTTCTCGTCATCTATGCCGTGCTCTGGCAGTTTCCGTCTGTTTCTCTTAATTCCCTCGGATAACAATGTTTGCTTCGATCGAAGGCATCCCCCGCCATTCTATTTTTTAATTCTCTTATTTTTTCCCTTCGCTTCTTCGTTTTGATCGCTACAATATTTGGCTGACACCGTAGCTATCTCCCTCTTGCAGTATCGTCGCTCGCCCTGTGGTAAAATCAGAGGCCATGTCGGGAAACCACACGCTACTTATCGTTCGGCCTACATCGAAAGATGACATTGATCATGTCATTGCACGCGTATCAACTACGGCATCATAAATTCACGCCAGGGTTGCGAGACATTACCCACCGTCTATTTCGCCAGTTCGTCTCTCGAGGGCTGCCTCTCTTGGCAACAATTCCCGGCGGCCAGTTCGTGTATGAGATCCGCGGGAAGTCACGTCGTATGCGCTTCGTCTGATCTTCGTTCTCGACTTCTAAGCGAAGGATGGGAGAAGTGCCTTGCTATGTATGTTTTTTGTGTGTGTTTTTGTAAAACTCCTCTTCAATATTGTTTTCAGGGTTATCACTGATTTTCCCCAGTTTCCATTCTAGACAGCTGTACAATCAATATACCAATAAGGTGTGTACGTATCACTGGTTGCATTCCCTCCACACAAATGAACCAGAGTAAGACTCTAAGGTTAAAGTGACGCACTGTTCCTGCACTTACATCACTCTCGTACTCATTGTGTGCGGAGTTGAAGTTCCTGAAGGGCCTCGAATGGATATTGAGGCGATGCGTAGTCATCCCAACAAGGCGGTGGCCACATTTGAGAGCTTATTCTAGGCTTTGTACCTCACGTGCGCATGTGCACGTCTTGCCTCCTAAGTTGATAAAGTTAAAGCGCCCCGCGTCGTAGCGATCCGGTCAGTGAATCGAAGGAGGTGCATAGATGATGATCTGGGCCTTCCGCACTTTCTCCCCATTCTCATGGTGTACCGCGACCGTGTCGTACATATGAGCAGTAATCCGTTTGCGGTTAGTTCGAATTAGGTCATGTTGATCGCGGCGATGAGTCGACCTCAGCGGTCCAGTATGCGGATATGATCCACGGCACCTTCTGCAAGCCATCGGATCGTGTATTCCTGAGCAGGTAAAATGAAGTGGGGGTCTCCTGAATTAGGAAACCGCCGTTTTAATGTGCTCGGTTCTCAACTTAATCGTTTCGCACTGCCCACAGGCGGGCCGGAAGCTATCCGAAAAGGGGTGTTATAATCAAATAATGCAGGTAACGGCTCGATTACAACAGGACTGCGAAGTACCTAGATTTCATTATGAAAAGGGAGGTCCGGGCCCAGGATAAGAAGCATTCTGCTGCGAGATAGAACCCCAGAACACAGGAATCAGACCGGATGCAAGCGAAGGACACGAGGTGCAGAGGTTCCACAGGATCATGTGCAATGCCACAGTGGGAGAAATATGTCGCAACAGACTGCGCCCGAAAACCGGTGACCAGAAATCTCCTTGTCTATTGAAACGGAGTGTGTGTGCAATTTTAGGGAATGATTGGGCAAGGTTGGAGTGTATGGTTTTCAAGAAAGCGAATACGAGTGGTACAAGTGATTAGGTGCTTTAGGTAGTCAGTATAATAATATTGTTACACACGAACGGGTTTTCGAAAAAACAAAGGCATCCAGATAGGATTCAATGTTACAAGCGATCGTGTTCACTGCGGGGCTGAATAGGCGGACCCTGGATTTACAGACGGATGCAATTGACCATCGTTATAATAGTTATGCGACTGCGAGTCAGCCGAGTGAGCTGGCAGCCTTGGCGAGCTATGCGACGGACTCGGAATGAAGCTAGGAGACAGCGACGAATGGTGATGCTGTGCAGGATACAACGAGGATTGATTGTGCATGTTGTGAGGTGCATATGGGTTGGATGGGGGAAGGGACGGAGGCGCAGACATCGGAACGCCCGAAGGAAGGTAACCGGACTGGCCACTGCTCCCAGAATGATGGCTGTGTCCTATATGGTACGTGGACAGCCCAAGCCTATTCTGGGAGTAATCTAGGCCACTGCCGCCGCCACCGACGCCACTACCACCATAGTGCGATGGGCGCGCAAGGAGCTGTCGACCCGTTCCACTATATTCCGTAGACGCTGACTGGTGACCGTGACCTCCCGGCAGCGATTGAAGGGACATGGGGTGATACAACTGTAAACTCTCTGCGGGCAACGAAGCACGGCGCGCGACGGGGTCTAAAAGGGAGGAAGCAGGCACTGTGCGAGTGGCAGATGGATATGGTGCAGAGGTGGTAGGTCCCTGCGCTGCTCGATGAGCGGGTGCTAAAATCCTGCGACGAGCCTGTATAATTATGTTAATTAATTGAATGGCGGGGAGGGCAAGTAAATAATACGGACATTAATCATCCAGTTGGACACTTGGCTCATGCTCAACCCAGTGGCATGGCAAAGCTGCTTTTTCTCCTCCTCGCTTGGGTATGGATGGTCTGAATGACGATGCAACCAGGCCTTTAAATAATCTGTCGTTTCCTTGGGTAACTTGCCCCTCTTTCGCATTGGGCGGTCAACTAATGTAGATGATGGGGCAGGCGCTGGAGGGGAGCGCGTAGGAGACGAAGTTGTTGCTGGTGGTGGTGCGGCGGAGGGTACGGGGCTGCTCGTCGTATTTAATGATGTACTATTGGAGGAAAAGGGATAATCCTGGTTAGGAAAATTCCAGTCATCCTTGGGTGGACCTGAGGCGGGGTAAAGTCTACGATCCTGCTGAGCAGGATGACGGGGAGCAGCGGTAAACATCTGTGACTGAGGAAGGGAATAGGAGGAGTGTCTAATGCTGTCGTCGTACTTGTTAAGGTTGGCTGGTAATTGGCCGGTCGAGCTCGGGCGAACAATACCTGATGGGGACTCGTTCCAAGTATCGGTTTCTACGTATGCAGAAGTAGGGGCGGCGTGTGATTTGATATCAGGGGTGAGGGGGGATGTGAAAGTGGAGGAAAAATGGGAACTAGAGGTAGTTGTGCTTGAGAGGTATGAGGAAGAGTCTGGGTAGGGATAGTTGAGGTGGGTGTCAGCAGTCAAGCGCGGACGACTAGTGGATTTATCTGGAAACTCTGAGGTATCCGAAGGAGGGAAATGGTATGAACCCAGATTAGACTGGTTAGTGGGTGCGTGCGATTGCCGACGGGGATTGGTAGGGGGGTATGGAGCCGATCGGTAGCGAGACTGTGTTTCAGGTGAAAGAGCCGGTAGAGAAGCGCGGCGAAATGGACCCTCAAAGGTAGTAAATATAGATGGTAGTTGTACCTTTGAATTTTCGAGACCAGTCTCGAGAGATTTATCGTCTTGTTGTGGGCTATGATTTGTAGAATCGAAATGCCAAGAAGGGTGCTCGGAGGAGAAAGAGGGACGCTGTCTAGTAGGTTGAGGGGAACTAGAAGGAGATAGAGGACGCTTTTCAGGACGAGAGGCTGCACTGCTGTCTGTCTCTGCGGAGACTGTAGAGCTTGACATGCGACGAGTAGAATAATCAAAGTCCGAGTCAGTTGGACTTGACAGAGAGTAAATATAATAAGTCAGATATGGTGATCGGGGCGCGGTAAAGCAAGGCACGAATGACCCACACAATAGCCGGGGAGGCACAATTTGATAAATCGTCCGAGAAGGAGACAGGGTCGAGTTTTGGATCAAGTCTGAAGGTAGTAGGGATTGAGTACAGTCGATGATTGATGTAAAGGAAGAAGGGAAAGGGAAAGATAGTAAGACATGATCTTGACGTATGACAAGCGGATTATGAAATCCGATTAGTAGTACCAAGACATATAAAAGAAAAAAAAAGAAATAGTACTGACAAGGATAATTGTAATTGAGCGACGTTGTATGAGTTTATAGCGAGGGGAGAATTTGCCTTTTGCTCAATCATTTGAACAAATAATTAGGCAGATTGAAAGTTGGGGAGTTGTAGTAGATGGGGGAGTGAATTGTTACAAGTGATGCGACGGGATTTTAAGAGGGCAAGGAATCCGATTTGGGAGAAATAAGGGCAAGATGAAATTATTAAGCTAGAATAAGCTATGAAAAAAACCGATAGCTGATTCTTGGCGATACTGTCTTTTTTTGGAATTAAATCTTGATCTTAAGATCTCAAGGCACAACAATGGGAAACATTCCAAAAGAATACAGAAACGAATCTCAATTAGTAATAAAAGCCGTTAACCCTTCCGTTAACCGGTCATTTCCCATTCATCCCGACATCAGCGCGTCATCATAATAATCCTTCTTCATTCCTTCTCTGCGCCGAACGCTTGTCGGTAGCGAATAAGAACGACTTCGGCACCAGCGGTCATTTCTCCGAGCGTCTCTTAACTTACATATCGCCGATTTCAACGTAAACAGTATTCCTCAACTATCCGCGTACCTTCTACAAGGACTTACCCGGTACATGTATTTTTGTCGTGTGGAAATAGTAAATTCCAACCAAAATGATCTCTCTTGTCGAGTTGATGTCGGGGTAAAAAAAGATAGGCTGTGCGAACCTCAATTAATCAACTTTGGCTCACAACTACCCAATAAGAATATTACTTCTTTTTCATTGCCTTTACTTTTATTGTTTTTTTTTTTGCTCTACTTTTTTATTTCGTTATAACACATTGCAACCTCCTCGGTCCCGTTCCCCGTTTACTATTCCCCTTCGATCTCACGTTGCTGCCGTGTGTGTCTTCAACCTGTCAAACCTGTCTTTAACCTTGTTCTCGACATCATAAACGGTACCGTAAGATAACTCTAGATATACACACGCGGAGTCTCACTCACTCTCTCGTCAATCAAGCTACTTATCCACGCCTCCTCTCCCTGCTTCGCAACCCGTATCATCCAAGCTATTACCCAGCCTATCAAATATGTATCATAGATACAATACTTAGCATAACGAAATCCCCCCCATCCCTCCACTTATAGTTATATTATTCAATCTCCAATCCTTCATTCGCCTCGAGGGCCCAAGTTTCACATCTTCCTTTGCCGCTACTCCTATTTCAGGCACTCTTTTCTGTGCGCGGACTTAGATTTCTCCCCTTGGGCCGTTCTAATAGGGTTCAATTACGTTTTTCTGCACTGCCAAACGGTCGGCAGGATTCCGCAATTGGCATCCTCTCTTCTCCATACTTCCGATGCGGCCTTCCGTATCGATACGTCGCCGTCCAGACTCCACCCTCCACCTCACATTTCAAAACTTAAAATCATCGTCACCCACCACCTTCGGGATCGACAAAAGTCTCAGTTCAATACAAAAAGTTTGCCTCAAAGATTCTCTGCCTCAATCCCATCATCGCTTCTTCAATTCCGAACTCGTTCCCTCTACGTAACAAAGCTCCGCAAGAGAATACTAGATGGAGGATACCAAGCGTATGATAGATTATCTACAAACACCGCACCGCAAATAGTACTACCCAAAGCAAACTTCCCAAATCGATCATGCAGTGAAGTCAGTCGCTAGGAATCATTTTGTGCCACCAGCGCCGATTATCACTGCCGTCCCTGACTTCCCCTTGGCCCCCTTAATTTTACTCTTCGCCATCACACCCTGCAGCAGTTGATCAGCCTTCGTCCGTTCCTTCTCCGACACCTCGACACCGTCTAACATCCCAATTCGGGGACATGCGCGCATGACCAAACCTCGGTATGCAAGGCGGCCGACATATGCATCATCCGGGAGGTCCCGGCGGAACTTCGAGTCCAGTTCTTGCCATCCATATTCTGTGCTTCCCTTCTCACCCCTGGACTGACCGTCCTCTTCCTCCCTAGTACCGTTCCTCTCAGATGGTTGCAATGCCCCTGGTAGGTCTTTCACCAGAAGTGGGAGATACCACCCAAGCGTACAGGGGTTCATCCTGGTGGCAAAGAACGTTAATGCCCAAGTCGAGAGCATATAAACCTACAGGGTCCAAATTCTCACCTAAAATCGAGCATTTCCACATCAGGCATCTGCTGTAATATGCGGATCAGCGGTTTAGTCCCCTTCAAGCGAGAACCAATCATGGTGAGCTTCTTAAGTCTAGTGAGTCCCTCCAAGGGAACAGCGTCGTTCAAAAAGTTATAGTTGAGATTCAGGACTCTCAGGTTTGGCGCTAGACGCGCGAGATCGTGTGGGAGAGTGGTCAACCTGCAACCGGCTACCTCAAGGTACACCAGATTGTAACATGGCTCTACAATGAAGTCAGCCATTGAGTTTGTTACCTAGAAAACAAATGAATGGGTGACCAAGGGATCCAAGCTTTGCTATACGGACCAGAGAGGTATAGTCGTTTCACATCGCGGAACTGGCGCGTTGAAAGATAGCTGCAGATCACACATCACCATCGCCATCATCAAGAATCAGGATCAGGAACAATATGAAAGGTTTCGTCATTCACGTGAACTAAAAAACCCGAAAAGCTATGCACTCACAAAGCGCAGGAAGTCTGATTTCGCATGCTAAGGTTTTCCAGTTTTCCTAGGCGTTCCGCCTTTACGAGAGAGTCAAGCGAATTATTGTCCACGTAGAGCGTGCGGAGGTTTGGGAATGGAGCAACGTTCAGGCGCTTGAGTCGGTTGCTACTCGCTCGTAGGATGCGCAGCCTCGGCATTAAGCCACCAGAATCAATATTATCCACTGTATTATTGTCTTCAAAGACCTGTGCTCGCTATCCAGGGCATACGATATGGAGTTAAAATTACGCACCGATATTCAGCGCAATTAATGCAGGTAGGCTTGATGCCAAGTTCAGGACCTTGCATATATGGTTCCCGCTCAGGTTTAGCATCTCCAAACGTGGCCTGCAAACATTGTTGGTCACCAGGGCAGCGATAAATAGGAGGCTCAGAAAGATTATTCATACCATCGGAACTTGCCAAAATCCGCGTCTCGTATTTGGTTGCCTTGCAAACTGAGTTTCGTCAGCCCATCTAATTTCTGAAGGCCGTCCATGCTGGCGATAGCATTGCCATCAGCTCGTAGCTCCCTCAAGTGCCGAAGACACTGTAATTCTGGAGGCTTATCAGCCACGTTTTTGATACGGTCCTCCGCACCCACGTGTTAAGGAATCTATGTCATTATGACTTATGTCGAGACTTTCGATATTCTGCAAGTGACTAAATGAAGTGACACCTGTCAGTCTTCAGAGATATGATGTCAGTGATATAAACCTCAATATCATAGAAAGCTTACAAGTTGTGAGAGACAGAAAGCGTCCGCACGGAATTGGGAATGCCGCTCAGCCATGACAGCTGGTTATAATTTCTGGTCGCAGGTTGTCAACAGCTGTCGCATTTACTTCCGCAGATGTCGTCGGACTCACAATACAAGAGAATCCAGCTTCGGTAGGAATTCCTTCAGCCGACTCACCCCATCCAACGACTTACGGGAAAGATCAATAGTGTGCAATTCTTCCCAGTATGGCTCAAAAGGCTGTACATCCGTGATCACCTGCACCAGTCGGTCGTGCGCCAATCCAAAGGAGCACTCAGTCAAGAAAGTAGCGTTCGTCTTCTGATCTTTTCCACTTAAACGACTCTTCTGCGACATTGAGAAAACTCGACGCGTTGATCCGCTGCAATCGCCAGCGGCCATCTGGCTATTCGGCCGCACAGCAAAAGGCTGAAGTTCTTCGGTCGGCGGACGGCCCGAATTCGACGATTTGGTCGGGGAGACGTTATCAAAGCCTGCCATACTGATGATCAATACCGCCGTAAACTCTGACCCCAACAAGTAAACAAACTTACCAGGACTTTCTAGGTTCTGCATCATCTCCGCTATGCGCCTGGACCTTGCCGAGGGTATGAATAGCCCCTGTGCGGGGTCCTGCTCTGAGGCGCTCGTACCAAGACTAGCAACGTCGTCATCACTCTCGTGGCCTTTCGGGTTCAGACCCCGAATGGGCCCATCTCTTTTTCCATCAGAAAAGCTTACGGAACGGCGGTGGCCAAGACGTTGAGCTGGGGTACGGTGCCGCTCGCGGTTCGGGTCCTTCAATGCTGACATGGGGGTGACGCTGGTGCTCTTCAGTGCCGAGCGGGGCATTGGGGTAATGAGGGATGATGACCGGCAGTGTGGCGCAACCGGGGTAACCGCTACCAGGGAAGAAGTTGAAGCAGGTCCGAATAGGTGAAGGACCTTGCGGCTCAGGCGAGCATTCGTCTTCCGATTCGAAGACGGCAGCAGCGTGCTCGCCTTCACTTCCAAGGATAGCTCCATCCTGGTCGTCTGACTCAGAATCGCTTGTCTGCACTCCGTCGTCTTCTGAATCGTCCGATGGCACAATGCGAATAGCTGCGACCGATGGCCCGTCGAAGGAGAAGGACGTTAGGTCTACTTCTTCCTGATCATTCAACTCCACGTCCTCCTCGATACGACTCATTTCCACTTCATCCTGCTCTCCTCCAGGTTCAGGGACCTCCACTTCAACATCGACGCGCGCACTCCTATGTGTATCCCTGGAGTCATCTTCCTTCAGGCTCTCTATGTCTTTGAATGGATCCTCACTGTCTCCATCTGTACCTGTGCCACTTGTCTGATCGCGCTGGTCCTCGGCATCTGAGACCACACGCGAAGCTGCCCTCACCCACTTCATGAGGTCCTTGTCGTAGACCATGCGGCCAACCCTCTCTGGAAGAGCTGGTATATCCGACGGTGCGATGCTGGGTGATCTGAACCGGACCAGCATGTTTGACGAACGAGGGTGCACTGCTCGTGGTGGTTATGGTTCCAGAAGCTGTACTGGAGGATACCATCCTGTTAATATCTTCGTTGGAGCCAGAGCGAATCGAGGATGAGAGATACGAAGGAGGGATCTGTGCAGATAGATGCACAATAGATTCCTGGCTTGTCGAAGGAGTTATTCGAATGTGTGGGACGTTATCGAGGCCTACGGTGGGCGTAACAGACATCAATGCAACTGGCTCTTGCCAGGGTGCTTCGATCGACATATTGGACATTTCGTGCTCCAGGGTTCGGTCAGCATCCTCAATGATGGTATGGCGCGATGTTTTCCGGGGACTGCGGTAGCTCCTGGAGGAAGAGGACGTCCTTCGGGGAGACCCAAACTTATTGGCCTTCTTCTTGCCTGCATTGTCCTTAACTTCGGATACAGACCATGCGCTGCTGCATGAGCGTTCGATACGCGAGACCTCATCTGCGTGGGTGACATGGGATACGTCGGTGGCACCCGAGAAAAGACGCTTAGAACCTCGGATATCGTTTTTAATCTGCTCCATCAACGTCGCTGCTTGATAACGGTATGCCAAAGAGGAATGGTTGCTGGGAGCAGTTACGGCTGTCGATGAACTTGTGGTAGCTGCACTGCGATCGTCAGCGACACGGAGGAAAGAGGTACCAGTTCCTGTGCTAATATTCACAATTAATCCGCGCATGTGCCAATGTGTGCATACCTGGTGACTTTGATTGCGTGTTAAGAGCCTCGGCTCTATTATCTGCTGGACTTGAGGGGGACTGCGAACCTGCCGCAGTAGATATCGTTGAGAAATCGCGTGCGGCCTTGATTTGTTGCATGAGGGAACGAGACTCGCCGACATAATCCACCCTCGAACTTGAAACCATTGGCCTCGCAATGGTAGCACCCGCGCCATCGCCTTCACCATAATGGCTTGGAGGGCTGAGTTTCACCCGTTTAATGCTGCGAATAGGTGTGTCATCTGAGACGGTGGCCTCTTGTATGTTCACCAATGCTAAGCGTGGAATGCTCCTGGAAGAACCATTGCCTTCTGTGCTTTCACCAGAAGGCGCTATTGAATCAACCATCGCCGATAGGTGATCACGCGTGAATGTGTCGTATTGAAGCTGAAAAAGACGTAGGCGTGGGTCTGTCATGGGAGGTCGTGCGATGCTGTAAACACCTGGCGTGCTTTCTGCCTGGGGAACACTACCATTGGTGTGGGGAACAGCAAAAGTAAATCTGCATTCCATGCTAGAGGCTGGCGGAGCCAGTGAATTGAGGGAGGGTACCGCCGTGGGCTGGCCTGGTAGCTCGAGGTCTACCTGTGAGTCATTTGGCGTGTATGTCTGACATAGGCGAGAGGGAACCGTCGGAGCAGATTGGAGTGTAAGTGCAGTTGACTTCGAAGGAGGTGGTGAAGGTGGCTCGAACATTTTCTCGAGTGCTAGTGGACTGAAGAAGTCTTTGATGATGCCCCTCTTGGGTTGTCGGCCGGGAGTTTTTGGCAAGAGAGATGGAGCTATATCCTCGCGGATCAGAAACGTACCAACTGGTTCGGATGCTGGTGGAAGTGGCTCAGTTTCCTCTTGAGCTTGACTTGGGGTTCGCAAGTAACCGGGTAACGGAGTTGTTAGAGAGATGGACTGTGTGCCCATGGAAGAGGCTTCATCTTCATCTATCCATTCTTCGTCGAGGTCGTCTGTCATCCATGCTGGACGGTCGTCTGCCATGGCATTAAAAAAGTAAGAGCGTTAGTTGCAGCGTTGAAACTTGCCAGACTCTTAGCCGAGTTTCACGCTGTGCAACCGCGGCGTGTTTTTACCACGTGACCGTTCTCATTGTTGTTGGTCCAAGTGGCCCTTCATTTGGCCTTGTTTGCATTCTCTTCAGGAGCTCTTGCCCAGAGGGGATAAGTACTAGAAGTACCTAGCATAGGGTTATTGGATCATATTCGTCGTAATTATTTATCTATGCCTTTACGAACTTGAACTTTGTGCATCATTCTTTGGCTCCAGTTCCATCAAGGGCTATCAAGGGTTGCCAAGAATCGCAGTCGAACGTACATGATAGCCCAATTCCCCTCTTTGTCCTTCATGTCAACCTCGCACATATCTATAACCTCATCTATTATGGCAGCGGCCTCCTCATCACTGAATTCCTTCAGGAACGTTCGGCGCGCAAAAAGCTGCAACCATCCGTGTAGGCCACCGTTCCGCAGCGGCGTCAGCCTTGGGACCAAACTAATGGCATTGACACGGAAACCTGCGCTTTGCAATAGCTAAACAATGATGAAGAAATTAAGTGCGACGTTGACAGCCCTTCTAACACATGCCGCACCCCTTGATATTCTGCAATTGACGGAAAGTACCATGGATCCATTTTATCGGGCTCGTAACCGCGCTTTTTGACAGCCCGGTGAAGACCGAATCGGACGCCTGCATTAGTCGTCATTAAACAGGTACCTACCCAAGAGTGTAGACTTACCGGTACAATTCATGAATCCACCCATCTCACATACAAACCGCCCGCCATCTTTAAGCAGCCGCTTTGCTCCATTCAGAACTCCGCGTGGATGTTCCTTACACCAATGTAGTGCGGCATTACTGAAGACGGCATCGAAGGAGTTCTCCTCGAACAAATGTGCAGGTATCCGAAGATCTTGAAGGTCAGACACGAATGCGTGTTTTACGCCATTCGTCAAAGCTTTAGAAACCTGTCAAAGACACCGCTTAAGTTTAAACTCACTTCATATCAAACCCCTGTGATCTTACCATGTCGTTGTTATAGTCAATACCAACTGTCAACCCAGTCGCACCAACAGCTTCTTGGATCTGCAAGGTCAATTCTCCGGTCCCGCATCCGAAGTCAACGATTCGTTCGCCGACAGAAGGTTTCAGGGCCGATAATACGGGCGCAGTGTACTCAGCAGAATATACAAATGATGCTGTTTGGTTGTAGTCCGATGCGGAGTAGTCCGAGTTTGACATAGGGTCTTGGGAAGACATGCCTTCGACCAGCTGCAGAACTACAAGGGTGAAGAGTTCTTTATTGAACAGACCTGAATTCATGTTCGTGCTATGTATGTACTCAGGGAGTTTCGGCATTACACCGATCGGCCGAATTGTCCAAGGACAGGTAAGTAATAGTTACCTACACAGATACGTGACGCGGTCTGTACACACCTTTTTCAGACGTCAGACCACTACCTTAGGCTAGATAGTAGCATTCGCTTAGTAATCAGATATTAGAGTGGTGGATCGACCAGTGAGACTCTGAAGGAGAACTCTACCAGCTTCTCTACATGATCACATGGCATAGTTCTGAAACGCCGATCATGCAAGGCGGTACGTAGCGCTCGAATCGGCGATCAGTGCATTCGTAGTTTTTCTGACTTGTCTCTGATTGATGTGTTTAATGATTTTCCATCACGATAAATATTGAGAATGTCTATAAACCAAAAGAAGTGAATTACAATCGGGTAGGCAATCGTACACACCGTACATTGTCGCAATACGGCACCGCGGGGTCGGGGACTAGAGAAACACGTCGACGTCGTTGTTCATGTGAGTGACGAACACGCTTATTTCATATTTGGGTCGTTTGTGATAGATATGTAGCTCGGACTCGGGCCGAAAGCGGCACACAAATGTTGAACCACTATCGGTCATTGGCTCGAGTCAGCCAAGCATACGCTCATGCTTCGCCCGGGGCATTCGCCGTGTGGAGATTGACACGTCGAGAAGTCTTCGCGACAGAATTATCAATATTTAATGAGCTATGGCGATGGTATCTTCGTAGGATAGAACCAAGAATTGTGGCGGATCCTGAAGGCTGCAGGCGATCCTTTGAATACCGGTTGGTTGAATATTGAGTTTCGGACTGCTCCGCGGTAGTACGTAAGTATTAGAAGTAGAAGAATTTTGGTGTGGCTGAGTTTATATTTGACAGTACATAGTACCACAATATTTACTTCGGCTTTGGCTTCGCGGTTCATTAACGTTCATTAATGAATTTACCATTCATTCATACCAAGTACCATCCAGTCGCGACACGAAATCTGCACCGTCGAAGTTGGTATAAGTAATTGTTACTCTTTCCGCGGACATTTTTATTGTGTGTCACGACTGCGGGAATTGGCTGCAAGATAAGTACTATGGTCGGGTTATCTTGTATCCCAAACCTTTTCTGATGTACATAAACTTTTTTTTGGTCGATCTTCAGTGCGGCGCCTTCAGGGACCGAGTCAACGTAGGTTTCCGGCGCACGGTATCGTGATACCGGAGCCGAGAGATTGGCCATCCTCAGGAGTCAGCGCGTAGAAACTTCCTACGTCCACCGAGTAATATTATAATTTAGACCCCCCCCAATTGAGGTGTTTCTCTCTGCCTAGTTGTGGCGACCACACAGATAGTCTCGTATGTCCATTCAGTCTATATTTTAATACTCGTCGGCTCTGCAGGAAAAATGGCTGACTGCCGATGAACGTATCAGATCGTATCGCAGGTACCGAGAATCCATTGATTCTAGTGCTCTCACCTTACTTTCACTTCCCACCGTCGCAACCTACAGTTTCAACCAATCCTTTTATGTCTACCGCCAACGTAAGTAAGCGTGCAGGGGTTTGCAGAAACCCACACTCTGCCCCATACAGGCCCACTATGATCTTGTTCCATTGCTCACCGGCATGATGCACCAAACTCGTCCATAGGACTTCTGTAGTCACCGTATACCCGTGTCGGTGCCGTTAATATTTCATCAAGCATTACCTCATTCATCATGAGCGCATACAACAATACTTGCATCTTCTGCGACCGCATTGGCGTCCCAATGTCCAACGGAAACTTCACATCGCGTTTGAGTAGGCTATGAGTGTGGGGATTACCGATCTTCCTTGTGTGGCGTATCTATCAAGACTCCCGTTTACTACACAGTGGAGTCAGCCAGATCATATATGGTACAGTAACATTACAATTCAGTCGTTGGAAATACGTAGTGATATAATATGCTACCCTACGGAAGGAAGAATATTGACACCAATGTCCTTATCGTCCATCATGATAGCCTTCAAACAACAGTGGGAGCGGCTTGGGACGTGGGACCAGCTTGTGCATCAGGTCCGGCCGCGCCACTACTAGTGGTTGCGGTATTGCCCGGAGTGGAAGCCGTACCTGACTGTTGGTCGACCATACGACGAGCTTCCTCATGAATGTCGAGAACTTGCTTGGAAGTAGTAGTGTAAAACTCGAGGACAGACTTTCCAAAGGGAGACGAGATCGCCTTTGAGTAGTACTGCAATCGCGTGCGTTATGATCATTCAATAAACAACGTTGATTTACTAACCTCGTGGGCAGCCTTGGAATAACCTTTCTGTTCGTCAATGGTCATTGCCCTGGTATGCGCACCCTTGAGCGTCGAATGCACTTTCCCGGATACCGTTTGGTCAGGACCGAGAGCTTTCTGGCCAACTGATTTGTCGAGGCCGTGCATATAGTCTATGAACCGTTTGGAGATCCCATGCTTGTCTGACAAGAAGGACGCGTGAGCCGAGGTTAAACTTGGTACACGAATCAACTAACGGTCAACTTCGATGGCTCGCTGCAAGATGTGGTCGGAGAGCTTGTAGCCTTTTGCCAGATACTCAGCGGCAACTATGACTAGATGTCAATATTATGCCATAACGAATGGGCCGTACGTACTTCCAGCTCTAGGCTTGTCCGATTGTTCGAAAGGGGCGCTAGAGTGGTGCGATCCCTCCTGATGATTGTGGTTTTTCACGTCTGAGGTGATGTGGAGTTGTTCACCATCTAGAGTACCGCCTTTGAGCTGAAGATGAGGTGATGGTTAATCGGGTTTTGAATTTACAATGCGCAGTCCTACCATGAGCGCTGTGCCGACAGACGAAGGTTTCTCAAAGGTAACGACTGCGGATTGTTTCGAATCCCCCTCGGATTTGAGATCAATTGACTGGATGCTGGATTAATGTCAACCACGAGATCAGGGCGATGGATTCACGCGACACTCACCTGCCGCAGAAACTGAAAGCACAATAAACTTAGGAGATGTTAACAGTAATCATTAATGTGTTGTTATTACCTGAAGAATTCATGGAGCTTCTCCTGGGTGGTGTTTGAGGAGATGTTTGAGATCTGAAAAGCTGAAGTCAGTGAAAGAGAATACAGATGCTACTGATACAGTATACCGTGACTGCAGACATGGTTGATGTTGACGTTGTACGTGGTTAGAGATAAACTCGGATGAGTCGCTCGCAGCCAAGTCGCAGCTGATTATGGGCTCCTGGGATGACATCACTGACTTACAGTGTGTGAATCTGAATACTATATTTGGCGACGACTCCCCGAAAAGGTCAGGACACCAATAGCGGTACTACCATACAAGTGACAAGAAACGCTCACGTTTAACCATCTGTAAAGTTATTTGAGATCAAGATGGCAGACATGGACGTTGATACTCCTGCGCCTTCCAAGAAGGAAGCAAAGGATGACGGGAAGCAACGATTCGAAGTAAAGAAGGTACGAACTTGTCTGTCTTGCACTCTCGTTCCCACCATTGATAGTTCCTCAGTGGAATGCAGTATCTCTTTGGGCATGGGGTACGCTGGCTGTTCCAGAAATCGGTTGAAGTCTCAATAATATCTATAGATATCGTCGTCGACAACTGCGCTATCTGCAGAAATCATATCATGGATCTCTGTGCGTCTACTTTTCTACATCTCATCCCAACGTCACTCAATGCACGCTATCATGTAGGCATTGACTGTCAAGCAAATCAGGTATCGGCATCTACAGACGAATGTAATGCTGCATGGGGTATATGCAATGTGAGTCTATCTCTACTCGATGACTCCTTTAGATCTTAACACCGCCACTCCTTTCGTAGCACGCATTCCATTTCCACTGTATCTCACGTTGGCTCAAAACGCGCAATGTATGTCCGCTTGATAATCGTGAATGGGAGCTCCAGAAGTGCGTTTTTGTCTTCTTTGTGGTCCACTTGTGCTCATAGTTCGAATGCGATAGATATGGGCGGTGATTGTGGCATGCGCAGCCCTTTTACACCCACGCCTTGTTTCATTACTGTAAGACGTCGCTATCCACTGTGTATCTTATCATAGGAGTACGATTCGCGATTGCACCAATCTTTTGGCTGAGCAATCGTCCGTGGTTGAAGGTCTGCAGGACAATGACTTGAATCGGTTAGACGCCCTCTAGTGTTCTCGTCATCATGCCTCCGACAGTCCAGGCAGCAAGTGAACCATCGAGAAGATAGGTATATTGCAAAATGGTACTCATGGTACCCTCATTTCGCACAGCTTCACCACCTTGAAATATAACTTCAGTCTGCCCTTTAGTCGTAGTCGAATAGGTAAGCCCTCACTAATGGTTGCAGATACATAGAGCGGATGAGTCCGCGCAGGCACCGGAGTGCACCACGTGCTTACATATTTACAAGTACAAGGGGCAGCGCTAGCTGTGTTTTGCACTTGTATTTGTCCCTAAAGAATGCAGCATGAGCCATGTTTCCGATTTAACAAACCTGCTATCGAATGCCGAGTGACTTTGAAGCGATTGACATGTGCCAAAGGAGCTTCGTGCTCATATATTGTAGATAAGCAGGGCAAGATTCAGCATACAGCGTCTGGAAAGGCGGTTGCAAGTCATGCCACTAACAAACACTGCATACGGGTTTGAGGATGGACAAGGTTCAAAGACACATGCGGAATGGAAGGGTAGTCCAGGCAGGCCTTTGTGTTATTCTTTTGGGCTATGTGAACGCCGCACAAGTCACCGTAGGCAACACATATTAATGCAATTGGATCGGAAAGCTACAATTGTGTGTACAATAAAACAGACGCTGCCCGACACTTAATTTCAATCTACCCAGAAGTTGCCGACGGAATTGTCAAGATGTTCGTTGCCGATTTAGTGAAGATGGTTTATCTTCGAATTTCAAAAGATCATATAGTGACTGAATTTGATCGCCCTGTGGAGCAGTTAGCTATGTTGGATGTTAGACTGAGTTTGATGTACAACCTTGCGCTCGATCAGATCAATAATGTCTCGAAGATGATCGGCGACAATGCGCCGCCTCGCTGCTTGTGCCATCGAGTCCATGGCCTTGTACTCGTCAGCTAGCTCGCTATAGATCCTGTGCAGAATAAATGAGTGGATGAACGATAGATGACACGGTAAATCGCAGACCCTTTGTGATGTGTGAATTCCTCTTCGAGTTCTCGCAATACTCTGGCGAGCACAGTCTGTGGTGGTAATCTGTCGCCCTGGAAGATGGCTTCGTAGGAATCAATCCCTTCGGCTTCAAAGGCATTGGCTCGGTGCTGAAGAGGATCGTCTTTGACTTGTTCGTCGGAGCCCTGGGCGCATCCCTGACTTTGGCGTCTGTTCTTGGGGTTTGCATGGCTCGTAGTACGTGCTGAACGGTGATTACACCGAGTGCATGTCCCAGAGTTGTGTTTCGGCGCGGAGAAGAATAAGTTCTCGAGGCGACCTGAACGGATACGAGGGAAAGGAGCGGCTTCATCATCCTTCACAGTCTTCCCCCGAGTGGCGGGCCGCCTCCCATCTTCGGATTCAGTGAGCCGAGCGTGTGTCATGTCACCTGGACGCGAGCCATGTCGGGATGACAGGGAAGGACTTCCACAAGAGGATCCCTCAGACTGCTGTTCTTCAAGGTCTTCCGATATATGCGGCAAAGGGGCAGCTTCATCATCGCCCGAAGGCTCCCTTCGAGTGGGGTGACGCCTGCCGTTGTCGGAGTCAGTGAGCCGAGTCATGTCACCTGGATGCGAGTGCGAGCTACGTCGTGACGACACGGAAGGGCTTCCACAAGAAGATGACCGTTCAGATCTTCGTTCCTCTAGATCTTCTGATATCCGCGTGAGCTCGTCCACGTCAATAAACCTTCTCGTTGACTGAAAACTAGCGCGTGTGTTCACCGGGTCCGGGTCCTGATGCGATTGGTTTAGCTCCTGATTCGACTGGTCCGGCACAGAAACCTCGTCTTCCTCTTCCACAAGTTGTGATTGCTGCTCCCTCGCCATTCTTCTCTCATTAAGGCCCTCTTCTACCACATTCCTGAGTACCTCAATTTCACCAGCAAGCCTCTCAACCTCGAGCCGAAGGGCACCGATTTCATCTGTTTTCTGGGCAAGCATCTTGACATCGTCCTCCCTGAACCTCTTAAGGTCCTCCAGGAGCTGCTGCTGCACTGTCAAGTCTGCAGTGACGCGGGTGAGATGCAAGCGGAGAGTAGATATCAAGGACTCGAGCGCTATACAAGCTGGTCAAATGAGATTCATCGAATTTTTTTTGTAGCAAACCTTTCTTTTCTTCCACAACCTCGAAATACTTTGACTGCTCTTCCTCTCTCTCTCGTTGATCCTCTTTGCCTCTCTTCCAGGATGGCTCGCCTGCATCTTGTTCCATGATTCTCGAGCGTTCACGAGCAACATCACGTTTACACTGTTGGAGCTCATGTTCGAGTTCCCGAACACGGCGGCGAGCGATGCCGTTCTCCGTTTCGAGATGAGCTAGTTTTGCATGAAGGGCATTGAGGGATGCTATGAGACGGGCTGTACAGGAGTTTAGTCCACTGAGGAAAATATAAATGAAATACTAACATTCAACCTCTTTCGATGAACTGGCGGTCTTGATGCCATAACGTTCAAGGTTGGCCTTCGCGGGAGAGACAACGGCACTCGTGAGGCCAGTTAGGTCTGGGAGATTTACTCGTCCTCTACTCGCTTTCCTAAATGATCGATTTGTTTGGGAGATCTCTACATTAACATCAACGGCACTGTGATCTGCGACGTCATGAAGGGGTTGTTTCAGTGCGTCGTGGTGCTTCGTCGAGACGCGACGAGAACCCGCAGGCGCCACACGAGGGGTAGTAGTAGTAGTAGTCTGTGATTGGTTCTGGAATAGTGCAGCGTCCTCGGCCTGGGCATCATGCACATCCTTTGCGAGGCCCCTCGCCATACGTGTAAACTTGGAGCTAGATGCGGATGGTGTGGGCGGCTGGATATTCACCTGCGGCTGAGATACAGTGCCGCCGCACGGGCGTCGCATCCACGTCAAAAGATACGGAATGAGATATCTTGCGTGCTTTCGGAGTTGTTGCTTTTCGGGAATAGGATGGAATGTATTTAGGGATCCTGTGGATCGTGTGCATATGAACGGCTACGGGAGGGAGACTGTTGCGCCGCGGCACGACTTTGTAAATTGCGTGGCCGTCGGGGAGAGAAACCAACACGCTGCAAGTTGTCGGAGAGCTTGCGGCGGGAGATGTTCAACGAGTGGTCTGCCTCTGACTCGGCTGACTCAAGGTCAAGAGGTGGAGAACGAAGTCTTGCTGCAAGTGCCGCAGGGTGTGAAACCTGAGATAGATCGTACTCGGCTGATGCATCGAGGGGCCCACGAGAGCAGGGCTGAACAGCATGTTAGTTCATGTGTCAGAAAGAGCCCGATGAACCACACCGTCTGTCTGGACTTGGAGATGGACTGAGGCTCCAAGATGCTGATGCGACTGTCCAGACCAGCAATCATGTCTTGCAGCGGGCGTTCTGGGTCGTACTCCGCACCACTGAGACTGACTTCTCTCCGTTGGCCACGACCGCCGAGACCCGCGCCGATTGTGACAGCGCTAGCATGGTGGCCAATTGTGGAGACCGTCTCACCGGCATAAGGATTAACGCCCTCGTCTTCATGCAAGGACCATGCATGCAAGCCACTGGGGGCATCGTAGTCAAAGTGCTGACTGGGTTGTTCGAATGATGCAAAGCCTAGGGAATGGTTAGAATTGTGCCTCGGGTATTCGACGCTTTCGTCGTCCCCTTGAGAAGACGAAAGATGGAGGGATAAATCCGTGTTTTGAATCTGCTGTTCGAGCTGAATGCGATACTGTTCAAGCTCGTCACCAGGAATAGAGAATTCAAAGGTGGTTGATGAACGTCGCGCCATCAGTTACGCAGCGCAAGTTATATAGAAATAAAAGACAAAAATGCAATAAAAGATGAAAAGCTATATGAAGGAAGAGATTGAAGAAAGTCGCAGCCCAATTCAATGAGACTCGGACACGGTCCACAAAAAAACAACACGGACGCGCCAGTCACGTGAGCGAGCACACAACTCGGCCTGTCATGCTCTGCCATACAGTTTTCTAGTAATACCCGATGGAGACACAGACCCATAAGCCTCATCGGCCAGCCCAGTCTGGCTCAAAGGCTGAAAAAAAAGGCAAGGGAAAGCAAAAAACGGGTTTCAATGAAAAGGTGCTAGGTGCGAACCACTTTCTAGCATTTCCTTGTTAACTCTCTGTTAGGCATTTGCACCAAAATCTGGTCGACGTGCTGATCGTCAGGCCCGGCGAAATGTCGAGCGTGATGAAGCTCGTCTTCATGTTCCTCTTGTAAACCGAACACCTGATGACGAACCCCCGCCCGTCATCATCGCAATCGTTGGCCCTGCAGGTGTAGGCAAGACCACTCTACTCAAAAGTCTCGTAAGGAGATACTCGAAGCAGACATTGTCCGAGGCCAAGGGTCCAATCACCGTGGTAGCTGCTAAGAAAAGGAGACTCACATTTATCGAGTGTAATAGCGACCTCAATTCTATGATCGACATCGGCAAGGTTGCGGATCTCGTTCTCCTGATGATTGACGGCTCCTATGGCTTTGAAATGGTGCGCTTGTTTTAACCTGAAATTTATGTACCCTAACTATCTTTGACCTATGACAGGAAACCTTTGAATTCCTTAATATCCTCCAGGCTCATGGGTTTCCAAAAGTCATCGGTATCCTCAGTCATCTCGACCTCATTAAAAAACAAGCCACCCTCAGGGCTACCAAAAAGTTGCTCAAAAAACGCTTCTGGAATGAGATATACCAAGGCGCAAAGCTTTTCTATCTCTCTGGTGTTCTCAATGGTCGCTATCCGGACACTGAGATCCTCAATCTTTCCCGTTTCATCAGCGTCATGAAGTTCCGGCCTCTGATCTTCAGAAACACTCACCCATATCTCCTTGCGGACAGAATAGAAGACTTGACGCCGCGCGAGGAAGTGAGAACATCAAAAGGCCGTTGCGATCGCATTGTAACGCTGTATGGTTATCTGCGGGGAACGAATCTGCGGCAAAGCACCAAGGTGCATATTCCTGGTGTAGGCGATATGGACATCAAAACCGTGACGATGCTCGGCGACCCTTGTCCCTTGCCAGACGCAGATTCCGAGAAGCGGAGAAAGTTGAGCGAAAAGAAGAAACTCCTTGTGCATGCACCCATGAGCGATGTTGGTGGCGTTATGTACGACAAGGACGCTGTGTGGATCAATGTTCCCGGTAACTTTACAAGAGGGGCCACTGATGGTGAGCATATTGTTTTGCATAATTACATCTTATTGACTATCGTGAGTAGTTCCCCAGGGTGAGGGTGAGAGAATGGTCATCGACCTACAAGACGTCGACGAGACGCTTGAAGACACGGTTGCCCGGAGCAAAATCCGCCTTTTTGGGTCTTCGTCGAACCCACTGACTGTCGATGTCCAACATTATGACGGAGAAAGCAGCGGCGACTCTGATGATGATGATGAGGACGCTTCAGAGGGCGGCAGTGAGTTTGAGGAGGGAGAGGAGGTATTCTCAGAAGATGAACAGGACGACGAAGGGAGTGACGAAGAGGACGAGCGGCCTCGCGTGGACCCTTCAAAAGGAGATACGGGCCGTCACGCAGCACGCACGATCGTGCGCTCGACCCATGGTTTTCCCAGCAAGGAGAAAGACTCGGGAGATATTGCTTTTGCTGATTCTGACTCCGAGCTTGGGTTGTCTGATGATGAAGGACCTGTCAGAGCAGGTGAAGTCATGTATGCCGCTGATGAAAAGGAGATTCCAAGCGATGTCGACGAAGAGTCCAACGGAGAAGACGAGGATGACGCGCCAGCGTGGAAATCTGGACTTGCTGCGAAAGCAACCGCTGCCTTCAATGAGCTCAACCGTCGGAAACAGCGTAAAGACTGGATGGCAATGATTTATTCCAGTTCGCTCAGTCCGGAAGAGATTGTTGGTGGCACCGACACAACTGGGGTTGAATCGGACGAAATAGATGACGACTTCTTCCGGGTGAACTCCTCTGGTGCGGCGAACGAAGATGACTTGGACATGACAAAAGAGGTGCTATCTCCTGCTGCGTTGAGGGAGTGGGAGGATGAGGAAGTCCTGGATTCTCTAAGGACGCTGTTTATCACAGGCGATCATGACAGCGGTGAGGCAGACCAGGACACGAACGTCCACGAAAACTTGGAAGGCAGTAACTTCGTTGATCAAGAAGCTGGGAAAGCTCAGTCTGCTCCCGCTGAGTTCGAGGGCATTGACACTGAGACTCGTGCCCTCGTCGCAGGCTACCGGCCTGGATCATATGTGCGCATAGAACTCGCTTCAGTCCCTTGCGAATTCATTGAACATTTCGACCCACGCTACCCTATCATCGTCGGTGGACTGTTAGCTGCAGAAGAGCGCATGGGGTACCTTCAAGTCCGCATCAAGCGCCACCGCTGGTTCGCACGCACGTTGAAGACGAACGACCCTCTTATCTTTTCCCTTGGCTGGAGGCGCTTCCAGAGTGTCCCCATATATTCACTCGACGACCATTCCATCAGGATGCGCATGTTGAAATATACGCCAGAGCACATGCATTGCTTCGCGTCGTTCTATGGCCCAGTTGCGCTCCCGAACACAGGTTTTTGTGCATTCAATGCGCTGTCAGGTGAGAGTGTTGCATTCAGAGTAAGCGCAACTGGCGTAGTCCTGGACATCGACCGGTCGACAAAAATCGTAAAGAAGTTGAAGCTTACGGGCGTGCCATTCAAAATTTTCAAGAATACAGCATTCATCAGGGACATGTTTACTAGCGCTCTGGAGGTGGCAAAGTTTGAGGGTGCAAGCATCCGAACGGTGTCTGGCATCAGGGGTCAGGTGAAGAAAGCGCTGAACAAGCCAGAGGGTGCCTTCCGTGCGACATTTGAGGACAAAGTGCTGATGAGCGGTAAGTGGACTCCGACTTAGACAGGATTCACTCTGAATTACGAATCCTAGATATCGTCTTCCTAAGAGCATGGTATTCGATACAGCCTCGCAGATTCTACAACCCTGTCACGTCCCTCCTTCTGTCCGACAAGTCACGCTGGTCTGGCATGCGCTTAACAGGTCAGATCCGACGAGATGAAGGACTGAAAACCCCGCTGGCTGTCAACTCCACCTACAAGCCGATAGACCGCCCTGCCCGACGATTCAACACGCTCAAAGTCCCGAAGAAGCTGCAAGCTACACTTCCGTACGCCTCAAAACCCAAACTTATGAAGCCTCAGAGCAAGCAAACCTACATGCAAAAGCGCGCTGTCGTACTAGAGCCTGAGGAGAAGAAAGCAATTGCACTACTTCAACAGATCAGGGCACTACGTAAAGATCAAGTAGCACGGCGTCGCGAAAAGCAACAAGAACGCAAAGAGACGCATCGCAAGAAGGTTGCGAAGGACGAGGCGAAAGACACAGAAAAGGAGAAGGAGAAGAAGAAGGTGTATATGAGAGCTGCAGGGATGAAGAGCAAGAGGGAAGCCGATATAGAGGAAGGGAGATCAAGGAAACGAAGAAAGACTAGTAGTAGTACTTGATATCTAAGCGATGTGCTTAAAGTAGTGATTACGTCATGATACACTATTTGAGCGCGTTTGACGCGCTGTGACCGTGACCGGAATCACGTCACAAGCGAAGTCCAGTCTTCCGAAAGGCCACTGGCACGAGGCTGTTCTGCTCCTGTTCGCGGTTGCCTTTTAATCAGCTCGTTCATCATGAACGGCCATCATTGGCAGCAGCAGCAGGCTGGTCACGGTACCCGCAGCCAACTCTCGCCAGACCCTATAGCACATGGTCATGCCCCCAACTCGACCTATGAAGCTCACAGGCTCTTTGCCGCGTACCCGACAGCTTCTGCGACGCCCTCAACGCACGGTCAGAATTTTATACGCGTTAACATGCTAATTCTTCTGACAATTTATCTAGTGGCAAGACACATGAACAATTTATCTGTGTCTACACCTAACCCCACCTACTTGCAACCATCCTATCTCGACTATAACTCTGGGTCGCAATACCAGCCAGCTCCAGCACCTCCCCCGTTCTCAGAGTACTCTCATGAACTTTCCTACCTTTCAGCATCTTCAATGCCCACAGGTGATTCGCGTTACTGGCACAATGCAAGGGACGAATCTGTGAGGTTACTGTCGCAAGGCGGCTCGTACGTTTCAATGCTGAATCGGTGTGATAACTCAATAGCTAAGTCTGCGTACACAGATTTGCTTCTTCTCAGTTCGCATCTCCGTGGCTGCAATCTCAGCCTCAGTCAATCTATCATCCCCTTCCGTTTGCTCATTCGTTAATTCAACGCATGAACCCACCTGCCGCCTACCCCACCCCACCTCCGCCTGGCATTCGAAGCACGTCATCCTCTCTCGCATTTGCATTAGGACATCCGCTGACGTATCCTAACCAACCGAAACCATCAAACTGAACCCGTTCATAAGCGCAAAGAGCCTGTTGCGGCATTTAATGACTTCATTGCTCAGAAAAATCGAAGCATAGAAACGAAACCAGTTGAACATGATGTCAAAGGAGAGGAGCCACCACGTTCTAACCAACCTCCGTCTCAGGTGACCCCTCGGTCCCTGCAATCCAACTCTCCTTCAGTCGTACAGCCAGCTATTCCATCGCCGCCAATTCATGTTCCCCCAAGCACCCATGCATCCCAACAGCTCACTCCGCGCTCTACTGCTCGCCTTCATCGCCTTCCCGTCCTGTCGACACCCGGAGAAAACACCGTGACTCCCAAGAAGCGAAAATATGCTGGTGAAGACAAAGGTTCTCCACTGAAGCGTGTACACACTCTATCGGTAGAACCTCAGGAAGAGTCGAATATGCAATCTCGTTCCTTACAAAGTAGTACACCCTCATCCAGAGTTACGCCACGCCAGGTGATGGCATATGTAGAGGTCCCTCCTCTACCAAGCGTATGGAGGACTCCTTCCAAGAAGCAGTCTCTGCCAACTTCCATGTCAACTCCTCCGGATAACATCGATGCGTCAGGATCTGACGAAGAGGACGACGCCCGGTACAAGCTTGGCATTCACGCTAGCGTGAAGATGTCTGCGCGTCGTACAGGTGATAGAGATGAACGGGGTAGGAAATCTGCAATGGTGTTTCGTCGATCACTGATGTTCCCTTCAGCACCTTTGGAAAAACTCTCTGCGCTCATTGAGGACATATTCGAAGCTGAAGACTCATTGGCCGTGGACATCGACATTGCAGAGCTTCCGAAAGATTTTTTTTCTGTTCTCACCACAGATTGCTCCCATCCTCACTTGCAACCCAACGTGATCAGGAAACTGACGAAATATCTTAGTCAGCTTGCTCGACCTACAAAACGATCTAGGCGGTCTGCCCGAGATAGCATAGACACCCCGAAAGCGAGGAAGGCTCTAGGCGACATAGATAACGCTATCCTTGCAAGACTTCTGAAAATTCTGGAGCGCAGCATTAAAGCCGGGGAAGCTCTCGATCCCTTGCATGCCTCCACACATGTTCCTCACGCGGATAAAAATACTTCTCCACGGAAACCGAAGAAGAGTCCAAGGGCGCAAAAAGTGGCTCACCAAGATCGGAATTTCACGGGATCTACTTCACTGAACGTTCCAGAGGAAGATACACGCGAGCTAGAGTCAGAGAGTACTGATGTGCCTCAAGAACTGACAGAATCCCATCTCCACGACTTATCAAGGCAACTAGAAGTTGCGCGCGATAGTATCCTCGCTGTGGAATGTTGCGTTGCGTTATTAAGCGGAGAAGGCTTGACTAAACAGGTTTGCCTTTCTGGTCAATATTGAGATTGATCTGACTCGGACAATCTCTCCTTCCTCACCACCTTCGCACCACAGCTTTACTCCGAGGAGCTCATAACGTCTTGTCTGAGCACTGTCAAGAACCAGCTAACGATAATTCTATACCCATTCGTCGAGGCCGCAGGTGTCGGTGGATTGTCATCACTACAACTCCAATGCATACACAGCAACACTCATCCAGATTCTGGTGATCTTCGACGATTGCTCAGCGAACTTTTCCAGGCGGTCTCAGCTGTACTCCCTCGCATCAACGTGTTGTTCTCTGGTGAAAATATTGTGATGTCAGATGCAATCATTATTCAGACCGTGTATATCGCAATTGGGCCGTTCTTTGTGGTGGAATCAGGCGAAGGAGATGTCAAGGGCAAGAAAGATAATGTTGTATTGAATACACTTGGCAACAGCGCGATGAGAGGTCTTCGGTTGGATGCACTCTCAGTCATTCGAAGTGTACGCCGATCTTCCGTGTTTGAATTTACCACTCATTGTTCGTCTAGATCTTTGCCAAACACGAGGAACAGCGATCCTGGATCATAGAAGAAATTCTGTCGTCGCTCATTAAGTTGTCTAACAGTCATAAGAAAGCTGGGCAATTCCGGTCGGTGAAGTCTTGTAGATGTTGAGCGCAAGCAACATTGACGTGCCGTGTTCAGCTTACGCGACGGTCGTTCCATTCGAACAGTCTCCGCACTTCTATTCCAGCTCGTACAAACGTCTGCCCATGATGTCCGTGTTGCCGCGCGCAAGATTGCCAAACGTCGCCAGAGTCGCCAAGCTCTTCGTCGACAAGACAGCATGGCCAATGAGAGGTCGAGTGAGCCTATGATGGATGAGTTGGACGCGGAGGTCAGTGTTGGTGTTGGCTATATCTCATACCTAACCGCCTCTGCAGGAAATGCAGCTTTATATCACGGGGCTCGAGTCCGCGATGAATGCTGCAAAGACGATAGTCGTGTATTTGACACAAAGGTGAGCAAAGTGCCGTTGGCACCAGTATTGTTAAAATTGTTTTGCTAGATCTGGAAAAGGGAAATTGACCAAGAATTCCAACGAGGCCGAATACCGAACCATTTTTGACAACCTTATTTCTGACCTTCTTGTCGTTCTGTACTGGCCCGAATGGCCGGCTGCGAGTCTCTTACTCAGCATTGTTTGTAAATTCATGGTGAGTTTTTAGCCCTTGGCTGTGAATCCTTCTTCAATTTGTCGCAGGTATCTTCTCTAGATGACGTGAAGACGAGCACCCAAACGGACACAAATGCTGCAAAAAGCATTGCACTCGATCACCTCGGTGTCATTGCCGCACGCATACGCTCAAGCTCTTTGAAGGTAAAAGCTCGCGACCATGACAAGCACGGTCTCCACTCTCTTGATGAGGTTTGTATTTGATCCGAGTCTGGTTGTCAGCAATCATTTGCTCATACCCCACAGGTTATCTCTTCCGGCGATGTTAAACACTTGGATACGCTCATATCGCGACACCAGTCAATATTCTCGCATCTTTATAAAAAATCTTCTGAAGACCAGGCGTATGACGTGAGTGACCTCGGTCTCACAGTTGCATTCCTGCTGAAATGCAAAAGAGTGCCAATGATCTGACAGCAGCTACTTGGGGCCAAGAGTTAGCAGTGGCACTCATGCAGCTCAGCAATTCAGAGCAGCAGGAGGGCAAGGGTCTACATCCCAAGCTTTACGCCAAGCTGAAGTCTGCCCTCAGGGAGGTTTGGAAGGATATGTCAAATGATGTTTTTGATGTCGGGTAAGCTTTTACGATACTTCTGAGTCGCTCGACTTACCACACTCTCGTAGCTCGCAGGAGGAAGTAAATAGGGTTGATTGTTATGCTGAAGAGGTTGGGACTATCCAGACCCTAAGAAATTCCTTCGGACCAATCCTTAATATCGTCTTGCTTGCACTTGATGCGCCTGCTGTTTTCATGCGCACAAAGGCATTACGAGCACTCGGGCAAATCGTGAACAGTGACTCCAGCATCCTAGCAGCAGTACGTGAACAGTTCGTTGAATCAGCACTTACTGACAACCCACCAGCCAAATGTCCGTCGCGCGATCGAGAGTCATCTGCTCGATAGTTCCCCAGCTGTGCGTGATGCCGCTGTAGAACTGATTGGGAAATACATGATAGAGTCACCGGAGGTTGTCGGGGACTATTACGCGAAAATTGCCGACCGCATCGCAGTAAGAGCATATCATTAGTTGGAGAACCCCTTTCGCTAACTCTTTCAGGATACGGGACTTGGAGTTCGGAAACGTGTGATCAAACTCCTCAAGCAATATTACGCTGGCACAGAGGATATTTGTCGCCGCATAGATATCGCGACAAAGTTAGTCCTTCGTATGCTAGACGAGGATGATACAGTGAAGGATTTGGCTATCAAGACGGTTGAGGAACTATGGTTCCAGGCTGCATCGCAGAGTGGGGTTCCTAAAACCCGGTCAGTGCCGCCATCTGGTCCCGGTCAAGACAAGGGTCCGCTTCTCTCCAAGGTCTCGGTTATCATGGGCGTGTCTGCCAATTTTAAGGATAGGCAATCACCCCTGGAGGATATGCTGCATAAAATAATATCCAGCCAAGAAGCTGCTAGTGCATCCTATTTGCGAGGTAATTACTCTGAAATCTGCGAAGTCCTCATCGATGGATTGGTAGATGCCTCGGACTTGCCGGGATTCGTACGTGCAGTGCTTTATTGTAACGACATTGTTGACATCTTGTGTTGGCAGACCGTACACAACTGCGTCAGGACTATATATCTATTCACTACAGCATACCCTTCTGTCCTCTCGGGAGCGAACGCCTCTACTCTGCTCCCGTATCTGAAGAACCCCTCCTCGGTAAGAACCCACCGTCGCAAACACACTAAAGTCTAATATTTGCACCAGTCCGAAGAGCTTGTTGTTTCCGATTATCTGTTGAAGATCTTTCGTATATCAATACCTCACATGCCCAAGACTGCAGTAAAGTTTGGCCAGGAACTACAGCTTGTCTTGCAGCCGATGATTGTTAAACCATCACACATCGGCGGAGTCGTGGTAAGTTGCCTCATGATTTGATACCGTCTATTGACCCATTGTGACTATAGAGCCTGCAAGAAAGTGTAGCTTGCATGTGCGGAGCAGTGCAGCATCTCACGCATGATTTCAATCGACTGGTAGCTCTAGTCAAGTCTTGCAATGGTACGAGGACATTTTTCACAGACAGATTCTTGCTCACATACGCACTAGCTCGATTGCAGCAGGCCATCGCTCGCCCAACCTCTTACCAAATGACGGCAGTCGAAAATAGAACATTATCCATTCTTATATTTATTGTCGCTTTACTCGGTGAACACTGTGACTTTGATCGCCTCCGCGATGAGCATCTAGGTAAACCTGCCGCACCTGTCTGCAAATCCAGTAGTTGATGCATTGATTCAAGACTTCGTCTCAGATTTGAATTCGGTGTCTTCAGTAACATTCTTTAGTTTAGTTATTTGACTTCCGAACTTATTGTACATATTTCCAGGGACCTATCGTGGAGCACATTTACAAGAGTTTACTGGAGTTATACGAGAAGTACGACGACAACGGTCTCAAGGGACGCATTCTTCAGTGTCTTGGTAAGCCCCGTCACAGTCCCTGGTTCGTGGAATTCTCAACTCCATGAAGGTTTCTTGTTCCGTGCACAACCAACACTAATGACGCTTGGGCGGTCCGCTTCTATCATGGATGACATCTTTCATTCCTCTGATCTCGAAAGCCGAGGGCGACTTCTACGGATCATGCACGACTTCTTAGTGTCCGAATCTATGAAGCAGCACGAGGAGCAGAAGGGTGAGATACATGTCTCGTGCCCTTGCGCTATACTTATCGTCTGCAGGAGGGACCAAAGGCAAGCAGGGAGATGTGGTAGATATGGCGGAATTGGTAGGGAACACAGATGGTTTTGCTGACTCCGGGTGGGTCCAACAGTCGACTTCGCAAGGATCTGCTAATAAGGGTACAGTGTCAGCTTCAGCCGTTGTTCAACGATACATATCTTCCATTCTGGATGCCGCCCTGTCTCAAAATTCTCAGATCCAGAATGTTGCTGTTGACATTCTCAGCTTCACCATCAAACAGGGTCTTGCCCATCCTCTGCAAGTAAGTGGTTCGGTCTTCTTCCGATTTTCCATTAAACCTAGTTTTTGGTAGTCCTTCCCTGTCATTGTCGCATTGGAAACTAGTCCAAATGCCGCCATCAGCACACGAGCCAATGCTCTACACGCGATACTCTGGAGTAAACACGCGTCTTTGTTGAATGCTAGATATATCATTAGTGCAAGACAGTCGTTCGACTACCAGAAAAAGATCTCCGTGGACGCCGTCAAAGGTTTGACATCGTAATCTACTAAGAAATATTCTGAACTCTAGTGTAGGCTATCGAACGCAACCAGAACCGACGGCACTGCTCCAGAGGTGGTATTCTCTTGTACGGGAGAAAAGAGCATCTCGTCAAGACTTCCTGAGGGCTTTGTTGAAGTCTTTTGATATCAATCCTTCTTTGAGATCATCACAGGTAATGTACTACTTTATGTTGCATGATGATGCTCACGAGACATCAGGATGATGTTGACTTCGCAAGATACATGGCAGAGAACTTTGCCTCTCTTGACTACAGAACACAAGAGGAAGTCATCACTGTTATCAAACACTTGACTTCCGTCTTATCAACCGCTGGCATGCAAGTGATCGACCTTCTCTCGCCTTCTCACCTCCTAGCGCAGCTCCACGATACTCAACCCCCCGATAATGCACCTCACCAGTTATCACCTTCAGGCTTTCCTACACATTCAATTGATCAGGAAATCCTAAATCCCCCACCTGCCTCTGCCCCTCTTGAAATGCCTCATATTGACGTTGCTGTCATGAGAAGCTCAATAACCATTGGGATCGTCATGCTTCTCAAAGCCCATCTTAAATCTCTTTACGGGCTTTCAGAAGAGTGGGTCTTTTGGGTGCAGGTTTTTCCATCCTACTAACCTTTGCTTTGCTCTCAGGAAATGCTCCAAATTCGTGCTCGGCAAGAAGAGCGCTATCGGTGACAAACCTGCTATCAAACGTCATCAACTTCCAATTACGTGGACACGTCTCCCTTATGCCACCACTTCTCTCATCCAGGCGCACGACCTGACGGCTCACAGGCTGACAGTGAGTCTTCTTCCCCTTCATCCTCTCGTAAGGCTGACAGTTGTCTAGTTTATTGAAGTTTGGAATGAGGATGGTGTCACTGCAGAACCTGAAGATGACGATGTATAGATGTATATTCCCTGCACGCAGATTTTTTTCCACTCACTGTCGACTTATCTTATATATCATCGTACACAAGTTGCACATCCCCACTTGTAATGTAGCATACAACGTCAGAAGACCTTTAATTACTGATGATATCTCGTGAAGACGTCAGGGCTTTACGATGGAACCGTCTACAAAGAGTACTGGGCCCTTGGGCATATCACCAATAGTTTCTTTAATTGCGTCATCTAGGTCTGGGTCATCTTCAAATTTCCATGGCAGCTGTCCACCATAGGACTGCGGAATATCCTTCTCATCAATTAGCGATCTCAATGTAGGACCTGGATTCTTGCCCAAGATATGAATTTTGCTGCGAGTACCTTCGTCGAACCAGGTCTGCGGGACAGGTCGGCATATAAGTATACTAACATATATATTTGTAGATGAAAACCCAGACCTTGATCCAATTCCATATTGTGGGAAAGAAAGATGGCGAATTCACGATGGCGATTGTATGGAGGGTCTCTGGATAATTCGCCGTAGCCATTGTAGAAGCTACCTGAAGATGGCTTCGTAGAGACCACATAGCAGATAAGGTTACCTGCTCCAAATCGATTATAGTAGTCACTGATGATATCGATGTTGGTGCAGAAAGATGGGAGCACAACGGCAGCACAAAGAGCGTCATTGCCTCGTAAAGCGCAACGCTACGTACAAGCTATGGCTTCAGCTGCGTGTGTCGCGATTCAAATGTATACTGACATTCGCTGGTATCGGCGCTCAGCAGAAACAGACTCAAGTTCCTTCCGGAGCGGGGTATCCAAGGATGCCAGACGGTATACATAGACCGGCAGGCCAGTCTGTGGAACAGAATGTTATCATCGGATTGTCGATGTCCAAAGTAGATTCCATCTGACCTTGTCACGACGACCTGTCCATCGAGGGTAGAACCTCCTGGATGATTCCATCTCGTTAGTCTCAAAGGTACGAAACAGCTCGTCGACGTTATGTTGTTTGCGCCAGGTTTCTGTGTCTGAGAACTGTTTTTGTGCTTTGTCTATGTCATACCGCCGAGCTCGTAGGAAACGCCTGAGACACGAAGCCTAAATCGCACTCAATGACACGGTGTATCAGAGTGGAACGTACAGCAGAGTTGTGTCATCATGAGATGCAGGTGTGTCGTCGGAGGGAGGCTGGTATAATCCCGCGTTATGAAGCTTTGACTTGAACGCTTCAAGTGATTGTCCTCGATCGTCGCTCACGGGTATAGCTGCCACAAGTTGCTCAGGGGTACTATGAGATATGTCTGACATCTTGTGCCCTAGAGCTGAATCGACAGGTGAAAGAAGACTGACGTGAGAGCGCTACATATACCGGCGGGGATTCGAATTGGATCTAAGATAACCGAACGGGTAGTTTCTGAACTACACATAAGTAGCTCCCCATCCAATATTCAATCCCCGTCATCACAAAGCCGCATGATATACCAAACGCATGTACGACGTTGCATCCTACGCGAGAAATCAAGTGCTATCGAGCTTTCCACACGTCTCCCAAAGCCTTTTTAGAAGTGTTTTCTCGTCCTTGTTCATGAATAGCATGATCGTGCCGAAGCGCTGGACTTTTGACAGCGATACCAGATATTCACGCACATCAGCCGGAGCCGCGATGTGTTGATCTATGACTCGTTCAAAATGCTGAAGCATTGATGAGAGCAAAACTGGCTCCAGCGACGCCTGGAACATCTTGGGAAGGGACACTGGTGGTATTCCCTGAAACAAAGCAGTTTAGAAATGTGGTAAGAAGAGGGTTGAATCACATACAGAAAGAATGTTCCAACGATCTTCGTCTTTCATGTGTGACTCCCACATCTTTGTGAAGTTGAAGAGAGTCACGGAAGCTTTCGGGACAGTACCATTAACCGTGGCTGAATGCGAAGTCGTCGCTGGGGCTGCGCCAGGCATTTTTTCGTCCCTAGCGAATAGTGTATGATCGCCAGATGATCGGAATATCCCCCCACCAACGCGTGAGGATTTTTCAGTGTCTCGTAACTGCTTTGCGTCTTTGAAGGTTTGCGTTCTTGTTGAAGTAGTTCGCCTCGGTAGAGGTTGGGTAGTGCTCTGATTTGGTTTGACGCCTGATGAGCTAGGTTCGTCACTCCGAGGTAGCGCTCGTGAAGAAACCGGCTGCAGAAACCCATTGTCCCCAAGTTCTTTGGGCTGCGTTTCCACATCTTCGGCTGCATCATGACGATGTAATACTTTAGAACCGTCCTCAACGATCTCTATTGGAACACGCCTCCGCCTTATCGCTGGAGCAGGCACTGACGGTACGGTTATTGGACGAGAAGGGCTCTGTGGATCAACGGTTGCTTCAACAATCACGACACTGTAATGTTTGAAGTACCTACTGTACTGTCACGCTTCTGCTGCTGCTGCTGTCGAATTAACCTATCGACTTCTAAAAGTTCCTGCTTCACAGATTGATTTGACGGCTCTAGTTCGGATGCTCTGACGAAATCTATATGATGGTTATTGAATCATTTCTGCGTAGATAATGTTGTACTCCCCTTCACGAGCTCTACTCAAGTAACCTAGACCCGTTCGAGCCTGACCTCTTCGAAATAAAGCTTTGGCATTGTTAGGGCTCAGCTTCAGAACAGTTGTGCAATCTCGTTCTGCATCCTCGTTCCTACAAACCCAGAAGTTGGTTATCGATGGTAGACATCAGCGACAGATAACAGAGTAAACGTACTTGCCTAGTTTCAAGTACGCTGCTGCGCGGTTGAGAGGAAACGTCGGGTCCTTAGCATCTGCAAGAATCGCAGATGTATAATGGCCGATCGCGGCTGGGTAATCACCCGACTTGAAGGCTGTATTGCCCTGCAACGTGGAAGCTGTAAGATGATGACGCCTGAATCGAGCATGTTGACGACACTCACCTCATCTTTCGCTATCTTTGCTTTATTTGATGCCATGGAATTTTGCGTCAAAAGTGCTGCTGGTGAAAGTTTATTGGTTGAACGAAAGCGCCACGAGAAATCCAATCGCAAAACGTTATATATCAATGTCATGATGCTACATAAACGATAAATCATATCCCCAAACATTACACTGGATCACCCGAGCTCGATATCATCCTCAGAAAGCTTAAGTAGGCTTGCACACGACCAAGCGCTTACAAAGTACTTGTTGAAGACGAGGCATGTACGTACCTTCGTTATTTTCGTAAGGACAATGCCTTCCATTATGTTGTCTGAGCATGTGCACCACAGCTTCCATTCCGCTTGTATACATTACTTGCTTCTTGGAGTGCTTGAAGAGCGCGTCTAGACTGCCGCTCAAGCACCTCTTATAATGGTCGATGCGGTTGTTGTACCCCATCGTACGTTTACCCCATCATGTCCCTGTCGACTTATCCTGACCTTCCACGCTACGAACAAGCATCCGTCAGCCGTCCCATCCGCTCAGCTGCACCACCTCCTCGCTTGCTTCACTCCCTTGGACATGAAAACAAATCTGTCCTCAGTTTAATGGCAAATGCCGACCATATCTTTACTGGTGGACAATGTCAAGATATCGGAGTATGTGCTAGCCATTAACAATAACGTACCTGCTCTCATAGGCTATGTTATCCAAGGTCTGGGACAAACACACATTTACACTCAAGACCTCCCTTCGTGGTCATACTGGAAGTATACTAGCGCTTGAGATTGCAGAAGAGAAAGGCTGGCTGTTCAGTGCTTCAGGTAGGTCGGCTCGTATTATCATTTGCCGTCTTCTTAGGTCCATGGCTAGGTGACAGTACTGTCAGAGTATGTCTATCCCCCTCGGTAGATCGGCTTCTGCTGATGGAAGTTAGGTTTGGTCTACAGTGACTTTGCGACCAGTTTGCATTTTGAATCCTTATCTTGAAACCGGAGCAGGCGATCTTTTTTCTCTCGTCTGGAACCCAGTAATGCAGGCCATCTACATTGGTTGTCAGAACACTTCACTTCAATGGCAAGGGTTTTCCAAGTTTCAGCTCGGTCGGCATACCCACGAGCAAATCGACTCAGGCACATCAACTCCCTCTCGCAAAGTTCACAAATTCTTCGATAGTTATCCGCAATACACCCATCGCCCCGCGGATCTTCAAGCCAACAACTTCAGTCTGTCTCCCTCAATCAGTCAGGATGCAATCGCAGAAACCATATCCTTGATAAACATCCCAGCAACAAATGTCATCGATTCTGCTCATTTCGGCTACATATATTGCATGGCTCTTGTGCCTTCGACAAGGGAAGGCGCGGGGGAAATCGCGCAAAAGCCGGCCAATAACTGTTATCTCGTCACTGGAAGTGGTGATGAAACCGTCAAGGTTAGTCTCGTATCAAGTCAAGATACACGTCATCTGACTTCGTACCGTTGACAGATTTGGCGCTGTATCCCATCTGGTCTCAACATGATGCACTCTTTCGATTGTCAGCATGGTGCTGTACTCTCTCTCGCTGCTTCCGGGGAGACAATCTACGCTGGATGTCAAGATGGACACGTGAAGGTGCTTGACGTAGAAACTCGGACCCTTGTCAGATCGATCATCGTTCAAGAAGTAGGCGCATCGATTTACGATTTAGTGCGAGAACCTCATATTTGAATACCAGAATGTCGATGTCCTTTCGCTATCGATCATGCAGTCTGATCTCTACACATGCTCTGCCAATGGTTATATTCACGTAGGCGTAGAATCACTTTTTTTTGCCGCCGCCTGAATCATCTTTGTACCCCTCAGAGATGGTCGTCTTCATTTGATTGCACAGCGTCGTGGCAAGCTCACGATGGTATTGTGCTCTCCTCTGTTATCTCATGTTCTTCCGATACCAAGTCGTATTGTCTCATTACTGGGGCTAACGATGGTTTCGTTAAGGTGTCGTGGTGTTTGTCAATAGCTTGTGAACACTTACCTGAAACCCCACAGGTTTGGGCGATCGTTCCAAAAGACGAGGACAATCTTTCTCAGATGCGTGAGGTCACGTTGATATCTGATTCGGATGCCACCCAAGGCATGTCGTGTTTCTGTCCACGCCCCTCGGACACTCACTTTTGTAGGAGATACAATGACCTATGCACTCTCCAAGTTCGTATCAATTCCGAGTGTAAGTAGCGACCCGAGCCATAGAGAAGATTGCCGTCAAGCCGCAATTTGGTTGAAGAAGTGCCTGAACCAGCTGGGTGCTCAGTCGGCTCTGGTGAATTTACTCGATTCGCCCCTACCCTTTTGTTCACATACAGCGCGTTAGCTACCTACGCATGAAGCCGGAAGTCCACTTGTTCTAGGGACTTTCTATGGAACTCAAGGCGAACATCCAAAGCCAAGAATACTATTTTACGGGTACTACAACTGTTTCGCAGGACTTATATCCCCTCATCATTTCAACAACAGGCACTACGACGTGATCTCAGCTCCGCCGGAAGGGTGGGGCACTGACCCATTCACTGTGTCGGGCCGTAATGGTTACCTTTATGGACGAGGGGTAACGGATGATAAAGGTCCTATCATGGCTGTAGCTTGCGCTGCTGCGGAACTCCTCCAAGACCGCGCTCTTGGCGTTGATCTTGTCTTCCTTATCGAGGGTGAGGAGGAGACTGGGAGTGCTGGGTTTGTTAATGCCATCAAAGAGCACAAAGTGGGATCCCGTCATGTTGCGCTCACATGCCCCCACACTCATTTCCATTCTTTTTCAGCACCTGATCGGGAACATAGATGTCATCTTACTCAGGTAAATTAGTGCCGATCATATCCTTTTCCCCTTATTCATCTGCGGTCAGCAACTCGACCTGGATTTCTGAGTATCCTCCTTGTATTACGTATGGTCTCCGCGGCGTTGTACAATCAACACTGGAGGTACTGGTTTTCACTATGGAGGCGACTCGAACTTACATATGTGCGGTGCAGATAGCAAGTGGTGTGCCGGACTTGCACTCTGGTGTCGAAGGAGGTGCCGCTCCGGAGCCAATGTTTGATATGTACGTCAACAACACCCCTCACAAATGGCTAGATCTAGACTCGCGTCCAACTCAGGATTCGCCTTCTTGCAACTCTGAGGGATGGAGATGGAAAGGTGGCCATACCGAGTTTTTGTTCGTTCACATCCAATCACGTCGATTTTTGTTTGGCCGGGCTGATGCGACATCTACAGACGACAGTGTTCGCACTCAGACCGAGGCCGAAAAGCAGCTGTATGACATTTTGTCCAAGGTAACTAAAAAGCCTGGCTCTGTGCTATCTTCGCGCTGGAGTGAGCCATCCTTGACTGTACATAACATAGACGTGTCTGGGCCAGGGAGTAAGTCGCATTCTACTCACACCTAAGCGTTACTCATTACGTCAAGACTCGACTGTAATACCGGGAAAGGTTACCGCAAAAGTGTCCCTACGCATAGTTCCAGACCAGGAGTTGGACAATGTCGCTCAGTCTTTGGTTGATCACCTCACAAGGACCTTCGACAAGTTCCGATCACCCAATCAGTTTTCTGTGCGTGCTTCATGCTTGATCATGATTCTGCAGCTCAAATTATCTCGTAGGTGAGCATTGACCGCAAAGCTGATTGGTGGCTCGGCAATTTGGATGGCCCCTGGTTCAAAGCACTCGAAACTGCTGTGCGCGACGAGTGGAACGTGGAACCATTACTCATCCGGGAGGGTGGCGTGAGTGATCTGCGTGGATCAGGCTTCCCATTACTCACTGTCTGTGGAGTCCATCCCATCAATTCCTTGTCTAGAGAAGGAATTTGGCTGCCCTGCACTTCACCTTCCACTGGGACAAAGCACCGTGCGTCCAGTCTTAACCATTTTCTCCCTTAACGCTGACAACCGGCAATAAAGGATCAAGCCCATTTGCCTAATGAGCGCATTTCTCTGGATAATTTATCTAGAGGAAAGGCGGTCATCAAGCGTTTCCTATCGATAGCTACAAACATTCACGCCCCGGCTGAGTAAACTACTTGGTCATGATATGTACATGTCTTGCGCTCCTCATCTTTCTTTCTGAAATGTTGTATGAGGCTTTTGTAGATAAGCGCTTGTTGACTGCAACCATACAGTGCGAAAGACTAGACATCGCCGACCTCGCCGTGCTAGGCGATATTTTGAATACATGTGGTTATATATTCACTACGTTCTGAAACTTGGTGAATGATGAAGGGCTTGGTATTTCAGGTGCTTCATCACTGAGTCACGAGTGCCTCAAGGGTACAACAGATAAAGGAAGGAAGATCTCGCCATCGGCCAAGCAACTAGAAATACATGAAGGCACGATTCAAGGAGACTAATCTTGACATAATATATGGGTTGTGTGGCGTCGGCCTACACTGAATCCGGTGCACCATGACTAGTAGGCAGCCCGATCATCTTGTGCAGCATTTCGACTGTGGCATCCACTGGCAGGATGTAGAACGACCCGCTGTTTGGAAACGGAGATAATTTTATCCGAGGATGTACCTCAATTGTCCGGAATTCGGAGCACCTTGATCATTACACCAGAACTGCATTAAGTAGGCAAATTCAAGTTGTAGATGGATAGACTTCGTGAACACATGACGGAGTCCCCAACTCCCACGTTAGTGGTAGCAGGACTTTATTTCCTATCACCCAGGGAAAGTATAAATTAGAGTATTTGTAGTATCGCGCATGTCGACGAAGAGTTTCCTGTATTGTCACTATACCCTTCGATAAGATTGGTGCATAGCCTTCGAAGAGAGGTAGCGAAATTCGAATAAACCTTGGCGAGTGTAGGGTTTGGTGATGACAAAATTGTGCGCAAAACAGAAGACACAAGATGTCGCTCATTAGCAAGAGTGTTACCCCCATGCCGCCGTCGTGCTGAAGCATACAGTTGTATCAACGCATCATGCACGCAACTATCGAGAAACTGACCTGTAATTGACTATCAGATGTCCTTCCGTAGCGAACGACTTCGACAGCGATCAGAAGATGTTCCTTGACAAGAGTGAGGCACGTTACCTTGTACAAATTAGACACTGTATCATCAGGAGCGGGAGAAAATGCGAGGTTGATATATGTGAACTAGAACGAGAGTTAGCTCAACAATAAAGACAGGCTATCAATCCTAACCAGTGGATCCCCAGCTTTCCAGCCCAACTCCTTCCTCAAAAACTGTATGACAGCCTGGAAACGGTTGGAGGCAGTAATCTTGTAGAAGTTCTGCCTCATGATCGGTGCGTTACCGACGGCCTTAAAGCGAACCACCACTGCATATTGGATGTGTTATGGATATAGGCGGGCTGATCAACACCAATGCTGACCTTTGGATGGATCCTTCTTCTTGTATGTATCCAATGCTTGGAGAGCTTCGGTTGCAGTCTCAGACACGTCGCCTGGTGTCCAGGGAAGGGCAGCTTGCCGACTAGAGTCATCTGGGCTGCCTGAAGCCATTACGATGTACGCGTGGGTAGTTTAGGATGTTCAAATAGTAGAGTTCCTTCCAACTTGAAAGCGTTAACCCCACACAAGGATGACTTTGTCTATCGACAGCGCCTCATATAGACAGACAATCTAGATTGCTTGCAGAAAGCTGTGCGAATTTTCCACCCTCTACAAGCTCTCCAAACGCAACATGTACTTAGGATAATTTGCCTCGACAGTCTTGAACTCAGGCCGGCTAGGTTCAAACCGTCGATGCGCACGATCGGGCCTTGCGTTCTCCGCGTAACACAACCCACAACATGGCGGGAGCACTGGCCGCAATAGACGGAACTTCTCGCTTGATATGTGTCTACCACTTGGTCTTAGTCTTCGCTGATGGGCCATAGCAAGCACCGACTGCGAATGGCGACAGCCGAGTTTTGTACGATCTCTATGGCGGAGCCTGCGACACTGTAAATCGTCTGGTGTGGTGTTTAAAGATTTTTTTCCGACTCATTCCTTTAAGTTTCAGGTGAATGGGTGTGCGTTCCCTTCTCCAAGTTGCGGCTCAGGACTCACGACCCTACTTAGCCCAGCTCGTGAAAGTTATGGGTAGCATGTCGGCTGGCCGAGGAACGAGGCCGAGCCGATTATATGCTCCCCGCGAGCTAGTCACGGTAGTGACATATGATAGATGGTTCACGATCCCTCAAGACATTGGACGCAGTTGTTATGCGAGACCGTGACGGCTTGGTATCTTCACAGGATATATTCCTCTCTGACTTACTCTAGAGCAGACAAAGCTAGTAATTCATCCACTCGAAACTCATCCAGACTCCATAGATGTTCTGATTCCACGACTTGAAAACTTCAGCTACAGAGATGATGGAATGTTGGTGTTACAGCTCATCTGTCGAGTGATACAAAAATCCAGCAGGTACCATATGAGTATCACTAAATCTAGTTTCGATGACTTGCGTTGCAAAGTAGCAGGATTGCTACGTTGTACCAGCGAGAGTGATATTCGGGACTCCGAGTCCTGCGAACGGTACTCAGCACTGGGCTAAAAATATGCCTGTTTTGCACCTGCTGACCTCTCCTTGTAAATGGTTTCTGGGACTTGCGTTATTTACAGCGCCATACCCGGGAGCCCGAGTGTGCCGTGGCAAATTCACGCAAGGAGACCAGGGCCGTGCTGGTCTGTGCAGTGTTCACGAGTAGCCAGCACTAGCTTCGAGGCAAACTCTAGCAGCCTTGACTCGCAAAGGAGTTCACAAGCCATCTTAGGCCCCTTCCATGACTCCTGCGGCAGACATGTTAAGCTCACAGCGCGCAGTGCGTTGGTATCCACCCTCTTATAATATTCGTGTCGAAACTCTTCCCATTCCTGAGTATATTGATCCTTCATTCAAAACGTGCCACATCACACTGACTCGTGTTTTTGTAAGGATCGAACAGCCAGACGATGCGATAATAAAGGTTCAGGTCCGCAGATGTGGTAGATCCCACATGTTCTTCAGTCTTGACGCACCTCGCAGCTTGCTGGGCTATGCGGCAGCGATTTACACATGTACCGTGGAACAGCGGGGCTCACAGAACCGTAAATAAATCTAATACTTATCAGTGTCTTCTAAACTAAAGAGACACTTTCCAGTTGCATCATGGGTCACGAGTTTATCGGTGAAGTTGTTGCTCTCGGCGCGAGCTTTCATTCTGGCTCTACCGGTCGACCGTCCTTGTACTCCACGCTTCGTGTCGGCGATAAAGTTGTCTCGCCATTTACCGTTTCTTGTGGGGAGTGCCAGTGCGTCACTTTCGTTTCACCGTCTCCAACCAGTATTCTCATGTGCTACAGTTTCTGCCGAGTGGGATTCACGTGCCGTTGCGCTGAGTCCCGTCTATTTGGCACTCCTATGACTCCAGGGGGACAAGCTCAATATGTCCGCGTTTGCAGGGCCGGAGGTACCTTGTACAGTTTGAAGGATATTCCTGATGGGTCTTTGCTCGCTGACTCCTCTTTGCTGTTGCTGTGCGATATCCTTCCAACTGGAGTTTTTGCCGCATTCCAGGCACTCAGTCACGCAAAAACTCTACCATTTATAACCAGACAACCTTACCCGCTTAGCACCAGTCTGTCGCAAGCGGGAGACGTTTCATTTCTACCCTTCTTGGAAGAGGACAAATCATTAACCATGGCGGTGATAGGGCTAGGCCCCGTGGGGGTGGTGAGTCCACTATATATGCCCAACGTCTTGCCACGATTTGATATGCTTGCCGTGCTCTTACTAGTGCACTTGTATCGCTCTCCTTGACATGCTGGTCACGCGGAAGCTGAAGTTCAATGTGATAGCCATTGACCCGAATGAAGCCAGGAGAGCAAAAATGGTGTCAATCTACTCTATCATCAGCGACAACCAACCATTTGGTGAATTTCAGGTAGCAGATACCAGCAATGTCAAAGACCTTGTCGCAAAATTGACCAAGGGAGTTGGTTGCAACGCTGTTATTGAAGTGAGCTCAATGCAACCTGTTTGTAGACCTTGACTCTAATTACCACTCGAAGGTTGTTGGTAACACCAGTGCGCTTCGACTAGCTTACGAGCTTGTACGGCCGTTTGGTTGTATCAATTCTGTCGGTGTTCACAGCGATCATGCTGTACCATATAAAGGCGTCGAACTTTATGACAAGAACGTGTCACTTGATTTTGGTCGGTGCCCAGTGCGTGCCATGTTCCCAATGGCACTGGAGCTGCTCCTGAAAAGGCAAGACGTACTGGGATCAGTGGGTGGGGAAACGAGTTTGGTGGAGAGAGTAGCAGGCTTTGATGACGCGGTGCAGATATATGATGATTTTGACAAAGGGAAATGCGGTAAGGATATTGTTTGATCCATGGAAGTAGTACATATGAGCCAAAAACTGTTCGTCTTGCCTTCACTCATTGCACAAGACAGAGCTGACGCCCGATGGCCTTCAGGTTATTGGAGATCAAAACGGCCCCTTGTCTACAAACACAAATTTTACATTCGGGATGATAGCAATAACGATTAACACGAGAAGCGAAGAAATATCCGACAACATATGGTAAAAGGACGGGTTGAGAACGCCAAGTCAAGTGGATCACTATTGAGCTTGGGCCTCCTGAACAAAAATAGTGATCAGTCCAGGTTGGAGAGTTAGAAGTTTAAAGACGAACCTGGTCAACAAATTCCATGGCCTCTTCTCGCTTGATACTCCTGATGGAACTGACCTTCTGGTTGTTGAAGAGCACACCATAGAACTTGTCTGCAGTAACCAACATTTCCGGCCTGAAGGTAGTTGTGATGAATTGAGCCGAATGCGAAAGAGATTTGATCATGTCTGGACAGGGATCAGCCTCGGTTTGTGGTGTAACACAGTGGACCTACTTGCAACAGCAGTTCGATATTGTGCGTCCAGGTTTGCGTCGATCTACGCGAAACAACATGACCCAACAGCATACCTAGTAAAATCGTTTCAACGCACCTCGTCGAATAAGTAGAAAGGAGCTGGATCACATTTCTGGATGGCGAAAACTGGAGAAAACGAAATTTTAACAAATAATATCTTTGGTAAAAATACAAATTACCAGTCGCGAGTGCGACGAGGGATTTTTGACCTCCTGACAGCTGTTGTATCCGAAGTCCCTCATCAACCTTGGAGTTGAAGGATACCTGCCGTACGATGAATATAACAGCACAGCCGTCACAAAGCGATATACCTTTATCGATATGCCAGTGTAGTTGTCGATGCTACTTTGCTGTGTGTCGTCTCCTTCGTCCATAGCGTCATCTTCATCCTGTAAGAAGTTTGAGATAAGCTATTACGCGCTTAAACAGCTTGTTTACTTGGTCTATCCGACGTTGGATGATCAAACGCCCACGACCAGCAGGAACTAGTTTGTCGAACACCTCCTCAAAGTTGCTGGCGACCTGTTTGAATGTTCGTTCGATGGCTTCATCTTTTCGCTGGTCCAGCACTTGTACGAGCTCCTCGATCGATGTGGCTGACTTATCTAGATCTTCCCTGCGCTGCAAGAGTTGGTCCCGCTGCTTTGTGAAAGAATTATATTGTTCGAAAGCTTTTTTGTTCACATGCGCGAACTTCTTCAGCCCTTCGTTGACAGTGTGTAGTTTCTTCACCAGCTACGTGGTTGGATTGTTAGCGCAGTTTGGAGATGAGCAGCTGATAAAACCATACTCGATCAAGCTTTTCGTTCGTATACTTCTCAAAGGCTTCTTCGGGGAGTACGCCGAGATCTCTGATATTGCGGTTGCACTCCTCCTTACGACCGACAAGCATCTGTTTCTTGGCCAAGTATCGCTCGGTGTTCTTTTGGAGTTTGTTGACGCTGCGACTGTCCTCAGATTGTTGATTCTGAGCCTTCTCCAAGTTGGATCGAAGCTCCTGGAGGTCAGCCGTCAATTTGTCGAAGTCCTTTTCTGCTTCTGTGGAAACGTGTTTGATTACGCGCCGACATAAAAATGGGGAAGAGCGAACCTTGTGCACGCTTTGTGGAAGTGGCTATAGAAGCGTCAAGGGACTTGAGTTCGCGCAATCGCGCATCCAGATTATCGGCAGATGACACCTCTCCATTCTCCAAGTCACCCAACGACTCCAATGTCACCTGCAACTCTTTCTCCTTCCGCCGGAGGCTTTCATTGAGTTCAATTTCCAAAAGGTTTTTGCGGCTATCAAGCTATGCGTGATATTAGCTTTGTGTTCCAGCATGCACCCTGATAGTGCACCCACTTCTGTTCTCGATTTGCTCAGCTCGAGCACTTGCTTGCGCCTCTGATCCACTTCTTGACCAAGAGTATCGATCAGATTGGCTTCATCATCTGTCAGTGTCCGCGTGAGAGGGCTCGCAAGCTCAGTGCGGTATCCCTGCAGCCTCTGTACAATGCCGCTGAGCTCTGTCTCCAATTCATCCGCCTCACTCTCCAGAGCCACAATGCGCTCGCTCAATCTCTCGCGTTCCCTTGAAAGCGATATCGAGTCCGAGAGGTGCACCTCGCGTGCTTCCCGAGCTTGAGCCTGCTGGACGCTAAGAACCTGGATCTTCCCTGTCACCTTTGTGATCTCCTGCTCGAGCGTCGTGATGGCAGCTTTAATCTCTTTGGCACGCTTATCCTCTGCGTCAAACTTGGAGCGCCATGTCGCGACATTCTTGATGGCCTCGATGCGCGAACGGCGCACGTCGTGGTAACCACCCGTAAGCGCACCCTTGCGATCAACCTTGTCACCGTCCAAAGTGATGGTGTTAACACCATGGCTCTTGACGTATGCAGCAGCAACTGTGAGGTCGCGGCATACCCAAGTCTTGCCGAATACCTGCTGGAACGCCTTAGCGTGCGAAGAATCATACGTGAGCTTCTCGAGGAGAGGGAGGGCGTCTTGATTTGGAGGAATATTGGACTGCTTTGGTTTGAGGCGGTTGAGAGGCATGAAGGTCACACGACCGGTTTTCTCTCGTAGCATGATGTCGAGGACCTTCTGTGCTGTTGCATCGGTATCGACGACGACGTGGAAGAGACTTGTGGGATGTGAGCATAAGTAAAGAACAATGTAAATGGAGGTGTGTACCTGTTTCCAGCGGTAAGTTCGATAGCAGTGCTAAATGTCGAGTCTGGTATCTCGAAAAGACGGTACAATGGGCCATACACGCCCTCCAGGTTGTGTCGCTCTCTAATCCTGTCAACGGCGCGGAGACCAGAGCCGGTGTCCTACAGCAATAAATGAAGATTCATCTATTGAATGGAGGTATATACTCACTTTGTCCATCATTCCCGCGAGATTACGCTCAGCGCCCCGCAGCTCGTCACTAGCATGGGCTAGTAACCCATCCAGCTTGGTGTCCTCACGCCATAACTCCTTCCTGCGCTCAGTAAGTTCGTTCTGCTGTTCTTTGAGTGCTGCAAGCTGCTCCCCAATATCTTTCACGCGTGTTCTACCGTCTTCCAAGCTCCCCTGAATGTCATCGACCCTCCGCTCCATTCCAGCAACATCCTGCTTTTTCTGGGCGACGTCCTTTCGGGTGGAGTCGAGGGCTGCAGTGCGAGTCCGTTGATAGGCCTCCATACTCGCGATCTCCTGCTTGAGGTACGTGTCGCGCTCCGCCTTTGTCCGGAAGCGGTTGACGCGGCCTTGCTTTGCAAAGAGTGCGTTAAGCTGAGTACGAGCTTCCTCCATCTTTCGCTTTTCTGCACTTTCTTTTGTGCGGGCTTGTTCCCACTGTGGAATCAAACCGCGAAGTTCGCGCTCCTTTCCCCGCGTTGCTTGCTGCACGGACGCAAGTTCTTGCTTGATAGCGCTGTCATCGCGCTCGCCTGTTGCACGGAGATCGGCGACGATGCATTCGAGTTCTGTACGAGCGCGGATGAATTCGTTGAGCTCTGAGTGTGCATCTTTGCGTGATATCTGGAGAGATTGAAGGGAGTGTTTTGCTTGCGAGATTTGTTGCTCTAGGCGCTATGACTGTGTAAGGGTGGAATGAATGGAACAAGGCATTCAACGAACCTGAATATCCTTCTCTCTGGTATCATACTGTTCCCTTCTCATGTTGGCACCGTGTACTTCGCCTCTCCTCTCTTCGTCAATCTCTTCCAAGGCCTCTCCAACCTCCTCCAACTCCCTCTGATACAGTGCATACTCAAGACACCGGCGTTCCTTGTCCTTGTCCTGAAACTCACGCAACTCTTCCTTCTCCTCTTCTAGCTCCGTGAGACGAGAATCGATGTAGTCAATGAGTTCGTTGATTTTTGTGCGCTTGGCGTCAGTTTCGGCCATGATACGGAGAGATTCGGCACGACGCTGTTCATAGACTTTGGTTCCGGCAACTTCTTTCAACAGGGCGAGACGTTCGTGGTCCTTCGCATTTGTAAGGGCGGTAATCTGGAGAATTCTGTTAGGAAAGCAAAAGAGAATAGGTGGCACGTACTCGTCCTTGCGGCACGATGTAATAAGGATTGGACTTTGAAAAACCAGCACTCTCGAGGAGATTCATGACGTCGGCTTTGCTAGCGCTTTTCTTGTCGAGACTGTATTCATCCTTCTTGAGACCGATGGTACGTCTTAGTATGACGTCTTCGCGACCAGTTGGAAAGCGGTTGTCTGAGTTGTCGAAAACGATCTCGACTGGTTGCAAGTATGAGAGAAAGGGTACTGGAAGATTATAGTTGGAAACGCACCGTATGCAGATAGTGTGGTTGTGACTGAAACACCTTCGTGCAGGAGGGCCTGACGCTCCTCTCTGGACATGGATGTATATGCATCGGACAATACAAAGCGAATGGCTAGGGGATAGGAGTGAGATTGGGAGATAGATTTCAGGGGTGATAGGTACCTGCAAAGAAGTTACTCTTTCCCGAGCCATTCCGACCTACGACGACATTATGGCGAGGAGAGAAGGGCTCTATCTGTGTTTGATCACGGTCTGGTAGAAAGAGCGTTGAATATGACCGGATGAAAGATGAACAAGCTTACAAGATTTGAATCCCTGAATTGTCAGGGTCTTGATATACATTGCAGCACGTACGCGTGCTGTATGCACCCGTTAGTCAAGGCGCGAGTGACGCGTTGCCTGTCACGTATCACCTGACTCAGTCACAGCCGTGACAAATATTACGGCGTCGATCGGCATTTTCCGATTGCAACTGTATAGTGGTTCGGGGATTGGCGATTATTCTGATCATCGGCCTCCTAGTGTTATTGACGACGGCGACAAACTTCAAACCCAAATGGCCCCAACAAACGTCAAGGCCAAGGCCGCCAAAAAGGCCGCCCTGCAGGGTGTGCACTCGCATTCATCGCGGAAGCAGCGGTACTCTGTGACCTTCCACCGCCCCAAGACCCTTCGCCTGCCCAGGAATCCCAAGTACCCCCGCAAATCCATTCCCCATGCACCAAGAATGGACCAGTTCCGTACCATCGTCTCGTGCGTTTTTAAGCTATATAACAGAAAGACTGTTCACTAATTTCTAATGACAGGCCACTTAATACGGAGTCAGCGATGAAGAAGATTGAGGAGCACAACACCCTCGTCTTTATTGTTGACATAAAGTCGAATAAGCGTCAAATCAAGGACGCCGTGAAGAAACTATATGACGTCCAGGCTGCTAAAATCAACACTCTGATTCGGTTCGTTTCCGTGCAATGAACGCAAGATTATAACCTGATATTCCATAGACCTGATGGAAAGAAGAAGGCATACGTGCGGCTCACGGCCGACCATGACGCATTGGACGTCGCAAACAAGGTGAATATTCACCGTCGATGTATCGTCGACGTTTTTATTAATTCTACTGACTGTAGATTGGATTCATCTAAGTCTGGTTTTGACGTTGCATTTTCTACTATTTCGTTGTGTATGCCTATAGTCTCTCATTCCACAATGCAAGATATATCATATGCGCCTAGGTTACTCCTAGTTGTGATGTTTTTGTTGCATAGTTACAAAAAAAACCCAACAAGATTCCAGTACACTAAAGATTGGATGGGGAAAACTAAAAGTGGAGATCATTTCGTTGTTACATACGTGTGATCACGATTGGGTCGAAACCTGCGCCTGTCGTGGTTTCTGTCTTGTTTATTCCCCTTCGAGATTTCTGGCTCTTTCAATTTTCCACCTCCTGCGACGCTGCCGGCGACGTCTTGTCAATACCCGCCAACTGGCTTCCAGGAATCAAGAACGTTCGTGCTTAGAAAACAAATTAGAACTTACTTTTGCTCTTTGAGAGCAAAAACGCACACTCATTCCATCGCCTAAACTATAGGCGGACCCTTGAAAGTCGCGCTGTCCCTGCTATCCAGCAAATATCCTATCATCTCTATGTATTCAGTTATCTATTTTCTCATCGCAATATCCTCTCTTTTTGTCCCCCAAGTCGATGCGCGACACTCGTCTTCATCTTATTCTCATGCAAGGCGATCTTTGGTATTGAAGCAAAGAGCACCCGATGATATTCTAGGAGGTCTTGGTGCGTCTTTTTTAATCTAGTTTGGATCGTGTTCTAACGTTCTCTCCAGGTAGTGTACTAGGTGGGCTTGGAAGCGGGCTAACGTCCTCTGCGCTCTCCAGTGCCGCAATCTCGTCTACAGGCGCTAGCACGTTTACTACGAGCTCCAGCACTTCAGTCTCCGCGCCGCCGACGAGTTCTCAATGTAACGGGCTCTTGGGGCTAGGTGTCGGATGTCCCCCTCCGTCTACCTCGTCATCATCTACCTCTTCCTCATCATCATCGTCGTCTACCTCGACTGCCACATCATCCAACTCCAACCCAGCATCCACCACAACGTCATCTTGTGATGGATTGCTTGGTCTTGGTTGCCCACCTCCTTCTTCGTCTCCCACTTCAAGTCAGCCAGCTTCAAGCGCACCTATAACTTCTTCTACCCCCAGTTCGGCTGCTTCTACCTCATCTTGCAATGGACTTCTTGGTCTCGGTCTTGGTTGCCCACTTCCCACCTCGTCATCTCCCGCTTCAAGCCAGCTAGTTTCGAGCGTGCTTGTATCTTCTGGTTCTCCTACCATTAGTTCGGCTGCTTCGACCACGACTCAGTGCAATGGGTTGCTGGGACTGGGGATTGGTTGCCCCGCTTCAAGTCAGCCAACTTCGAGCCAGCCAGCTTCGAGCGCGCTTGTATCTTCTGGTTCTCCTACCATTAGTTCGGCAGCTTCGACCACGACTCAATGTAGTGGGTTGCTGGGACTAGGGATTGGTTGCCCCGCTTCAAGCCAGCCAGCTTCGAGTCAGCCAGTTTCGAGCGCGCCTGTATCTTCTGGTTCTTTTACCATCAGTTCGGCAGCTTCCACCACGACTCAGTGCAGTGGGTTGCTGGGACTAGGGATTGGTTGCCCCGCTTCAAGCCAGCCAGCTTCGAGCCAGCCAGTTTCGAGCGCGCCTGTATCTTCTAGTTCTTTTACCATTAGTTCGGCAGCTTCCACCACGACTCAGTGCAGCGGGTTGTTGGGACTAGGGATTGGTTGTCCCGCTTCAAGCCAGCCAGCTTCGAGCCAGCCAGCTTCGAGCCAACCAGCTTCGAGCGCGCTTGTATCTTCTGGTTCTCCTACCATTAGTTCAGGCTGCTTCGACCACGACTCAGTGCAATGGGTTGCTGGGACTAGGGATTGGTTGCCCGGCTTCAAGCCAGCCAGCTTCGAGTGCGCCCTTAACTTCTGGCTCTCCTACCATTAGTTCGGCAGCTTCGACCACGAGTCAATGCAGTGGATTGCTGGGACTAGGGATCGGTTGCCCGATTACCTCTGTGTCGTCTCCCACGTCAAGCTCTTTCGCGACTACAAGTCAGTCGGATACTTCGAGCATGCCAGCACCCACGAGCACGAGCACAGGTTGTTCTGGGTTATTAGGTCTTGGAATTGGCTGTCCTGCATCAACTTCAACAAGCTCTGCAGCAACATATACCACTTCGGCATCATCGGACTCAACTTCATCGACGACCACTGACTGCAGCGGGCTCCTGGGTCTTGGAATTGGTTGCACTGCGCCCTCTACGTCGATGACGTCGACTCAAACGTGTGTTTCGGGCAGCTGTTCCTCTGATACTGCGTAAGTTCAAATCCTATCGTGCTTGAAACCGTTTGCTCACACTGCGTCGCAGAACTACTACCACGGCTGTCACGACTGGTTCTACCTCTGGTACCATGTAGGTTTGAATCTTATCGTGCTTGAGCCTGTTTCATCATACTGCGTCGTAGAACTGCTACCACTGCTGTCACAACTGATACAAGCTCCACCAACGGCACGTTCACAATGTCGGCTTCATCGACCATCATCAGCTTCCCAGGAAATAGCACGACCACGACCTCTACTGGCATTCTTAACGAGACATCCACGGTTTCATTGCCAAGTACCCATATGCCTACGACCACGAACTCCGACTACCAATACTTGTCCACGATTTCATCTCTGCTGGTTAATACCGCCACATCCACATCCACAGTCGTTCCAACTAATGTAAATCCTGATGTTCCAACGACGACGTTGTCGCTTGCATCCGCTGCGCCGACCAGTCAGCCATCTGCCGCACCTTTCCCGACATATCTCCCGCAGTTCATCGTGCCACAAACTGCGCTAAATACCCAAGATGTGCCAACCAGCGATGTCATGGTCAGCGTGCTGTTCAATCAGTCCCTTAACTGGGTGTGGGTTGCAACAAATTCAGATACCCCTGGACAAATATTCGAGTACTTCCCCCAGGTAATCGCGACAGCACTTGGAATTGATGGTACGTGCTCCCCAATATGGTATGCATGTATCCGTCCTGACAATATATTACAGTTTCTGTGGTACTAAACTACCAACTGATGGTCTACGAACCCTCGACGTACACGGGCCCTCAAGATGCTTCCCAGCTTGGTACCATCTGGGAGGGTTATATCCCTTCTAACCAGGTCTCCACACTCGCCTCGCTTATTTCCAATAAAAAGTCCTCGTTCTATACTGGACAAGAGGGCAGTATACCCACAGCGCTCGCCGAATGCGTCGATCCCACTCTCGATCTGTCGTCCATTTCAGGTCCCACTCCAGGCGGGAGTAGCTCCAGTAGTTCAAGTTCTTCTACAGTCCGCCAAGATGCGATCATCGGCGTCGTGACATCGCTCGGTGCCATCGCGCTCATCATTCTTGCTGTTGTCGTTTACCGGTACTACAAGCGCAGACAAGAGGTCGCCCATCGCCGTCTCTCTGAACCCGATGGTGGTGCCGCAGGAGTACGCCCCGAGGGTCAGGAATTTGACCGGGACAGCATCGGAGGACAACGTAGGCGGAGCTTTTACTACGCCGAAGATAGTTTGCGTGGATACCAAGGTGTCCGGCGTGATGACGAAGCCTACGACCGCCGTGTCACACCTGCCATGAGAGAGCGCCGTATCCTCAACCCTGGAGCTATTTCCGCACCTATCCTGCGAGAGAGCAGTATGAACTGGTGAAGAGGAAGCTTTCCCTCCAGTTACATAGGGTCCTGTGGTCACATCAGATACGCGATTTTGGATGTACGCTCGTTTTGAAGTTGTTTGTGTAGTTCTGGCTGCGGTGAGTTCGTGATGGTGCTCGTCCTTTTTTAAGCGCCTGCGATCTTTTTGATAACTAATTACTGCTCGTCACGGGCTGGCTTGCACCTTCTGAGGCAGTATACAGTATATGTTCTTTGTGTACTGTCTGGACATGCTTTTTGAGAATCATTTTTACTAATACCCGAGGTCAAGGTTTTTTGTTTTCTGAATAGCTGTTGTTGTCGATGTTGATGGATCTCGCTACTCCGTTGTGCGTGTCATGTTCTACACCAATGTTAGCACCAGTCTGTAAGCAACAGGTTCTCACTGGACCCGAAGAATCCGGTCGTTGCGATGCAGTATATGCTGTGCAACTACCTTCCTGATCAAGGAACTGTTGATGGGGGTCAATAATAATGCGTCATGCACATGTATGATCATCTCGCTCATGCATGCACATCATAAGGGCAATGCAACCTATTAAAATAGATGCGAACGCCTCAACTCTCCTTCATATTATCCGTTATTGATCTTTTCAGGCATTTACTTATCATGGAGAGTCCATCTTTGCGTCTTCCCGAAGTCTCCAAAGGACTCGGCGCACGGATGAGCGTAAGGGGGCTTCCTGCAATTCCTACAACCCCACCCAAGTCGGAATCTCCCTCTTCTTCAGCTGACTTTTGGATTCCTCATCTTTCCGGGGATGGTCAGGTATATCGTTTCGTAATTTCAGTGTTCAGTTTCAGATGACAGCCCTTTTTACATATAGATTTGCTACGTCAACACTGTCACCGGGCAGCTATCTCGTGATCTACCGAACGACACGGAGGATGAAACGTTTGATTATGAACTTGCAGGGTTGACTTCATCACAATTGAGCTCTCGTGCTGGTACCGGTGCTGGGCTCGGGTTTGCTTCCTCCGGTGATCTTGACACTTTATCTGTCGCAAATGATCCTCCTCAGTCACAATCGAATCAAGCGGAGCCCACGTCATCACATCATCACCTAGATAGTGCACCGCCGTCTCTGACAGCTTCCACAACGCCACTCTCGCCTTTTCTTCTTGCAGACCTTCCACCAAGTCGCGCTTGTTCCCAGACAGACTCTTTTGTATCTCCCTCGAATCGTCATTCATACCGTGTTTCCAGTGTCCTTTCCGGTTCACAGACTGATCAATTAATAAAGAGGAATCTTACTACGCGGGAGAGCTTATCTACCGGTCATCAGAAGTCGTTTTCCACGGATCACGACGCTCGTCACTTCCCATACGCCTACCGTCCGCCGGTCGTCAGAAAGGGCTCTCGGTTAAGGGAAGCTGGCACATTATCCATGCTTCCCCAAGTCCAGGAACTTTCGCCAGAAGACCCTTGTCAACTTCTGACTGCACCACCGTCTCTGGAGGAAGTGCTTTCTCCTCGTCCACCAGAGCTCATTTCTGAATTACTACATCGATCTCAACAAGCCATTCGCTCTGTCATCACGCATCTGCAGCAGTTTGGAATCCCTCGCGTTGCAGAGGACGAAGCAATCGTCGATAGCCTCATCAATGTCGCTATCACTTCAGTTCGTGATTTACTCTACGTCTCTGGCCCCTCTTTCGGACAAATCCCAAGTCATCTTGTTCCGGAAGAATTACAAGATCAAAGGAAAACCAGCACAGCATCGCACACGCTACTTGTTCCTGCACAGCGTCGAGCTATTGCAACACTCTCCAAATTTCTGCTCTCTGCCAGAGCGATTCTGAATGATGGTCCCTGGAGTACAAGTGATAACATCAGCAACCTTGCGATCGATGCCACAGAACTTGAGCGTTCTGTTGTCGATTTCGTGTCAATCGTGCAACGTTGTCGCAGTGACGAGGTAGATCCCGATAGGGGTCCGAGACACCTGCAGGGGTACTTCTCAGCACCATACGCAGGACTTGGAAAGGCTGGGGCTGGGGCTGCTGGAGCTTGGAAAGGATTTGGTTGGGTCAGCATCGATGATAATGAGGAGGCCCCCCGGCGAAGCTTGGACAGCATAGTCTTAGACGACATCGTGGAGCTTGTACTGCAGGTGCAAGAGAAGTCGAATACGTTCGTTGAAGGCTTACGGGCTTCGGCACCTGGTGAGTATACGTCCTAGAAGTTCGTATATATCGGTTTAAAACTGCCTTCACAGCCGACGTCGTAACACCAGCTGGCTTACGAATGATGAATCAGTTGTCTTCCCTCCTCCTCTACCTTGGTGACCTGCACGTCGCTCGGCACGTCGATATCGAGCCTGTGAATCAGGAAGAACTTAATAATGGTGCTCAATATCTCCGGACCATTGAGAAAGCCAGAGTCCTCGTACGGTCATTCGAAGCCACGACTCAGGCTGTATACGACGACGGTGCGGCACTACTCACCACTACCCAGCGGATCCGTCAAGAATGCGAAGCATGGCGTGATCGGGATGAAAATTATGATGACCTCGAAGCGCTCAACTCTTCACTGGACTTCAACCTTCAGGTTCTGCGACAGACTCTCGAAAGTCTCCTCAAAATCGTACAGGAACAGACTGATATTCTCGAGCAGAGTAACAAGAGCCACGTCGAGTGGCGTATGTCACAACGAAGCCTCATTACGGCAATGTTGGTCGAGGAGGCACTTAATGGCTCGAATAACGAGCTCTACGATTCGAATAATGACGACGCAGATGATATTCTCAGGAACGTTGCAAGTATCGAGAATACCACACCTATAGGAGAAACACTGGCTCCGCCTGTACCAAGCGGAAAACCTACTTTAATACCCCCGATACCCGATATACCGTGGACAACAACTGAACTTGAAGGCAGGTTTTCTGCTGTTTTGCAACCCCCGGCATACTCTGACGGAAACCACAGATCTTCACCTGATAAGAACTCCCCCTCGTCCGGACAAGATAAGGGCGTTCTTTGGTGACGATGCGCCTTCCCACTATCTCATCACCCTCAATGCCGAAACCAAACCTTGGTATCTGAGACCGACGTACGATCCCAAAGAGGTACTAGTTGACCCTGATGGAACCATGCGAGGGGGAACTGTTGTGGGTCCTAGTTGAGCGTCTAACCGCTCATGAATATGCTGGTAAGCAAGATTCCACTAGTACATCTCGATCATTTTAACTCTCGATCATAGATCCAAAGTTCAGCAAAGCTTTCCTGATGACTTACAAGACTTTCACTACCCTCGATGAATTGTTCAGGTTGTTGGTGGAGCGTTTCTGGATACAGCCTCCAGAAGGGCTACAGTATCAGGACTTGGAAGAGTGGCGGAAGCTTAAACAACACATAATTCGTATGAGGTGAGGGACGCCGTTCGATTCAGACCTTGTGGCTGAACTATTTCAGGGTTCTCAACACAGTCAAGTCAATAGTTCAAGATGACGATGTGTTAGAGAGAGACGACACGTACATTCTTGACCGCATGATGGAATTCGTGTCCCGAGATGAAGTTATTACTCTACCAGCGGCAAAGCAGCTTTTGGTGATCATTAAACGTGCTGTGCGTCTTCGGTTAGCGTCACGATTTGCAGCAACTGACTTGTGAAATAGCAGCGAGGGCGTGATCCAAACAAAGTGACAATTAACATGGCTCTGGAACCGCCACCTCCACCAATAGTCCCTAAACGGATGGAGCTACTTGACATTGACGCCTTGGAGCTAGCAAGGCAATTGACCATCACAGAAAGCCAATTATACCAGAAGATTCGACCTTCTGAATGCCTTCTGCGATCCAAGGAATCGAAAACTGATCACCACGACAACATCGCGAACTTCATTCGCCGCAGCAACAGGGCAAGTTTTTTTTACCTTCTGCATGGTTCGCGACTAACAGATGCTCTTATATAGGTAGCCAACTGGGTTGCGTATGCCATCCTTTGCAAAGACGAACCTCGCAGACGCGCTTCCATCATGAAACACTTCATCGCTGTTGCTGATGTTTGTTTATTTCTTTAGACTTCCGTACTCTATTAACGCTTTCCTATAGCGCTGCAGGCACATCCAGAATTTTTCGACTATGTTAGCCATTGTATCTGGCCTAAACTCGTCACCCATCCATCGGCTTAAGCGTTCCTGGGAGCAAGTGGGCACCAGATACATGTCGCAGTTGGAGACATGCGAGACAACAATTAATTCTTACAAGACCTATAATGTCTATCGATCTGCTCTTGCGAAGGTTTCTCCACCTTGCGTTCCCTTCGTCGGTACGTAATTGAAGTTGCATCTGCGAACACGAGAGAAGTGATCCCCAACCAGGCGTATTTCTTACTGCACTGACACACATTCAAGATGGCAGTAAGGATTTCCTTCCAAACAACCTAGTGAACTTTCGAAAACGCCAGAAGGCTTCAGAGGTCATCCAAGATCTTCAACGCTGGCAGACTCAGCTGCACAACTTCCATCCCCTCCCATCTGTTCTTGTCTACTTGGACGAAGCACTAGGGCAGTTTGGCGACAAAGATGTCAGTGATGTCTTCTGGCAGCTGAGCTTAGAAAGGGAGCCGCGCGAAAAGGAAGAAGAGAGAGAGAAACTTGCCAGGATGCTACATGACAGTGGTTTCTTTTGAGCCAAATTACTGTCATGACTGCGCTATCCTGACGCTTCATGGGACTACTTGTTAGACATGCAACTTCCCTCCGCATTACTGTATCTTATTGGACATTGCCAACCTGAACTTACTCTATTGATAAGTTATGTCATGATTTCCTTTTATACGATGTCGTCGTGGATGGGTTATGACAGGTGGGCTGATTAAGCGCGTGCCTGTCCGCTGATCCCACACAGTAGACGCTCGTCGTGGTCGGCAACGTCCGAAGGGTTATGGGCGGTGAGGAACCCAGCCGGAGGGGATAAATGGGGCGCGTTATGGCACCTGTGTGACATAACTTGTAACCTATATAAACCATAATAGGGGAAGTCACAGTGGCATTGGCGGGGCATTTTTCGCCCTGCTGTTCAGAAAAGTCTGTTTAACTGTGAGAATATGCGAACACCTAATGTAAACACTGTAAAGGAGATTCCCTGCAAAATTTCCCCCACTACCATAATCTAGTCCAAGCCTGTTGTGCCTTTGGCACAGGAACATCAAGTAAACTAAAATGGCCTGTACAGAGTTGTACAGTATCCCAGCTCCCTAGCTTGGTCCCTACCACCTAGCTTGCTACAGTAACAGACCTTTCTATCAATCTCTGTACAGACACCCACAGACATGCCCAGTGAGCACCAAATAGCTCTCAAATAGTGCTGGTGTCATATACCAGATCTGACCACCCCAATACTGATATCCACCCCGCTTTCTGACCCTATCCACTCCATTCATCATCCTGCTCCGCCCGATCATCATTCGTATCTGCTCTGCTCGACCGCTCAACTGGTCCCCTTCCATAGCATCTCCATTCAACTGGACCCCTTTCCCCTTTTAGATATATGCTTTCCTTTTCGGTACTTAGACCATTACTTCCGGATCACCGGTAAATTCCTATTACCGCTCGATCACTGATCCGACGTGTACATATTGATATCCGCCCTGACCTATGTCTTTCCTATGTAAAGTACTTACAAATGATATCCTTGGTACATAGCTTTACTACATAGTTATCCTGGTCACTGCCTCATACATAGAAGTATATAACATATCATGTACTTAGATATTTTCCCTTAGTCTTAATATTACTTGTCTTCTCGCAGTTACCTCTTGCAGGAATTCTCAGTAGGACCTTGCCTCCTCTGGACACAAGTCTCAACTTGTTGTCACCTCCGACCCTCCGACCCTCCACTCTGACTTAGAGCCGTGCTCTAAGTCTTTCCCTTATTACCCCGCCCCTATCACCCCTTTTCCTATCCTCTACATTATCCTCCACCATCTCCACTCCTATCAATATCCCCCTGGTTTCTACCCACCCTCTGCATCGTTCCCCGCCTTCTCCGCTCCGCTCCTAGTTGGTCCGCTGCTAGCAACTCTTACTTCCCGACCCTCAAAGTGGACCTAAGCGGTCCACTCATCCTATCATCGGACAATGTCGGATCCGCTCCAAATTTGGGGCACGTACTCGGCTAAGGGCGCAGTGCAAGAGCTGAAGCCAAGCCCCGACCCCTCTGCCTCTTGAGCCAGCACGGTACCTAACAGCTGGCTTCCTTTGTCCATGTCTGTACAGACCATCATGGACCACCCAGAGAATGGGAGTTGTGCAAAAAATGCTCCCTGTACACATAATGCAGTAACATATACCCGTCTCAGACGGGCAGCTGGGCGTGACAATGTGCCAATAGAGATGGGCCACCCAGTGCAGGCCCATGGCAATAATTGTGCCGTCATAGATGAGTGGGCTGAGAGTGTAGTGTATCCGAGGCAAACGGATGGGCCAGGGGGTATATAGTATAGATGGTAGTATAGGAATGTACTATATAGGAGATTATGAATAGTAGTGAATCCGGTGTGTGATAGATGATTGGGCCGGTAAATAAGGCGCAATGGAGACGAGTGGGCCGGTATAGCAGGTGCAATGGAGATGGGTGGGCCAGTAAATAAGGTGCAATGGAGACAAGTGGGCTGGTAAATGAGGTGCAATGGAGACAAGTGGGCCAGTACATAAGGTGCAATGAAGATGAGGGGGCCAGAGAATAGGGTGCAATTGAGACAAGTGGGCCGGTATAGCAGGTGCAATGGAGATGGGTGGGCCAGTAAATAAGGTGCAATGAAGACAAGTGGGCCGGTATAGCAGGTGCAATGGAGACGGGTGGGCCAGTAAAGGAGGTGCAATGAGGACAAGTCGGCTGGCGTTATTGGGTGCAATGAAGACGAGTCAGCTGGTGATATGGGGTGCAATGAAGACGGGTGGGCCGGTATTATAGGGCGCAATGGAGATGGGTGGGCTGGTGATATGGGGTGCAATGAAGACGGGTGGGCCAGCATGATAGGGTGCAATGGAGATGGGCGGGCCGGTATTATGGGGTGCAACAACAACCAGTATTTATGTAACCGGTTTCTTGTGGTAACATAGCACTCAATCTGGTGATTCCACCAGTGGTCTGATCATGTAAAATGGTTGAGATTTGACGAAGTTAGGAGCCTTACAAGAGAAAGTCACAAAGTCAGAGGATATATGATATCTAGACCATTGTGACCGGGATTTTTCAACCGGTAGTTATGTGACCAGTTGCTTGTGGTAACATAGCACTCAGTCCGGTGATTCCACCGGTGGTCTGACCATGTAAAATGGTTAAGATTTGACAATTTTATGAGCCTTACAACAAGAGAAAGTCACAAATCCAGAGCATATGTGATATCTAGACCATTGTGACTGGTATTTTTCAACCAGTATTGATGTGACCGGTTGCTTGTGGTAACAATCCGGCGATTCCACCAGTGGTCTGATCATATAAGATGGTTAAGACTTGACAAAGTCATGAGCCCTACAAGAGAAAGTCATAAATTCAGAGGATATGTTATATCTAGACCAGTGTGTCTCCAGCTCTACCTTAGGGTAGTTTACCTCTGTTCCATTTCTACTCTGGACTTGTCCACAGCAGTCTTACTCTGGGCTTCCTTGAACCTCCGGAGTTCCACTGAACTCCCCCAGTGTCTGACCTCCAGAAACCTCTGAACTTTGTCGGACTTCCCTCCTGCCTCTTGGAAATTAAGGGCACATACTCGGGTAAGGGGAGCAGCACACAAGCTGAAGTCAAGCCCTTTGAGTTCTCCTTCCTTTGAGCACGACCTTAACATCCACAGACAAAACCTTGTGATCTTGTGTACTCACCCTCTCCTGGTGGTCCATCCTCTGGGAAAGGTTTTCCTGCAGGAACACAGCTGCAGAAAGATATGGGGACCATTCCTAGACATATTTAGAGTATGTCCACCAGGTTGGTACATCAGGATACCTACAGAATCCTTCCATACAGGCTAAAACTTCTAAGATTGCAGTTGTCGCATTTTTGGTGTTTTCCCCTACTTTACCATTGCATAAATGATCCAGACTACTCATATATTATCCTTACTACATATATACCTACTTCTCATCCCAAGGATCAGTTAGAAATATGGTATAATATTGTTATCTAAGGGAAAGGGGGTATGTGTACTGATAAGGGGCCTACATTCTCCAATGGACACAATCTAGTAATCAGATGCTTGCAATATATTCTAAGCATGGTCAATATCATGGTCTCAGATTTATCATGGTCTCAGATTTATAAAAGGATCCACTAACAGTTGAGAGCTAGGGCAGTGAAATATCTCTGAAATAGAGTGTGGGAAAGTCCAAAAGCCCAAAATATCGAAACTCACCAGTTTGGTGTATATGTAGTGGTTGGACTTTTACTTACCAATCCTAATATTTCTTCACCACACTCTTCTACAAAGACTTTACCTTCAGGGCAATGTGTATTTTAGGTTCATTATGTAGTCTACTATACATACTACTGCATTTTTAATGAAATCTTTGATCTGTATGATATATGTCAGTGACTTTCAGTGACAGGGGTAAATTGTCATATGTCAAGCCTATGTTGTTTTGCTTATCTTATATCCCAAGTGTCTGATCACCAATAACATCCTTGATAGTGTTGGAGGGTTCTTATCAGTTGTGTTTTCATGTATATATGCTATATTGTTTGATGTAGCCCTTCAGGGGGTCACCTAAGTGGCGGAATATGTTAATATATACTCCTAAATATGTTTTGACAGTGCTAGAACACTCTCCTATCAAAGGGGCAAAATGGAATCCCCTGATTGAGTGGTACATTACCACAAGCAACCGGTTGCAAAAATACTGATTACAATGGTCCAGATATAAGCTGATACAACACTGTATCCTTTGAATTTATGACTTTGTCTTGTAAGGCTCAGAACTTTGTCAAATCTTAACCATTTTACATGATCAGACTACCGGTGGAATCACCAGATTGAGTACTATATTACTGCAAGCAACCGTTCACAAAAATACCGGTCACAATGGTCTAGATATAACATCCTCTAAATCTGCAACTTTATCTTGTAAGGCTCATAACTTTGTCAGATCTTAATGATTTTGCATGGTCAGACCACTGGTGGAATCACCGGATTGAGTGCTATGTTACCACAAGCAACCGGTCACATAAATACCAGTCAAAAAATACCAGTTACAATGGTCTAGATACAATATATCATAATATCCTCTGAATGTGTGGCTTTCTCTTGTAAGGCTCATAACTTTGTCAAACCTTAACCATTTTACATGGTCAGACCACCTGTCATATACAAGATCTGAGCACCTCAAATACCACCCATGAACATCCCCACCCCTGTTCCGACCCCCTGTTTCCCCGTCCACTCCATTTCTCCTTCCCCGACAATGCACGAAGTGCATCTCAGCAGGATTAGCCCCGCTACCTCTGCCTGACCCTGTTCCACTCTTCTGACACTACCCCTATGTTCTCCGACACCATACCCCTTCCATCCGACCCTATCTGGGGTTCTGCTCCTCCACCCTATCGGTCTGCCTGATCCTACTCATACTCCCTCCGCTTTTCCGACCAGCTCGGTTCCGTTCGTCTTGTCCCACCCAACTATTAGTCCATCCAACTGCC